CCTCAGGGACAGCCTCCTCAGGGACAGCCTCCTCAGGGACAGCCTCCTCAGGGATAGGGACAAGCGCGGGATCGGGATTGTCCGCTTCAAGTTGTTCACCCACGATTGACACAGCCTCTGCTGAGGCTTCGTGTTCAGGGCTGGACTCTGACACTGGTTGATCGATAGGAGCCCCTGCCGCGGAATTTGCTTCCTCGGCCTCTTCCCTAGCAGTCAATTCTTGCTCCTCTTGTTGCTTTTTGCGGGCTGCAACTTCTGCCTGGCCCTTTTTCTTCTTGTCCTTCTTGCTCTTCTTTCCTTGAGACTTCTCTGCCGCAACATCCGCATCGGATAGCGAGGTGCCTTTGCCTGGTTCAATAACCGGGGTGGTATCGAGTGGTTGTGTGGAAGGCTCCGCACTTGCTTCGGGGAGACTGGTGGCTAGCTCTGTTTCCGTTGCCGCAGGCGAAGATCGTTCTTGAGGTTCCGCTTGTTCATCGCTCTGAGATTGGCTCCCATCGACCGATGTAATGGCAGTGTCCTTCGCGTGCTCCTGAGCTGGGTCCCCGTCGACGTCCGCCGTGAGCTGCTGCTCGGTAATTTCATCCTCTACTCGTGATAATAGTGCCTCAGGCTCATTGCCTTTCCTCAAAGTTTCCGCGCGCAGTGTGGTTAGATCCTCCTCTGCCTCCTCCAAGTGTGCCGACGTTTGGATTGTGGACGACTCAAATCCTCCCAGCGACTCTATGCCCAAATCATCATTTCCGATGGCATCAGAGGAAGTAGGAGCTGGCGCTAGCGAGGGGCCGAGGTTCTCAGGCTCGAGTTGGGGAGGACAAGCTGGCGAAGTTGCTTGCTGATGCTCTACCTGCGGAACCATGTCATCAGTCCAAGTCAGATCTTTATTGTTCTCGCCGTGCAGTTCGGTGCCGTGGGACTGAAAATCTTTACCGTCATGTTCCGCAGGTACGATTGCCGCCTCCTGCGATTTTCCCGCGGACTTGGTCTCGGTAGGCAACTGGAGATCGCTTGGGCCTTGAGGTTCTTCGGTATGGGTTTCTCCGCCTTTCGACAAGGGTGAGGATTCATCGTCAGCAGCGGGGTTGATCGCAGCGTTGTTCGCATCTTGAAGTTTCGACAAGCGCTTCTTCTCTTTCTTTGCCTTCTTTCTTGCCTTTGCTGACATTGGGGCGGTTTCTTCCTCTGGCCCCGCAGCCTGCTCAGCTTGCTGCACTGTGTCTTCAGGAATATCTGTTTCGGGGATTGTTTGCTCCACGACTACTGCCGGCTCGTTCGGAGTCTCTGGCTCAGCAGGGGTTGCGGGCTCGATTATAGCGTTGTCTACTTCAGAATCTGGTGCCGATGCGACTGTGTCTGCACTGACGTCCATGGCCTTGCGCTTTTTCTTTTTCTTGTCCTTCTTAGATCTAGTGGAACTGATTTCTGGCTCGGTCTCAGTTGGAGTCTTGGGCTCAGTCTCATCGGTAGGTTGAGGCTCGGACGTTTTGTTTGCTTCCGAAATCTCAGTCGTGATTGTTTCTGGCAACTCTGGAGTGTCATGAACGATATTCGTTTTCTCCTCATTTTCTCCGGCCTCTTCAGGGCCGCCATGAGCAATGCCACTTGGCTCTTGAGATTGATATTCTTGGTTGTCTTCTACTAGTAGAGGCTCCGGCTTCGTTTCCTGACTCGTTTGATCCTCCTCCACTTTATCTAACGGCGAATCGGCAACTGGCTCCGCCGCTTGATCATCGTGTCCCGAAACACCCTCATCGGCGACATTTGCTTTGATTTCGGACGGAGCCTTCTCGAGAGCCAAGCTCGGGAGGTCTTGACCAGTAGCTTTTGATTCATGCTCCTTGTTTTGGTCAGCTGAGGGATTGTCTTCGGCCTCTTGCGCAATAATCAATTGCAAGTCTTCCCCGGTCTCTGCCGTTGGCTCACTCAGGTCGGTTGACTGCTTGTCCGCGAAAGCTACGGATTTGCGCTTCTTCTTGTCTTTCTTGGCCTTCTTCTTGGACTTTGCTGTCTGGGTGTCTTGAGTTGATTCCACGGCTTGGCCTTCGAGCTTTGCGGGCTCTTGTACGGGCTCTTCTGCAAGCCCTACCGAAGACTCATCCGAAGGCTCTTTCGATAATTGCTGCTTTAGATCGTCCTGGGGATCTTGAGTAGTCTCCGCCGGGAGCACGTTTCCGAGATCTGTGGTCTGTTCGAACGTTTGCGCAGAAGTGACTTCAGATGTAGAGGAAGGCTCTGCATAGTCAGTAGGAAGGACGGCTTCGGCGCCAGAAGACGATTCAGTTATCTTCTTCTCTTCTGTTGAAATAGCAACGGCCGGTGTCTCATCCAGCGACGAGGTTGATTTGTTCTTCTTCTTCTTGTCCTTCTTGGACTTAGAGGAAGTCGTAGGTTGGGGCTCATCGTCAACTGTCTTCTTTTGCAGATCAGCTTCGGCTTCATCGTACTTGTGCTCGTTGTCCCCGGTGGGAGTCGTTCTGACGAAGCCTAAATCAGCCATGTTCATATTCATGGACAAATCATTCTTTGGCATGCTGTCCGAAGTAGTAGCCTTTTCTGTGCCCTCCACCGCTCCGTCGTGCTTCTCGGATTCTGCGAACCCAGTTCCTGGCTCTTCGCTGTAGGGTATGAGTTCCGAATCAGCAGAGGTAACGGCCTCGTGCTGCTCTTGTGGATTTTCTGACTTGCCCAAATCTTCTTGCGCTAGGTCCATAACTGCATCAGTGGGAGGTTCCAGATTTCCGGCAGTAAGTCCAGGAGCATCCGGTGAACCAGGTGCCGCATCCTCGATATCTGCAACTCCCTTGCTGGCAGGAATACTTTCTTGCTCCGCCACTTCAGCTGTCTCGACGATTGGCGGCATTTCGTTTGGAGGTTTCGAACTAGAATCCGATGGGCTTTCATCCTTCGCTTCCTCAATGGCGGGTCCCGCGAATGTCGGGGCTTCGACTGATGTGTTTTCATTCAATGCACTGTCGATGGCTCCATCTTCAGGCATTGTTTCAGATCCCCTAATTGGCGTGGCTTCCTCGGCAACTGCAGCGGCAGTTTCATCTGCGATTGTCTCTTGGGCATCTTCTTTGGCGAGCTCCACTACCTCAGCATGTTCAGCCGCAGTGCTCTCAAAGTTCGGATGTTCCAAGGGAGTAGAAGTTCCTTCGTTAGTCGGCAAATCATTGTCTGGGGCGCTCTCGGAGACAATTGGTGTTCCAGGCTCAGAGATAGGAGTGTCTTCCACTGACTTGGCCTTCTGCTTCTGCAACTTCTTCTTCTCCTTCTTGGCTTTCTTTCTCTGCGCGGCAGTCATTGGAGGTTCCTCAGGTGCTGGAACTTCCCTAAGCTCGGCCATGCTGCCCACCTCCTCGCTTGTAATCGGCACTGCTTGCTTGCTGTCTTGACTTTTCGGGGCAGAGTTTTCTCCCATATGAGCTTGAGTATCTTCATTGGTAGCTGGCACTTCTTCGGTCACGGCAGGAGTCCCTTCTCTAGAAGCATAACCCTCTTCAGTCAATACAGGGACGACTTCGGGAGATGCGACCGCGCCCTTCACAACAACAGGCGCTTCTTCATTCAAGGGAGAATTGCCCTCAGTGGAAGCCGGGGCTCCTTCTGTTGACGTAGGGACAGCCACTGGAGATGCGACAGGATTCTCCGTGACAGCCGGAGCTTCTTCCGTGGCTGCAGGAGCGTCCGCCCCGCCCGATGCACCTTCAACTGAAGGTGACTCGGAAACAAGGCTTTCATCAGGAGCGGTGGAGATGCTCTTATTCTTTTTCTGTTTCTTCTTCTTACTCTTCTTGCCGATCGGTGTAGCCTCCCCCGCATCAGTCTCTGTTTCAGGTACAGACTCTAGTGATGTCGGTTGTTCTTGTCCAGACACATGTGTTGTGTCATCATTGGCTTCGACGTACTCCACAGGAAGACTAATGGGCTCAAGCTCTGCGTTCGGAACATTTGCGTCTGCTGGCACCTTATCCGGGGAATTCTCCAGGCCTATTGACTGCAGATCCTGACCTTCATCGAGTGACACTTCACCGCTTTTTTGATTCAGGGATTCCACGGTAAAATCGCCCGCGTCGACGGCCTGCTCGTGGTTTTGTTCAGGCCCGGATTCATGCATGAGCTCAGGCTCGGGCTGACCATCGGAGGACCCTGTAGACTTGCGATTCCTCTTCTTGCTCTCCCCCTTCTTCTTCGGTGGATCTTCCTCAGTCACGTTGGTGAGGGTCCCCGGCTTTTGTTCGCTCATGTCGCCTGTTTGAGACCCATCCACCATGGCAAGAGCAGATTCAGCGGTAGTTTCCTGGTCCTCTCGATTTTGGTCAACGTTCACCTTATTTTTCTCAAGGTGTTCTTGTTCTGAAGAATCGGCTTTCAATGGCTCTGTGTCAGTCGCACTTGGCGCTACTACATCTTCAGGCCTAACTTCATTATTTGTTCCATCCTCAGCCCTGGGCACTGGTTCACTAGCAGGCTTTAAGTGAGAATCGCCATCAATGGGTGCTTCTGAGGACGCCTCTGTGATACTCTTGCGCTTGTTCTTCTTTTTCTTTTTACTGGCCTTACGCGACAGAGAAGGCTCTGGATCAGTGCTGACAGCTTGAGCATCATCTGGCTTCAGTTCTTCGGCTATGTCAGCTTGTTCCGCCGGAACAGGAACGTCTTCAGGATGAGGTTCGGGCGCAGAAGAGCCTGGCTCTTTTTCTTCGATACTCTGCTCTTCTCGAGTGACGTGATCGAGGGTTGGATCTCGATGGTGCCTGATCTCAAGCCAATTGCCAATCGAAGCTGGCTCCATCATTCCTTTATTTGTATGGAGATTTTCCAAGGCAGTCGGTGGCACCATCTCCTTGGCTTTGCCGCTGGAAGCATATTGCCCAGCGTCATCTTCTGTGGTTGCGGCTTCGGCCTCCCTGAGTTCCTCGGCGTCCTCAAAGACCTCTTCTTGACTGTTATCAAGTTTCTCGAGAGCAGGATCTGAATTAGAGACCAGTGTTTCGCCGGAAGGCCGAGATATCTTGCCATCTTCGGACTTTGCCGGCTGAAACGAGGGCTCTTCCGGTGATAGTACGTCTGTAGTAGTGGGCTCTGGAGGCCCTGCTTGGCCTTTGTATCCTGCAGGAATTGTAGGAGAGGACTCTTCATTGATGTTCCGTGACTCTTCTAGTGGAACAGTCAGGTCTGCATTCACAAGTTCTCTTCCCTCGGCAGGTGCTCTATGAGACTCCACATCTGCAGGAGGTGCTTCCGATGCGACTTTGGTGCTTGTCTCCGCAGGCTCATGAATGTCTTGCTTATGCTCCACCGTAATTGCCTCATGAGCTGGCCCGGCCGGCTCGACTGTAGGTTCTTGTTGGCTGGGTTCGATTGCCTGTATAATAGTTCCTCCTGGAGGTTCAGCGAAAGGTCCAGCGGAAGTCTCAGCGGGAGGCTCAACGAAGGGCTCAACGGAGGGCTCAACGGAGGGCTCAACGGAGGGCTCAACGGAGGGCTCAACGGAGGGCTCAACGGAGGGCTCAACAGAATGCTCGGCAGAAGGCTCAGCGGAAGGCTCAGCGGAAGGCTCAGCGGAAGGCTCAGCGGAAGGCTCAGCGGAAGGCTCAACCGTGTCTTCAAGCTCAGCTTGACCTTCATTATCCGTCAGGGAGATTGAGCCCTTGCTCTTTTTCTTCTTCTTATCCCGCTTGGCTTTCTTGCTCGAGGCTCCGGAATCCGCGGCTGGTTCCCCAAGATCGGTAGAAGCTTCAAGATCGGGTTTCGCGCTGTTGTCTTGCAGACGAGCCTCAGCATGACTTTCTTGCTTGAAGCTTTCAGCAGGTCGGCCGTCTTCTAAAAGAGCATTTTCCCCGACTACTGACGTTTTGTCATGGATAGACTCAGGCTCTTCAACCTCAGCCGGGACTTGTCCGAGAATAAGCGCTTCCTCTGCTGGTGGTGACCCTGCCTTCAAGGGCAGCTCGGCTGACTCTTCTACAGCTGCAGCAGATCGCTCTTGGGTGACTTGCTCAGGTGAAAGTGAATCTTGCGGTAAGAACTCCACTGCTTTCTCGAGCTCCGCGGCTTGTAAGGAATCTAGTTCTGGTTGAGGTTCAACCGAATGAATTGGCTCCTGACGTGGTGATGAAGGCTCCGAAGGATCAAGATCAATGCTTTTGCCCTTCTTTTTCTTCTTTTTGCTCTTCTTCTTTGATGGTTTGGGGGCAGTAGCCTCGGTACCATCATCCTCCAGCTGGCCCTCAGCAATCTCGTTGTCAAACTCGTCCCGAGTTTCAGCCGGGGGATCGAGACCACCTGCAGGTCTTGCTTGGTCGGCTAGCTTAGTGTCCTGCTTGCCATCAATACTCTTCGGTAGCGACTCTAGTGGGATTGGCTCCTCGGCTGGCTTCTCAATCTCTTCTCCTGCTAGCTGTGTAGCGTTTGTTGCTTGACTGTCAATACCCTTCGTATCAGTCGTACGTGTAACGATCTGCTCTCCGGATTGCACTGGCACACTCTCGACTTCTTTTGAATTTGTCTCAGCGTTTAGCTGCTCAAGGTCAGACTGCTCAGCGTGTGGCTCCCCGGCGCGTGGCTCTTCAGCATGCGACTCTTCAGCGACTGGCTCTTCAGCGACTAGCTCTTCAACAGGTGGCTGTTCAACGACTGGCTGTTCAACGGGTGGCTCAGTAGCCTGCTCACGTTGTGTCTTATCCTCTGAGCTGTGCTCCGCAATGACTTTTACTGAATTTGGCGGCTCCGGCTCCGACCCCGGCTCCAGCTCCCGATCCTCGACATCGACAGCGGCGTATTTTCGCATGGATGGAGTGACAACGTCAATCGTCGCATCTGCAGGGTTCGAATGCATGTTTTCTGCCGTCGTTAATGGAGGCTGGATACCCATTGCGTCTTCGTCGTGACGCTGTTCATGCTCCAGAGATGGATGATCGACATCATCAGGCTTGTCTCGTGTTTCTCTGTCAATGCTCCTTGTCCCAGGTCCAAGCACGTCAGACGATATCTTTACTTGCGGCGTTTCCAAGTTCCGCATCTGTTCCACATCACTCTTGCGGTGATCATTGACTTCCGTTGCCATATCCTCCGGTCTGACATCTGCCTTGGTTTCTGATGATCCTATTGCTGCTGCAACTGCTGCACCAACAAGAGCGTTGAGTCCAGCGGAGGTACTTGCATGAGAAGGTGAAGGTGAAATCGAACGATTCTCCGCGGTGTGCAATGGTCTCGCATCGACGAGCCCAGTAAAATCCTGGCTGGGACGAAAGGAGTCTAATTGCATCGGAGGAGAGGCTATCTTCGTTTGGGTAGGTGTCGTCTCGAATGCCTCTGAGGCGTGGACGATCTTATTCTCCGGGGTTGAAGGCCGGATTGCCTCAATGAGGTCCATGTCCTGCTTCGAATCCACATCATTGCTTTCCTTCAGACCGAGTGCAGAGCCTTCGGCCGATGGCAGCGCGTTTATTACCGGAGATGGGGGAAGATCAGGGTGCGAACTAAGGTCCTGCAACAGCTCAGAAGGTGAATGAAACTCGTACCTCAGCTCTTCTCTCTTGGGTGGGGATTGGTGATAGACGTGGTTGAAAGTATTTGCAGTGGGTGTTCCCTGTTGTGAACCGAGGAAGTCATGCTGGTGGCCGTCACCCGAGATGTCCTTGGCCGCAGAAAGGTCTAGGTCGCTAGGTCGCGGTGGGTCATGAATGCATTGACTGAGGTCCACCATTTCCCAGTTCTTCTCATCAGGGAGAGCCGTGAGGTCTTCAGCTGACGCGTTGGCTGAAGTAGTCTTGCTCGATGGCAACGAAGGCAGAGCCTCGCCCGGTTGTGGTTCGGCTTTGGTGATGCTATGCCGCTCTACTAACCAAAGAGGTCGAATTTCTCGAGAGTTTTTGAACTCTGTTGAAGCCGGCCGGCGGTGACGTCCATGGGTTGGAGAGCTTGGTGAAGGTGTCACGGATGAAAGTGAAGGTGATCGGGTTGAGCGGGGAGAAGTAGGGGGTCGGCGGAAATGCAGAGGGACCGCCGTGGGAGAATCGACCGTACGCAGCACTGAGGACCGTCGAGACCGTTGGCCTGATTCCTCGTCCTGAGCCTCTTGGGCCTCCTGGGCCTTTTTCATCTCAGGGGAAGTCGGTCTACTCTGCGACAGGGGAGCGGGCTCGACAGCCTTCTCCGATGCAGGCGGAGACGCCGAGCGACTTCTTAGTCGTTGATCCAAGACATTCAGCCCTAATCCTGTGATTGCAGAATCCTCATGCCCCGGAGCACCATGCTGATGCTGATCACCCGCATCTACCTGACCTGGCATCCCGGGGCCGTCCACTAAAAAAGACCGTGGCTCGTCTTCTTGTGAGAAGCTTGGTTCCTGTACGTGGGAGAAAGCGAGAAGAAGAGTCTTAGTACTTGCATCATTTGTGGCATTCCAAAAACAACACGCGGGAATTTCCAAGGCAAAGCCAAGTTTACAGGCCATGAAAATGAAACGGAAGAAAAAGGAAGACAACCAGGCACTATACCTTCTCATACTCTTTCGACCTTCCAGAGTCCAGAACATCCTCGTATCTTTGCCGTCGTCTGTCCTCTCTTCGCTGTCTGCTGGACTTATAGCTCTCAAGGTTGATATTCTCTTTGTCGGGACCGTCCAAGCTCTCATCATCCAGGGCACCGCATTTGCGGGCCACCGGCTCCTCGTCCAGCGAGTCGGCTCGACGAGAACTGCGCCGCCGAGAAGACTTTTCTTTACGTGGAGGGACGACCTCGGATTGAACCTCGCGGGAGGATCGTCTATCGGCAGATGAACTTCTGCTAGCCACGGGCTCCGAAACTCTCGAGCCAAACAGATTGCTCAGAAAGCCCCCTGAGCGCTTTTCCCTGTCTGTTTCATCCTTTTTTCGAGACTTTTCTCCGGGGTCTGCGAGCCTGGTAAGCGATGAAGCGGCTGAGGTTTGGTCCCCCAAGTTGTCACTATCACGCTTGGAACGTCTCTTGCGCCGCCTTCTTCTCTTTTCTACACTGTCAGCTTCGGCCACTGACGACCTATCATCTTCGTGAGGCCCTGAATCACTCAGGCTGTCACTCTGCTCTTCCTTTTCCTGCCTTGCAGGTGGAGAGATATCTCTAAGAATCGGCGCTGAAACCACTGATCTCGGATCGCCCTTGTTCACTGGGTCCCAGCCACTGATTGTCTTTGACTGGTCCCATGACTCCCCCGTATCAAATCCGCCAGGCATAGAAAGAGCCTCTTCGACTGACGAGGCAAATTCATCCCGCGGGCCACGAAGGATTACAGTAGGTTTACTGCCGCTTGCTTCGAATGCCTGTCTGAAGCTATCATGGGGCTCCCTTCTTTGGCTAAGTTGCTCGATAACCTCTTGAGCAATGGAGATCCGTGGTGGGTCATTCTGTTCCGTGGTAACGATGGGGCCTGACTCAGATCTAATAGGCTCATCTGTGCTCGGAAGGTCTGTCATTGGCTTTTCGTGCCCATTATCATCCGGTGTCTCGACCTCACCTTCGACAAAGCCGTGATGCTCCATACGAGGGTGAGCAGTCTCTCCCCATGGTGAGATGAATGTAATGTTGGCTTCAGTAGGGAGGGGTGTCCGCGTATGATAAATGGGGTCATCTGTGACAAGCGCGGGGTCAAAGCCTGCAGCTGCAGTTGCTGCGGCCACAGCAGCTGCAAACTCTATATCAGCACCACCCATATGCGGCGTGCGGCCAGAGCGTGGAACGTCTTGGATGTCTTTGCGGATGTCGTGGATATCTTGCGTTAAGGTTCGATCGCTCCGTTGGACGCGTTCAGATCCTCTTGGAAAGTCCTCAACTGATTCAAGCTCAGAGGATGTTGAGGGCACCTCGTATTCATGCGTCTCATGCTTGCCCCACGAGACACGCGAGCCGGCTGCCGGGCGCTCGGTTTGATCACTTTCATGAGGACGCGCAGGGATCAATGTTATTGGAGACGGAGCACCTCTAACCGAGCCACTCAGACTTTGAGGAGGCGTGGGTTCGATGAGCTTCAGTGCTGGCACAGGCCATGGGAGACCACTAAATTCAGGATGTGACTCCTCTGTTAGACGCAATGAATCGATTGCAGGTTCTGCTTCAATGATAGTTGGCATCGAGGTGGGCTCCCGGCGCTTGTAAGTATCAGGGCTATAGCGGAGTTCCTCAGGAGCGAAGAATTGCGCATAGTTGTCATAGACAGGTTTCTTGCGATAGAGGTCCCTGAACGCATGGGTCTTTACACTTTCTTGATGACGGCCCGTTTGTTGATGTTCCTCTACCGTATTGCTGGGCGCTTCTGACATCGGTAGGCCTGACGCTACTGAAGCGGATTCAGGCATTCGACGTCTTTCGGCCCGGCGCTTCTCTCGCCGTTCCTCATGGCGTCGCTGGCTCGCTGCTTCAGACGCTTCATCATACGAGGCCCTGCTCGATATCATTGGAGCTGCGACAGCAGCACCTATGGTGCCTGTTGCAGCTGCACTGACCCACGATGATGATGATTCTCTCTCGTGACGTGAGCGCTCATCATCCCCTTGGCGTCTCTCATGGTCTCGGTCTTTCTGTCGGCTTGCTCGGCGCTCTGCCTCCCAAGCCGCTATCTCCTGCTCCTTATCAACCAACTGTACCCCATTTTGATGTTCTGCATCCCGTCTCATTTCTTCCAGTAAAGTGGATCGTCGCTCCTTGTCCGCCTGTTCGTCTGTGAGGTCAAACTGGACAGATGCTTGATCTTTGACGGTGGAGCGGCGGTTGACTCCGGGGACTGGGGCTCCCTCTAGAGGTTCTGTGTGGAAGACGGGTGATGAGTCGCTGCGTCTATGTGCACGATTAGTCCTTGACGCCATTCCACTTTGAGCATCGTACTCTGGAATTCGATCAGTGCGGTCGCCGTTCCTCTTCTCATAAAACCTGGTTTCGTGGGGCATGATCGATTCTTCAAAGACGGGCAACCCGCTGGGTGCACGGTAAGCAGGGATAGGCTCTCCTTGGCTAGTGTATACCGCTTGGGAGACCGGCGTAATCGGTTGCGGTTGTTGTAACGGGATGGGACCGGGTCGAACTAGGGTTGGCTGGCTTGGAGGCATTGACGAGACATCGAAACTGTTGAGGCGCGAAGAATCATTGATGGGCATTGGGGCCACCTGTTGAAGGCTGGGGGCGCTGCTAGCATCATGGCTGGATAACTTCGCGTCTCGGCGATAACTCGAGGCAAGAGCAGCCGTTCCAAGCCCAGCAGCCACTGCACTACCGGTAGGTAGCTGATTTTCAGATTGGCTGGAACTTCTCCTGTTCCTTTTCTTCGTCCTCTTCTTGTTTCCCCATCCCCAAGTCCACTTTGAGGTCTGCGAGTCAGAAGAGTGCTGAGAGTCACTACTCGAAAAGAGCCCGCTGCCACCAAATGCGAGACCAGAGCTGACACTTGAGGAAGATTGCTCGCCCGAATCTAAGTCTTCCCATCCATCATCATTGGTGGCAGAAGAGGCATAATCTGACCGACTCGCTCGAGAGTTCTTGCCGGCGAGGATCTCTCCTCTCCGTCGACTTCTTCTCTGAGACGAGGCGGCCAAGGCTGTTGCTACTGCACCCAACCCAAGCAGTGCTGAGTCCACTTCTCCTTCCTTCTTACTCCGCCTCTCGGACTTGCGTGTTGGCTTCCTTGTGAAGCCACTCCCGAATGCGAGATCAGCGTCTAAGGAGGATGACGACGAGTTGTTGAAGGAAAATAGCCCCCGGCGTTTCTTGCTCCGTTGCTTCCGGCGATTCTCAGATGAAGCAGTGAAAAAGGAACTAAGACCGCTGCTCATGGGCTTTCGAGCTGGTCGTGAAATGTCAACAAATGATTCATCAGATGAAGAAGCCTTTCGGTTTTGTTTCTTAGACGACGAAGAGATACGGCTGCTGGTCTCGCGGTGTGACTCACGCTGTGACAGCGCTGCTGTTCCAAGAGCAGCACCCAGTGCTGCATCCCTCAGGGCAGCCTGCCGCTGGGTTCGAGATGAGGATCTGGACCGAGAACGAGAACGAGCCCGGGTTTCCTTGTAATTGTTTGTTGGCAGGTCCGCATACGAGCTTCGCTCAGTCCGCTCACGAGATTTACTGCGGTTGGTTCGTCGATACACACCACGAGACGTTTGACTTCGTCGACCGGTGGTTGACGCACCCTCACTGCTGTGGGAAGAATGACGTGAGCTCGCAACTCGGCCAGATTGAATGCTATAGCTTTCGTCAAATTCCTTGTTGCTAAAGATCGACTTGACCGCATATCCTCCAAGTAATCCAGGCAGCCATGAGCTTCCCGACGACCTCTTGCGACGTCTTCCTTCGTCATCGGAAGATGTATAACGACTTGCTTTATCGACCCTGGAGCCTGTGCTATGACGATCGGCTTGGCTGCGCCGAGGGCCGTGATTGTGCTTGCGAGGTGCGTCCCGAGATGATGTGCCAGGCTCGAAACAATATTGACAGATACCGATAGACTCTGTATAGTCCTCAAACATCCCCACCGCTTCGGTGTCGCGCCAAAAATCGATAAATTTGTCCAAAGGACCACGCTGGCGTTGTTGGAAGGCCAGTTGGCCAGACTGAAACGGGGCGCCATGATAGACAGCAGCATGATGAGGATGAAGAGGACTTGCTGCATACCCAACTCCTGCCGCATGGAGGGCTGGGTCCTCGAGAGGAGGGTACGTCGCAAGACCGCCATGGGGCCCCTCGTGTTGAGAAAGCTCCTCGTAATTTTGCATGGTATATTGAGAAGAATGAACGCTGGAGGAATGATGATGGCCCATCATGTAACCGGCCGCTGCCCCTGCCGCCGCCGCGCCAACTGTTGCCCCCATCCCATGCGGAGGAGGTGGTTTCTGTGCTATCGGCGGACTCGGCGGGGCGTAGGCTGAAGGTGATTCCGTATATACTGGCTCTGAGAAATCGACTGCTGTGGTGGCGGCTGCGGGCGGAGTGACGGCTGGCAGAGATGGCTCTGCAATTTGGACCGATGGCTTTGGTGGCTTTGATGGCTTCGGGGGCGGGATCGAGGTGCTTTGCTCCGGATCATGCTGCGGATTCGAGGAACCTGGGACAGCATCGTCGTCATAGTACGAAGCCGCTGCGCCAACTTGACCTATGCTGCTGGGCTCGGGTGGTGGGTTCGGCACAGGAGAAGCAGTCATCAAATGCGCTTGGCTGCTCGGAATCACCATCTGGGGTTTCGGACGGACACCCGGTTGATCGTGGACTGACTGGCCTTGGTCACCATAATAATCCGCAGCTTCGCCGGCAGGGTTGGGCGGTCTGTATGGTTCCGCAAAATCTGCGGGAAATTGGTCAGGAAACTGCTGTTGCACATGAGGATCGTAGAAGGCCGGCACATGCGGCAGACCCGAGCTTGAGGTTCCTGGAAGGTGGTCATGAGCTTGATGGGCGGATTGCGAGGGTAGTCCGGATGTATCGTATTCGTTCCTCGATCGCAAAATCGAGGTGTCATCGGCGGGCGCTGTTGCATAACTGTCGCCCGACTGTGTCCGTCGTCGCTCTAAATGATTACTTTCGCGACCACTTGATAGCGTCTCACTCTGACGTTCACCCCGTTCCAATCGCAGGCGCTCTCGCTCACGACTTGGCGACCTTGCCCGCTCACGCCTGCGAGAGTATTTGTCTTCGGCCTCGCCATAGTCTCGATAACGATCGCGACGATCAGTGAGATCCGAGTCGCTGCGCTTTGGCGTACGCTCGAGCACGATACGGTCGGATTCGAGTGCAAAGCCCTGGTCGGCCGTCGCATAACTCGAAGCGACCGATTCGCCGGCCGCGCTGGCCGCATACCGCCTGTTACGGCTGCTGGATGATGGATAGGTCGATAGATCACCCAAACCACGGTCACGGTCGTCACCCCGTGAGGATTTGTGGCTCGGTGTCGAAGATCTCGAGTCGGTTTGGCGGCGGCGGCGGCGGCTAGTGCTTTTGGTACTCGAACTGCTGCGGACATCGGAGGAGGAGCGGCCCCCGCCCATAAGGGCCCTGAACATGATGAGCTGTGAGCAGTAACGCTCCAACAGATCAGACGATCATCAGGAATCGAAACCCGGGGGAGGTTGTTTGCCAGAGTGGTGGAGTCGGAACGGGAAGTTAATCCACGGTCAATGCTGGGTTAGTGGAGCGGGCGCGAAGGAAAGCGACAGCTGAAAAGCAATGGAATTAAAACGGAAAAGGAATACGATAAAAGAAGGGAAGGGATGTGGGGAAGGGACGGTGAGGGAAGGGAGGAGGAGGAGGAGGAGGAGGGTGAAGGGGGGGGGAGGGTAGACAGAGGGGAAGTGATTTTGCTTGCAGAAGAAGGACAAGAAGAGGAAGGAAAGAGAGAGAGAGAGAGAGAGAGAGAGAGAGAGAGAGAGAGAGAGAGGGAAAAGGACAATGAGGAGGCTGGTTGGTCGGCGGTGATGGATGAATTGAATCGTATAGATCGGCGGGCAGCGGTGGTTGGGTGGACTGCGGACTGCGAGTGAGTGAGTGAGTGAGTGAGTGAGTGCGTGAGTGAGTGTGGGAGTGGAACAGACAGGAAAAGTAAACAATGTGAACCGTGGATCTTTTGTGGTTGGAAACCGGAAGGGAAGTGGAGACAAGAACCACGCGGGCTGACAGAGTCACAGAGAGAGAAAAGAGAGCTGGAAGCTGGAACCTTTGGCCACTAACCGGTCTAAGCGGGCTGGGCAAGGATGGAGCTAGAGTTCGAGATGGAGATGAGGATGAGGATGAGGATGATGGCAGCAGGAGGCAGAAGACAGTTAACAACAATGAAGAAGAATGTGGGGTACGGAGGACGCTGCTGTGTCAGAATGCGGGTGGGCACGATGCGATGCGATGCGATGCGATGAGATGAAATCAGGTGGAAGCTGAGAAAGGAGTGCAGAAGGCGATAGTTAATGATGATGATTGAACCCACCCAGAATGAGTTGTCTGTCTCGTCTAGTTGAAGAGAGAGTGAGTAAGAAAGTCGAGAGAGAAAATCGCGGTGAGGCTGGGCCGACCGTCGCACGTGCGCAAGAAAAAGAGGCTGGCTGGACTTCCAGTTCCTTCCCTTCAGTACTTACTTGGTACTTACTGGCTGTCACCTCTTCTTCATGGGTAGTCTTTCTCCTCCCTCATCATCTATCCTGGATTTGGGGGGAGAGAAGGCAAAAGAACACATATCATGCTGCAGTTGAGCATTTTGCATATGCAAGCCATCTTATCTACAGGAATAAGGAATAACTCCGGCTGCTCTCACCGTATGTAGGTAAGAATCAAGTATCTCTCTGCAGACGCACGCCATCAAGTCCCTCCCTGCCCACCAAGATGAGGCTACCTAGCATCATCCATAACAAAACCACCTTCAGTCAAGGTATCAACATGCATTATATGGCCGTCCACGAACTCCAGAAAACCCGCAGTGCAAATGAGAAACAAAATCGGTAATATACGTGGTCTTCCCCCTAAATGCGCTGAAAATGCAAGCAAATATACCTCCCATTTCACGATCCGGCCGATGATGCGCTAGGCACGGTCGACGTCACATCAACTCCCAAAAGCAGGGTACCCAACCAAGCCCCAGGCCAAACACCAAGAACAAAGGGGGCTAACACATAACAATGGGCATGGCAGATCGCTGTCCCGCCCTGTCCCGCCCTGTCCCGATCGAAGGCGACAGATGAAGCACACATCGAGCAAATGAAGCAAACGAAAGTATAATCAACACCCATAGTGAGAAAAGCAGAGAGCCGCCGTGCACAATCCCGTGTATCGCCAACATGTCCCAGAACAATGATCAGGGAAAAAAAAAAAAAAAAAAAAAGCCGATGCAGAGAAAATGTTTAAAGAGAGATGGAGAGGAAGGGTCAGAAGGAAGCCAAAAACAGGAGTATCGCGCTATCGATCACTCTCAATAGTTCTAGATTGGGCTATGGCATGGTAGAGAACGCTGTGTAGGATCCCGCCGCCAGGAACCAAGGACGCAATTGAATATAGAGCAACAGCAGGTACGATCAGCTGCATTGAATGAAGGTGTCGATCGACTCTCCGAAGATTTTCTCGTATATCTCGCTCAGAATCTTCGCATCCGCTCGCAAGCTAGGCGAAATTTCGCGACTTTGGAGAAGGAAGTTAATAGTTCGCTTCATAAGCCGCTCAAGATCATTTCGATCCACCAGCTCAGATAAACTCGACATATACGTAGCTGACAGCACCAGCATGTTTCCAAATTGGCTATGAGACAAGACGGTCAGTTGGTACGAAAGATTCATCGCAGCAGAAATCGAGAGAGTAGCAACGTACGCATGAGCCGTGCCGAAGATGTTGGTCACAACAGGACGACCTACAATTCCGTCAAAGGCCTCGGTGCTCAACATGGCCGAGTCGATGCACAACTTGCACGCCCTCCGTATCTTAGGCGAGAGATCGCGATATGCGTATGACGCCCAAGACCCACCCCCCGGAGTGGGAGTTGGTGCGCTCCGCCCAACTGTGCCGACATCACTAGCGAGGCGTGCCATGCCAGTGGCGCGCTGGCTATGCGTCAGAGATGGGGAGACTTGTTGCGACTTCGAACCAGATATTGCGGATCCAGTCGGAGAGTCAACCGACGCCGACCGGCCGGTGTCGTTGGCAAAATGGAGAGCATGGAATAGAAGTGGCCGATGGATGATATAACGCGCACCGTAGTATTTGGCACGCATGCGTGCCACGTTGATGTCCTTGGATGGGGGATCCGTATCTTTCCAACGCATGACCTCAGGCAAGCTACTTCTCCATAGCTCCAAGTTCATGCTAAGGATCTCTTGCACATGGGAAGACCAACGCGACTCGCCCTTTCCTGAGGGTTTGTTAGCCGAGATTGATCGAAGCCTCACGCCAACCGTGGACTCACTTTCAACTTTGTACAGATCTGTATGGACGCGGTTGAGAACTTTCCTGAGATGTATCTGCGCGGAGTAGAAGAACATCATCATAGTACTTGGAGCAGAAATTTCGTTCGGTAGAGAGAGGGTGTATTTTCCCTTAGGTAAGGATATCCGTCCTTCCGAGCGAGATATGCCGCTGGCCGGAAGATCGAGCTCCGCGAGAATATCACTGAACGAAGGCATGATTAGCCTTGTGAAGGATCAGTTGAGATGATCAGGAATTAGACTGTACCTTTCCAGTTGCAGACAAGTCCAATACGCAAAATCAATAGAGTCTTTAAGAGGACCATCAACATATTGTTCGTATCGTTTCCTGATTGGCTAACGTCAGTCTTCTTCATTTATACACCTAGGATGAGATGGTTTGGACGCACGGTCGCACAAGCACCTGACAAGCTCTTGCTGCTTGAAAAATCCATCCGTGACTCTGGAAAGGATGCGCCAGCTGTCCGGCATACAATCCGGCAAGTAAGGCTGCCTGTACCTGATCGAGGCCATTCCCGCCTTGCAAGCTTCCCAGAATTTGTGTCGCGTACGCATAGAATGCCAAACCAGGAATGACGTCCAGGTTCCGTAGCCTGCGACGAGCGGGTGGCCGGTCCGATGATGACTTGCGGCTATCCGTCGAGGAAAACGATTGTCCATCTGCCTGACCATAGGAAATGTCTTGCGATGGCATGGCGGAGATTGAATCCGCCCGTGAAAGCATGTTGCGGGAGGAAGGTCCAGGGATAGCCATCATCTTGAAGTCCAAAGGGATATCAGTGACCGGTCCAGGAACAGGAGGCTTGGTTTCACAGATGCTACCGAGCGCAAGGACTAATAGGATAATCGCGTTCTTGAAAGACTTCTCGATGCGACGGAAGCCTAGACGCTCAGGCTTAATGGAGTTGGGAGATTGAACATCGCAGCCCGCGCCCTGAAGAGTTTCACAGGACCGCTTTCGTTTTGCGGTTCGCGGGAAGTCGCCCACACCATGACCGTTGCCATTGAGCACGGACGATGCAGTGGAGCTTGGCGAAGGACAGTACTTTTCCATGAACTCCTTCAACTGGTCTTGCAGTTCGTTCTGATTGAGGAACGGATGGAGTTTGTGTATGTGGTCCATGTAGCTCTGATGAAAGCGGCGGACGGTATCGGGATCTGTAATAAAGAATCCATTCTCGTCCAGAGTATCTGCCCTGGGTTTGTGCAGTGTACCATTTGGAAGCGTTCCAGGGCCCCAGGGTCCACCAGCAGGTGCATCAAACGTATAAGTACTATCCTGGTTAGAGTCCCCATTGGCCGAAGACGACGTGGTCATGGTCTCGCTGCTGAGATGGCCTTCGCCTCGGCCGTAAACAAGAATCAGGCCGCGTTCCTCCTCGAGCCTCATCACATAGTCCTCATCGTACTCTCGCGGGTAGAGAAGACTCTTGATCGATGGCCACATGAGCAGTTTGTGAGCCGCGGTTGTATGTTCAACTGGAATCGAGAGATCACCATCTTCCGCTGTCACTAGCAGCTGTGGTTCTCCTTCGGCGGCTTTTTCGTGTTCTCGGCTCACTAGGTTGGATATATCCTCGTCCTTGGTCTCGGTCTTCTGGAGGAGATTCTCAATCTCGGGTTTTGACAAGCGGTTGAGTGGCTGTTTCTGGGTTTCAGCAGCCTGTATACTCTTGGTTTCAGGAATCCTGGCTTCTGCCAAAAGTTGAGTAAGCTGAGCTCCCTGCTCTACCTGAAGCCCCTGCACCCGTCTCAAATATTCTGTAACTGCATCCTCAAACTCTCGCATACGGTCCAATATTTGTTGGGTCGCTTTTTCTTGTCTTGGGATGCTGTCAGCAGGCGACTCACCGAGACCAGGGTGACCGAGAGGCACCGAGAGGGGGGTAACAAACTTGTGGGGGGGCACTTCTTTATAAACACATATCAAGTTATTTTCTTTGCAGTGACTACAAGCGGGACGGCCTTCATCGCACTTTGCCTTTCTTGCTCGGCATTGATCACATGCCTTGAAGGACAGCGACATTACGCAAGTCAGTCGATACAATCCTCGAGCGGCCACTGTCTGGGGGTTAGGGGAGGCATGGAATTACCTGTTGAGCACGGGCTGCCTTGCGATGGCGAATTCCGAATGCTTGATTCGGATAGTAGCCGGAATCATAAGGCGTAGGAGTGTGAGAAAGATGCGGCACCGGCGGAGTGTACTGGGCGGGGGGTAGTGTTTGCGGAGGCGGCGGGGGAGGATCTCCGATAGTGCTGGGTGTCTCAGGTGGGGGGTAAGACATTCGTGCCACTGCAGGCCGATACTCTGAGGGTGCCGAATGGGGGGTCGGCTCGTGAGGCGTGCCGTTTATCGGGGGGCGGAAATTCGGGTGAGGTGGCAGCGGAGGCGGATGCGTTTCTGGCGACGCATGGGTTGGTGGTCCAGGTAGACTACTTTGCCGGGCATATGGCCCATCTGGAGGAAGCTGTGGCAGTTCTCGGCTTGACATGGCAGAATACGCGTGCGAGGGAAGAGGGGGCTGCGGTGCGCTAGATGTTCGCCGCTGGTCCGCAGGGTGAGTCTCGAAGGAGTGCGTGAATGGAGGACGCCATGGCTGCTCGAACACGCCGGACGTGCTGGGCAGGCCATGCGATCCTTCGGGAAGCGGTATGCGATGCATCGAAGCGAGCAGTTGCAGATGGCGACAACCAGTTGATACGGCCTGCGTGCGTTTGATCTTCTGTTGAACAGATACTTGCGGGCAAAGCCCGGAGCTTCTGGTTATGGCAAATCAACAACGGATAATCAACTCAATGGTGGATCATGCGATCAGGAGGACATGGTTACGATGCAAGCGAGCATGAGAGCTGTTGAAGTGCGGCCGGAAAGATGCGGTATCTGGAGAGGTTGGGCAGTCCCTGGAGCCACTCGCACCTCACCGAGCGAACGGGGGCGTCCGGATACCGACTGCGAATCCTTTGTTGCAGGCTGATCTGCTCGGGGGCTGCCTTCGGAGCTGTAAGAATCCTCTTTATTGCTCGAAAGCGGACCGAGGCAAGACTATGCGCCGCGAACTTGCACGGTAGTAGAGACGAAAGAGGGGGCCAAGAGACGATCAGCAAGTGGTGGTCTCGTCTGGCGCGAGTCAGTAGCCTGTCAATAGTCAGTCAGCTTTACCTGGATGAACAACGAAAGTTGGACGGGCGACCGAGTAATCAAGCAACAAAGGAGCAATGTGACCGTGCAGGGTTCGCAAACAAAATGCAGGGACAGTGAGGGATTAAAGCGACGGCTGGCAGCACATAAACACAGACACAGGGCTAGGGGGGCAAGTCGGAATTGAGATAATAATCTTTGACATCGGTCGGCAAAAGCAGATAAACGTCGAGATCGGTATAACTCAAGTTGCATGCACAAAAGAGCAAGAGTAGGACTGATAGTAGCATGTATAACAGGGGAGGGGGGAGGTGGGTGTGGAAGGAGGGGGAAACATTTGCAGACGATCCGCGTAAGTAGAGAGGCTAAGGCAAATCAATCAATGATGGGAGTGGACACACCGACCCTGGTTTGTTGTAGTCTGTGTGGGATGGATGTATGTATATATGTATGTATGTACGGTCACTGTAGGTAAAGTCTCGGAGGGGGGAAGGCTACTACTAGTGGCAGTCGAAATAGGCCGATAGCCTAGCTGGGTGAGATTGACAGAGACCGAGCTCTGAGCTTAGAGGGGGCGTCAAAGTCCGCCTAGTATTAGCGCTTGGTAGACACTTGGGAACAAAAAAAGTCTTGGATACAATGTCCCGGCTGTCAGAAGGACCATACCTAGAGGTGTTTGGTGTCAGGCTTCGTGCATGTCAAGACCATCGGGTGGCAGCTAAAGGGCTTTCAGGACTGAAACGCGAGACAGCAAAAACAGAAGGGAAAGGACGAGAGGACGAGAGGAAAAGAAAGAAAAGAAACAAAAGAAAAAGGAAAAGAAAAACGAGGAAAAAGCAAAGCCAGAAGGAAGGTAAGTGGTTGAGTGTAACGTACGCGATTATCGCTTTCCAACTTTGCAGCTCAGGTCCTCAGTCAGTCGGGGTCAAATTAAATGATAATCGAAAATAAAATAAAAATTAATACGACGACGACGGAAAGGAAGTCTGGCAGGTTTCGATCCAGCGGGAGATATTTAGGCAGGTAGCTAAGCCAAGCTGTCGGGTCGCCCGGGGGGAGGTGGATATCGTAGGTAAGGTAAGGTAGATCGAACGGTGGTCGACGGTCGGAGGATTCAGGTTGTGTGGGCTTCTTTTTCCTTAAGAAGAAGAGAAGAAGAAGGAAAAGAGAATTTCGACAACAGGTTCCAGAGGAAGGAAAAACGGGGCGGGCGTTATTGGGGGGGGGGAGATGAAGTGGGAAAGTTGATGGATCCTCGACGGAATTAAACTGGAATTGGCAAAGTTGAAGCACTTCCCGCCTGGTGACTGGACGAAAGGCAAGATAGAGTCAGTACTCGGCAAGAGCGGATTGATCTGATGGGGTAAAAGGCGGGATCGAGGGCGGGAATAAAAAAAAAAAAAAGAGGACGAAGAAGAGAGTGAATCGAAGAATGGCGATGACTGGATTAGTGTATGAGTTATGGAAGGGGGAGGGGGTAGAGAGGAACCTGAAGAGGGGAGGAGGGGAGGGGGACGGAGGGGACCTAGGAAGAGGAAGAGAGAACAACGCAGGCGCAGACGCAGACGCGAACGAGGAGGAACGGATGAGCGCGATGACCCAGGAACCTGAAGTATCAGACAAACGGCGCAAAAGGCAGACAGGCAGGCGGGAGCAAATGCCAACAAAGCTGCTGATATTCCTCCCTCCTGGCCGAGAAGTGGTGATGATTAAGTGAACCTGAGTGCCTCTGCGCTGCCCCTCTTTTTTTTTTCCTTTCTCTCTCTCTCTCTTTCTTTCCCTCTTACTCTTCCTTCTCCGTCTCTACCTCTTTATTTTTGGATGGCGGAGATCGAGAAGGACAGAGGGATTGGGCCTGTAACAGCAATGCTAATAGTGGAGAGTAGGTCGTCAATATGGATAACCTCTGGCTGGCCCTGCGATCCTTACAGCAAAGAACAAGAACAGTGATCACAATCGCCCAGCAGTCAATCTACTTCTGTCGCGCAACGCTTCTGGACCCCTTCCCCAGTGTCTTCAACTAATCCTTTCTCTGTCCCTGCTGCTGCTGCTGCTGCTTCTTTTTCTCCTGCTTAGTCTTAATCTTTCATGCTTGTCGTAAAATGGGTCTTGTAACCCCAAACCAAGATCCTGGTTTGCATGAATCAAGACAAGCCACCAGAATTGACAGATCGCTTTTCTCGATATTCCTCTTCTGGCCTGTCTTTTCCTCTACTTTTTCCTTTTCTTCTTCGGAAAAATATTATTCTTCTTTGGCCCCTCCGTACCAACTAATATTGTTCCCCCTCGAAGCTAGGAAAAACAACGCATTGATAAAATCATAGACGACCCAAGAAAATCAGTCAATAAGAGAAAAAAAGGCCAAGGGCGGCGCGTGTGGGAGAGAGGGAAAAGGAAGAGTAAAGGGTGAGTAAGAGAGCGCAGCAGCAGCAGCAAGTGGAGCCGCAGATTGGAGCTAGGACTAACTAAAATGGAAATCGCAAAATAAAGAAGAGAAGAAAGCCCACTTACGCGAGTCTGCAGCCCTTCCTCCCCCCCCCCCCCCCCCCCCTCTCCCCCCAAAAAAAACTTAGAGGCCTATCAAGTTCTTGATCACTTGAGAAGAAAGAAACGGAAAGGAAGAGAGAGGGGATGGAAGGAAGGGCCCGCAATCACAGTGCCACATGGGTTGACTGGAGAATTTCTGCTTGACACAGAAAGAAAAATAAACTGATAATACAAAACAAGACAAAACAAGGATTAGAGTGTCACCCAAATTGACCCAACGTCAATCACCCTACCAGTGACAGATACAGTTGAATTGGATAGCCCTTGATCTTCGGGTCCGATCATGGGCGGTTTTTCCTCGGGATATGATCGGTAGCTTGGTCAGGGAGCGGTCGGTGCCCAAAAGGACCCCCGGGAGTGATGACTATGCAAATTGTGAATGAGAATGATGCCGGTCAGAGAACATGAGGAAGGGGTGGAGGGGAAGAGGGAAATCGGTAACAGAGGAGGGATGGAGGGAGAGGGGGGCAAGGGGAATGAGAGAGTGATGTCGATGGGCATTTAAGAATACCAACAATCAATGATCTGGGGGGACCGCAAAGTCAATTGTCCAGGAGAAGAATGATTCAATCCCCTTGAGCCACGAACCGAGAATGGATAAACATCCAATTCCAATGGTGAAGGCAATTGGCTGGGTGGACTAGCTCTATCTAAAGCAGTAGCACGGGAGATGCATTTACATGCTCAAGGCATCAAAGCACAGATCCATTCTTCTGGTCTGTTGATGCCCATCTGCGAGTATCTACCTCCTCTTGTGATCGAACTTAATCCCTTTGACTATCAACAAGGGATGACATACCCTATCCTCAACACATCTGCCAGAGTGTGCTCGGATCTGGACGGCTTTTTGGTTTCCGGATGTTCCTCCCTCCACCCCTGGCCACAACCCATTGATGCCTGACACGAAGAAAAGGAGGTGCAGCCACCGGGGATCAGCTACTGCGACAAGCGAGCATCGAAGGCAGCAAGTGTGAGGTATGCATGATGCGACCCGGAAAAGTCAAGAAAAGGGGAAAATAAATTTAGAAAGATTCCTGAACTACCGAGTTGCCCCACGCAGAAGCAGAAGACGGTGAGCATCAAGTGTGCTGATTTTCGGGTGTCACTTCTGGAGGTCACTGGAATCAAGGGTCGAGTCAGTACTTGGTTCACCGACACTATACGGAGTATCTATGGTTTCAGGTATCATGGGCGGCGGAACGCCCTCGAAAAGACGGAGAAGCGACCAACATGTGGTAGACAGTCGCTTGCCATCGCCCCTCTCAACCTAGAACCTGATCATCTGGAAACTAAGCTACAGAACCCTCAGCGCAGTAAATAGTCTAGCCGTATGCAAACATCCACCGCAGATGCTATAAGATAATGACTTGCTGCTGAAGGTCACGCCACAATCCGTGTTCTGCCCGACCAGACCGTCTGGCTGATCTAATCGTCCCAGGACGGGCCCTGTCGGTCATTGACATGCAGATGTTTCAGACCGGCGACTGTCACTTGTCTGGCTAAGTGCTGCTCGCCAGTAGACTAGTCGTGAGCAGCAACTACCGACCAACGCGCTACTCCCGATTCTCTAAAAACCGCGACCCCACAATTTAGGAAGACAAAATAGAATAGCATTATTCACTGGGTCGACCTCTCCGCGTTCGTGCCAGACCAGGAACAATCCCGTGGATTCTACCGTGGTAGACTCGGGCGCGATCATCAATACCGGTCACCCGCAAAGACTATCGGTATCACTGGTATCATGCACCATAATAGGTATGTTGTAGTGAGTAGTACTCGGGTGTTGTCCGAGCCCAATAGTCAAGACCTTCAGTATGGGGTACAGATTGGCGTCCATGGAGAGACTCCGTTTCGCCACTGGTGACTCGCTTGGTGCAGGGAGATACACAATACACCCACCGTACGGAAATTCCCTCAGGTTGAGCCTCAGATCGTGAGACGACGCTTCTTAAGGAGGGAAGCAAACCCGTTGAATGATGCGAGCACGGGAAGATTTGGGGAGCAGAACATGACGGGCCATCACGATAATTATGCTTGCCGAGTCGAACTATCTAGGTGTATATAGTACAGTAAAAACCGGAGGCTGGTGTTCTATGGATGCTGCTGATGATTTTTTAAAAAGAAAAAAACGGTACATACATAGCAGTAACCGTAGGTAATTGAAGTCCTGGGGCTGGTGCAACCCGCCCAACTCATCCTGATTCCTCAGTGGGGTTATTCATAAATCACAAACTGTCAACTCAACTCAAATCCCCTGGATATGACCGGGTGGCTAGTTCAATGTCGTTGGCTGGGACAGTTTTGAAACCGGGCAGTTTGATGGCTGTGACCGGTGAAGAGGATCACGATCGATCAGGGCCCACGGTCGCTCCAACCAAGCTGGGGCGGGCAACACAATGCAGCAATCACAGGTTCGAACAACATAACTGGCAGACATTGTTATGATCCTCCAGGTTTATTCGTTGAGAGTCTCAGAGCTAAGAAAACTCCAAAACAGAGAGAGGTCTGCCATTGTCGCCTATCAAGCCCTCTCTCTCTGTCTCTTTTTCTCTTGGTTTCCCCCTTCCCGCATAAGGCGATCCGCAAATTTTAGTAGCTTCCCACGATCCCGTCTCCTGGAACCCGCCATCGGCTGGCGGCATGTTTGTTCGATCCTCGGTCCCTCGCGGGGTGAAGAACGAACAAACCTTTTTCGCTTTCTCAACAAATATGGAGAAAACTGCTTGTTTCCCTCCGATCTCTCATATCGACAACAAGCAAAAACAGAGAAGTGACGCCAAGTGAGGGAGGCGAAATGTACAAATGCCTCTCGATCTGTCGATTCACTGGCTCGGATTGAACAAAGATCCTGCAAGGCTGGGCCGCGCCCGGCAAGATTAGTGGCGGATGATGTGCATACTGTACTCCGTGCGACAGGCAAGGTAGGGTCGGGCTACTTGGGTAGTATGATCAAGCGCCAAGAGGAAAAAAAAAAAAAAAAAAAGAAAAAAAATCAAGAACAGAAACAAAAACAAACAGAAGCAAGGGATAGCCCTGTTCGGTACAGAGCGATTGTCAGTACTGAGTTGAGTCATTTGGTCCGCTGGTTCTCCATCGAACGTTACACGCCTAGACTAAATCATCAGCTTGGGTGCACCTTTTGTCAGCGAGACACTCGAAACAAGAAAAGAAATTCGAAAGATAATCAAAGGAGAACCTCTGGGGTTACCTGAGTTCCTGGCCGCTTAGTTTGCTATGGATTTTGAAAGCTGGTCCAACATGGGAATTCGGAGGTATCGGCATCGTTCTGGTCCTACCAAAATATAACTCCATCGGATGATTGGAGTGCACAGTACCTACTAGCTCACTTGTTGTGTTCTCCTCCGCAACTGGGCGTAATCACGCGTTCATGCTGTCTGAGCCCTGCCAGCCAGATACCAGCAGACCAGCATACGGTTGGTTTTCAATGATTTGTCACTGCACTGTATCCATCTGATAAGGATAACTCGATTTCGGCATCAGCACCACAGCGCTGTAAACAGCGCACTATATAACGGCAGCCAACGAGCTTGGTAGTAGTTTAAACACAACACGAATCGCGATCGCTAGTAACATCCAGTCCTGAAAAAGGTCAAAAAGCCCCGTGTCAACAAGATATTATAATCAAGTAGCCGAACTCCGACTGATTCCCGTCGTGCTCATATCCACCCACCCCCCTCTCAACAAGGCTCTGTGCGCGGGTCGGCGACATACCGGTCACTAGAGAGTGACTGCTGCTAGAGCACTGGGAGAGGCTTCCAACAAATCGAGAGTGGAATGGAGGCGAGGTCATCACGAGGTCCGGGCTCCATTCCGAAACCGAGTCAGACGTAATAGCAATAGGCTGAAGCAAGTGCTGATCAATGCCGTTTCTACCATGACCAACCACGGCTTGGGGATTTGTCCATCAATCAACTTTCTGCTCTTATTTTCCCCCCTACTTACCTCAGGGAGGTGCATGGTACCTGTTCTCACCACTACCGAGGGGGGGCGATAGAGGTCATGAGGTACTCCCTGAAGGGGAAGAGAGAGAGGGAGGCTCGGGGTCAGAGGGTAGGTAGTCTGCTCACCCGAGGGTCTGTGTCTGCGCCCAATGGACACTTCGGGTTTTCCTCCGTTCAAATGTGATATCACCCTAATATAAGCGCTGTGAGGTCTGCTCTACCTCTTTGAGAGAAGTGACAGCGGGACAGCCCGCTTCTGGTGACTCCGGGAGGTTGGTTCGGAGGCGGATCATATTTCTACTGGGCGGTAGGATCGCTGCAAAGTGAGGCTGGGGTCCTTGAACCCATGATTGGCAATACGTTGTGATCTACTTATGCTTTTGGAGCGGGCACATAGTTGCAAGTCACCTACATCGTCACTATTTCGTAATGTGTCTGTATATCTGTTCTTACCTCCTACAATACTAGTTATGGATAGAATCTATTGCTCGCCTTCGGCAGGTTCCCAGACAACAAAAATGACCTTGCAGTAGATTGGAGCATTCGCCCCGGACAAAGTTGCTGTATCCAGTGTTCAACGGCGCAAGGATTGAGTTGAGTCGTTACATGTTGTGGAGACATACGCGAAATCACAATCGATCTGCTGTCGATCAGGCCGGCTCAAGGCGAGCTAAAGCCTCGTTATTAATGCTATTCCCAGTGAACGGCGCGTTCAGTTATCCAACTCCTTTAGGGCCGACGGCGTATCGTATCAATCTCATCATCACAGCATCACTGTGTCCATCCGAAACCTTCCAAGCGGTTGAGGGCGGGGAGGCAGCCTGGCTTCCGGAGCCGAAGGGGCACGCCGTCTTACGGCACTTTCTCTAGGACAATCACCTTCGCACGCATCAATAATATATTCCACTGCGTCCAGAACAACGTGGCAATGACGAGTAATAAGTTCTGAGCTGTGGGGGGGGGCAGTCGAGTGGCGAACTGCTCTTTGCAGATTGTGCATGATGACCTGTACGATAAGGGAAGGGGGGGAGTGCGCCGCCGGAGGAGTTCCTGCACTCGACTCCTCTCATGCCAGACACCAGCTCCATTCCTTCCAGCCCCAGGGTTTCGGTCCCCTGGATCGAGCTGCGATCGGGGGTCTCAGGGAACGCCGCTCCGATCGCTTGATTACTCTGGGGTTGTGGCGGAGCGGATTTGACGCAGTGTGTAATCCAGGAACCGATCTCCCAATCTCGCTGCTTGCATGTGCAGTGTGCTCATCTTCATGCAATTGGAGATGGTTGCTGGTAATACGAGTTTTGTGCAGCTGAAACATCAGAGACCATGAGATGGCATCACACATGTTAGCCCAACGTTAAAAACAAGGGCAAAGCTTATAAGATGGAGAAAAGTCCGCTCTCGAGAATTGATATTCATCTGAAACTGAAACAATTGTCTTATACGGTGGAAAGAGAGAGATAGTTAAAGACAGAAGGTGGGGGGAGAAAGTGGTAGATCCATACCAGAGGTGATAGATGTAACACTTCTCACGAAAACTGTACACTGGAGGATGAAGATCGATTCTGCAGGTAAGGAAGGACACTTGAATTATTGGTGGAGAGAAGCCGAGTGCAGGCGATGCTAACCGGTTTGGGCGACGCTGGTGACTAAGAAAGACAGAGAGCCAGGAAGTTGCGATGTGTAGATTTTCTATCAGGATGTGTGTGTGCACGGTTACTGCATACTTACCACCTCACAAGACTCATCTATTAACTTCGACTCGAGCACAGACATATTTATAGCCATAATAATCTATATGTCAATAGTAGGATGCCTAGGCCAATGGGTTGAATACCACTTATAATCAGAATACGAACCGCCATCTTGCTGCCGGACGGGCCGCGCTGACGGGATCGGGAAGCGCTGTTTTGCATGGTCCCACGGACGAGAGAGTATGGCAGCAGCGGCAGCGGCAGCAGCAGCAGTAGGGTGCGGGGGAGATGAGATGAAGAGATGTTCATCAAGACCCGGGAATTAGCCCCCTTCGTAGACCTGTATGGAGCACTGTACCTCGAACTGACGACCCTCGTGATGCCACTCATCACCTCTCCTGCTCTTGGTCTCAGTGGATGCGATCCCTGAATTACCACCGGTGTCAATCGAATTGGAGGGACGCACACGAGAGGAATCCACCGAAGGTAAGCAAGCCCGAGGTGCGGGCGTCACTTCCATGGACGCCACTTGATGCATCACATTTTCATCAGTCTGGAACCCCTCCGCAGCCTCCCTTCTCAGATTCCCCCGAACATCACCGACAGCCCCGCAAGGACGAAGACAGGTGGAAGCGATCGTACCTACTTGTCCTGTCCCAGTCCCTACTGTATGTGCTGTATGCCTGGTATGTATGGATGAAGCAGCAGCCCATTCTGACGTATATGCATGATCGCTTCTTCACCTCACCGTTATGTAACAATGATCAGCCACTATTTAAAGTTAGTGTGTTCTGAGCATTGTTTCAGAGGAAGCGAAAAATACACACTGATTGGCTCGAGTACGAGCCAGCGAAGTGACTGCATTAGATCGTTCAGTGATGTTTCGAATGAGGCAATGCTGGAGTAGAGTAAGAGGTCACTTTCTCATGTACAGTACTGTTTCTGCAAGCCATACCCCGGAAAATATAGTACGCAGTGGAAGCCGTCCACTGCTTACTCAGCGTCTTCCGGAGAACACGCCGAAAAATCAATGGCTGCGTAACTAAGATAGCTACAATAGTAACAATACTGGCATTCTTCAAGACCCTCGCCCAAGGAAATGTCACCCATTGTCGTTAATGGTGGTGGTTATGGTTGCACAGAGGCATGCACTTTTATACGGAGTCAGATTATCAATGAGCCAACCAGGATTAGCATTTACTGTCTCAGGAAGTCTCACGGGCCATTCTGCTATAGCGTCATAGCTCCGGGAGCAAAAGTACTTTGCTGTAGGAATACGACTTCCCGCTTCCCCTGATCAGCAGCCATGTGTTGAAATGATGCTTCTCCAGGCACCAGCTTCAGCCACGACCCCGTATACCTGGGTGCTGTCCCCCTCTACAACTTCAGCCACTCACTCATTCCTATTAACGCTGCACTGGATGGTAGCAAGGAACAGTCTGTTCGACGTTGCCCTTCACATTCGTCTTGGCAACTGCTCCAGTGGTATACTGACCGTGTGCGATCGTGATCAAATTAGACCTGCCTTCGGGACCGCTGAGTCGGCGAAGTGATTCGATTCCGACTTCAGATCATAAGACGAACGATGATGAGTCCAATTCAATTCTCTGGCAGCTAGAAGATGGTGATGGAGGGATACACACCATATGATCCACGCGACGAGCTCGTTGCACCGAGACACTCTCTTCAATCTCAGTCGCCTTTCGTTGCCTAGCGCTCGCTCAGACGAATACGTCTCGATAAACCATTCACTCGAGGATCGATGAACAAATTGCGATCACAGGCTAGCCGATGATCTACACAATCTGATGATAAGATCGTGGACACCAGTACTGCAAGAGACTACTGACCCCTTGGATCAGGGTCACGCTCAAGCCATCACCTAGCACGCACTTACATGCTAACTACACCCACTACTGCAGAAACCAGACAGTGGGGTTCACTGCATTGTCCAGTGAGAGCCTTGCAGCATCGGCTCTGGAGTGCAGACTACTCCGTACTCAGCTCACCAACTCAAGCCATATGATCCACGTTTATACCTCGATCGCTATGTCCCATGTCAATCCCTTAAACTTTCGACAATACCCATCGACCCGTCAGTCTTCACATCAAATGTTACCTACCTGCATTCCCTTCCAGTTGACTGATCTCTTCTATTATTATTCCGCCCCAGCGTCAATAGCCGACCCAGCCAATGCGCTAGTGGAGGTCTACCTACATCCACATCTCGCTATCCCACAAATCACCACCACCCCCGATCTACCCCGTCCAATGCAATTGGCCATCACCTGATGTTCCCAGCGGAAGCAAACATCAAACAACAGCCTTCCCCATCCCCCCCCCCCCCCCCTCTCTTCCCCAACGCACTCACTAGGGAAGCAAGCAAACGCAACGCAAGTCATCTCAACCATCCAGACGTCCGATTCGCCCGACTTGTCCTAGGAATGACCTACCTACTTGCCGATAGTCTTTAGGCACAGATACCCGAGGGCCCGGCTGGATCTCAAGACTCTAGATACTGAAGGCACCAGAAGTGGCCGGGGGTTCCTACCCCAGAGAACAAACGACAATTCGACCTCCGATGAACCAATCACCATGTACCGATTCGATTATCGACTGGGGCCGTGAGTCTTCTGTTTCTGTCTGCATCTCGGCTGATCTCTGATCTGATGATCGTGAATGTTCTTTGCCCCTATACTTTGCATCAAGGGAGAGAGGGAGGGAGGGAGAATTAGATAGACGGGGTGTCTTGTATACACGTTACTGGTTAGTGCAGGGTCCATCAAGCGGGTAAAATGGCTATTTTGTCAAGTCCAGTTGGAGAAGGGGTGGGCGGCGCAACATGCATGATATACAGTAGACTAGATTGGTCGAGTCAAATCCGACAATCAATCATGTCTCAGTCCATCGTCCAATAAATTCAACCACCCTTCGAGAACCGACGTCGGCATTGATGCGGCACGTAGGTAGCGATTTTGCCTATGGATTATGACGGCCGGGGCCCCTTGTACCCCCTTCCCTGTCGGCATTAGTATGGGAACGATCTCTTCAACCTCAATCAGCCCCCACGTCTTCCACCGCCCCGAACAACTACCATAGGTACATCCTATAATATCATAGAAGCAATCGATTTTCTCCCCCATAAGGCCCCATACCCATCCACCATCATAACACAGCAAAAACAAAAAGCACCCCATCCCGCAAACCTGTCCAACCATAAAAGTATCAGAAAGCAACACATATACACAGAACGTAACAATCAAAAAGACCCGATATCCCCTCCTCTTCCGACCAAGATATCTCTTTCCCAAAAGGGTATGAAGTAGGTGCACTCAACTGTCGGTATAACAAAGCCCTTCAAACACACACACACACACACACATACACAAAAAGAAAATAGGACAAGGGTACTCCGTACCTTAGTCCCCGATGTGGAACAACTTACATATCAAAAAAGCAAAAAGCAAAAGAGACTCAGCATGGATCACCCCCGAAACCCCGGATACAAGGAATAAGCAGTGGCACCCGGTAGACTCCCCCTCGGATAGGATACGGCGGGGAGGGGGGAGTGAGTTGGTGGGTTGCATGGCTCACCGCCCTCCCTCCTTCTCCTAGGTCTGTTATCCTTCCCTGCTCGCAGGATGAGAGGGTGGAATTTGAACAATCTCGTCATTATACTAATGCAGGATATTGGCATGAGTCAGATTCGGGTGCCGACATGATTTGATTTGAAGGGTGGATGGATATAGATCAGGAAAGGCTGGAGAAGTACGCAGGCGTCGGGGTGTTATCGGTGATCTACCGGTACTGATCAGAAACATGGGTAACGTGGGCAATGCATGAGGCAATTGTGATGAGTGAGGGGGATGTTCCTTGAAAAACATCATTTTGAAGTCGTCTACAGGACCTTGAACATAATGCTGGTGGTGAATGGCGGTGGTGGATGATGGTGGTGGTACAGGGGTGGGAAGAGAGTGGTGTAACCCGAGCTTTCTCATGTGGAGCGGGTTGTTGGTGGGCATTGTCCATCTTATGCTGTGTTGGTTACCTCTTAACGTAGGAGTCTCCCAATCAGGTGTAACCGGAGTCTATAGCATTCGTCCTGGATCACGGACCACAACACGTACGAGAGCTGGGGGGAGGGGACGTTTAGCAGGAGATTGTTCATCATGGAGCAGGAATCGGTCTCAAAAGGGACAAATCGAATGCTTTCTATCGGTATCTATAGTCTTGCCATCTGTTGACGATGCAAGAAGAGTGATGATCGGACATTAGTCCAGATATGAACGCTATCATAATGTCCTTAGTCAATTTGACCGGGCATGGATATGAACTCGAAGGCAGGAAATGCTGAAGCTGGATATCAACAAACAAATACACACAAGAAACAGAAATCAGTTAAGATGGTGGAAAGGCAAAGGCTGTTGTCGTAAAAGGTAATGGAAGATACCCCAAATGCCCTTGAACACTTCAAGTCGATCTTCGGCATTGAAAAGATCATACCATTTGGTTCGTCGTAACTGGAGGACCTGCCATGGCTGATCGCCGTCGGATACCGGAGGGAAGTCGCTGCGACCATGGGTGATCAACTCAAGGTATCGCCGGTGTACACGCAAGTGCAGAATAGCAAGGTGGTGGTTGATGGATGATAGCATGTAGATCTGCATTGCCTGTTTAGTCGCCTGGTCTCGTCCGAGCGGGGTATCAGGTACTTACATCGTCGAACGGACTCTCGATGGGTTTCCCAATTTGGATGTACCTCATCCGCCTGTCCCAGAGGCTGGGACCAGGCTCGACAATCTTCCATTTTGAATTGTTGCTCAGTTTACGGATCAGGCTCGGCCGACGCAACGCGAGAAACGGATGCTCGATTTGATGGCGTTTGCGAGCGTTTCCTAACTCCACGGACGACGGACCATCTTCACCCTCTGCGTAGCTATCGCCAACAGCGTGGTTGGGCGCACCGCCCCACCGCGGCACTGTCGTCCACCACTGACCCTCGCCTGGTCTGACTTCTGTGGCTCCCTGTCGGGCTCGTTCCTGTGCAGTCAGGAGCATGGCACCCACTTCACGAAGCAGATCACACACATCACCGACGCTTTCGCCGGGGGTGTCTTCCGGTCCTCGAAAGGAGGTTTCTGGTCGACACTGAGCCACGAAGACGGGCCCTTCCATGACACCGCTTCGGGCCAGCTGCCGGTCCTTTGGGGATCGGGCGGCCACAAAAGTCTGTCGAACTGGGAATAGAACCGTCTTGGCGGCCAGCTTGGGCGGAGCAATGGGCAGTGCGGCCTGGCATCCGAAGGGCCAGGCAGCCATCTCCGTCAAGGCTCGAATTGTCTCGTCGCGCGCATCTTCTGGCATCTCACTCCCAGCTCCGATACGGCGACCCTTGTACCGAGTCACAATCTTGGGTTTCTCCTCCCCAGATCCCGACTGGCTGTTTGCTGACGCTTGTTCCGGGATGACATCGTCCACGTCCATGCGAATCTCTGGGATATTGGGGGTCTCGGGCACCCGTGTTTCCTCGTCCGTCTGCATGACTTCGTCGTCCTGCGAAGGCGGCGGAGAAGCCGGACGCTCGAAATAATCGTCCAGGCTGGTATCCCAATATTGAGCCATGCGCTCTAATCCCGTCCAAAATTTTCTTGTCTGCGTAACGCGGACTCGATCCCGTCCTTCACGGGGTGGCAGCCTGGCCACTTCTCGGAAAGCGTCATCGTTGTCGAGCAGCAGTTCACTTTGTAGCAATTCAAACCGGTCTCTTGAAGGGTATGGGTTTTCGTTGTCCATCAAGATAGGCGTGCCATCTTCGTCCACTGGGGAGGATCTAGCCGACGTATTTTCCCACGGCAGCGGCGGGGCGGTTCTGGGGCCCGATTGACGGATTATGCGAGCGGCGGGGACATCTGATTCTAGCCTCAGATTCAACGCCTCGAATTTGTGCGGGTTGATGTCTTGCGGCCGTCGGATGGAGGCGAGCACTTCGCCGAGTTTGGCCAAGGGAGTTTCGGACCCATCATCCTTGAGTTCGGGGACGTGGTAGACAGGGAAGTCGAGTTGTGTGGGGGCAGAAGGCGGACAGCGCTCTTTCTCGGGTTCTGCGCTCACAGGGAGGCCTGCATCGCATCATGTCAGCAATGGGAAGATGCAACAGGTGGTGTGCAGCTCGGTCGGTCGGGGCTCAAATCGGGCAAAGAGCCGACCGACGGGGCTTTCAAGGATTCGAAGCCATTGGCGCGAGGCAGAATTGACCCCAAAGACCACTGCGCGACCGAACCAGGGCGGCTCTTCTGAACTCAATTGAACACGAGGCCAGCAGAGCCGCCACTTTGTCGCAAAGTCCATGCCGTAATTGCAGAAACCTGCATTTGGGAGTGGGGGAGGGGGGGGGTGCAATCAAGATAGAAACAGTGGGAGATGTAGGAGAGCAATGATGGAATGAAAGGAATGTCTAAAGAATAGGTAGTGGGAGACGGGCAGCCTTACCCAGCGAACCAGACCACCCGAACATGATGCCGGAGAAGTCGATCGATTACACAGGGGAGAGACGTGCAAGTGTAGAAGAGAGTAGTAGGATCTGGATCTGGATCTGTAAGGTACCGGGCTCGTGTGGACGCCACCCGAAGAGCTCTCTTCGACGGTCGAAAGTAAGGGGATGGGATGAGGGGGTAAAGGAGTTCGAGTCTGCCCAGCACTAGAAGAACGGAGGCGGAGCAATCAATCAATCAATCAATCAATCAGTCAGTCAGTCAGTAACTCATATGGATTGAAAGGAGGGGGGCGGACAGAGGCGGAAGATAAATAGTAAGAAGGGGAAAGGAAGTGGGTAAAATGTGAAGTGGGTTCTAGCGCCAACCAGCGATGGCAAAGGAGTGGTGGAAAGCTGGGATGATTAAGAATGAAGTTAGAAGAAGCCTGTAAGTATTTACAAGTCCAAAGTAGCAGCAGCAGCAGCAGCAGCAGTAGTAGTAGTAACAGGAGAAGTAATGCGTCCGTGAAGAGGCAGCAAAAGGCAGAAAGGATCAACAGCGGATTTTACTCCAAGCATCCAACCATTCGTCGCTACTGAAAAGTCCGTCGTCCCCTTGTCATGCACTCCGAATGCTACTATCGCCTCGAGGGGATGGATCTCCTGATCCTATCACCATCCCATCTATCGCGTGGTCTCTGTCTCTCACCATCTGGTCTACTGTCTATACTCGTAGTAGTTCTCTATGGAAAGAACGAGAATGACAGGATTGACACAATCACGCACCTGCACATTTCATCTTCTGTGTAATGCGGGGAAATCTGGAGTGGCGGACAAGTCCAAGGGGAATCGACAAGCTCATTTGGCAATCATCCTTCGACAGTGCTTCTTTTCCAGATGGGCAGGGGAGGCGGTGGAGGACGGAAGAGAAATTAATGACTGCTCATTAGTCTCATTATTGAGCGAGTTTGGGCTGATCCCTGGGAATGTCACTCGCCCTGCCCTGGGTGCGGGCGAGGAACCACTGTTGCAATGACATCAAAAACACGGAACTTGCCTTTTCATCCCGGATGTATCCCGGCTAATAGCCATTACAACGCTTGGACAATGCGCTTGTATGAATCATAGATCATAGGGATTGCAAAGATTGCAGAGGGTGGCAGAAAGAGTAAGCCAGCCAAAGACACAGATTGTTGTTTACATCCTATTGATTCCATTTCTTTCTTTCTTCCTTCCCCCTCTCTCTCTCCGATTGTTTGAACCACAATAGACTAATTGAGGGGAAAGTCAAAACCTCAGGCAACCGAGAATGGGGCTTTACCCAAGAATGGCTTAGTTGATGTGACTCAGCATGCACCTGATTTTGCCTCTAGTCTAGATAAGGACTAGTGGCATCAGGTTTCACGCCCAATCATAATGGGTAAATCAGGTGGTCTGATGGCTCCACTCCTCCTTCTTCATCTTCATACATCGGTCTATCTGTCTGTCTGTCTCTCTCTCTATCTATATGTCCTTCTCCCCAAAAATCCAAGCGCCCTCCAATCCAACGCTCTTGCTTAAACTTTGGGTGCTGATCCGATACGTGTGAAGGCAATGTCAAAGTCACTCATCATGAGTACTCTTTCCTCCAATCATCTTTCAAGTTAAAAAGATACTCAATTCCCCTCCCCCAATACACCTCCCAACGCGAGGGGGCCAAAGGGCCTGAACCCCTCTCATGTCCTCTCACATCTTCTCATGCACGCAACTGACCATCTCGTTAGAGCTGTCTCTGCTTTCAGGATTGGATCTTCTTCGGTGGCTCTGCTGTTTCATCCAGCTTTTCATCCCCTGCTTCCCCATATCAGCGTCCAATTCTACGCACCCACCCACCCACACATACATACACACATACACACATACACACATACACACAGCCGCCTGGCCCCAGACACACAACCGGTAGATTAGCTTGCCTGCAATCGCATATCCCCCAAGATGACCAGCCGCTCGTGTTTTTCTTTTTCTTTCCTCTCATCCACTTCTCGTGTCAGCTTTTCTCGCCCTCTTCGAGGCTGTGTTCCTTAGCATCTTGGATACATCAATTTCTACGCTTCTTCACGTGTAATCGCATCTCACGGTTTTTTGGCCCTCTGCTTCACCATCCGCATCCTGAAACAATACCGTCCAGCCCGGGCCGTTGCCTCTGACGTTTGCTGTCATGGCCTGCCTGATTCATTCCGGTAGAGAAGAACAATGAGAAGCATCTAGTAACTATGCTCTGATCTGCTGTCATTTCTGCTTTCCGTCGCTCCCTCCATTCGTTTCTAGTCGGTCGTTTCAGCTACCATCGTGCTCTCAGCGCTCCCACTCTTTACGCGCCTGCGGCCTCAAATCCAGGAAGTCTCTCTTTCTCGCAATCATCCCTGGTCGTTCATGCAGTCTATATTCTTCCGTCGTCCACCTTGGATCCAGCCAATCTGTTTTCGCGCCTTTCGGCCTGCGGGCTTGGCGATATGTCCATGCCTACTGCTTCTCTACTTCTTCAGGGATCCAAGTGTACAAAGTTTCCTCGGGAGTCCAGGATCGCCGTGCCCTCGGTGGCTCCTCCAGCTATAACCAGCGTGTCATGGCCGACAGCAGTAACCCGCATTGTCGTCCCCGACACGGACGCTACGTCGCTGGGTGCTAGTGAGACCGCACCGGCAAAGGACTTGGTCACATCCAACGCGTTGTTGCCATCTCCGATTGAACCTTCTGCACACACCGCAGCAACGTGGCTGTCGCAGGCCCCAGCCGTCATTGCTACGGATACACTTCCCACCACCATTATAACTACCACGACAGCAGATACTCTTAGCGCCTCTACCACCTCATTCCTCTACAGTGTCCATCATGAACACATCCCACTGTCCTCGCAGACTGACAACCAAACCCCGACGCTCAGCTCTAGTCAAGCCGTACAGCCATCATCGACAGAGGACTCCGAATATTTGTTTGGTGCAGCGGGTCTCGTCACATCAGCGACTCAGCCGTCTCTCGCAATCAGGACGACATCGACGGCCATACCAACGGCGACGGAAGCGATCCCAGGCGATCAGACTTCTGCGCCAAATCCCATAGATCAATCCCACAGCTCTAGCTCCAACGCATCCTTGCGTATCATCCTCGCCAGTGCTATAGGCGGAGTTGCCTTTGTTGCGCTCGCCTTAGCCGTAGGCTATTACTTCATGCGCTCCAAGCGACGCAGCGCCCGAGGCTCTACAAGCCCCAGCACAGGCGAAGAAAACTTTCCAGCAACAGCGGAAAAGATTCCGACTTTGATTCTCCCCGGCGGTGCTGCTCGTTCGGGTTACCAATCCCGACGGTCCTTCCTTTCCGACGCCGCCTCATCTGTCTGCTCCCTTCCCATTCACATGGCCACCGTCCCCGTGTCCAAACCAGAATATACCTACCACGATCCCCGCTCATCCGCCATCCCTCGTGCTGCAAATACCAATCCATTCCTCGATCTCACCGAACGCACATACAAATCCACTTCATCCCGTGGATCAACTAACCAAAGCGACCACACGATGCGCAACCCCTTCGCTGACCCCAGTTCCAGTCCTGGGATCGCATCACCATCCACCACCATAACGACAAACCTGCGCCAGTCACAGATGTCCCAACGGCAACGCCCCGTGTCTATCGCCTGGGGGGGCTCGATCTACAGCAACGGCAGCGTCAGTCTAGGCAGTACGCTCATCCTCCCCAACGGCCGCAGCAGCTCCGGAAGCAGCCTTGTCAACCGACTCAGCTACCCGTTCACCGTCAACGAGCTCTCGGACGCTGGGGGCGGCGAGGGCTACTATGACCCGGGCGCGCGGGTCAGCACGCGTAGCGACCCATTCGACCTGGAGTACCCGGCCAAGGCGGCGATCGTGCATCGCCGCAGTTCGACGATTATTCCGGTGGCGCAGATGTAGCACTGATCCCAGTTATTGGGTTCCGATATGATTATATATGTGATATGATATGACCTGACTGACCCGCTTGTGTAATGGTATGTTTAATGTTAACATGGTTGGTGCCATAGTCGCTCGCAGGAGATGCGCCGTCTAGAATAATGATGATTTCCAGCTTGTGCACGTGTTTGTTGTTAATTAGTCCTTGATGGTTACGCCCGCGCGGGGGGGGGGAGTTGCAATGGGCTGGTTCTGGGGCGTCATTTGTTTTTGTACGATAACCTCTGCGCGTCAGGTTGATTTCCTGCCATCTATGAACTCTTTTGTGCCGCCGTCGAAATGATATTGGAGACTGCCCCTAATACAGTACACGGTTTAGAAGAGACATGATCAGGGGGTACCATGACCCTCCTAATACATTCATCTAGTACTACTACTCGTAGAAACTTTTGTAGAAAGGGCGTTAATCACCACCTACTGATGCACCACGCCAGCTCCACCAAACTATATATCTCCAACCCACCGACCCCTCCACAGCACAAAATGCAACACCCCCACACAATGAATGAGCCCACCGTACAGAGGAATGAGCGCTGAATGACATGAGGGGTTAAATTCCAGCCCTACTAAGCCGGTTTTAACGTGGGAGTTCTCCCCAAAATGATGAGAAAAGACTTATGTAATGTTTGTTCCTCCTATGACTTCATTGATTCTCATTTAGTGGTTAAGCGTAGTACCACCCCAAAAAATAAAAACCACTATTTCTAGGAGCAGCCATCCCCTCACAAAGGGGTACTACGTCCAAGTTCACGTCACTGCTTACTTTATGAAAAGCGAAACGTGGACATCGGTAGACTGGAACTAGGCAGACGTCTTGGAAAAAGTACTGTAGTAACAGAAGGATGGGGATTGATTTTACCCCCGGGAACTCTTAATATGATCTCCCATTCTGGGCACAGACAGATTTGTCACGAATCCATCAAGTGGGGCCTACAACAAACAGACAGTTCAACGATAAGATTACCCTTACGACCGATTGACCTGATTAGAAACCCCTCAAGCGTGTCATTCAGCAAACGTTACGACATTAAACAAGGACGATGCGGGGGAAGTCGAGCGGGAGAAAGCACAAAAGGGAAACCGGTCGGACGTGGAGGGCTAGACCGGGCCTTGAGAAAGGGGGGAGAAGGAGAAATTTAGGAGGGTTGTAGAGAGAAGACAAGACACGATGACAAAGAGATAAGAAAAACAAGAACATCCGGGGTAAAAATGGCTCTGCTTTGCTTGTCTGAGACACGACGGAAAAGAAAGAGAAGAGAATGGATAGACCGTGTGTAGGAAGAAAGTAGAATGAACAACGTTCGGATATTCGTAACACACACAAAGCGCCATGCCATTGTTTTGACTTTAATGAAAAAGTTGGTCTTTTCTCTTTTTTTTTTTTCTTGTCTTGTTCGGATCACATACTCATTGCGCTTCACCCCGTAGTGTCAACGGGCGAAAGGATAAAGCATAAGAAGTGATGTATGTCATTCCTCCGTGTTCCCGACGAACCCAGTGTGCCGGGTTGCCTCCCGATACGATTGAAACAGAAGCCATTTTGTCCCGGATGCAACTTTTTTTTTTCTTGCTCTCAAAGCCAACGAGCCAGACCTGCAACGAAAAGACGGGGAAGTGTGTAGTTTTGGTCGACCTGATTTATATTCCACTGGCTGATCGATTAACCCATTATTCCCCGCTTTCAACCTCCGCACCGCCAAAGTTCGTCAAACAGAAGAAATTTACTCCTGGGCCTCAGCGACGAGAGCGTTCTGCTTGGCCTCCTTGCGCTCCAAGCGGCGCTCACGGAGAGCCTTGTTCTTGGCACGCTTAGCGTCCATCTCCTCCTTGAGGACACGCTCACGGTGTCTCTCAGCCTTAGCCTTCTGGATCTGTAGTGGGTGAAAAAGACCAAGTTAGTTTCCAAGCTTCTGTGATTCCGAGAATTCCAATGAGCCAGCTCAGGTTTGCATGTATTTCCAAGCGTGACAAGGGCTTATTCGAAAACAAGGTGGTTGGTGCAGCCAAAGCAGACAGGAGTCAACTTACGTGCTCGATGAGGGCACGCTTGTGCTTGAAGGTGTTACCCTTGCTCAGGTGGTAGAGCTCGTGGTAGAGGTGCTTGTCGATCTTGCCGGAGGCACGGTAGCGGACGAGCAGGCGACGGAGAACACGCATGCGGCGCATCCAGAGAATCTGGCTGTAGTTGAGAAAAAACCGCATGTCAGTAAATACCGCTCCCAGGCTGATGTCCATTCCAACTTCGCTATCCGATCGCATCACAGGTGCAAGACCGATCCTTCTGTTTCAGAGACGAGAGTGATATGTGCATACCTGGGCATACGAGCCTCCTTGGTACCCTTGCGCTTACCCAGACCACGGTGTCTGCCGATTCTGCGGGCGGCGGCGAGCTCACGGGCGCGGGCGCGGGAGTGCATGGTGACGGGCTTGCGGATGATGAGGCCATCGCTGACGAGCTTGCGGATGGTCTGGCGGGAGTTGGCGTTGGAGATCTCATTCATCTCATTGGGGTCGAGCCAAATCTTGCGCTTGCCGCAGCCGACCACGGAGGCCGCGAGGCGCTTCTGGGTGCGAAGGTTGACCCTATGGTGTATTAAAAAAGCAGTCGGTCAGCATGAGGTCCAAACCGATCCGGGCAAATTCTTGCTTCGACGAGTAGGAGGAATCAAGAGCCCTTCGATGGGCTATCCGGGGCGGGTGCATGGTGGAAAAAAAAAGTAGTCCATCGAAGGGCCGTAACTCTCCTCTCGAACAACAAGAGCAGAAATCGATGATGGAACTCACATCTTGATGTCGGCGTATCGACGGTCGTTGGCGGATGATGTTCGTTGCACTCGACGACGGGTAGAATTCCCAGGTGAGGAGTTTGAGATACGCCCACTGATTAGCTAAGCCACTGTGCCTCTAAGCGAGAGAATCCACCCTAGGGCTTGTGCCCCAGCCGCTTGTCCCGATCTGGGGTCTACCGTTAGAGCCTCAATCTTTCTCCTCGCATGCGAGCTCGCTCTTCCGGGGATATTGACAGGATATTTCAAGGAAGCGCTCCTCTTCCCAGCCCCGGATTCACCACAAATGGTGCGATTCTGCTGCACCTCATTCGCTGGGTTGACATTTCGGATGGTGGTTTATAGTTGGAATTCCCGCCGACCGCTAAGCACGTGACTGATAAGGAGCTGACGTTATCGACGGCCCAGAAGGCCAAGTACGACAGGTGGATCCAACTCCTGATAAAGAGTACTAGGTAGTAGTAGTAAGTACGTACGTTGGTACTCGAGAGACTGTAGATAATCATAATATGCACTAATTACAACATCCACATAACCTTTCTTTTTTTTTCTTCTCTTCGGTAACTTACCTAGTCTTCATAATCATCATCAGAAATACCCTCACAATTGGAAAAGGATATGAATCTAATTCATGCCGCTTGTAGACCAAATCTATTCCCGCTTCCTACGATCACTCATCCCCAAAGGCCCCTTCCCCAAGGTCGACCTTGCCAATGCTCCACAATTCCTTCTCGTCATCAACCTCATCATTGGACAGGCCGAGGCCACCCTGTCCACCTTCCGCCTCCTTTCTTTCCCTAGCCTGACTTGCCAGACGCAAGGCAACGCGCTTGAAGTAGTCCGACATGCTCCGCTTGGGGCCCGGCGGAAGCTCAGCCCCCGGTCCAGCCATGTACTTCTCGAACACGGCGCCTTCAGACTCCACCACAGAGAAAATCGCAAGGAAGGCAGCCTCCGCCGCCAACTTCACCGGAATGACCATGTCGCGCACACTAGCGAAGATCGGGGGCGCAAGAAGAGCCAGATGCGGCCGTGTCAACTCCGGATGAAGTCGGCTAACGGTCCGCATGACAACTAACGCCAATCTCCGGGTGTCCGAGGGCGCGCCGGGCTGGATGCAAGGCGCCAGGGCTTCGAAGATAACTTTGTTGACTTCAAAGTTGCGATGCTCGTCCTCAATCAACAGATACTTGCCCGCAGCCAAGACGCTGTTGTCGGAAATGAAAGGCTGTCGACGGTTAGATCTACCTTCTGTCCTTAAGATCCGGAAAACACTTACATCCTTGTTGGTAACACCCTGGCAGATGACTGCTTGTGTCTCGGTAGCAAAGTGTTCGGTCAAAGATGACGGTGCCTCAACAAGCAAAGCGTTAAGTCCCAGAATCGAAGAGTGGGAGAGGTTTGCGGTCAGGACTCGGTTCTTGATGAGTGGGCCTGCAGTAGCGGGTGGAAGCACCTTGACCAAAGCACCGAGCAACTTGGCATTGGTGATAGCCACGGCGTCAGTCTGATCGCTGGCATCGTCGTCGATGAGGGCAAGAATAGCGTTCTTCGAAGCCTCGCTCATGTTGGCACCGGCCTTGCCGACAACTTCTTGAAGAGCCTTCATCATTGCATTTCTAACCCCAATGTCGGGTGTCTTTGTGCCAGTAATGAGCTCTGCAATCAGAGGGTCGACCCTAGGTGTCAAAGTAATCAAGATTCCAAGACCCTTGGCAGCCCTGTTGCGCAGAGTCTCGCTGGTGGAATCGGCCAGACCACGGGCAAACGTTCGCTGAAGCTGGGGCAGGAATGGCTTAACAGCCAACGGGATCTTTTCCAGTAGTTTGTTAAGTGTAAAGAAGATAGCACCTGGATTTCATCGTTAGTACATATAAGCAAGGCTGCGGAATCGCATGGATGAGAGAAGAGGCTTACATTTGATGTCCACCGACCGCTCAGACACAACACGGATAAGGGGACCCGTGATCTGGGTGACAAACAGCTTCAAAGAATCTGCACCCGTGCGATCAATGATATCACTGATGGCAAGAGCGGCTTGCGTACGCTGCTCAACACTTCCATTGAGAAGACCCTGCAAGAAGATCGGCAGAATAGCAGTGATACCCTTAGGGAGGCTGAAGCCTGGAAGATTGGCGCCAGGAACACCCACACCACGCAACACCTGGCGTGTAGGGATGGTAAGTACCTCCATCTCTTCTTTACGCAGATGAGACGTGAGTTCACTCTGCGCCGCCCATGCGGCCTTCACAACACTCTTGTCCCTGTCGTCGAAAGAGACGAGCAGGACGCGGATCAGATCTTGATGGTATCTGGAGTAATCCATCTCGGCATTGGCAAAGAAGTTCTTAAGGTGAAGTGCCGCGTTAGTACGACGAACGTGATCGTCGTGCTTCATTAGAGTCATCATGGCATTCACCATCACATTGAGGCCGTCATATTCATCAACAGATACCAAGATTGTATCAAAAGCGCTGCTCAACTCCTGTCGGAGTTCCTCGTCAGTCGTTGATACAATATTGTCCATCAGGGAGTTGAGGATCGTAGGCAGTCTGCGTGTCATAGCGCTGCTTGCCACTTCGGCCAGGGAGGCGAGAGCCCGGGCATTGAATGCTGAGATAGGAGAAGTGAGAAGAGTAGGGATGAGGTTCGGTAGGATTATGTTGGCCCGTGTCTGCTCGGTGAGAAGCGTCAAGAGTGCCGACAGCGCTTGCTCTGCCTCTTCGTTGTTTCTCAGGAGGAGCAGGAGATGAGGAAGAACCTGGTCGACAGCCTTCTTGCCCAAGATCTGTTGCAAAGCGTCGAACGCTTCGGCTGCAGCCTCGCGAACATCTTCATCGTGATCGACCAGAGCCACCCGAACGGTTGAGATAAGGATCTTCTCGTAATCTTCGAGGGCCTCAGGGGAAGCAGAGGCGATAAGCTCTCTCAAAGCAATGCAAATACCCTGTCTGACATCCACGTCAGGAGATGACTGAAGACCTTCCTCGAGCGTAGGAAGCAGAGTCGCGAGAACAGACTCTCCTGCCTTCTTGATGAGGTCTCCCAGAGCGTTACTAGCAATGACCTTGTGCTCCATGTTAGAAGAGCCAAGGCGGCGGATGATGAGTTGAGATAGAGTTGGCACCATGTCCTTGAGGGTCTTGGGGGAGGCGACAAGCGACTTCCAGACACCCATCGCAGCACTCTTGACAAGCCCTGATGTATCGCAGCGACAGATGAAGAGCGCAGACAAGACCTTGTTCCTCCTCTCCTCTCCAAGGACTTCGAGAAGCGACTGTCCAGCTTGAGCGGCTTCCTCCGCTTCCTCTTCCGCATCTGTCCTGGCCGTGATACCAGTGATACTGAAGAGAAGATCACCAACAAGCTCAACGGAACTCAATCTGATGCGGTAGCTATCGTCTGCGAGACCCCGCTCAAGCTCTGGCAGAAGCAGGTCGATGGCCTTGGAAGAGAAATTCTTGACCAGCAGGCGACCGGCCTTGAGGGACGTCTCACGGATAGATTCGACGTCATCAGCCAAACCCGAAAGAATTGGGGGAATGATCTTGCTCAGATAGGAAGCGAAGCTATTTCCGAAGCAAGCGGGCAGGAAGATGAAGAGAGTCATGAAGCCTTCGCGAACAGATGGCTTCGAGCTGCTGACATTCTGCAAAATGGTAGGCAGCGTCTCCTCGAGTCTGGTTGTACCCAATCCAGCCAGAACCTCCGAAAGAGCCTGCGCGGATCCCAATCTGTCACCAGCACCGGTATCTGATTTGAGTGTAGTCATGAGGTTGGGGATGAGATCGGGAAGAGCATCTTCTCCAAGCTTCTCGATAAGTGAACCCAGGGCTTTGGAGGCAGTAGCGCGGGTGGTGGGCACAGGATCAACGATAGCCAACTGAAGACCAGAGACAATGATTGGAAGGTGCGAAATAAGATCTTTGCGCTCCGTGAGATGAGCCAAGCTGCCAATAATCTGCGCAGATTTGCGTTTCGTGTTCGACCTGTCACCGAGACCGCGCTCGAGGATACGAACGACGAGAGCCAAGGATGGTGCATCAAGATAGTGGACGAAGGAGACCTTGATAAGTGAATCGAGAGCCTCGTCAGTGTATTTAGTGGGGTCGCTCAGCGCCTTGAGGAGTACGTTGACAAGGCTCTTAACTTCAGGGTTACTGATGACTTCACCGAAGCGCTGCAAACTGCGGTTGGCGGCATTGCGCACCTCCTTGTGCGTGTCGTTCAAGACCACTGTCAGCGGAGGGATAATGTCGGGCAAGCTAGCCGCTAACTGCTGGGGATCCAGGTAAGCCATTGCTCCTAGAAGATCGCAGGCCCCCTTTTGACTGCGCCATTGTGTGTCATCAAGACCGTCAAGGAGGGTGGGAAGAATCTGCTTGACACCGTACGAGCTGAGATTTGAGAAGCAGGCCTTTGCTGCATCGAGGCAGGCATCACGGACATCTGCATTCACATCTCCAAAACTGGCGAGGAGTTGCGGGACAATCCGAATAACATATGGTTCGAAAGTCCGACCAAGAATGGTCGCAAACAATTCATATGCCAACAGAGCACCCTGTCTCTGATGCGGCTCCTTTCTGTTCTCTGAAGCATCCTGAAGATGAGCCATAACCTGGAATTCTCGCAGAGTGGAGATACCTCTACCGCTGACGATACCAGCAAGGCCATAGGCTGCACCACGTTGCGTAGCATACTTCTTGGACTGTAGGAGTTGATCCAGCATCTCCTTGACATACTGTCCGCTTTGTTGAGGGCCACAGAGTCGGATGAGAGGTGGCAAACATCCGGAGACTGCAGACTGTACGCTTTCCGAAGGCGTAGGAAGAGTGCCCAGGAGTTTCTTGAGGACCGTCTGCAGACGAGGATCGTCGGCCTTGAGATGCTGGGCCAAGGATCCGTACAGAACGACCACTGCCTCATTGAGCAGGTCGGAAGTCTCACTTCCTTTGTCAGATGTTTCCAACGTAGTTTCCAAAAGTTGCATCAACTCCTCCACCGCCTGCTGGCCACGTGCGCCGATGACGGACCGACCACTCTCCGCCATCTGGGATCTCACCACAGAGCTCTTGTCGATCAATGGGCCTCTTTCAATCAGGAAGCGAAGGAACTCAACAACCTGCTTGCCTTCAAACAGATTGGTCATGGCACCAAATGCAAGAGCAATACCACTACGGAACTCCCAATGGTCGGTCATGTCCATCTTCTTGGGCATTCCGTAACTGTCCTTCTCGGGAACTTTAGGCTGGATCTCGACTGCATACTTGGACTGAAGCTCCGAGACGATTTCACCGAAGATAGGTGGGTTTGACTCAATAGCATGGGCCAAGGCACGAGCCGCAGCGCCGCGAAGATGCGAATCCTTGGAGGCGAGATAGGGAATAATCTTTCCATACGAGGAGTCATCGACCTCGAGCGCATTTTCTTCCCAAATAGTCTCAGCGATTTCTGCGTTTTCCTCCACGTGATCATGACATTCGAGCCAGATGTGCTCGGAGAAGTCGAGGTCGATCAAGTCAATCTCAGATTCGATAACCTGTAAGACAGATGTACGAACGGACACCTCAGAAACAATGGTGCCCTTCAACAAAACATCCAGTTCGTCCTTGGAGATATTGGGCGAGATCGAACGACAGAAATCGAAAAGAGTGTCCTTAATGAGCTTATAGTGTTGAGTATACCTTTGCATTGAGGAGAGCAAGTGGTTCAGGACCTCAACTCGAGGAAGGCGCTCGTCGGCAACTGTACATGTTGATTTAGTTTTCTGGAAAAAGGATTGAAGTCGGACTGTGGAACTCACAGGAGCTTGAATGGAAGGATAAGACTTCGATGGCAAGGAGTACTTGTTCGCCCTCCTCTTCTCCTTTCTGTTCCTCAATTCCATTTCGACTGAGGATCAAGAAGAGCAAGGGAAGGACGTATGCCAGCGACGAGATATCAAGAGGACGTTGCTCAGATGCAAAGCGCAAGCGATAAAGAATCCTGGTCACGAGTTCTGCAGACGTGTTAGTGGAACTGTATCCGAGTCGATTGGTGATCTTCACTGTACTTACGTCCGAGCGACTCCGCTTCCATTTCGGGTGGCAGATGGCTTTGGCCAATCGCGCGAAGGGTTGCGACACCCACGAAGGGCCGCAACGGACCTAGGCGTGAGGAGAGCTTCTCTGAGCACTTGATATAGGCTTTGGAGACTACATCACCAGCGAACAAGCCTGCACCAGCTTCTGCCAGTGCGAGCAAGGCGCTCACAGCAGGGTTGATCCAACCGTCTGCATCGATCGCCGGGCCACTAGCAAGGCCTTGAATAATTCCAGTTCCCCTTTCGACCTTCTTGATCTCCTCAAGGACCTCTTCGCGGATTTTGGACTCCTTGGCAAGCTGAGCTTTGACCTTGGCCTGCTCATCAGCAGTAAGCTTCTTCGGCTTTTGGCCCTTCTTTTCCGCCAACTGCACCCGTAGTTCTTCCTCCCACTTGAGAATGTTATAGTCTTTGTTGTTCTTGTCAAAAGTAGGCTTTGACTTGGTGCTAAGAACATCAACGAACATGGTTCCCTCAGGAGTACGTGCAATGGCGACATCGGTTGGTGTGAACTTTGAAACACGAGATACATCCAAGTCCTCCTGAATCTGAGTGACGAGACGAGGTACCATAGCATCGGGAGCCACAAAGGCCAGTTCACCAGCTGCGCTCCAGATAGCGGCGTTCAGTTGAGGAATCTTGGATTGAACAGGGTCCTACCATCTAGTTAGTAAGCAATTCCAAGAAGGTAAGGGTATTAATACCTCCTGCACGCGAGTCAGTTGCTTCAAGCAGTGGTCTGCGAACTCGCGCACCAAATCACCCGGATCAGTGCCGGTTCTAAGACACAGAGAAATCCAGGGCGCATTCGGAATCAACTCAGGCCGAGCAAGGAGAAGCAATTCAACAAGCTGACTCTTCAGGTCGGCTGTGATGTTTCCCACTGCCTGCAAGGTAGAAGAGGACGGGCAAATGGCCTTCACCACGAGATGCAGATGTCTTTCGCTTTCAGGACCCGCGGAGATTGGTGCAGATTCCTTTTCGCCTGTTCTGAATGCAAGAATCCAAGCCCATAATCCGTTGATAATGATCCGGCCGACGCTGGCCACATTCTCCAAGTAAGCTTGGGTCAATGCACGAGCAGATTCGTCACGGAAGCTAGTGTGAAGTCCAGGTGCAGTGACGCTGTAGATGAAAGCCTGAGCCCACGCAGTCTTGGCTGTATCTTCGGCGCCTTCGAACTTAGAGCTTGTGGTGACTGCAGCAAGTGCCCTTACCGCCCACTGAATTTCAGCCTGAGAGGCCAGCTTGGAGTATGCCCTGGGGTTGAGCAAGAATGATGGCTTTGGGTTGAGCACCATCGCTTGCGCTACAGTATCGTCCCATGCGGCCTTATCGAAGCTTGCAAGGGGAGCCGAGCGCTCCAGAAGGGCAAGGTAGATATGAGCTGTAGACAAAGATCCACCCTGAGCAGAAGGCAACGGGTTGGAGAAGACCTCAGTATATAGTTCTTTCATTTTAGCCAGGTACTTGTTAACAAGGGGCTCAATCTCGGCACTCGCCAAGGTCGAAGCTTCGACCTCCCAAAAAACTTGACTGACATTGAGCTGCCAAAGCTTCTTGAAGGGTACCCGCTTATCGGAGGACCCTTTGACGATAGCGTTGATGACATCGTCGTTGACTTTTACTTTGGAGTGAAGAAGGAATGTCAGATGCTTGCAAAACGATTTAATCTCCTCCTCCAAGGCGGCTTCATTGGATTCACGCGAGAATACCGGAACGAGACCCTGGACCACTTCTTTCGCGATATCGACAGAAGGAAGGATAGCTGCAATGGCTTGAGCGTACACAGCACGTTGTTCGGGATTGGTAATTTTCTGGGTCTTCAAAGGACCAACAACTTCGCTTGTAAACTTGAGCAGAAGGCTGTCGCTCTTAGACTTCGATAGTAACGCCTCGAAGGAGCGAACGGCGCCTTGTCTGATTGCTGGGTTGGCTGACTTCATACTCGACAGCAAGTGCTTCAAGAGTCGAGCATGAAGAAGCTCCGCAAGATCGAAATCCGCTGGTAGCGAGGAGCAGAGGGATGGGAGCAAGCCGCTGAAAACCACCTCAGGTGATCGCAACATGGCCTTCTCAAACGGCGGTATCAACTCGGAGGCAACGTCTTCGTAGGTAACAAATGCGACAAAGAAGTCACCCAAGGCATCGGCGATATGAGAGGGCGGAGCAGACTTGGCTCCGACCAGTTCCTTGATGTAGTAGGCGATAATGGCTTTCTTTTGCTCCTCTAGGATTGGCTTCTTAGTCGGGAGTCGAGCGCAGACTCCGGAGATGACGCCAAGGAATGGTGCGTTTTTCTGTCCGGTGGCAGCGTCGCTGGTCAACCGCTGAACAGCCTGACGGATTACGTCTTCACCCCAGGTAGCGGAAGAGAAGACAGCACGTAGCGCACGTCTGGTGACTCGAAAAGCGGATATCTTCACAGCCTGCTTGGGACCAGCGGCGGCCAGGCAGGTATCCAGAGCTTTGGCATCGACGGCGATCGTGTCCAGAGCGGCAGACAGCGGCGCCTCGGGGTCTTCAGCCAAAATCTGTAGCACAATTGAGCACCATTCTACCAGGACCAAAGCGGGACCGGGAGCCAGTGCAGGTTTCGCGGCTTCAATCTGCAATTTCTGGATGAAGTATTTCAGATCATCGGTCGGCACCGGAGCCTTGAGCAGCTCTCGAAGGCATTGTTGAACGGCTTGACGAGAGGGACGATCGACATAACGAGGATAAGTCTTGAACAGAAGGCCAATGACAGGCTGGCGCGCTTGAGATGGTAAGTTGGAAGCTAGTTGAAGCCAAAGTCCACAGTTAGTATCTCAACAACTCGGCGAGAGGGGCAGCTGGGCTGGGCTGGCTGGGCTGGCCTTGCCGGGGAGGGAACACTGACCAATTCTATCGCGGAGCTCCTGGAGAGCACGGATTCTGCGAGCAGTCGAACTCGAGAAGAGAACGACCTGCAGACTCTCCAGGTTGCCGGAATCCACCTGTTCCCATGGGAAGTCGTCCATATTATGTGGTGGACTGAAGCATGCCGGCGTGACAAGACAATGGGCAGACACACGCAGACGAATGGGGCCGATGATGTTGTCATAAAAGTTTTGCGGCCGTTGTGGGGAGGGGGACTAAGACTCAAGTCTCAAGTATCTCCGCCCGCCGCCGCCTTGCCCTTTTCCTACTCTCCGATCTCTGGTGGTGCGCGCTCATTTTCTTCCCCTCAAACGCACAACTTGGATGGCTATGACGATATCTCTTTATCCTACCTTTCGGTCTCGACTTACAATCCAGAACATGTGCTTGGACTGATCCTGAGACCAGATTTGTGAACAACAGCCGAACTACAGAACCAAGTCGCTAAACCGAACCGACCTTCCCTTTCCCTCTCTCCCCTCCGTTCCCCTCACCAGCACCTACCCACAACCATGCCGCCCAACAATAGAAAGAAGAAGAAGGCTGCCTCTAATCCGGCTCGAGGATTCGCAACTGTCTCAGTACCCTCTAAGCCAAAGTCCACCGAACCATCGTTACCTGCCTCGACCGCGGACTCCAAAAACGTATCAGAAAGCGACCGTCCGACTCCCGCCGAAGACCAGCAACCGGTCATCAACAGCAATAAGGACAAGGCTTCTTCACTACAGAACTACACCCCCGAAGAGCTCGAGAAACACTTGGAGGAAGCTGAGCTACAGCTTCTCGTGGAAAAATATGCTTCAAAATGCAGGAACGATGCAGCTCGACAGGTCACCAAGCTGGATACCGAGCGGAGAGTGCTACGGCAACAATCCGTGTCGATTAATCTCTTGGAATGGCTCCCCTCCGACGTTCTGAATAGTATATTGAGTCTGGCTGAGACTGAGGAACGCGAGCTCAGCCCCGTGTCGAGCCGGGACTCCAACTCGAAGAAGCCTATTTCGGAAGAAGAGTTGTATATGAGACTGTGGACGCTCAAGGAGACCCTGGCTAAACTCGGCTTTCCCGTTGAGAAAGTAGATGAAGCCCTAAAGCATCTTCTACTGTATTTCCCCGGTAATTTCGCGTCAACCAACAAAGAGGTGGTCTGCAACCTGGACGAGGCCCTAGATTGGCTGGCCTTGCATTGCGAGCCCAAGGAACTGCCCTCTTATACGCAGACTAATACCCAACCTCGAAGCGAGATGGATAAAAAAATTTCTTGGATCACTGGTAATCTTAGATGCTTGGTATCGCGTAAAGATTGGATGGCTAACTGGCACCAGATCGTGAGCCATCACAAGCTTCTTCCCCAGCACAGACCCCCAATGATAGTCAAGTGCAAAAGCCTAAGAGCGTTGTAAAGGAACCGAACCCTCCGCAGTCGTATTCCTATGATTCTGACAGCTCCCTCGATCCTGACACCCTGACCCCGAAGTATTTGGAGCTGCAAACCCGACTGTACGAGCTGCGGCCGGAACTCTTTGACCAACCTAAAAAAGGCAAGAAGGGGAGCCGTAAGCCTACCGAGGCTGCTAGCCAAGATCCGCAGGCGGCGAAACTACAACGCAAGATTGCTAGTATTGAAAACGACGTACTCTTTGACCGGCATGAGGCCGAGTACAAATGGAGAGAGAAGCTCGACGACCTGAAAAAGGAAGCAGCTTTCGTTCGCCGTACACAACCAGAAGAGAAACCCCCGACCGAGGACCATCCCGATAAAGAGCCATCGGAGGAAAAGATGACGGGATCAAATGATGACGCAGCACCATTAGACAATGCTGGAGAGGACGCAGACCTGTTAGGGGACATGTTCGGATCTGAAGAGCCTACGCTGGAACTGGGCGTGATTACCGAAGAATTGAACAAGGCTTCTATCAAAGTACGTGACTTTGGGAAATGGTCTGGACTTAGTCCTCGACGAGTATTGGAGGAAACCTGCAAGGCAAGGTTTGTTAAGCATTTCTTTGTGGTTCTTGGTATTAGGCAGGCTGGCTTACGATGTCTTTTAGGGACTCCGGATGCAAAGTAACGTACAAAGACTGTTCATCCTCATCGCATTCGAACCGGAATGCGGTTGAGGTAAGGTGGTCAAAGCCTCAAGAGATCCCATTTCCATTCCAATGGGAACTCACTACGCACAACTCGAATTCATATGCTACGTTTGTCTCGATGGACAATGTGGCAACACCCACATCTCAGCAAGCTGAAGCATTTGTCTCGACCCTGGCTCTTTTCGTTCTGTTTCCTCAGACTTCTAAAGAAGGCAAAGCCTATTTGCGCCTTCCAGCTGTTTGGAGAGATCTTTGGACAGAATTTGCCAATGCTAAGAAATCGCAAGAAGATGAAGCCGATAAGAGAATAGTGAAGGGTCTGAAAATGTTACTTGAGGAAAATCACGGCACATTTGAAGATGACGTTGTCCTGTCAGACAATTTTCGGCGCAGAAACGGAACTTCCAGCAAGCCAGAGTCTCCAGTCCGCGGAGTTAACGCCAAGGATGGCTCAGAGCCAGATGCAGAGCTGATGAGGATTTGGACTGAGAAATCTACTACCCCATCATTCCAGTACATGCTCCAAGGAAGGATGAACCTACCCATCTGGAACTTTCGAGATGAGATTCTGGACACTCTAGAGACACATCGTGCACTTATCATTTGCAGTGAGACGGGAAGTGGTAAGAGTACACAGATTCCATCGTTTATTCTGGAACATGAGATGCAGCAAGGCCGTCCTTGCAAGATTTACGTCACAGAACCGCGAAGGATCTCCGCAATATCACTTGCTCGACGTGTCAGTGAAGAGCTTGGCGAGAATAAGAACGACGTTGGGACAGCTCGCTCCCTAATTGGCTTTGCTGTCAGGCTGGAAAGCAAAGTTAGCCATTCCACCAGGCTTGTGTTTGCGTATGTTGTTGTATCTTTGAACTGCTTAAAGTATCAGACTGACTTATGATAGAACCACGGGAGTCGTGGTGCGTATGCTGGAACGACCGGACGATTTTCGAGATATTACACATGTCGTTCTTGACGAGGTTCATGAGCGTTCTATCGACAGTGACTTCCTTCTCATTGTTCTCCGGCGGTTGATGCAGAGAAGACCCGATCTAAAGCTGATTCTCATGTCGGCTACCCTCGAAGCACAGCGCTTCTCGACTTATCTGGGCGGGGTTCCTGTGCTAAATATCCCTGGGCGGACATTCCCCGTCGAGATGAAATTCCTAGAGGATGCCGTTGAGATGACCAACTACCGTCTGCTGGAGAATGAATCGAATGGTGTTTTGGATGAAGACTCAGATGAATTGGCGTCTGAGATGGCCCAGGGCGAGGCGGCGGGCGGCGGCCTTCTGTCGACGCTTGACGGGTATTCGAAGCAGACCCGCGAGACTATTCTGAATTTCGACGAATATCGGCTCGATTATCAACTGATCAAGCGGCTAGTCGCCAAAATCGCCACATCACCCGATATGGCCCATTACAGTAAAGCTATTCTCATCTTTATGCCTGGGATGGCTGAGATTCGCCGTCTTAACGATGAGATTCTATCCGATCCGACCTTCCAACAGGGATGGATCGTGCATGCCCTGCACTCGTCCATTGCTAGTGAAGACCAGGAGAAAGCTTTCGTCGTACCTCCAGAGGGCATGAGAAAGATTGTGATTGCTACCAACATAGCTGAGACAGGTGAGAGCATGAATTACTAGGTCTTGAGATACGAGCTTTGCTAATTGCCGTCAGGTATCACAATTCCGGATATCACTGCTGTGATCGATGCAGGCAAGGAAAAGACCATGCGGTTAGTATCAGGTCCGCTTTTCATATTCTGACCTCTTTCTGACAAAACATAGGTTCGACGAGCGACGACAACTTTCACGCCTTGTTGAGGCCTTCATCTCACGAGCTAATGCGAAGCAACGTCGAGGACGAGCTGGACGAGTACAAAACGGAATCTGCTTCCATATGTTCACAAAATATCGCCATGACAAAGTGGTATGTGTTTTGTGAATAGCCCACGTAGCGTAATACGCTAACGCGTCGATTTCAGCTTGCGGAACAACAAACCCCAGAGATGTTGCGGTTGTCTCTTCAGGACCTGGTGCTTCGAGTCAAGATATGCAAATTGGGCGAGGTGGAGCCGACTCTGCTGGAAGCACTCGACCCACCGTCACCTAAGAACATCCGCCGTGCTATCGACTCATTGAAGGAGGTCAAAGCTCTGACGAACGCAGAGAATTTGACTCCTCTCGGAACGCAGCTGGCCAAATTACCATTGGACGTGTTCCTTGGGAAGTTGATTATCCACGGCGCTTTCTTCCGGTGCTTAGATGCCACCGTTAGCATCGCAGCCATTCTTTCATCCAAGTCGCCGTTCGTTAATACGATGGGGTCGAACACGCAGAAGGATATTGCTAGGCTGTCATTCCGTAAAGGTAAGCGACTTAAAGCGTCCTGGGTTGTCGAAACAGGACTGATCAAATCTTCTTCGTACAGGCGACTCGGACCTTCTGACAGTGTACAATGCCTACTGCTCCTGGAAGCGCACAAGAAACACACCTGGTGCAAACGAGTACGCGTTCTGCCGGAAGAACTTCCTCAGCTCTCAGACACTACTCAATATCGAAGACATCAAGATGCAACTAGTGGTGTCTATTGTCGATGCCGGTCTATTGACCCTTGACCCGATGCAGAAAGCTGCTTTGAACCGGTAAGCTCTCTTGTCATCGTTGTCTCCATTCAGACCCAACTGACCCGAGAAGATCACGCTACGGCGGCCGCAATCGCCAATTCTTCGTCATTCCCGAAGAATACGACACTAACAGCGTCAACGACACGGTTATCAACTCGGTAATTTCTTGGAGTTTCTACCCGAAGCTACTCACTCGTGAAGGTAAAGGCTGGCGCAACGTCGCCAACAATCAAGCCGTCACCCTTCATCCTACATCTGTCAACCGCAACCCTGACCCATCTTCTCCCCCAATCAAATGGCTTTCCTATTACAACATCATGCAGGGCCGAAACCGCAACTACAACGCCTTCGAAACGAGTGTTGTCGACGACTTTGCCATTGCCCTTCTTTGCGGCGAGCCAGAATTTAAGGTACGTTCCTAATCCTCTCTTGAGCCTTGGCCATACGGAACGGGGTCCATGCCTCAGGCTCACCAACCCACCTCATTGCTTGATTTGATACATAGCGAGAATTAACACGATGTTCAGATGTACTCTGGTGTCATCTCCATTGACGCCAACCGCATCCGCTTCTCCATCCGTGACTGGAAATCCATGCTAGCGCTGAAACTTCTCAGCGCCCGCCTGCGCGACATCCTGCAGGCGACCTTCCGAGAACCTCAAAAACTCACATATCCCTCCTACAAGCAGCAGCAGTGGATTGCGATCTGGCAGCGGATCTTTGAGCAGGCCCATGCCGCGAAGAGAATACCCTAGACTATAGAAATTCCCTTCAAAGCATTGTCCCGGGAAAATACGCACAATTACCAAGAGAAATTTTTTAATCATTTTTGCCTTTTTGACTGTGTGGATGGTGGCTTACAGTATTTGGAGATGGGTTTTCTTTATGGCTCGTACCTCGCTTCTTTCTCCGGCCCTCTTTTTCTTTCGTTCATCTTTCCCTACGTTGGATATAGCTTGGTACATACATGCGGGGTGGGGCGGCTGTTTATCACTTTTCACTTTTCTTCGTTCTTTTTTCTGGTGGGATTGATATATTCTCTCTTGTCGGGGCAAAAGGAAACAAAACTTGGGGTACGATTGGATGGTTCTATAGATTGGATACCCTTCTCTATTGACATCTGCATGTGCGCATGATACACGATTGGCTTACAAAAAAACTAATGCAATGAAAAGGAAAGAGCTGAAGAGGTAGCAGACTTATATGGTCATTGCTTGATTGCTTCAATATCGGTAGATACAGAGTAGCCATCTTGTCCATTTGTTTGTCGACACTTCCTTCAACCTAAAGTATCCCCATGTGCACCATCAACGCATAAGAGATCATAAACTGCTGTGATTCATAACTCATTGAAAAATCGTCTCTGGTAACATCGGCAAGACATAGAATTTAGCTAATATATGAAGAATCCAAACCACCTAGCCCCAAACATCCTCTTGCCATTTCCCTTTCCTTTTAAAAGCCTTACTCCAATCGTTCCCCTCGCCATCATTCCTGCCCTTCGTCTTCCGCATTGCGCGACCAACTGTCTTTTCCACCTCGCGAGCCATCCCTGCCCGTTCACAAATATACACGTTCGCGCCTTCCTCAATCAGCCTGATTACGTCTTCGCTATGCTCGCCGACCCGCTATTGGGATATATTGGCGGGGCTTCTCTTCATACCGGGAGAAAGCCGTCACGATGCGGAGACGGTCACCCAGTGTTGACTGCAGAGCTTCCAGTTCTTCGCGATAGATGGAATCCTCATCCGGGCGCCGGCAGCCGAAGATAAGGATCATTTCCCCGATGTCGCGGCCGACCTGCTGCAGTTGGCGGCGCTCAGCAATTAAGGCGCGGAAGGGGGCTAAGCCCGTGCCTGCAGCGACCATGATGAGCGGGGAGCTGGCTAGGCGAGGCAGCTTGAATTTGCTTTTGCGAAGGTGTGCGAGAACTTGACCGCCCGCGAGCGCGTCGCTGGGACCGGGAAGGTAGTAGGTAAGGCCACGAGGATGGGCACCACTTGTGGCATCGCGACGGTGCTCAGCTAAAGCGAGGAGATAGTTGGAGGTGACGCCGTGAATGAGCTTTGCGGAATTCTCAGGGACGGAATTGGAAGCGACCAGGACAGTGATGGAGGGTTTGCGTGGAGAGAGGACACTGCTTGAGGAGATGGAGTAATAACGGGGCTGGATAGAGGCCATTGTTTCGACACGATATGACAAGGGGAGCTGCGTCCAGGTCTGGTCGGGAACGGCCAGCTGAAGAAGGCGACCTAGGTTGACATGGGTGCGACGCAGGAAGTCGGCGTATGCAGCCTTGTTTTGACCAAGGCGAAGCAGAAACGCCTTGGCTTCTGACGTGGGCGCGAACGGAGCCAGTCATAGAACTTGATCGCGGTTGACAGGCGCGCCAATCTCGAGGTAATATCGGAAAAGCGCAGCCGGGGTCGTTGGCGTGGGGATCTTCACCTTGGTGGCTGCATCTACCGATCGGATTACGATTGGCACCTCGCGCCGGTCCGCGCGGCCCAGAACCTGTAGCAGACGCTCGACCTCGGCGTCAGAGTTACCGGGCCAGATGGCCAGATGATCGTCTGTTTTGTATGTTAACTCAGGTTGACAAGTAAGGTCTAGGTCTAGATGCAAACAGTGACGGTCCGGTGTCGAGAAGAGCTGGCGGGCGCTGGATATAGGGACAGCGCGTACCGGCGAGCACTGAGTAGAGACCTTTCCTGAAGCATCGCGAGGATCGGGTACACCGTGATGGAGATCTATCAACTCCAATGACTCGTCTTCATCCACCGCCAATGTGGGTAAGTACTGAGCCTCGCCTTCTTCAAAGCTCAATTCAGCGCGGCAGGCGGCGAAGAGATCATCCTTCCAGTCGATGAAGTCCTCTTGTGTGGTACCTTCAGCATCGTTAGCTTTGCCTACGGGTAGTAAAGCATGGGCACCTCGCTGGTCCAGAGCCTGGACAACCACATCAACAACTCGATTGTAGAATTTATAGTTGCTGTTGCCCAGACCGAAGGCGCAGTAGCGGAGATTGGTCAATGACCCCTCGGGGGCCTTCTGAACCCAGTCCCAGAATTCGGCTGTGTTGTCGCTAGGGTCGCCCCCTCCATATCTGGATAGGAGAAATATGGCTAACTTGGTCTCTGGGATGGCACAGATCGAGTCTGGGTCGTAATCCGACAGATCTGCTGTCATGATGGTTTGCTGAAAGCGCAAGCCAATCTCGCGTGCTAGTCGATGGGCAAATCCCTCTTCAGTGCCGGACTGGGAGCCCCAACAGATGACAATATTCTTCTCTGCCTCAACGAGCTTCTGGGCAATGTTGCGCGTCTCTTGATGAGCATGGGCACCAGATGCACCGCCCATCTTCAACTGAGGACGCTCATAGAGCAGGTGCCGGTAGGGAACGGGCTGATCCCAAAGTATACCGCGAGATAGGTAGGTAGCAGCTACCATAGACAGGATCATCAGGGCATCATAGTCAGCGGTCCCCGTGGGTGCCAATTGCCTGGCCAGCTGTTGCAAGGCTTCGGGCGAAAGACGCCATGGGGCACTTATGATGGGCGACGGGACGGTGATGCTAATCGTCTCTGATAGAGTAACTTCCAAGGGTAGAAAGCACTGCTTTAAAGGCTTCAATGCGACCAGATTCATCCACATCCTCTCTCTGATGATGTTGTCTAGTCTGGTGACAAAGACCGGTCGGCATTTGACGGTATCTCCATCTGGGGAAAGGTAGTCGGCGCGGAGCGGAGCGAGGGGGAATATGAAACGCGAACGAGACGAGAAATATCAGAAATGGAAAGTCGGAGAGTCTGTCCATAGAGAGCGTAGTTATGGTCACTGCTACATGAAGCTGAGATGATATTGACTTACCGTGCAGCCTCAGATGCAGTTAAGATGGAATGACGGCCGAGAGAGGAGATATTCCCCGCTCACGGACAACCCTTCCCTTCTCGGAGGACCCTTCCCCATCAGGAAAAACTTACTCTTTCCTGAAGGATTTCTTTCCCCTCATCTGTACCTACTAACCAGGTAGGTACTCTTGTTCATTGCCCAGTGCCAAGTGCAGTCGAGAACTTCGATAATTCCTATCTTGGTTGCTTTCTCCTTCAAACTTTCTTCACCATCCCCCACGGGGAAGCCCTTGCAAATCATCATGCACGGCAGGATCTAGTGACATCTAACCAAGTCCGTGCACGTCGATCTCGCCTCTTTGACGGCTCTCTTCTCTGTCTAGGCCAAGATTGCATACCGGTTCAAACTCTGGCCCCTCTGGCCTTTATCAGGTACGTAGAATCCAGTCAATACACGATTAGTGCAGACACTGATGGTAAGCAAAGGCATTACGACATAATCATGCAAGGAGGTCGTGTGTAACAGGTCATCAGTCATCAATTGAGCCACCATATGCTTCAAAAGTCCAAGAAGAAAAGGTAGAACGAGAAGAGACAATGAATCTGGAACAGAAATTACGATTCGTCCACCGGCACTTCTCTGCGCCAGACCTTCACAGGCATATCGCCCAAGATAAGATTCATCGTCTCTTCTCGCTGCAATTCCCATTCGGGGGATGGCAGAGCGAACTCATACCGGTGCACCAGAGTCGACAGGATCTTAGTCTGCTCCAGGTACGAGATGTTGCGTCCAATGCAAGAACGGGCGCCAGCCGAGAATGCGATGAAGTACGGTTGCAGGGCTTTCCCTTCCTCGCCCCACCAGCGCTCTGGGATGTACTTGTCGGCTTTGGGAAACGTCCGCTCATCGCGGTGAGCCACAAATGCCGACATGCTGACGGAGGTATTGCCTGGGACCCACTGGCCGAGGATCTCCATCCCCTCCGGTGGCGACTCGCGCGGCAGACCGTGAGAGGTGGGAGGGAAGATGCGGAGCGACTCGTCTAGGCATGCCCGCAAATAAGGCAAGTGTTTCACTTTGTCATACGCGCAACAACCTCATCCGAGTTAAGGACGGCATCCACTTCGGCCCCGCAGCTTTTGCAGGCATTCGGGGTTCTTCAGCAGCTGGTACATCACGTTAGTGATAGCGATGGCGGTGGTCACGCTGCCCGCATTCCTCATGATATTGACCTCAGAGAGTACCTCGCCCCATTCAAGCTGGTTAGCCGGATCGTTCTTGTCCCCCATCATCGCTTGGAAGAAATCATCCAGACGCTCTCCTTCTTCGTACCGCCGCAGCCGCTCGGCCCCACGACGCCAGATGATGTTCTCCCAGTGGTCAGAGGATTGTTGCATGCGGTTGAAATACGGAATCACGTTCAAAAACCGGTTGAGAGTCGGGTACCAATCATAATTCCATAGAATAAGTGGTTGTTTTCGTGCTGTGGGGTAGAGCGCCTCGCGTAGCGACACCTCGTACGTGGTACCGTCCTTGCGCTCCGCCACGCAGAGGTCATGTCCTTGGTCCAAGAAACCCAACTTCTCTGACAGACCAATATCGGCAATAGCATCCAGGGTGAAAAATTCCGTCCACGCGCGGAAGTCCAGGGTCAAGTCAGCTCGGTCGGGCGCTTGCTTGCCCGCTGCCACAGCTGCGGACGGCGCTGCCGTGCACACACGGTCGAAGTGTGCGACCACCTTATCGCATTTGTCACTGACCTTGTGCTCCCACGTCTCCAGGTTCTTCAAGGCATATGCCGAAGACAGAAGCTTGCGCTTGCGGGCATGATCTGGCTTGTCCACGACATCGGCCAGGTGGTAGTGAGTGCCTGCCGTGACCACGTACGACGGGTCTTTGATGCATTTGGTATTGTGTCCATAGATGTCCTTGATGGCGCGCACGTCCCCGTATGACAGCATATTAGGGCCTGTGCGAATGATAGGCTTTTCTCGATGCCGCTCCATCAGCTCGCGAGAGCGAAACCCACGCGAAGCCATCAACATGAAGGGAATGGCTGGCATTCCGGAGATTGGGGTCAGATTGGGATATCTTCGCAACCCTTGGGACAGGTTAGCCACCAGGTACTCAACATCAACTTTGTCGTTTGGCGCTTACCCTTAGGATCACGGAGGTACTGAACGAATGGCCAGATGAAGAGATAGGAAATGCCTACCAGCCCGACTACAAAGGCATATGGTGCAATGCTGAACGCAGACAACATATCGGTGGCCATGATTGCCTTAAGTGTGGTGATGAATGAAGACCAGTAAAATGAAGGAAATTCAGTGACCAAAGCCTGAAGAGGGCTACGTGTCAGCGAATATCAGGCGCAACCTGGGGTTTATAGTAATTGCTGTGTACGTCACGGGTCGTGGGAGACGGTACTTATAACCTCAGGGAAAGCGAGAGACGGAGTATAGCAAGTCTTCGAGATTCTGAGGGGGCCGGTGAATATTCTCGTGAACTCAGAGGCCGACTTGCTTTCCCACTGAAACCATGTTTGACTATCATGAGGGACTTGTTGGAGACTCGGCTGCATTGCTATGTCATCGTTATCCTCTTTCTCCTCTTTCTTCCTACACCTCCACCTCTATCACTATTCTCAACAGTGTTCCCAGCTATAGGCAGCAGGTCGGGCAATACTACCCTTCATGGCAACCAGCGAGGGCGGGAATAATTTCTCCTTAAGTGCTCCTTGTCACACTTTGGGAATGGTAGACAGTCTTTCGCCTAGTTCGTCCGCAAAGAAAAGCCTTGAGTCTCTAACCATAGTATTCTTTAGTGTCTCTCGCTTGTCGTCGTGGCCGTTGTCTTCCACTGGATTCCGGTCAATATCGACCTCAGCTTTTCCGGTCCACGCGAAATGACCTGGGAAAGTATCGTCCTGCTTGTCGCCCTCATCGTCTATACTGCCTTCTACTCCCTTGGTGTTGCCCCAACTTCATGGGTTGGTACTGAGTTCTTGCCTCTAGAGGTGCGGGCTCTTGGCACAATGGTCAACACCGTCACTTGTTGCGGCTGTAACATTATCTCCTCAAACTTTCTGTCAATGATGAAAGGCATGACACAAAGCGGGAGCGTTCGGCTTCTACGCCGGATTTTGCTCCTTGGGCTGGCTCTTTGTGACCCTCTGCTATGCCGAAGTGCATAACATGCCCCTGGAATCCGTGCGGGAGATCTACACCGACGGCTTCGGTGTCAAAAAGGCTAAGGAGATCCAAAAACAATTGAAGCAGATGAGACAAGACGAAGAGCTCAATCGGCAGGCTAAATAATCGCAGACTGGAATGCTGCAACCTCGGCAAGGTTGTTGTACTGTACCTGAGCCCGTGGAACCATTGAAACCGTGTCTGACAGCGACGTATGGCATGAAGAAAATCCACACCGGATAGCAGTCACAATGTCTACACCTCCAGGAATCTGCGCCAGACAGCAGCTGTTAGACTGTGAGAAAGGAAGTATCTTTCCTGCTAAGATACCAACCACATTCGTTGGTTAATAATTTTCCCTCGCTCCCCTCCGCTATCTCTGTGCTAACACTACTCTGTATCAATTCTCCCGCTCATGATATCGACGAGGATTCTGATGGTTTGTTTTGATTTTGCTTTGCCCCAGGTCTTGCTTATATGTACAAATAGGATGCAGCTTACAATCGACATGTACGCACATACTTTACGCATTTAATGTTTCATCATGTACGTTGACGCAAGAGTTAGTCACACAGATGATGTAGGCAGTCACTATTGGTAGTCCACTGCAAGAAAGATCCTGTCGCTTGGTGCGTACGACACATACTGTACGTCTGGCTAGCGTAGGAAAGTCCTTCGGGCCTCTGTGGAATGCTGTTCAACTCTACCCTTTCATCCCGATTCTCACCTTGCCAGCAGGGTGATAACAATATACGCTCTGCTAAGCACCACGACCAAATGGACAGACAGACGGACATGGAGGCACGCAGGCAGAAGGCTGCAGATTAAATCACATGCCGGGTCTGGACTGCTACTCACCGCCTCAGGCCCCTGGCTCCTTGTTACCCGAGTCCGTCTTTCTCTTGCGAAGCTACTCGTACTTTCACTATAAACCTACACCCATCCCGAATGAACCCCGCATTCAAGTCTGGAAGCCCATAGATTTTTCAAATGCCCATACATGTCAGAAGGAAACGATGCACACACATGTACCCCGGGAAACGACCTCAGCCGGCCGAATCTCCCCGGAGATGCAAGAATGGAGAGAGTGGATAAAACTAAGGAAAAGGTAGAAGGAAACAAACGGGGTAAAGAAAAAAAAAAAACAAAAAAAAAAGAAACAGCTGAGCCACAACAATGTAATCCAAAGTTCTCGTCATAGGAAATTCGTGACATCATGGTCGTTAAATATAGCCGGTCAGAAACAATGCGCACAAACCAACAGTGACCAAAACCCGCACACCAAAACGCTGGCCCTTCCCATAGCCTCCCGATTCCAAGTGGATGCTGTCCAATGATGTTCGTTATCCACAACAGCTCACTATGCACGATCCTCACGTGGAACATCCTCCGGAGAAAACACATTAAGTGATTGAAGATTGGGTCTCGAAGGAGGCCCATGCATGCATAATCTTGATGCTGTCCAGTGACAACCCTGTGCCCAGCCGTCACCTGTCCAAGGAAGTGGCTTCATGGACACGGGTTATCACTACAGACAATCAACACAAAAACAGATGCAGCTCCGGCGTTAGCAGTGAATTGACCCCGAACGAGTCTCGCGCCATCAGTGGTGCAAACTCAAAGCCAACCACACCGCAGACAAGGTCTATTATAAAAGCAAAAGAAATCCGTAACAAATGGACACCCCACAATGCACGCCAACAATGAGAGACCCTACACAGGGACAGTTTTATCTTTTCCTCTGACGAAAAAGATTGTGCTTTTCGATATTGTTAGATTTTCTCTCTTTTTTTTTTCATCTCAGTCGTGGGTTCTGTTTCTCTTTTCCCAGGGCCAGTGCCGGCTAACGACGACGGGACATCGAACCTCCTGCCTTCATGGGCTGCAATCCCAGCGAGACGCCACCGACAGGTCCCCCAACCGAGGCTTCACTAAGCGTCTTACGACGCTTATTCTCGAAGTCGGGGCCACGACTGTCCGGGCGGGCAATTCGATCCACCTCATCGTCTTCCCTCATCCGCTTATTCGAGCCAAGCGATCCATTCAGTCCGGTCGCGTAGCCCGATGCCGAGTTGGAGCTTACTGAATAATTGTCCGAGGTAGTGCCGTTGTTAGACGTACCACGAGTATCACTGACGATATTGTAGAGACTACTAGCAGCAGCAGGGCGCGGAGGTGTACTGTAGCCCGAGCCCCATGGCGGGGGACCGCCACTGGTGCGTGGGGTCATACGACCAGACCCATTTTGCTGGGTGGGAGAGCCTGTAATTTCAGGCGTAAGCTGAGAGTGGTCTCCCGTCAGACTGCCCACGGACGGATTAGTGGTATACGTGTATGAGCCGCGGCCGGTATTGTAGCCAGAATTGTCATGCTGCACATATTCGGATTCATGTTCTGCAACTGAATCGTTTCCAGAACTGCCCACGTGTCCATTGCTCTGGGCATAGCGTTCAGACTTCACATCGGCCGACTCGCCCTCTGTCTGTGCGCCAGGGGTACGGTTCGAAGGGGGCCCCATTTCACTCTTCAGATACGACTCGCTTTTCAGGTAGGGTTCACTCTTCAAGTAAGGTTCACTCTTCAGATATGGCGTGGAGGACATCGTCTGCCCGTAAGGGGCCATTCCGCCCGATTGGGCCGCATAGTGAGGGTGGGCCGGCGGCGCCGCAGAGTAGTACGGCTTAGAGTCATAGCCTGACTGGCCTTGGAAAGACTGCATTCCTTGCAAGCTGTTTCCTGGCGGAGTGGTGGCCGGTGTGGTAGGCATCGAGCGGGCATTGCTCAGAGCCGTATCGATAGAAAGTGGCTGAGAATTGGGCACACCGGACGGAATCCCTTGGTTGTTCCAGTCGTAGGAATTGCTTGAGTTGGTAATGCCCATTAGACCTGAAGCACTGGCGGGTGGAGTGGGAAAGGTATGAGCCCGATCAAGACCCGGTCGACCCCCTTGTTGCGAGGCCACAGTGGGTGGTTGAGGCATGTGAGACGGCACTCCGGTCTGCAGAGAGTGATGATGATGGAGAGCAGGTGGCTGAGGGCCCTGAGAGGTTCGTGCCGCCGCTTGGGAACCCTCCATTCGCCGCTGCTGAGATTCTTGCACCACCAGATTAGTTCTGTTCTGGTTGGCGGGGTGGTATAGCAATCCCCCAATGTTGTGAACGAACAACGGGTACAGCAAGTCCGTGATTTTCTCCTTATTGGCAAACTCGAGGGCCCGATCAAAGGGAATCCTAATATCCACAGGAGATAGTTAGCACTAACGTAATGGTTCGAGGTGTGTGACCGGAGCAGGACAATCGTACCATACGCCCTTGAGGTGCATCGGACCGATCTTGACCACATGACGCATCTTTTCGCTCTTCAGGATACCATCCCGACGACCTCTGGTCATTCCCGCTACATTTAGGAGTTTTGTACCATTGATCATGGCGTTGTCTGCAACAAAAGGTTAGCAAATGAGGTGGGATTCCCTTATGTCTACCAAAACGTTTTCTGGCGTCAGCCGAACTCACCTTCACGACGGGCAACACAGACTCCTTTGGCTTCCACCTGATAGCAGAGACTACCCTCGTCCTCCCATAGAGTAGCGGTGACCCGTGGCTTCGAACCCGGTGGAGCAAGCTGGCCGGTAGGATCGTATACGAAGCCTTGCATGGGTGCTCCGCTAGAATTGCCATAGCTCGGTGTCGCGACAGCGTGACTCGTTACTGCTGGTTCACCGGGGTCAGCTATACCCTTTGCAGGAAGTGTGAAGGGTGTCAGCCAAAACGACTTACCGGGCAGGGGTAACAACTGAGCCGGCACCTGACCACTCAAAGACGTCGATGGGGCCTGAGGACCTGGCTGGGATGACGTTACACCGCCTGGATAGGCATACTGAGGATACGAGCTGGCTGGCCCATACGTCGTGGATGCGGGCTGCAGGACCGGTGGTTGTTGGTGATATTGCGGGTAATGCGCAATTCCCCCGGCGGTGGCAGCATGCGAGGTGTAGGGCTGTCCAGACGACAAATGCGAGGTGTGGACGTCCATGTACGATTGGGTCTGGTTCATGCTGCTGATCGAGGCCTGATTCTGGTAATAGCCGTCGCTGACCTGATTCTGTGGGAGGGTGTACTCCTGGGGTGCGGAAGCGTCAAGTGAAACGCGACCCTGGCTAGCTGTGGTAAGATCGGTCGAGGATGAGGGCGGGCTTCGAGTATCACTGCCCACAGGCGCAGATCCAGATAGACTGGTACGGGTGCTGGTGTTGGTGGATCCTAGGGCGGCGGCGTCGTCGTAGCTCGCCCGGTAGGACTGGCCCGAGATGGCCTGCGAGGCCGTAGGGAGACTGAGGGCCGGAAGCTTGTCACCAGATAACAGAGGTCTCTCTGCAGCGTGGTGGTTATACCAAGGGATATCAACAGGACCTCTGGTGTGGACCTGTGAGATCGACGGTAGCTCCAGCTTTTCGGTTGGCGGGGGTAACGCTTCTAACAATGATAAGGAGGATGTGCGATGGGACGTCGGACTGTATAATGTGTCCGGCGTACCGAGAGATGCGAGGAAGAATGTATGTCTGGGTTCTTCTCTTTGGCGTTCGTGAGTTCAATAATATGGTTATTTTTGAAGGTTAGTTGGCACTTGCAATCACTGAGTCTTAGGTCAACATGCAATCGCCGTGGCGGTTGTGTTAGTCAAGTTTGTGCGAAATCCGAGGTCGATGCAAGCACTGACTCGCGAGTCAATGCAGGTGAGCAGGACGGGGAAAAAGACAAATGGGAAGGTTTTAACAGGCAATGCAGGACATGCGATAATGTGCAATCGTAGCAGGCTCGTGGACAGTCGTAACCATAAAACGCGTGAGATTGCTGGCGAAAACCAAGGGAATCGCTATGCAGGGACTTTGCGGACGGAAATCTAAATCCAGAAGATGGGAGGATTCTGATTGTCACAAGCAAAACCGCGGGAGCTGGACAGACAACAAGCGCTTGCGTATGGTGTAGAAGAAAAACGCTCAGCCGAATCAGAAGCACACAATCATGGGTCTCGTTTCAGGTCGTGATAGCAAAGCGGAGGAAGAAGACGATGTGACAATCCAGCATCAAACGTCTAATGTCTTCCGCAATGTTGGACACAAAGAGAAGTGCGTACGGTGCGGCGACAAGACAGGCGAACAGAGTGAAATGAAGTCGAGTCGTAACAGGTCGTGGTAAGTCGTCGCGGGCGGCGGGTGCAATGCTAATGTATACTGCAGGCTCTAGGTAGAACACAGTCAACAACCAAGCGTGGAGATGCGGGCAACACGAATGTAAGTCCGGGCTGGAAAAGACCAAGAATAATAAGAGAAGTGGAAGCGGGCAGTAAAATCAACAAGAACAATAGCATTCAGGTCATCCACATAAATTCATCAAGAGACAAGGAAGAGGTTGATAGATTGGTAGAGGGTAGGGGAAGGATTGGAGGAAGCAGCGGAAGGTGATGGAGGTTTGATGTATGTATAAGAAGGCGCCAAACGGAAGGGATGGTACACTAACGGAGGCGGACAAGGGAGCCCCGAATTGGGGGGGGGGGGGGGGAGAGGGGAGGGAAGAAACTAGGGAAAAAAAAATAGAAATCCGAACCAAGGAAGCAGGTCCAGCAAAGAAAGGATCGGGGAGGAGGGGAGGTGAGAGGAGAGAAGAGGTTAGTGTAAGATTGAGTGAGGGTGGTAAGGATAAGGATGAGTCTGAGTGGGCAGGTAGGAAAACGTCAGAGGAACAAGTGCCAATACAGACTGGATGCGACTAATTCTCTTTTGGGGGATATTGGGGAAGGTAGCTGAGGTAGGGAATTATTGCAGTAAAACCAGAAAAGGGAAAATGAGATCAGAGCTGCCAAAAAAGAAAAAAAAAAGCTGCCAAAAAAAAAGAAGGCGAGGGAGAAGAAAGGAAAGAGAAAAGCAACCACCACCACCCAAAACGGACGAAAAGGGACGAAAATTAACCGCCCAAAATCTCAAACAATCCAGATGTGGGCGATCATGAGCGACCAGGGTGGAAAGTCAAGAGAATTCAAGGCGGTGGAGCGGAGAGACGAGATGAGAGATGAGATGGGATGAGAGGAGAGGAGTGAATGCGTGAGTGCGTGAGTGAGTGAGTGAGTGTATGAATGAATGAATGACTGCAGCGACTAGTGCAGCGGCAGATCTTGAACGAAAGGTGGAGGCTGGGATTGTAGTGGAGTGGAGGGGAGCAAAGACGAGAGGGGAAAGACCGAGAAGAGGACCAGCCAGCAAACGCAGGCTAAGCCTGATGTTCTCTGCAGCCGCCGGGGAGGGTTTCTGGACCGCCTTCAGACCGTCCTCTTCTTCACTGTCCACCTCACTCAGCAGGCCAAGGAAGGCCAGAATGGGAAATGATGATGGTTGGGAAACTTATTGAGGAGATTGGGTTCCCTAAAACAAGGGGAGGAGAAAAGAAAAGAAAAAAAAAGAAAAAAGGAAAAAGAAAGAAAAAAAGGAAGGGAAAAGAAAAGAAGAAAATAACATAAAAGCAAAATCGTCAAGGGAGAAGCCAAATGAAACGAATTGCCAGAGAGGAAATTTCAAAAAGTGCAAGCAAGTCAAACAAGAAGAAGAAGAACTAACTTGAGAAAGATGATGGTGATGGTGATGGTGATGGTGATGGTGATGGTGATGATTGATGATGATGATGATGCCAAAGTCGAACCATCAAAGAATGGCGCTGGAAAAGGTGGGGAAAAGTCAACCGGTGGTCACAGACGGCTTCCGCCCGTCGATGGCTCTACCGTGGTTGAGAGAAACAGACAGGATGGAAAGACTCGGCCAAATCGGGTCTGGGTGCGGGAAGGAGAGAGAACTTCAAGAAGGTACGGTAAGAAGAGTACAGTAAATCTCATCCTGGCCGCCTGCTGTTGGCTTGAGTGGGTGACGGTTGAGGATCTTCGGGGCTGACGGGTGCAACCGAAACACGTCCCTCATAGAAACGCCCTCTCCCCCCCCCCATATTATCCCTCCCTCCCTCCCAGCCCCAGCCCAGAAGAATGCCAAAAATGATGACAAGACAGGAATGGGTATGAAAAGGGATGATTGAAATTGAAGCCACCCCCGACCTTCTTTGATTCTAGAAAGAAGGGTATCTCTGAAGCTGGGCTGTTTCGATGCAAGTGGAGCAAGCAAGACAGCCAGCGCCAGCCAGCCCAGGGTCTCCGCAGTAGTTCATAGTATCCTCTATCGATGGCAGGGCCATTCACAGCTCCTCGTCGAGGCGGCTGGGCAGCAAGGAACAAGAACCGCTGCAACAGCGACAATCCACCACCCCAAAAGAAATGAAAGAGAAAAAGAAAAAAGCAAAGCAGGGAAAAGAAAAATCGAGAAGAAAACAAGAGAGATACACCACGTACCAGCACGTGTCTTTGACTCGGGCTCGCGAGCAGTTTCTTTTTGAGACCTGCTGCGCGGGAATGTAAGAGAAGCTGCAAGGCAAGCAGTCGGGTGCGAGATCGAGAAATGTCTCTGACGCGCTTATGGTCCGGACGTGCTGAGCAACCTCGTTCCTCTTGGTTCGCTTTCTTATGATCCGTCGCAGGATTTCCCTTCTCCAGGCGTCTGTCCCGGTATCGGCGTCTTTCGAGTCACGAGCCCGTTGGGGGGGAATGTCAATACTGAAGAAAGGAAGAAGGCGAGGAGAGAAGACGAGCGATTGATGAAGGAGAAGCTGGGCGAGGGATTGGGTGATGGATCACTGGGCCGGCTGTCACTATAACTGTCTTTTTCTGGTCGGGCAAGAAGAACAATAAATCAACATCCGAGGGAAAGGAGAGAAAAAGGAAAACGCAGCAATTCAATCTAAGCGCAATTTAGGAAATTGAATAAGAGAAATCAGAAAGAGTCTAGATATTGAGGGGGAAAAGAAATCATGAATCAAAAAAAAAAAAAATGGAGGGAATAATCAAGCCGGGAAGAGGGGAATAACAGATGGGGAATAACATCGATCAAGAAAAATAAAGCACCAAAAAAAAGAGAAAGAATTAAAAATAAAATGGAATCATCGCAGTCAGATGTGGATCCCGCAACTCAAAACGAGCAGCAGAAGAGGTAGAGGAGTGGGATGGATTTTCTGGGACAACAACCGTGCGTTGTGCGGAAGAGCGGAGAGATACACCGTGGGATCTGCCGCCGCCGCCGCCGCCGGGCGATGGTGGTGGTGGTGGTGGTGGTGATGCTGCGGCTAGTACTGTATCCTCTCTCTCTCTCTCTCTCTCTCTCTCTCTTTCTTTCCAGTTCCTCCCCCCATGTCCAATCTTACTATAGTACCACCAACCCCCTCCCCCTTCGTCTTTCTGTCAGAGTCCAGAAGGCCCAGTGTCAAGCTCAGACAGCGCAAATGCCGCCAATCCGCCACGAAGCAAGGACCATTCGGCCGGATAAGCTAATCAAGACGCCGGGCAGGAACCACCGTTTAGGCTAGGAAGAGCACCAAAATCTTGTCTTCAGATTGGCTGCCGACCGAAGGGTGAAGAAAGGGAGGGGCGCCAAATCTCGATGGCAAAAGAGAGGGCGGAAGTTTGACAAGATCTCAAATAGAGAGCAATGCGATCACAGTAGTAGGGACCCAGAGCCCCAGCACCCTCAGCGGCAAATGGAGCCAAAGGATCAACCACTGGCGGGGAAAAGAGAAAAGCGAAGACATACAAAGCAGCCATAGACACATTAGAAGAGATTTTAATCCGTACATACCTGTAGTGGAGGCATGGGAATCGATGCTGATGCTGATGCTGATGCTGATGCTGACGCTTGATCAAAGCAGAGTCAAGTACCCGATTCGAGGTAAATCCGGTGTATTGTATTCTGTGTTTGTACAGCACTTTACTTTAACAGCACAGGCAAAGGCAGGGAAAAAAACAAAGTCGATCACCTGAAGCCGTTGATCTGATTCGGAAGGCACAATATGAATTCATATTTATCTACTTCTCTTCTAATTATGATTGCAAATCGAAATCGGAACACCCCAAGTGGAAGGTCCGATTTTTGTATCTTAGTCTCAGTAGGAGTAGGAAGACGACAGAGCAGAAGAGATTACCACCAAAAGTTTCCGAGGTAGAGAATGAGAAATAACGAGAACGATTCTCAAAATATAAGTGATGAAGAAGAGAACAGGCAAAGGAAACCCACACTAGTCAGGAAAAGGTGGAAAGAGGGACCCCTCAAGGCTTGGGCTCCAAATTGCCCGTGAGGGGGACCACACGGTGAACTGTTGGGACGGATGGATCGCGCGCTGCTGTAAGTCATTCGATCGTCCTGCGCCGCCGGGATGATGCTAGACTATGGGACTGATTGGAGGGGACGGTGCTGGTGGCTAGCGACGGAGACGGAGAGAGAAAGAGAGAGTGTGTGTGTGTATCCTTTTCTTTTGCGTGGGATTTCCCTTGCTCGTTCGCCGTCTTCATTTTTCCTTGTGTGAGTAACCTCCGGAAGGCAATTCATACTCATATCGTAGTATTCGAGCTTCAAGGACCTGCCGAGACTAGACAGCAAAAACCGATTGAAAGGAACCACGGAAGCAAGAAAAGAAGAGCCGCGGCGAGGGCAGCAGCAGCAACAGCCGCCAAAAAAAAATACAATGAAAATAAAAACCATGAGACAAAAAAAAAATAGGGAGCGAGAGTGAATAATAACAGGTATAAGAAGAATAATAATAATAACAATAATACCTACCTAATCGCTGACGGATGACAGGCATGTGTGTTCCAGGTTCGAACAGCTGTCTCCACGATGAACAACGGGTCCCACACAGGGGTACCAAAGGATCGAAGGACGGCCGACCATGGACAAGCTCGGCCTCGGAACGGCGAACCAAATGACTATTTACGAGTACCACTACTGACTACAACTATTCATAAAAGATGTACAGTAGACCACTCACACAATTGATAAAATGAGGTTGTGCTTTTGTCGGTCGGGGTCGGCCGGCTGACCGGCTGACTGCTTGCTGCTGGCCTGCTTTACATCCTGTAAGGTATTCTTAAGCTCGTCAAGGTTGATCGTGAGGACGCACGAAGCAGTGAGTTAGGTGCATAGGGTGCTGACGGCGGTCGAGATCATCCTTGACCAGATGAATTCTGCAAGTGGAGGTGACTGAGGTGAGCGCAAGGTACGTATTGTATACATACTGCCGGTGTACTGCTTGGTAATTGATACCTTCCAGAAGGTAAGTTGACCTAGACCCGTGACCTACGAAGTACTCCGTGCGCCAGTGGATTGAGAATGGAGGAGAGAGGGGCGGTGGTCGGGTCAATTGGTGCAAGTCAGGCGCCTGAAGAGGGGAGGGGAGAGAGGAGAGAAAGAGGAGGGTCTCAACTTTCCTCCCCTTTCTCCTCCCTCCTCCCAATACGACATGAATAATTCAGCGCTAGCATGGATCTCTATTCTCTAGTGCGAGGCCGTGAGATGGTAACAGGGAGTGCCAGTCATGGCCAGTTACGGTCAGGCAAAAGAACAATGGAAGGGGAACCAGCAGATAGATGCAAGATTTGCGCACTCTAAAACGGTGCAGTGGATCGTCCCAGCATGTAAAGCAGCGGGAAGCGTTCGACACAGACCACAAAGCTTGGAGGATCCAACCATACAGCGGAGGCCACATCAAGACTGGACTCGGTTTGGTTGGAGCCCTCTCGGTCGGCTCCAGAGGCGATGACAGTAATAATCATTAAACCTGGACGTTGATAGCTCAGTTGGAAGAGAGAATCAGTCACCCCGAAGGAAGGGAGGAATGGCGGTGACTTGACCAGCATGACGAGAAAGAGAGAGAGAGAGAGAGAAAGAGAGAGAGAACAATACAGTAACCATTTTTGTCGGTCGAAAGTGGAAAGTCGTGGATAAGAAGCTTTCACAAGGGATACAATTAAAGTCTGGAAGCAGCTCGACCACGATTACCCTCCCCTGCACTTCCGCATTAGTCCTTCCCAGTCAATCATCGACGCGACGCACCCTGGATAGGCAATAGAAATCTGCTTTCATTCTCTTCATTGTTGAGATCACTTTGCTTTGATCCGAAGTATGCCGTAAGTGCTCGCTAGCATTATCACTTACCCGAAGCAACCCCACCAGGCAGTCATCGTACTGGGCTAAGTAGTGTGAATAGCATTAATACTGCGAATGACACTGTTTGTAGCTATCAGAGTGGAAGAGGACAGTATCAGCGATGCGACAACAGATCTTCCATTTGCCTGCAATTTGAAAGGGCTTCCGCGACAAGGCTAGAGAATGCCAGTAAAAAGAAATTGCCTGACTGGACCAAGTGGGGCCCCTGATCACTGGGCACTCTTTCTCCCCTCCCTCAGGGACTTATCATCACTCCATCTCACCATCTTCCGTGAGGAGTGAGGAAGGTGAGAAATCCATTGTTTGGGTCCGTGGGTTCATTACGAGAAGCTAGCTGGGCTTGGCTCTTTAAGACTTGTGGTGTATGCGATAAGTCATCATCAGCAACCCCAGTAGTAACCGCCGTCATCGTCGTTGAATACTCCCAAGTCGTCGGGGGCGATCTGGAGGTGGAACCCCCGCCTGAAATGCGGCCCCCTTCCCAGACACGGGGATGACAAGTCATACAGACCAGTCCAGGCTACTTGTGACCGATCATAGCGGAAGATAGGAATCAAAAACGAGGCGAGTCGGTAGATGATGAGGGCAAGAAATTAAAGGGAGAAAGATTGAAAATCAAAACAAAACTAATTAGAACAAAATCAATTTCAAGGGGAGAAGGACGGAGGAAGCGAGAGAGAGCATGGCCATGACAGAGAGGTTGAGAGGACGATCACTAGTAAAGGGAGGGATTAGATGGAAAAGTGAGCTTGACTAGCCAAGAGAGGGGCGAAGAATAATCTGCTCTCAATCGTTTGTTATGACCCCAATGTTCACTCTGAACGATGAAGTATACAGGGCTAATCGAGGTTACCAATCCCCCATCGCCACCTTCACCACCACCGCCCAGTACTTCCTACCAGCAGTCAATCAGTTGCAGAGACGCCGTTGCCAAATAAACATATTCTTTCAACGCAGTCCAGAGTAAAATTTACTGCAAGCAAGCGAGGCGATCTTGGGTTACACAGCGCAACAGAAGAAACCGACCAGGATAGAGCCGGATTGGCAGGGATTCGTGCAGATGGTCGACCAAACCAGTGGACCAGAGCGCACCACGCAGGCAAAGTGGCGTGCAAGCAACAGTCGATCAGGTCTGTGTTCTTCTATTTTCCCATCTTCTACTACCCATTCTCTGAGTCGGTCGGGGGTGAGCCCTGTCTGTCAGTCTGTCATTCATTGCTCTCCTCATTGCTGACCCTTTAGTCACCTTTTTCCGGCCGGTCCATTAGCCCACTATGAATAGATTAGCACGGACCGGGCTTGGTTTAGTCTCAGTCCTTCGGTGTCAACTGGTTATTTGCCTATTCTTTGCTGAGCTAAATTGCTATGTCGGAGGAAATTGGCCAAAGAAATAGTGATGCTTATACAGAGCCCGTTCCTGCTCGTGTCTATCCACAAGCTGTTCAAATTACCACCCCGTCATCTCACAACTTATTCCAAACTATTACAGCAAAAGTCAGAGGTCGGTGACCGTAGAGCTAGAACCAATTTCTTTCTGCTTATCTATCGAGTAGCTCGGTCGGAATGGTGACTACCGAATCTCGCAGAAAGCACAGAACGGAAAGATGTTTGTCTCGGGCACCCAATGAGGCGGCTCCTTGGATACATCAGACAGGGTTCACAGAGTCGGTCAAGAAAGCCCAACCCCGGGTATCGACCACGACCTGGCCAGTGACTGTAGCTCGTCCTAATAATTCTCCGCTGAGGGATTGGACGATGTCTCATCATTGGCTCTACAGGAACGGGGCAGGGGAGGAGGTCAGAGATCGCTGAGGTGTTGGCGTTTCACTAGGCAAAGCTGAGAGATCTGGAGTTAATTTCCATTCTGGGCCAGCTTGAAACTCGCGGGCTCCGGCGGCTTCAGGCCTAATCTACGTCAGAGCCAGAGGAAATTACCTGGAAAGAAGTCTTTTTATACAGATCTGTACAAATCGAATATCTCAATGCCGTCATCTGTCCTAGATCTTCACCACAGAGGTCGCACAGAGAGGCAACAGCGACTTCGGTGGCTCGTTGCTTTAGACCGCAAGATGTCCGGTCGCCGGGGATTGATGGTTGGCTACCCTTCTGATACCGAAGGATGGTTGGCTACCCTTCTGATACCGAAGGATGGTTGTGCTTGTGAAAGAAGTTCTATATCCTCTTCTGTAGAGCATCAATGATCAACAAAGCAGATAGACAGCCAGCTGCTCCGCACGATCCGGATGGAGACATCCATGCCCCCTCCTCTGCTCTATGGACGGAGGCGCTTCATCAATCTGTTGATCTCGATGGATCGATGGAGACGGTGAAAGCATGAGCCACCACTTTCCAGACTGCCAGGTCTCCGCCTGAGTTGTTCTTTTACTTTCTCTTTCCTTGTTTCCCGCTCTTCGTTCGCTTTTTCTTATTGCCTCATCAATCGACACCGAGGTCCAGACGAATCGGTGTAAGTCACGACCAGGATTTCAGACGCATTCAGGCGCAAGGGCAGTAAAACACGGTGACAGACCAGAGCGAGAAGCTGAGGAGACGACGAAAGTGACTCCAGGCCTCACCGCTGGTTTCATCGCGATGAGAATGACATCTGAGGTCTGTTTTGGGCAAGAAGGGGGTGCAAAGGGAGGGGGGAGGAAGACTGTCATTTGACTGACAAGCCCTATCATTCCAGCTGTTCATGCTCGGCTGACGGCGCCAGGGCCGACGATAGGTCCGGAAAGCTTCTTCCTGCATTGGTTGCAGCACCACCCTCGCAACCCCTTGCGTGTAGTGGAGAGGAGTTGCAGCGATAATACTTCAGTAATGTCCCACTTGGGCGGCCCAACCCCACCTGGTGCTGGTGCTGGGCGCTTGCAGTCTGGCCACAGGTCGATGGATTACCATCCATCAATATCGGAGGTACGGATAGCGCGCCTCCATTGTTTGGACAAGGCCTTGTCTGTTTCTTTCTCTCTCCTTGTTCTTTCATTCTTCATGCTTCTTAATTCTGTAACTCTTGGTGGGCGGAGGCGAAGAACGATGCTGACAGGTGGAACGAAGAAAATGTCGCACAAAATGAGGAGGAAGAAGTTGCTGAAGAGGGAGGGGGTGGGGTGTGTGGGTGTGGAAGGAAAGAGAGGGAGGAGAGATTGGAGCGTCTGGCACTAACCAGTATCCTGCCCTGTCTGTCCGCCTGAGGAATCCATGTAATTCTTGTCGCTCATTCTTTTCCGACCGTTAAGCGCGTTTACCATATCGACCCTCAACTACCTTCTCGAAATTTCGGCTGCTTCGCCCCCCTACTCTGTTGAAACCGTTTCTGCCTCGTGCTCGTGTGTCGCGTTCAACCGATATAAACTATAACAGCGAGCATTTCCTAGCGAACCACATGCTTCAGCTTACATCCGAGACGAAACATGGCTTTCCTGCCGGTAATCATGCAATCATAGGGTGGAGGTGAGACTGTATGCACATCTATCAGAAGCACAATGCACCGCGCGGTCCGTGTTTTGTTTGATACGAACTATGTCCTGTACACTGTACTAAAATGGGGGGAGGAAGATCCCGCGGAGAGAGATGGTTCAGAGCTTAGATTTGGATCGACGTGTAGGGTGTCTATCTAGGCACCGACACCTTGGCTACATCCTTGTCGAGTATTCCAGGATAGCTCGAGTAGATTGAGAGACAACTTGACGCGGAGAAGTGGTGGTGGTTGAGTTAAGGTAACCCGTATACTCGACGACAACCAACAGGTAGAGAGACAGAGAGAATGGAGAAGGAGGGCAGGAGGTCCGCTATCGACGGGCCGACTCCCGCACCCGTCGTACATACATACATACATACATACATACATACATAGAAACTAGGTTACTAGGTATTTATTATTTCAATAAATGCCACTCAATTGTCAATACATCCATAACGTAAATTTCTCTCTTCTTCGAACTAAGATTGCAGCAGGGGAGAAGGAAGAAGAACAAGCACCAGAGGTCTGCCACTGGAGGCAACCTTTACGGTGCCAGGGAAAGGCAAAAAAAAAAACACAAATAGAAACGAAAGTAAGAAAGGGAAAGCAAGAACGAAATGAGAGATGGGGAATGAGACAATACAAATCGAATAGTGCAGAGCAATCAATCATTTTCAACGCAGTGGAGCCGTTCGGAGTTACTGGGAGAAGTTTATCCTTCGTATCAAAGCAAACCTAAGATAGAGCTAGCTGACTTGGACCTTTTCTCCTACCTGATGCCACAACCTGTCATCAGCACCAGCACCAGCACCAGCATCAATGATAATTCCATTTGCAGTACGGAGTAGTACTCCATAAATCTTTCTTTCTTCTATCTCCAGTGGTCCAGCCCAGGGACCATAAATGGCCCCGCGCTAGAACTGCGCCTAATCAAGCTTGGAGGCTTTTTTAGTTCATTTAGTCCCTTTTAGTTCGACGAGCTAAAGGATTTCCCCCCCCGATACCTGATACCAATCCCCTCAGGGCTTCCTCTTTCTCTTCTCCTCCCCTCCTCCCTTCCCCTCCCCGTCAACCCGTCACACTGCACTCCGCCCTACAGCTGACACTGATAGAAGCTCCGACAATCCTGACTAAAAGAACTAGCGGCTCCCTAACAGTGAACGGGCTCGACGGAGTCAACCGCCGGTCCCTCTGGCATCCGGGCCCATCCCTGCCACGCTAGGACGAACTGCGTAAATGCACGGGGATCAAATCGATCAATCACGGCCGGAGATCGCGCGCCGCTTCGCTCATTCGATACACCATTCAGGACGGAGGGTCGACGACTGATTCTTGATGGCCGGTCCGGTTTGGTCTCGCTTTCCTCAAAGCGTGAGTGAGGAATTACTCCGGGTGCAGAAGTGGAGAGAGATTCGAGACTTTCCATCCCGACTCCAATTTGCTAAGACTTTCTCTTTCAACAAGTTTGAGCTCTTTTTTTCTTTTTTTCTTTTCTCCTTTGCGTGGAGCAATCCTTCAGTCGGACTGTTGTATCGAGACTACCACACAGCTTTGGAGAGGTTGCGCCAGGCTAGCCATGGTTTACCTGTCAAATCCTCGGCTGTACCTGCAGCGACCATGCAAGTGCAAGCAGCGAACCACCTACCAGGTCGCCTCGCGTCTAATCTAGCAATTCTTCAGCTGTCCCAACAACTCTAGTCTAACAGCCTTTCAGCCGGATGTACAGGAGTGCAGTTCCGGCCATGACTAGCACGAGTGAGTGACAGACCGGCAGCTCCCATCCCCCTCCCAGAACATTCAGCCGGGGCTGAGGGGTTCGAGCCGAGGCCATCAATCGCGACTAGTGGCTAATAGTCCCCTCACCGTCTGGAGACCCCTGGGGGGAGACGAATCTCCGCCTGCAGTGCGACCTACGCATTATCTTGCTGAGGGGACGCGGGATCAACCGGTCGAGGAACATGTTCTATTGAATTCTTTGTTCCGACCGGACAATTTGCATCATCGTCATCAACTTCCCGGGCTCGGAAGTCACAAATACAGGGCAGATTACCGTGTCGAGCGAAGGGAGACAAAATGGCCCCCAAGAACCCCAGTTCCAGGTAGAGACTAACTCGCTCTATATGTCCATCGGCGCTTAAAATACCTGGTTTTGAGCACCGATATGAATCTCCGGAATGGTCGTTAGATGCTCGGGATGACATGGCAGCCCTGTGATTGGTTCAGTCGATTCAATCCTACCCTTTCTGCATCTGTTCGGCAGTTGTCTAAGCCGTCAATGAAAATCCGCGACAGCATCGACCGACCATCACAACGCGGCTCAGACCGAGTCGCTTTCTTCGTCCATCCGTGTCCGACTGCGACAGCCGCCGCGATTAACACAGGAGAGCCAATAAATGAGCGCCGATGGGCTTAAGGTCTGTTCTTAATGTGGTTCGGGGAGGGTGGGTAAAGCCATCATCTGATGATCCGAAGTCGCCCGTCGGTGGTGGAGGGCGGGCTGCACGCAGTAATTAACCTTACATTGCATGTTCCGGCGAGTTACCCGTGCACGATCGACTGCACAGGTGGACTGCCTTGCCTTAGTGGAGGACCAGGAAATTGCGGATGTGGAATCCTGCCGCGTTCTTCTCACTCACAGGCTTTTTCTTTTCTGTTGGAATCACCCTACTCTGGTAAATCTGAGCGATCCGGATCCAATACACAGGGGGCCTTACCTGAACCAATTACAACCTTATGATCCAAAATGTCGTTGGGCATGTCACGATGGCATCATCCCATACCCCAACTGGAGAGTGTCACAGACACTCTGAGAGGTGCGACCTAGACCAAGTGGCGACGCTTGCCAACCGGACTGAGGATCCTCGCTTCCGCGGCACGGGCCTCTTCTCTTCTGGTCTGTTAACCAGCAAAATAATGGATTAATAGGGACAACTATATTAAGGAACGATGACTTCCTTGCCGGGATTGGTCAACCTGGTCCATGCATTGATTGGCAGCGGACGCGACCACGTATGTACAGCTAGCAAATCTCACTGGCTCTCCTTCCTCGTTCCTTCCATCCTTCTTTCGTTTCTGCCTCGCGCCCGGTCGCCGTTGACGCCGCCAGCCGGAGAACATGGCTGATTGTCGATTTCATCTCAAAGTCCTCGACTGACTGACCGCTTCTCTCGTGTGCTATCCTTGCCGCTCCTCGCGCGTCTGTGCCAGGGTCGGTTTCAGCTGCAGCGACCCGTGATGCATATGCGGGCGCAGGGTCGGGTTGGCCGTTTTGTTGAGGTAGGGTCGCTAACATACCTGGAGATCGTGATGGAGATGTCGCTATTGTACTCCCCTTCATTTAATTTTCCCCTCTGGGATTTTGCTTTGCACTACTTGAGGGTCGAGCTACAGCACGTAGTGTGGTGTGCACATTCCAAAGTGACATACATATGTATGTCACTTTCATAGCGGCCGATCCATGGCCCCTTTCCGAAGGGGACGGTCTGCCCCTAATTATAGCTTGTCCAGCTGATCAATGATGGTGGAGGTTTAGTACCCATCCATCCATCCAACCATCCATCCATCCCTTGATTACACCACCAGCAAACCACCCAGCCACGCATTTGCCTCGCTTCACCGTCTTTCTGCTGCTGCTGGCGCCGCCGCTCTGGAATGCATGCGTTGTGCGACATAAAGCAGGCTTGGCTGGAGGGATGAGATAAATATGTAGACGATGTCACTGTATGCTAATTTTCACGTTAGCATGCATTGGACTTGCTTAGGATCCTAGCGGGTGAGGTAGTGTTGCCCTGCGACGCCATGTACGGTAACTTTATCAGGTCTGAGTAACTTTTCCTGGCCATGGTACTCACTCAGATATATATCTTTGGCCGTCATCAATACCGATTGAAGTAGGTTGGTATTTCCTGCTTTCGTACATAATCATCCATAATTCTAGCACACCATGTATATGCTAGATAGATCTCATAGTAGGGAGAATGATGAAGAAACAGCGAGGATTCTGTGAATGGCATGAGTCTGGACAAGTTGCACAGCCAGCACGAAATGTGGCAAAAGAGTATATAGTATAACTTACTCCGCACCATAGATATGTAACTACCTGGAGGCGAGATAAGATAAGCTTATCGATAAGCCCCAGCCCACTCAAATAACCATCACATGACCATTCTCTCTCCCCTACGCAACATGGTTCATTCAAACAAAAACATTCCACCAAGTGTGCAACATCATCCCCCTCGACAAGAACCGTGAAAGACCAACGACAAATCTAAGCTCTTCCCCACAGCGCCAATACGCTCTCCCCCCCTCAACCCTTTATCTCCTCCTCCAATCGCATCTGCTGCCACCCATATATCCACCTCTAATAATCAGAAAGAAGAACACCAAGTAAATTAACCGAGCAAGGGTTAAAAAAAAAAAGAAGAACAATGCCACCACCGCTCGCGAAACCCAAATTCAACCCAAATCCTCAACCCCGCGCCCGCTTCTTCGATGTCTTCAACTCCGCTTCTACGGGCCACCAGGTGGCCGATGGGGGCTCCCGCGGCCGAGAATGGCGGATCACCCGGCGGGAGAAATTGGCGCGACAGTTTGGCTCGAAGGATGGGGATTGCACTTCGTCTGGATCTTTGCTGTCGGCTGGGAAGCCCGGGGAGGAGGGAACGGAGGAAAGGGGAGAGTGGGTGTTTGCTCGTCCGGAGTCCGTTTGCTCGGGGGACAACAATCACAACAACAATAACAGCCACTCACAATTGTGCTCGCATGGGTCGTCCAGGCGAGCGCCCCCGATGCTGCATGGTCGGTCTAGGTCGTCGTTGACGTCGACTCCCGCCGGTCAGTTGGATATACGGAATATGCTTGGTGGACAGGTTCGGAAACGTGGATACCCTGCTATTGATAGGAGTGGTGGTGATTATGATGATTTGGAGTGGGCTGGTATAAAGAAAGTGAAGGCACACACGGGGTACAGCCACTCTGTTAGGGCTACAGATACTGCTGCTACCGCCTTACCATCACCATCAGCAGTAGCAACAGCAGTGAGATTGGACGATTCGAGGGAACGCGACACGGTTGGACGGGTGTCTACAGCCACTTCCTCCACGTCTCGACCTACACCACCTCCTACTACCTCCTTCCTGTCCACGACCACAACCACAACTACAGACCCAGGTCCAGCTCCTTCTACTACATCCAGAACATTCTCACCACCCCCTTCCACGGCAACAGCCGCGGCCCCAGAATCAAAGTCACCATTCCTGCAAGCCGAACCCACCAACAAGAAGATATTCGCCTCTCTCACCATCCACATCAACGGCCAGACAACACCCCTGATATCTGACCATACTCTCAAACGTCTTCTGGTCACGCAAGGAGCAACCCTCAGTCTCTCCCTCTCTCGCAAGATTACTCATGTCATCATCGGCGTTCCCAATGCGGGACCGGGGAACGGCGGCGCCGGGGGTGGGCTCGCAGCTACAAAGATCCAGAAGGAGATTCAACGCGGAGGGTGGAAGGGGATCAAGGTTGTGGGGCTTCAATGGTAAGCTTTTTCCCCCTTGATTCAAGATTTGCATGGGCTGATCGAATGATAGGGTTCTGGATAGCATTAAAGCTGGGAAACGGCTGTCGGAAGGGAGGTATGCGGTTCAATTGGGAGGAAGGCAGAGGAGTGTGCTCGGATTCTGCTCCTCATCGTCGTCGGCAGTGACACCACCCTCTACGGTCGGCTTATGATGCGCAAACATACAGGCTCGTCTGGCCAAAGACATTTTCATCGTCAACAAGCTTCTCACCACTTCGTAACAAAAGATACCCCACCCGACAGCCTTTGATGAAGTCCTATATATACATACGGCATTACTTCAAAATATCTCAGCAAAGAGCAAAACACAGACACACACATTAATATATCCCATCATCATATATACATTACAGATTTCATCAAGCATCATTATATCATATATCATGTCATACAGCCCAGATCCAAGTCCCTAAATGAACGTCCCCCTCTTACCAGGGAGACCTCCACTGCCCCCTCCACTGCTCAGTCCCGATCGGTGTCTCCGCCATCCCTCGCTGCTTCCCCCATTCCCACTCCCGCGGGCCGGCGGTGACGAGACAAATGTCCCAGCGCTACTGTCAGACTCGCGTCGTAAGCTTGTCATTCCAATTGGCGCATATGGATCGGCCAGCGGTTCTTCATCAGGCAGAGGGGGAAGCGGGTTCACGCGCAGTCGCGCCGGATACAGTGACTCGCTGGAGAACATGCGATGCGATTCAGGGGAGTCTGCCCGGTGGAGATGACCCGAAGGCAACGGGTCTGGTCCATCATTCCAAATATCATCGTCATCATAAGTACTGTCCAGGGCCTTTCCATCCAGGTCATCCGATCTCGAGTCTCCTCGCACCAGGCCAAGGCGCTCTTCCTCGGTTGCACCCGACGAACGGTGGTAATGATTATGAGGTTGATGATGGTGACCACTTTGCCGTGAGACACTGCGGGGGGTGACTGGTTCGGGGCTGCTGGCTTTCATTCGTCCGATGACGCTGTTGAATGAGAATTGCCGTTCCGCGCCGCCGTGCGCCGGAGGACTCGGGGGATCGATATGGTCGTAATCCTCTGCATTGACGATCGATCGGATGGAGTTGTCGACTGGGCCGGTATAATGCGTGTCAGGATACTTGCGGCCTGCTGCCATGGCTGTCAGCGACACGGGGTCAGCGTCAGACAAATGCGACGGCTCCTTATGTAGGGGCTGCCACGCTGGGTGGAAGAGGTTGTTCGCGCGCGAGCGGAGGTCATCTAGGAACGAATGGCTACTCTGTGTTGTAGCCGGGCGGGTCGGTTCGTTGTCCTTCTCAGCCTCCCAGTTTTGTTCCTCTGGTACGCGGGCCATACCCAGCGGTGGGAGTGGGGGCTGTCGGACGGACGGGGTGCGTGCGCGCGCTGCCATGGTGGGACCCTCACCGAGAACGGTCTTGCGTCGGCGCAAACCATCCCATTCGACGATTTCATTCTCGGCCAGAGGAGTCCGTAGGTCCTCCTGGCGGTCGCGATAATAGCGACGGGCTTCTTCAGCTTCCATGGTGCGGCGTGGGGTGGAAATGCGGCGGATGATAGCCGCGGCGCCGCGAATAGAGTCGGCCTTGGGCTCGAATTCGTGTTCTTCCTGCGTTGCAACCTCGCGAACTTGATTGAGATCACCCTTAAAGACGGCGGCATCCGGGACATCCTTGGCAGATTTGGAGAGCTGCAGCAATACTACGCCCGCGCAGATTTGTAGGAAGCCGAGGACGACGGTGACGATATCTTTGACGGAGCCGTGGAAACCCTGGAATAAGACGGCGGAGGTGACGATGGTTGCGCTGGTGAAGAAGACGTAGTAAGTTGGGGTGACGAGGGCGGCATTGAAAATGTTTAGCGCTTTCTGTATCTGGTCAGCGCAAACCCACGTCAGTCAGAGCACGATGGGGGGGCATACATTCAGATATATGATTTCCGTCAAGAGCGTTGCGACCACAAACACCAATAGAACATACAAGAACCATTCCTTAAATTGCGATTCGCCATTGATCTGCGCCAGAATAGCCGACCCCAAACCCTGCGTCGCAACCACGCTCAACCCCCCAATCAGTGAGCAGATACTGAGATACACGAACATAGACTTCTTCCCGTATCGCGGGCCCAGATACAGCGCGGTGAAAATACATCCGGCGATGATCACGCCCGCATACGATAGAAACCCGGGCGCAATCACGTAATGTTTCATCTCCTGGATATTGCTGACGGATGACTGCTCGGGAGCGTTCAGCGGAATCACCACGGAGCCAATAATACAGCAGAAACAGCCAACTTTGCCAACGAAGCTGAGTCGTTCCTTGAGGAAGATGGCGGAGAGGACGGTGCAGACCACGACAGTGAGGGCGCCCAGCGGAGTTACTAAGATCGCATCAACGAAAGCATAGGCTACGAAATTGCAGATCTCTCCGACGATCATCAAGGTCATTCCTCCCCACCAGTACAGGTTCTTGAGGTAGCCATAGCCTTCACCGGCTTCTTCGTTATATTTGACATTGGCACGGAGGAGGCCGATCTTCTTGAGGACGAAGGAGGTGCCGATGAAGAAGCCGGAAGCGACGGCGAGGCAGATACCGACGACTTTGTAGGATGCGGGCCGCGATGAGGAGGTCGATGAGGAGACAGAGGATGTTGTCTCTCGGGCAGCCAGAAGGGCGGTTGTTGCGGTGTAGTTGTAGAGCGCCGTCATCACGGCGGCGGTTGTCGTGGCAGCCATGATGATGACGATGATGATAGTGATAGGAGAAAGAGAGAACAAGGAAGTGGTTTAGAGCGGAAGGAACCACATGAGCGATGAGTCGATTGAAAAGACCCCCGCCAGCAGTGAAAATGGGCCCCTTTCTGTTCGTTCCCTTTTTCTCTGCTTCTCTTCTCCTATCAGTGGTTTCAGGCTGAGAGGAGAAAAATCGGGGCGAAAAGACAGTGGTGGAGGTGGGGGGATTTGTCGATTATATTTAGACGGCGCTAGACTGTCAGTGCGAGAGAGGCTGAGTTGCGACAGCGGCGGAATGTGGAGTGATGTGGATGGGAATGTGTCAGGTAGAGAGATTAATTCAATTGGAAAGAGGTGAAGGAGAAGAAGAAGACGAAGAATACATACAGCCCAAACTCCACAACGTGGCTGTCTCCTCGTAAGAGTACGACGAGTGTACTAAGTAGAACCTAACAAGCTGCAGTCAGGAAATAAACACGAAAATAAGAGAGGGCTGGGGAAGGTTGAACTGCACGTGCTGCGTGCGGGTCTCAATCCTTCCCCAACTCGGCTTTTGTTTCCCTTCACTGCACTATGATTGATTGATTGATTTACAGTATAATTGATGCTTTCTTCCCCAAACTTGCTTAACCACCATGAAAAATGTGAAAAAGAAATTCATTCACTCATTAGGGTATCCTTCAATGTCATCAAGTCCTCAAACAAACAAAGAAACAAACAAAACTCCTCCTCCTCCTGCCCCCAACATGCACCTGCCAGGACTCCCTTTGAGCTTCCTGACGCCGTACCACCCAATCTCTACCCCAAGAATTATTAACAGGTCATATCATTATTAGGCACAAGGAAGGTTGAATCGCGGCTTCCCTCAATCCCCTCACCGGACATGATAACTCGGCTTCCGCTGCTTGTTGACCACCGGGGGTTCATCCATGGGATACGGCGGTCGCATTTTCCCGCTCGCTGCCGGATATCCGTGGTTACTATTCGTCGTCATTGGCGGCATCACTGGCGGCATCGGCATTGGGATCCCGCCCAGTTCACTGGGATGGTCTGGGTACGGAATGGGAGTCTTTGGGGGTACAGGTGGGGGAACTCCCTCCCCGCTATGATGCGACGGCAGCTCAAAACTGGGGCGTGAAGACCCGTGGGGACTTGGACTGGCTAGATCACTTCCGGAACCCCGCGCCGGGGAGCCCAGAACCGCATCGTGCGGCGTCGGATGCATGGGAAGTGCATCGTCGGTCGCCAATGGTCGTGGAACAAAATCGCCCGGCAGTTCGGCGGGCAATTCCACCGCCATTGGATGGGGCAATGGCGGCTGCACCGAAAGGACAGGGCTGCCCAGAATGGAACTGGTCTCCTCGGCCGTATCATTTCCGCCGCTCGCGTCCGCATGTTCGGCCAGCCGTCGATGCTGTCGGTTGATTTTGGCGAACTTGACCCCTGCATCGAGGATCTGTCGCTTCACTTCTGGCCGAGTCAGGTAGCGTCGCGTATTGGTGCTAATATCCGCCAAACGATTCCACTCGTTCATACCAAACTCGCCGACCCCGACCTCGACATTCAATCGGTAATAGTTGTCCTGGCTCACGTTTCGCTTCGAAAGATGGTCGCGCAGCATCGCCACGTGAATGTCTTCACAGCCCTCTATTTTAGCGATCAGCCGCCGGCGCGCCTCCGCGAACGTGCCCAGCGCATCCCCAAAGAAGTCCTCCCACCACTCGTGTTGGCGATTGTTTGTGCCTGGCGGCCGTTTCCCGGTACCCACACTGACGAACACGCCTACCTCGCGGCCCGGCCACTCGTTCACTGTTGCTTCGTCCAATACCTGCGGAGCCGGATTGTATGTGCCGGCACCTTCATCAATAAACACGTGCTGTCCGATCTGGATGGGCTTGAAAGCCATTCCGGTTGCCGAGGTGGCTCGGCCTGCCTGCCAAACGGTGCAGTTGAACTCGGGCGGGGGTTCTTTGCGGGAATCGTAGGAACGCAGCAGGACAGACGATCCATTCCGGGTGGTACCTTTGTAGAGAGCGGTGACCGCACTGAGAAGTCAGTCAAATCCATGTTATTATTTGGAGTGCGAGAGAGCACATACGTTTTGGTTCTATATTCCCGATTGTCATACAACAATGCATCCGGATTTCCCCACCGCAAGCCATTCACAAAAGTAGAATTGCGATGACTACCATGACCAGACGAGTGCGCAGTACCAGTCGTGCTGAAGCTAGCGCGACTGCCCGAGCGCTGAGGAATAGCGACCGCATTAGGACTATAGGGGGCACCAGCGAGCGAATTGCGCGCACTGCCGGAGGCCATGTCGTTACCCTCGGCCTCGAAAACGGTATGTTCCCGGACACATTCGCGGATAGCCTCTTCGAGCCTGGATGCCTTGAAGAGGGTGGACCGAAAGGGAATGCCGGCGATGGTTTTATCGGTTTCGAAAACCCGGCGGGTCATGCGCACATAGACTTCCTTGCAGGTCTCGAGGTCAAGGCGGAGGCGGCCCAGCATGAGGGCGATAAGACCGCCGGTACCAGTGCCGACGATGAGATCGAAATGGTCGCATGGTTTGGGTATCTCTTCACGGCGAGGGGCTTTGCCTTCGCATTCAACGTAGACGCGATACATGAGTTCTTGGAGAATAATGAGCATGGAATAGCCCCGGACGCCACCACCGTCTAAAGATTGAGAGAGAAGAGTTAGTAAGAGAAGAACCATGTAAGCTTTGGTGTTAGAGACGAAGGACCTACCCAAGGAAAGGATCCTCAAGGGCGGACCCTTGGTGGTGTCCTTGCGGCGGAGGTTGACGGAGTAATCCATGACCCCGCGGGGTTGAGACACGATCAGGCGGAAACGATTGTAGGCAGTAGAGGAGGGAGAAGTATCTCTGTTGGGAATAAGGCCAAGGACAGTTCTAATGTGGATGGCGCAATAATGAGAGAGCCTTGGAATTGAGGCAGGGAAAGAAGAAAGAAGGGGAATGGTAGATATGGTCAAGACAGGCGGACAAGAAGGAGAACAGTGTGAAGAATGAATGACTACAAAATGATTAACCAACTAACTACGGATTGGTGATGGAATTGATGGGCGCAGTGGCTGTTGCCGGCTGCTGCGCCACGCCCCGCTGATATAATCATTCTATAGAGCGGGGACGTGTAGGTCAGATGTTAACCCTGTCTGATTGGCCTCATGCAGGGTTGCCGCGCAGGTGGCGGTGCAAGGAAAGTGGGGCGGTGCGTATTCTTGTTTACTATTGTACGAACTTGACGTAATGAAGCGAGCCATCCATCTGCTTCTCTTCTGTGTTCGGAACTTCGGCTCGAGACAGGTATGCAGTGCTGATCATACTATCTACTTGTAATACCTTATTCTGAACTGAATTTTGCTATCACCAGTTGACCTGCTGTTGTACCATGGGATCATTCAGGAACCGGACTTTAATACCCCGAGATATATCATCGATGAATGATGGTCCACGTTGATTCTCATTTCCTGTTCGTACTCTGGGCCCCCAACCAAAAGTCTCAATTGGTCAACCCAGGCCAGTCTATGCAAGCCAGTCAGCCAGTCAGTCAGCCAGCCAAATCGAAGTTAATGCACTTTCCCAGACAACACTCACCGTAAACCATTCGTTCCTCTACTCGTCGAGCGACCACCACCTCATCACCCACCTGCACCTTCTGACCCTCGGAGTCACCGTCAAGGAAGACGTACCGACCGAAGACTGGACTATACTTCGCTCCCTTATCGACCCTACGATCTTTCATCAGTTTCTTTAACACATTACCCGTTTTTCCTTGTGCCATTGCGCCCGTCGCATAGTCGACGTTGAGACTCTGACACCGAATACAGTTGGCCGTCAACAGCAGCCGTGTTTTTCTTTCCTCGTCAGACCCAACCACCACCTCCGCCCAGAAATCCTCCTCGAAGGCCTCGTTTGCGCCAGCTACCACGATGTTTGGGCGAAACTTGGTGACATCCATTTTCAGGTTCCCTTCTAGCCGCTCCGACACGTTGTCCACCGACGTCGCTGACACCAGCAGATACGGGGCCGTATCCGCAAAAGTGATGTGTTCCTCTTCTTCTCTTCTCGAATTGACTCGAGCATAGACAGCCATCCCTCCAAGCACAACCACCAGTAATGCGACCGCCACCGCCGCACTTGACATTCCGAGCCTTGTGCTCTCACCCGTCGCACCCAAGCCCACCAAAAGATTAAACAAAAGCGTTACCCCAGCAATTCCACTTACTGTCCCAACGGTTAGAACGCCCTCGCCTTTAGAATTTCCCTTTCTATTTCCGGGCTTTCCCTTTTTGATCGCCTCGGTATGCGCCGCACTTTTTGTCGGCGCAAAACTGCCCAAGACCCCCCTCGAATGTGGTCCCAGATAGGCCAGCACGACTGGAAACCCGAACCACTCGCTGAACCAACCATTATACTGCGGGCCCATATTATATCCCTTTGTGGGACTCCGATGCATCACGATGGTCAGCTCGTCCAGTCCTCGCGTATCGGGACTGAGGGGAAGGCGGAGGATGCGGCTTGGTTTGCCATTTTCATCAATCGATGCGCCTACAGCCGGCCGATACGTCACCACAATGTGTCCTGGTTCTGTCCCATCCTCACTAGGGTAGATTATATCGGTATAGAAAAGGGACATCTCCGGGAAGACCGGAATGTGCATGTTCTCGAGGGTGCCATCATCCAGAACCTTGAGAAGCATGAACCGGCGATCATAGAGAAAGCCCGTTCGGGTGACGGTGGCGGAGGAGAGGGGAGTCCCCCGAATAGATTTGATGGGGTAAGTGTACAGCTGAACGATGGTCAATTAGCCGAGGGGTCTTAGTCCTTCTGTCGAGAGAATGATACGTCATCATCACTCGAGTGAACCCAAGGGAAGTCAAGTCAGGAGATCGACGTACCTGGCTAATGCGCATGGCTGTGGGTTGGCTGGCTATAGAGGATATTTGGGTTGATGCTTCAATCACTGCTCCATATGGACAGGAAGGCCTTCCTCCCTTGAATCAGTGTGGAGGGCGACATGTTGGGGAGAATTAGTGCGGAGACGGACTGCACGTGCTGATTAGTTAGCTCAGGCATGTACCAGTCTGACTAAGACGCGGTGTTTTGAGCACGACGGATCAGGATGGATGAAACTGGAGTTCAATGATAGGAAGTTATTGTGGATGATGTAGTTAGGTGAGCAATGTAGGTCATATCTTCGCCAGCAGTGCCAACATGGAGCGTAAATGCTACTGCTACTACTACCAGGTAGTCATAGAATCGAGGCGTTGCGAGCAGGCCAGGGGCCAGGAGTGGTGCAATAGGAAGTAGATAGATAGTAGGTAGTACTAAGTTCTAACCGGTACTCGGAAGTCGGGACACAAAGCTGAGGGATTAATCATTATCCGTACCTGGGAATCTCCGAAAGTAATTGGTTGTACAGCCCTGCGCTCACATCCAGATTGTCTGGCGAATAAACCTAGACACACACTATCTGACCTCCTAATTAGCTCAACTCTTCATTCTCATCTATCGTCCATAGCGAACCCTCTCTCTCCCCTCGATTTAATTGAACCTTGTTGGACCCGAGACACAGCCGGTCAAGCCAACCTAAACCGGGCAACGATGGTCAGGAGTCCTCAAATTGGATGGGTGAACTGGGTCCATGACTCTCCATGGCTCCATAGATCCTACCCTTAACCAGGGAACCTCTCAGGAACACCTCTCTCCCACCGTGGACATTCTGGACTCTACCTAAAAACAGACTCGACTCTTGACTTCCTTTTAATTATTATTGCCAAGTACTTACCGGTAGTCTAAGACCCTGTTTTGCCCGGAAGGGAAATTCAGTTTACTAGAAAGACCCCTGGTCTAATCTAGTGTGACGACCAAGAGTCTAGCCTCGGGCGGAGGAATTGTTTGTTGTTTGTTGAATGTTTCCTTAAATTGAGTCGGTTGAAGACCAGCTGATCGAGCCAAGCCCTATACTGTAGTACTGTGCCTGGTGCCTTGCATCCTGCATCACCACCATCGCCACCACCATCATGTCTTTCTCTCTAACGTTTTAGAAGAACACTACCCCGTCTCTTTCCCCGTTCCCCTGCCAGTGGTTTACTACTACACTAAGTAAAACAGTCAGTCAAGCCACACGAGCTGAAGAACGCCTTTCCTTCCCCCCCCTGGCGTGGAGCCCTAGCGAATATTACGGTTCCGCCCCCGCTGGAGGTGAAACGGACTAGTAAAGCAACTAAGCCATCCATGATGAGATTTCATTTAATCTCCCATAGGAAAAAAAGGAAATGAAGAGTAAGTCAGTAGACTAGTCTATTCTAGTGGTCCCTGAAGTGAACTGCTTCGCCAGCAGCCCGTTTCTCCTTTTCTACCCTCCCTCCGCCCTCTTTTCTTCTTCCTCTCTCTCTCTCTCTTCTTCTTCTTCTTCTCTCTCTCTCTCCTTCTCACCCCACGCACTCGCTGTTTCATCTTGACAATCCCGGTCTCTGTACCGATTACGTTCTTTATCTCGACACCGTCGATCAACTCGTTAAACCGTCACTCTTTTTGACACCAATATAAACCCACCGTCAAATCATTCCTCCGCCAATCTCGAGCTCAACACACATATACACACACCGTCAATCATTTCATCATGCGTGTCTCCTCTGCTGCTGTCGTCGCCTCTCTGGCTGCCGGTGCCATTGCGACCGAGTACAAGACCGTGGTTGTGACCGAGTACGCCACTTACTGCCCCAAGGCCACTTCTCTGGCCGCTGGTCCCGGCACTGTCAGCCAAGGCAACCCTTCTGCTGCTCAGGTGAGTTTGTCGATGCCTAAGCCAGCTGCTTCATATTATTTTCTTCTTGGAAGACTTGGAGACTGATTCGTGAACAGCCTACCACCGTCACTATCTCCGGCACCGCCTACACCTACAGCACTCCCCTGGTCACCTCCACCGTGACCCACTGCGACAAGTGGTACGTGCCTCGTGTGCCTCCAAACAAGACCAAGTAAACAGCATGACTGATATGGAGAATCTAGCTCTGCCACCGCTGCTCCTGCCACTGAGACCGGCGCCGCCGTTGTTACTGGCTCCGGTGCCTCTCCCAGCGCGGGCTCCGGCTCCTCTGGTTCTGGCTCCGGTTCCGAGGCCTCCCCTAGCGGTGCCGACGCCGTTGGTACTGGCCCTTCCCCCAGCTCCGGCTCCGGATCTACCCCCGGCTCTACTGGCTCTGAGTCCTCTCCCAGCGGTGCCTCCTCCGGCAACACCGGCTCTACCCCCAGCTCCGGTTCTGACTCCGGTTCGGAGTCCTCCCCTAGCGGTGCCTCTGCTGTCGGCAATGGTGGTTCTCCTAGTGAAGGTTCCGGCTCCTCTGGCTCCCCCGGCTCCCCCGGCGCTGGTGCTTCCGCTCCCAACGGACCCACGGGAGCTCACCCCCAGGGTGCCAAGCCTACCCCCGGACCCAGCGGTATCTTCTCTACCCGTCCCGTGATCCCCTCCGGCCGTCCTTCCTCCTCCAAGCCCATCCCCTCCGCCTCGGCCAGCCCCGTCGCCAGCTCCAGCTCTAGCTCCGGCTCCAGCTCTAGCTCCGGCTCCAGCTCTTCCTCGGCCACCGGCTCTTCCCCCGAGGGTGTTTCTGCCCAGGGCACCGGCTCCAACACCGGTTCTGCCACCAGCCCCTCCGCTCCTGTCTTCACTGGTGGTGCTTCCCGCGCTGCCGTCGGTGCCGGTGCCGGTCTTGCCACCGTCTTCGCCCTCGTCGCCTACCTGCTGTAAATCGCTCTCAAGTCCATTTGAAAGCTAGGGGTTTCTCTAGTGTATAGAAGACCCGGAGGAAGACTGAAAGGACAGATGAAGATGTTGTAGGAGTATCCCTTGTCGACCCGACTTCCTATAATCTTCTCTGCCCTTATTTTCTTCAGTCAGGGCCCGACGTTGGACTATGAAGAGCAACAAAATCAGATTCAAATCCAAATTCAAATCCAACTCACTTACTATGATGATGTATCTTCTACCTCCGTCTGCTGACCATACTTGGTTCTTTATCCCCCCTCCCCTTCCCTTCGGTAGGCAATCTGGGTGGGTGGCGGCCGACTGGGGTAAGAAGTACTAATTTCGTCGTGACTGGAATGATTTAGAAGGGGAAGTGGAAGACGGTCTCCTTTGTTCGCGTGTCAGTGACTTAACCTTGTGTTTGTGCGTGAGAATATCTTTCTGTTTTCATTTCTCACGACTTGCCATATAACTTGGTCTGATTCTTTATGATGGCTTGCTTATTATCTTTCCTCACCCCAACTTCGATGATCCATATTCTGTTTCCCCTGGGCTTGGGCTTTGCATGTCTTTTCATCTTTGGTTTCCTTAATTATCAGCCCTCCTCATCTTTGTGTATAATCTTAATGTCGATGTGTGAGGCGTGTCTCTCTGACATTCAATCGATTCCAAGTTTTATCGATAATTCCCCGAAGGCCGCACGCCTTTAACCCGACCTTGATCTGGTACTGGTAAACTCTAGCTTAAAAGGCGTACCGCAGTCGAGCGAGACCGTGCACATATGGAGAGATTCCCTTGGGTCATGCTCGTTTGGGAAGGCCAGTTCTTCTTGTATACTGGCCCCGAATGTCGTGACACGAGCCGACTAAACATCTTCTAATTAAGATGGTTGGGTTGACAGACACCGTTGGTGGTTAGCAAATCCCGGCTGTTGGGTATTCCAGAAGAAGTCACGTCCTAACGGTTGCCCTTGCCCGAGTAGCTGACCGCTCCGATCAGCGTCTGTACGACCCGGCTACTGGTAAAGGAATATGCGAATATCCGACCGGTCATCATCGGTGGCCATGCAATATTGGATTCAGATCAAACAAAGGTTGATGCTTCCACGTATTCAGGAAGAGCAAGACATCCGCTACCTGCGTATCCTGCTGTCCGCTTGAATAGCACATTAATTCGTGCTCTGAGGCCGCCTTCAACTAGAGTAGGTAGCGTTGTTTCATGGCGTTTATCTCTTTCAATCAATAGTCGACTTTTGTTACGAGTTAGCCTGTCGTTCAATCTAGTCTGTGAGGAACTTGCTCAGTTGTTGTGCCAGCAGCGCCTCATACGTTCGATAACTTCCAGCTTCAATGTTCGATGATTGGATGTCTTCGAAGGATATCCACTCTATCGTAAGTCATTAGCAGAGACCGGCCTTAATGCAAACTTTTCTTCACTTCTTTTCTTGTAAAGCTCAATCAAAGCCAGGAGAGTCTTAATTCACTCGACCGCAATAGGACAAAATGAAAGGGAAGATAGGAACTTAGGGGATCGCTGTCATAGCTGTTACCACTGCAGAGATCCGTGGTAGAACTGCTCCTCGTCTTGATATAGACGGGTAACTGCGGTCGGCGCCAACCCAACACAAGCTTACCTGTGACGCCTGGATGCACTTTCTCGCCGGCATCGTCAATGACATGCGTATCAAACCCAAGCATCGGCTGACTCGCGGATTCTAATCAAACATGAGATGGCAGAGATGATGAGGCAGGCGAGGATGGAAGCAAGAGTGGCGGCGCTGCACACCCCTGAGCCAGTCCAGTGATGGGCGTCGTCCCGGACGGCTACCATCCATCCCGGAACATAGCTTCGGGGAAGGATACACCAATCGAACGGTTTTATTATGCCTGCACAATGCTGGGTTCCCGATTCTCCGCAGTCAGAAATGGGCCACGGCAAAGCTACAGAAGATCCCAACGGTTTTACATTCATAGAGATTGCTGTCGCCCTAACAACGAGAGTCCCTGCCAGCTATCCACTGTCAGAAGCGCAAAGCAAAGCACCCCCAAATATCTGGGAGGCAGACTTGAACATGGCCACCTGCTTCTCTCACAAGCCCTTGTTGTCTGGTAGCTACTCCGGTGGAACTTTTTACCAACAATTGCTGGGCTATGGGGCCTTGAACCCCGATGCCGTAGGACACCATGGCCTGGATGCTCGAACCCGTTATTGTGTCGCGAAGTTGTCGACACCGCGACACCGAAGGGTCTTTAAAAGTTTGGCCGCTGGCTAGCGTTTCCTGTTATCTCAAAAGAAACCACCGTGCGATAGTCGCCTTGCACGAAACACGGCAATATGCATGGCAAACAGGCAAACTCCACCAGTGGAGAATGGGAGCCGCAGGAATCATGGCATTGTGGCCTCGTCAGGGTTTTTGCCCGTCCGGAGTAAGGTCGTGCGGATATCAACATCAGCTATACTGCCGACATAAGCTAATATGGTCGTAGCCGGAACAGCCTCACAAGGGGCAAGGCATTCGACTGACCTTCGATGACACCGGTTGAGCGAATATGCCACTGCGTATAGCATGACGGGTCAAAAAGGATCCAGGGGCGTGAAGAGACGATTGTACCTCTGTATGCATGACCTTGACGGTAAGTTGAGAAAAAAGACTTTGCCCCCGCACTGCACAGGAACTGAACAGATTGCGTACCATGAAATCATCCGAAGACGCAGCCCAGGTGCAGTGAAGTAAGGTTTCCAAGGCTGCTAGCCGTGTATGTAAATGTGCAAACTGGAAAATAGATTAGGTTGTTTTCAATAAGCGAGAGGGAAAGAAATGGTGGTCAACTGAGCTGTCCACGGCGGCAGAGGAGGGAGCTTTCCCCACACGTGGAAGAAGTCCAGTCCTCCCGGGATCAGATCGACCATTTTTCAGCTACCAGCCTAGCACAGGAACAAGGGGAACATGGTCATTTCACATTGCATTCTATCATTTAATAAATTGAGCCTTCTTTTGGTCTTTTGTTTTCAGTACAGATGCATCAACATGAACAGAGCAAAAAATCAAAGGTAAAAGGAAAGGGAGAAAGAAAAAACCTCCAATAGAAGGGAAACAGAACAAAGCACAACTCGAAAGAGTTCAGCCATAGGGTATCATATCGCAATGCCTGCTAAACGGTCGACTGCCATCCTCTCCGCTGGCTTCCAAGCGAATCATTCATTGAAATCTCGTGTCCACCAATGACATCCATCGTGCCCATCTCATTCGTCCACCTTAAGGTGGCTCTCTTTCACCCGTGAAGTTTATCGGCTGCGTCCATTCCGATGAACTTCACCAGGGTGAAGCAGATATGAAAGCAGAATCCATATCCAGTTTGGGGCTGGGCCAAGGGGCATCGAACCACAATAGCAATGGAGAGAAAGAACAAGGAAAGGAAAGAAAGGAGAGAAGAACAAATCCACACACAGATTATTGCAAAAGAGAGAAATGAACAGAAGAAAGGGCGCACGCGAAGCGCGAACCTCTTTAGTAGTCCCGAGAGCTCCTTGATCCCCATGTCTTGAAACATAACACCCTCCTGTAGCCGAAACACCCTGCGATAGATTCAAAAGTTCAGTCCCCACATGACATTGGGAATGCGCAAACGCAATTTGTGCATCAAGCATATCCCGATGCTCAACCTGCATTGGTGGACAAAGGTGCACCTATGGCAGCAAAAGAAAATGGCACTGTTAACTAAGCATGACATATCGGACGGGAAGAATTTGCAGACCGCACTCTGAAGAAGGGCAGGAGGATCAGCAGCCCGTCAAACAACCAATATGAGCAAGTGAAAGGCAGAATAATAGATCGATGTCGTCAGTTAACTCGAAAAGGCTCGGTTAGAAGGGCCACGCATGCAGAAGGTCGAGTCAGGTATAAGACGAAAGAGTGATTTGGGCACTGTCGCCGGCCCGATCTCTGATACTTGGCTATTGTGTCTTTCGCTTCTTGCAAGATTTGAGACCGACGCTGAACGGTCCCAAGGAGCCAGTCGGCTGACCATTTGTACATGATCACAGAATCACAGAATTGTGCACTTGAACGGACGTCGATGACTGCCGTTGCGGTCAGGTCGGAACGACCGAGGATATTCAGGGCCAGGGTCACGGGCTCCTCCTGTCGGCCGCCGATCTTGCGAGCGGCCTTGCTGCTGGCGTTGCTGACGAAGCATGCGCACGACATCATAGAATGCCTTTTCCACGTTAATGCAATTTTTGGCGGAGGCCTCGACGAATTCGCAACCAAGATCTTTGGCAAGAGCCTGTCCTTCCTGTGCTGAAACCGCACGCTCGACAGCCTTGTCGCTCTTGTTGCCGACCAGCATGACCGGCACGGGGAGCGGAGGGCCAGAAGGGGTGTTCATGGGAGAACCCAAGTAGCTGGCACCCGAGGGAGATCCAGAGTTCGCTGACTCCTTTACCATCTTGATCTGATTATAGAACTTCTGTATGCGGGAAAACGAAGCTCTCGACGTGATACTGTAGACAAGCACAAATCCCTCTCCATCCCGAATCCACTGATCCCTCAGTGCTGTATACTCTTCCTGGCCGGCGGTGTCCAACACCTCCAACATGCATGACTGCTGGTCGATTACCACTTGTTTGCGGTAGGAATCTTCAATAGTCGGATCGTAGGTTTCGACAAAGTGATTCAAGCATAACTATAGCACAAGGAAATGGTCAGCTACTGCGAGTGAGGGCGCTGAAAGATCGCGGTGGCGGCTAACCTGAATCGTAAGGGCCGTTTTCCCTACACCACCGTCTCCGAGCACCACCAACTTATAAAGAGTCATTTTTCCCGACATCGTGAGCCAAGTATCGTTCCCGAAGACGATGAATACGATCGGCTTGGTGAGAGTGTCCGGCGATGAATAGAGCCGTGTTATGATTTAGGTCCCGAGTTACGGAGAATGAGGAAGAAGAGAGAAAAGCGAAGGCGAGAGATGTATGCGGGCTCCACGGCGAGCACGGACGCGGAAACGGAGCGTTGCGAAACGATCGGGTCCGAAGAACTAATTGGGTGGTGCGATTAGCCACTGAAATGCAGAGCTTTAGACCGCTGCCCAAGCTTACATATCCACAGCGGAAATGAGATGAACAATGGGCTCCCACGGCATGACCTCGGATAGAGAGCAATGAAAAACAAAAAGGGTGAATATTAGTGAAGCCATACCTGAATCAATTGGCGAAGACAAACAGGCTCGGTAGCAGGCAACGGCAGCGGTCGGTGGTGAGACTGCGTTGGTGATTTTTGAGATATGGTGATGTAGGCGTGGGCGCAATAATTGGAGATGGCTTAGGGGGACTGGAAGTTGAGGTTCAACGAGAGGTCCCGATTTGACTCGAAAAGATCTCAAGTAAGCGGCCACCCACAGCTGCAGAAGGGTACGAGCGGGCGGAGTTTGATTGATTAGCTGGCCCGTAACTCCGTGCAGATTTGGTAGGAGGGAGGGGAGAGTATTAGAGGATCAAAAAGAGAAGAGTGGTGATAATTGAAGAAGTGGGACAAATAGAGCTCGCGCAAGCTTCAAGACACAGGTGAGAATGGATACTTCAACATGAACGCTGCCACGTGAGATGGGGGCGAGGTTGCAGTGAAGAATTGTCAGCAACAGATCAATTGGCAGTGAAGTCAGCCGCGTCGAGGAACCGAACGAACGACTTTCTGAATTTGAGTTGGCGGGTAGGGAGGGGTATATGCGCAGGACCAAGAAGCAAGAAAGGCTTGGCCGGCCAGAGACAAGTGGGAGGGGCAGCCTATAGATCTCGAGAAAAGATAAAAAAAAAAAAAAAAGGAAAAGGGAAAAACCCCGGAGCTGTCGCAAGATGCCGCAACTGGAATCTTGAGAGATTAGGTGAGAAGGAGAAAGTGGAAGAAGACCGAGAGGGGGGGGGGAGGGGTCGATCTGGAGTAAATGGGAAGAGAGAGAGTGTGGGAGGCGGAAGAGAGAGGGGGGAAGAGGATGAGGAAGAAAAGACCGAAGATTGAATTTAGATTGAAGAGGGAAGGGAAGTTTGAAGAAAAAATTGATTAAGTCAAATCAAGTTTGAAAAGGAATGAAGAAAATTGAAGAGAGAGAGAGAGAAAGCACTGCAGAGACTAGGATATTGGAGGAGAATAATAGTTGATAATAATGAGGCAGCGGAGACGTGATCCCTGTCGGAGAACAACAACCGCGGTCTAGTCTGTTGGTAGTGACTTAGTGTAAGATTTGGTGCACTAGGGAAAGGGGAGGAGGGGAGGGGTCGGAGGTGAGGTGGGCCGGGGGAGGGGAAATGTGAGAGGACAAGCAAGCAAAATCAAGGTCGGACGTGGTCGGTAGGTAAGATAAAAGTGTGTCAACTAAGTACTTTATCAGGAGGAAGAAGGAGACGGAGAAGGAGAAGAAGGAGGGAGGGACCTCTGGGAAGAGAGGGAGAGAAGAGGGAATGGTCGAAGTTACAGTAGCTTACCTGATGGCGGGCAAGTCGAAATACATGAGCAGTGCAAATTGACTGCCTACTATTAGACAGCAAGCACCTCTCATACAATACAATACTGTACAGTAAGCCTCTATCCTCTATTAGCCGTCTTCTAGGCAGGAGCAGGCAAGGAACTTCGGAGGCGAGATAGGTTATGTATCTAACATCTTCCAGACAGGTGCTCTTATCAAAGTCTACAATACAATTGCTAGATGCATGTCAAGCTCAAACTCACTCGTTGGAAAAAAATCAGATCGAGTTTTTTTAGAATCCAAGTATCTACGTAGATCCGAGGTAGGAAGTAAAAATTGCCTAGATGATCTCTGACTATCTGTGATAGACTCGGCCCCAAGGGCTTCAATTTACTCTTAGGCTACATATGCACCCAATGCAATTGCTAGGAGTCATTTCTGATACAGGCCTAACAGACAATCCGAGGTTCAAACCCTTTTCAATTTCAAGGCTCGGCATCCGGCTTTGACATCTTTTGAGAACTCGACTCAGCATCGTTTGGATGCCCTTTTAGGTCAGATCATCATTTCCTCGACCGAGCGATCTCCCCGTTCAGGTGCCTGTTCCAGTCATCTGGAATCGTTTCCATGTTCCACCGAGATTCTTTCTCTTTTATGAACGGACAGCAAACCCTTCTCAGCATGCATGAGCCATGAAGTCAGTATTCCTTCAAGACGGTTTCGGGTAGACACGAAGTGGGTGCGTAGCGACACTAGGTTCATGGCCGCACCCCACATACGCATGAAAAGTGTGGTATTGGCCGAGACCCGGTCAGTCAGGAGTTGCACACCAAACTCGACTTTCTTGCCTCAAGCTTGGAGTGGTATCATCCTTGTTTTATGATCGCATGCCTTAGACAGCAGAGGGCTGGCGTGGTTGGGCATCTCTAGCAAGCGAGAATCTTACTAGGTAGGTGTGTCTCAATACTGCTATCCGAAACTCAAATCTCTCGTCTGTATGGACCGATACAGAACACGCGAGGCTCCATCTGTCCCGCGCAGTGGGAAGCTTTTCACGATTGGCGATGTCCTAAGAAGTTCCCGTTCCACTCAAATGCAACGGGGAGAAGGGTAGAATATTCCGCGGCCCCGTAGAAGAAGACTAAAACCCATCTTCTCGATCATCGGGATTCTCAAAGCGTAACCTTCCCGGCTGCAGGATGATGATGCATCGAATCTTCTCCCCGTCGGCCAGAAGAGACATTGGAAGGAGAATATGATGGCAAGGGAGAAGGGGAGGGGTAGGGAAAGAAGCCGAAAAGGTACTGTAGAATCTCATGCCCTTCCAATCTGCCTTGACTATCCTACCACATGCAGAAGTATGCACAATACGAGTACACAAACCTGGCTACAGAACGAAGGCTAATGAGCAGACCGGACTAGAAACACGACGATACCCCTCCGAAGTATATGACGTTTAGGCGAAGCTGCTTCCAGTTCGGTCTAGGTTGGGCCTCACCCCCCGAAGTACGACTTAGTACGAGGGTAATCCGTGATAGCTAAGCAGCCCGGTGGATCCCAATTACCCCCTATTATCATTTATACACGGAAGAAGGTCCAAACTTGGCTTCCAGAATGATGATTGACTGGCTTCTAGAAGGCACTAGCATTCATTTGCGTCAGTCACCGTGCCTCTGACGCAGTACCTATGAATCGATTTCTAACACGGATTGTGCACAGCGATGGTCTTTTCATATGTGGCCATGAGAGAGAGAGGCAACACAGGTATAGGGAAGCAGACGTCGGGCCGGGCCATAGTGTAAGCACGGTAGGTTCCAGTCCCAGTCCCAGTCAGTCTGATTGACTCGACGATTTTAGTCATAGCAGCTTTGTAGACCATAAGTTGCATTGTTGGAAATAGAGAGGAGCTAGGGGCCTTGGATCGACGACTGGCGGAAAGCTGCACTGACTGACTGACTGGATTAGATAGGAGGGGTGTCTTTCACTTAATGCTTATCAAGCACACAGTCTGGGCTGCTGGGATTGATGGACCAGCATAACGGTTCAATCTAAATTAATATCGAACCAGAACCCAGCGGCAATTCCGGGCGAGGGTCACCACTTTCCCCTACATAATCTCCCAGCCCCGGCTTTCATCCCACGTGGAAAGCTGTTAGCTTTCGGAGACTATGCCGTAGCGGTCCGTGATCCCGAATCCGGCGTATATGCGCACTTCAAGGTTGCCAGCACTTCGCAAGATTACCATTTGAGTCTTTTCCTTCTCGGCTAGAGATGTCTGCTGCAGCTGGCTGAAAGACTCTGAGCACTGCACAAAAGCAGCAGGTCCCCGAGTACCCGGCCTATTAGACCTCTTGCGCTATTAATCAGTTGCTGTTGCTATCCCAATTAAACTGACTCAGTCAACAGCAATGGCGGATACCAAATACACTAATCCCGAATAGGCAGAGACCATGGTTATGATGGTAATCATCCATCATGGATCCATCATCCCCATCAATCCAAAGCATTCATGATCCACCATCATCTTTCGTCCTTTACTGACAAAAGAAATGGCCTAACCTCTGATCAATGGCGAAGTGTAGAATATGTGTTGTAGTTAGGTTCGCGAGAAGGAACCGAGAAGGAACCGAGAACTTACCTTACAGTGTTGACGTACCTTCTGTAGGAGGATTTAGACGGTGAGCCAGCCCGGGACAGTAGTAATTAGACATGAGATTAATTGAGTTCTTCACCCCTATTGACCCTTGTATACATATACATGCAGTTAGGTACTCAAGTAGGGAGGTAGGTAGGTAGGTAGGAATCATCACAGATTGTACCAAGGTACCAGGTACATACAACGATACATATACGCATAGACTACCGGATCATGCAGCTAGGATCCTCATGCAAAGAGAACCGGATCATTGGCCGCCAGCGTCCCGCCGCCATGGGTCGGTCGCTGACCTGCGGCAACTGCCTGTTCATCTCCGTGCAACCTGACAGTTACCTCCCGGTCACATCTGGTATAGTAAAAGCAGCACTCTAAATTAGACATGACGTGAATTATCAATAGTGACAAAATATCAGCGAGTAGCCTCAAGCCAGGGGATTAGCCTACCCAGTCTCATTGGAAATAGTACGATCAATCGCTCCTGAACCACAAGTAGCCTGATTTGCGATGCCAATTGATGCTAGAAGTAAGTTTACAATACATGCATCATGGATACCTTTTACCTTACCGTGGTTCAAGCTCCTGGATGCCACCCGGTGCACCGGTTGTTGCAAAGAATAGTAGCGTTTCAGACAGTTCCATGGCCTTTTTTTCCCATCATTCAAACACATCCAATAAATTACATTTCACAGGTCCTGTGATTGAGTATAATTCAGCTCTGAAACCATAAACTCGACCATCAAACCCTGCGTCTCGCCTGTTAGCAAGCTTGTGGCGAGTCGAGGTCCTTCGTGTCCTTTCTGACATTCCCCTTTAGGTGTATTGAGACGAGCTTCATACACTCGGAACTGGAGGAGCACTCTGCGATCTACTTACTAGGACGCTTGATTGCCACGGTTCCACTTGGTACACATGCCATCCAATTCGACCTGAACCTGCTTCCAAGCCAGCTTGGGCAACGGCTGCAGCCCGAGCGCTGGAGATCACCCGGTCTCACTAGGATGAGATGTACGACGATCTCGCTGGGTCGCTGTTGTCTGCAGGGTAAACTGAGGTAAGACCCTACTCCTGTCTTCGGAACAACAACGGTAGTTATAATAAATAGGCCTGGCCTTCTATAACGCAAACAGCTCTTGCGGCTCGCTCCCCAAGTGGGGTCGTTGTTTTCGAGAGAAGGATTACCTGTTATGGTTTTGGACTTGCTGTGTGAAGCTCGTCTGATTGTGTCATCCTAGCACCAACCAGTCCTATTCGTTGCAGGTCCGCAGGCAAGATATTTGGAGTTGGACCCGTCGGACGGATCGTCTGACGGCTGCCCGATCACTTCCTCAACGTCACGCGTCACCCAATAGTCGAATTAATACTGGTGGATGTGGTCAGTATTTATCCTTTCTTAACGATGAATCAATGCCCAACTCACGATTTTGAAGAATGTGATGCTCCTAAAATCCGGCTGGGCGTACATACATGAGGTCTCGTTATAAAGCAGCCCTCAAAATCAGTGATAGATCAGCGGTCACCTATACACGATCATATGTAGGCCGCGCCGAACAGCCATATCGATCCGAGCGATGGTTGTATATGACTGGATGTGCGCTCTCGGGAGTTCTTGCCACAAGAGATACGTTTGATGCCCTCGCTAGGCCAACTACTCCTCAAACCCCTCGAGTGCTCTAAAGTCGGGCAAATCTAGTTCTATACCTCCTGTTTTTGATCTTGCCGTATAACCATTCGTTTATCGTGTTGGAACCAGTCCTCAAGTGTAAAGGGTAGAGACTCGGCCGGGCTAATTAGCCTCTTGCAGTTCTTCGGAAAGTATGTCATCGAAATCAGAATTCAGAAAAGAACATCCGGAAATGATCTCGCCGCTACCGTTGTTGACAATCTTTTTTTTCTTGTTTCGTAACATTGAAACTGTGACTTGGCCTTCACAATCGTTGTTCTTTTAAAATTAAAATTAGCTCCATTGAGTGGGTCTGCACAAGGTATCTTTTAACCATATCGAGCGGGGATAATCCAATCCTCAGATCCTGGCTCAGGATAGAAAACAATAAGCTATATGGTGCTATCAGAATATTTGAGTCATCGGACTGGGTTTGTTCGATGCGCCCAGGGACACCCATAGTCTAGGCATTAGACATAATGGACCCTCCATGCCGGAAACGCTGCCTTACTATCTCTTGAAATGAACGATAGTCAAGTCAATGGCTTATTCTGTCTGCACCAGCATGACAACGTGTGCTGAGTTCCTAGAAATTCACAGGTGATTGCGCATCAAAAGCATACGAGACGAACATCCGGACCTGTCCATGAATTGTGATGGGGCTTTTTTCGAGAATCGAAACAGAGTATCGAGAGTACTGCACGAAGATAGCTCTGTCAGTTCAAGTATCAGTATCCTGCTCGAGGAATCGAGGTTCCGGACCTGTGTATACTGTTGATAAATCGAGGAACTCTTGTCAATCATGGGACGGCCTTCATCGGGTGGTCACGACCGCAGCAGAAATTCGAAAGCCAATGTCTGAAGCTGATACTATAGCATGCGGCCATAATTGGGAGATCGCCGCGTCGCAATCCTTCCTGCCTGATAACATTTGCATACGCTGAACATCTCCGATGCCAAAGGAATGGCATGATACATTTAACCGCATATCGGAGTCTGCGGGGCTGTGATGTGGATGGCCCTCCCTACAATAGCAAATCACGAGGTCCAAACAAGCTAAACATCACATTTACTGGCTTTCAGTGGCGGGGTCACTGTTCTGGGCGAATGCTCAATCGTCGAGCGACCTCGACTAGCCCGCCCGTGGTATCGTCGATCCACTCATCCACATACTGCTCTTTGGCTTGAGCGACTTCTTCGGGAGTGAGGCACTCTTCATTTCGTTCGACATAGATCGTCATGAATCCTAATGCTTTGGCAGCTTTCAAGTCGTAGAGGTGCGCGGCCACCATTGCACAATTGCAGGGTTCCAGTCCAAAGCGCTTGGCCGCGCCAAGATATACCTGCGGCGACGGCTTGTATGCCCCGAAGTGTTGAGCACTAACAATATCCGTGAATGGTAGAGATCCATGGCATTGAAGGTCTTCTAAAAGAGAGACATTGCCATTTGATAAGGTGCAAGTCCGGAACCTGCGATTCAGTAATTCGAGGCCTTCTACTGAACCAGGCCACGGCTCGAGTCGGTGCCAGCTAAGCACAAGCTCCCATTGTTCATCCGCAGTGAATAGCCCTTCCAGATTCCGCTGACGGAGCAACTCTTGAATGGAGCTCAGGTGATGTTTATCAACAGAGAGGAAGTCTTGTGAGGGGTCAAATGTTGTCGTGAAACGGCCGTAGGACGCCCGCCACGCTTGCACCATCATCTGCCAGTCCTTGGACGACATGGTCGTTGCGCGGCGACGTAGGTCCGATGACAGGGATTTCTGGGGGTCTTGTAATGCGCGCTCAGCAGCTTCCCTCAAGGCGCGGGTAACACAATTGCGCCACTCCACAACCGTCCCAAAGACGTCAAAGAACAGCGCCTCGAGACGGGTTATGCTCGCCATGGCAAGTGTGGGAAGGGAGAATGTGAATTGTCCAGTGATTTCTGGGAACAACTGCTTCCACAAGTCCGTGACTGCCCGATTATACTGAAAAAAGGCGGCTCGAGTACACAGGTGAGCTTGATAGCTGGAGCCGAGGATCAGGCTTGATTAGCGGGGTAGTTGACAAGTCAGTAGTCAGTCAGTTAGTTCGTAACTAAGTGAGAGACCATGATGAGTAATGGACATTAGCGCATGTCGACTCGCCTCGCGGCTGAACTGCATTGCATGGGTTAGTAAGTACAAGGTTACTTAGTACAAAGGGACATAAGAGTAAGATAATTGGCGGTCGCGTACTCCGCGATAGTCAGTCCATGTGATGGGCCAGGTTACTAGTGATGAATGAGTGCCATCACATCTCCCATCGTTGCCACGCTGGACTCCTATAGCCTGCCAGTGAGTCTTTCGGGACCCACTCTTTTGAGGTTGATGATTAGAAAGGCTTTCAATCTTTGGATCATAGATGAATGAAATGTTTATTGTATTGTCAAACGGAGAAAGAGGGATGGTCGGGGAGATTCTTGCATTAGTCTTCCCTTGTGTGTGTGTGTGTGTGTGTGTGTGTGTGTGTGTGTGTGGGTGGTTTGTGACAGCTGCAGCTATTGCTGATCTTCTAACGGCGCAATCCCGGTCCGTCATGAAATCATACTTGGCATATAGATACCGGTACAGTACATTCTCCTCCGGCCGTTCCCAATAATTTAATCAATACAGAGACATGGACTCGAGAATGCGAATCCAATCCCTTTTCTTTTACGGTCGCACGGGTAGTTTTGCGATGGCAATCCTTGAGCAGCCATCGCATTGCTGAACGACACCTTCAGCGTCCGAGACATTTCTTTGCGTCGTGCACGGTGACCTGTCAGTCGCAGGTCGCGCGCTCTTACCCCTGATCCGGCGTCCGCCAGGCGCAGAAAGCTACTAGTCGATTGGCCGCGTGGGTCGCCAAGGATGAAGCCAGTCCGAACGAGCCGGGTTGACTATGATACATGGTACTGTTCGTAGTGTACATGGCTCCCTACTAGCCAACTAGGCACATGGTCATCTATTTCAAGCTCAAAAGGTTTAGGCCATCAGTATACTAAGAGCGAGCTTCCTGACTGAACGACCGTTATAGTGCACATCATCATCGCCCTGCGACAGCGATCGGATGCGAATGGACACACTGCTTAATGGGAAATTGCAATTGCCACCTTAATCCCAGTGAAGACTTCATCACCGTACCAGTTGCTTGCCAAGGCCATAAATCACCCTGATATTAATGTCGACCCGCTGATCTGAGATGTGCGCTGCCTGACAGAATGGTAGACTCATAAATCCAGCCCATTCTGATGCGCATACGAACCTTCAAAGGCGCCCTTTGGTGATTCGACCAGCAAAGCTAGACAAGGGCTTGCCGCTTGGTACTCCGCCTCTAATTTCCGGAATGGGGTCACTACCCAAAAGTTGAGCGCCGGCCCGTCCGTCGCTTCTGGTAGTCTTGAACCAGGAACCGGCGGAAATAAGGGGTGGGGAGCTCAAGCTGGGCCGATCCAGATTTGCGTTCGTTCGTTTGTTTTTTTTTTTTGTTTCCCCTCTCCATGAAACTGCTCGGCTTCGACTTCAATTGAGAAATGGCTGGCCCGCCACACCAGGGCAATGCTCCCAATTTGACGAATTGAGCAAGGCGCAATAGGACACTATAATCGCTCTGTCTACTATAGATCAGGGACTGCACGGATGTCGCGCCGGATTATAGGCTCATAGGGCTATTCAGAGGGCTATTGGAATTGCCCAGATTGATGATATTGGGAACACGGGCCACAAGATCCCGATGATCAATTAGAAGCTAGATGAAGATTGGGAGCGTTGCCTGTCTGGCGCCATAATCTCAGTCGGAAAGATTTACGGAGTACTAAGAAGGCTAATCAAACACTGACAGAAGAACAACAGGATTTTGCCTGATTGTCTTATAGGCTTTCTTCCGGTTCATATACGAGAACAAGTTATCGAATTCTTCATCGTACCAGGGCAGCGGATATTATTGAACCAAACAAAGGATACGGTCGTTTCATCGAGCACCTGAAAGCGACATCATAATCATGATGATGCCTCGAGAAAGGAAAAGGGTTGGTTGACCTTAAACCAGTGGAACACCGACTATCTGGGCCCGCAACTAAACTGCCTAGGGCTTGACACGAACCCCCCGTCACCACTGATGCTTCTTAGCCCTGACTGTTTAATCTCTCCTGCACCTACTTACTTCCTTCGCCGCTGCATTAATGACTTGGTGGCTCGTGGAGTCAGTGTTTTCTTTGTCTGTGGGCTTCGGCTTTGTTGACTACCTAATTTCCCCTGATATGAATGTGACTATTTTCTATCCCTCTCTCTTTTAGGGAGGGCAGAGACAGGGATGATCGGCCGCCAAAGCGGACCTCCTTTTCCTTTCTCTCTCCTCCGCCTCCTTTTTCTACTCTCCACTGGTTGAAAGAACAGAACAGCATGACAAAAATAGGGTGTCATGGTGTTTCAGATCCTACAGTCTTGCTCCCCCCCTCTCTTCCCTCCCTCCTCCATTCATTGGAAAAGACTGTCTTCAAACAACATGGGACCTACCGACCATTACACCTGCATCCTCAGCCGATCCCGTCATCCTTTACCTCATATCGATTGGATCGGGATCGCTCTCTAGGCCCGCCGTGGCAAGCTCTGGTGGAGTCATTCGCTGACTTCTCCTCACTAGTAGCTAATTGGTACGTGGAGGTTGCCTTCAATAATCCATTCCGTTTCCCCATCCCACATCCACCTCCCCCTAGCTAACCACCCCCGTCCCTCCTTGGACGAGGCTAAAGCCGTGGTGGCAGGATTGTTGTGCGTTAATCGTTTCGTACGGGTCCGTCGACCAACTCAGCCTGGTCCAATCATTGAGTATGACCGGTCGACTCTCCCCGATGCTCGGACAAGGTTTCTGTGCAGGTGCAAACCCCAATTTAGTTCCTGATCGGGCGTGATCAAACAGACATCTTTGCAGGTTATCTTTTCCTTAGCCTCAGACGGCCGGTCTGGCTAGAATTTCGGAGCGTCTGGGATGTGCATTATTGTAGATAATCACTCACGTTTCCGGTTTCGCGAGCTGCTGTTGCGCCGCTATCAGATTTAGTACTTTGCTGCTGCAGCACATTGTTCCTCCATACTTCCTGCCCGCCTTCCCCGCGTCAAGCACTTCGAATCAGGCTTGTGATACTTTCAAGCACTGCAACCCCCCTCACAGGGTGGCTAGCAACTCTCCGCACCGCAATCGTCCCCCCTGAGTATCTCCAGGACAATATCTGTCTCTCCCCAGTTCAAAGTGTCTGAAAAGATCCGAGGACGCGCAAGTATCGAGAGCTGGTTTGATGTATGCAAATTCATTGTCTCCAACAATGCTACCGGCCACTCGGCCTCCCGGCCCCCTTTCTGAGCACAGAAGGCTGACTGGTCACGATGGATGCTATTCCTTTGTCTAGTAGTTCAATCGCTCACTGCAGCTGCCTCTGGGCCATTACCATATTCTCTGGCGAACGGTCAACGGACCTGTTCTGCGCCACTCAGGAGGCGTACGCGACTTATGTAAAGTCGATGGAAGCTGCATGACATACTGCGACTGGATCTGACCGACCCGTGATAATCACGGTGACGCTTCTATCTGACATCGCCTGACTACGAACGCGATGGCCACCAACACCGTGTATACCAGCTCCTCAGTAGCAAAAGCAACGCCCTCGTCTACACCTCCAAGAACCACGCCCATCCGAATACAGGTGGACTCCCCACACAGTGAACTCTCCTCTCCTAGCTTACTGCCGATTCACAATTTCTCATCTCCGGTAATGATCGATTATGACGACCTTGGTGAGGAAGACAGTCTTTCTCCGCTCGATCCTCGGCGCTTCACCCCAACGCTGCATGCCTCTTTGGTTTCAGAAATCCTATCGCTCCGGCGAGATGTGGAAAATAAACTGAAGGCGATTGAGAATCTGGAGCATACATTGGACGAATCGCGCACAGAGAATGAAAGCCTTAGTGAGCGGCTCTCAAAGAGCCTGAAAGAGTCTCGCTCGCTCAAGCAGCAGCTGCAGCTTTTAGAAGGTGGTTCGTCCTCCGCTATTAGTGAGATAGCTAAGGAGAGGGACCAAGCATTGGAAAATATTGCGGATGTTCGCAAGAAATTGGAGCAAGCACAGAAGAAGGCTCGCACTCGCGAAGAGGAAGCAGAAAGAACAGTGCAGCTGTGGGATCGGGACAAGGATACCTGGGACGGGGAACGCAGAAATCTAGAACGTAAGATCCATGTGGTTGAAGGTCGTTTGAAGGTGGTCTTGAATGAAATGGCTGCAGCACAGGAAGCACGCTCTTTTCATCTCATCCAGGAAAGAGAACGCATATCAGGAGCCAAAGATGAGCTTGCAGGAAAGGGTAGTGATACAGCAAGCATCGCCTCAAGCAGCGAAGGACGCCGCCGGACAAGCATTACGAGTGTGAGCACCGAGAACTGTGACGAATTCGATTACCACAATGTGCGCTACTCCATGGCAAGCATTACCAACCTCCCTGGTGGCAAGGGCGAAGGATTGAATCTAGCACAAGAGCTTGCTTTTGATGAAGATGACGGATTTCAGTCTTTCGACCATCGCTTCAGGCCTGATTCTCCCGAAGCTCTGCCAGAGGAGCGGCCTGCCTCGGTACATTCCCAGCTATCTAGTACGATAAGCATGGGGGCCAAGGCAAGGAGAATCCTCGGGCTTTCCCTTGGTAGCATGGATGGTTATGGTGTCAAGAATGAAGTGGCATCGGAGCCTGGAAGCCCTCTCAAATTCTCTTCAGAGACATATGTGTATCAAGACACAGGGGTGCAGTATTCGCCGCCGCCATCACCTACACTGCATTGTCCATCTAAAACTGACTCCTCGACCCATGCTCCGGATGAAAGTGAGAGTGAAAAAACTGGGTGTATGTGTCAAATGAAGAATAGAAGTACAACACTCACCATTGATATGGTATCGGCTTCTTGTCAAACCGTCGGAGGCCTTCCCACACCTCCTTGGACACCTAAATTAGACGAAGTCTACACGTCCAAACCGATTTCGATGGTCTCATCTTCCATGCAGACCGTTGAGGTTCCAGCTGTGGAAACAGTCGAACGGGGGGCCGCTGTGTCCGATGTCGAGATGAATTCGTCGGGGCTCGAGATCCCAATGATCGCAATACACCCTCCTTGCTCCGAACCACCTTCTCCCCGGGGTAGCGTAATGCTGCCGCCACAAACCAAGAGCGTCTCTTGCCAAGCCAATCTTAGTTCTGGGGTCGAATGTCGAACGATTGGTGTTCAAACAGAGGTGATAAGAATTAGCCAACAGCCGATAAAGTTACCGGCGAGCCTCCTCCCATCAGCTATACCAGACCTGCCGCTTTGCGAACTCACCGAGGATTTTCCCGTTCAGCCGTACTGCCCACCGCCTCCGCGGTCCAAGAAGAGAGAAAGCAAGACTACTCCAAAAATTGAGCCTCTTGAGACAGTGCAAGCTTATCCAGGCAACAACGACAACGGACCTTTGGCTGATGGATTCGAAAATGAGCTCAGGCGGCCGGTTCGCTCGAGTAGCCTCTTTGCTGGTTTTGAACAGGGAAGCGACGATGAAGTACCAGACAAAGCTAACGACGCTCTCACTGATGATGATCTTCTCAACCGGCCGTTTGCTTCTTATACGCTCAAAAGAGGCAAGCTGGTCTCAACACAATGTGGCCCAAGCTTGGATGGAGGAGTTCTGGCCGAAATCGATGAGCATAGGTTGGAGACAGAGGCTCGCTCCCCTGGCCTGCCTCTGGACTATGAACCTAAAGATAGGCCTGGGTCCTCTTGGAGTCAACGAATGGGGCAGGGTCTGCGACAACAAAATTTCCGCAAAGCAGCCATGATCTCCAATGGAGCTGCAGCTCATCAGAAGACCCGTGCTAGAAGTCCCAGTGAGACCGGTGTTGACAACGTTAGTGTGAGCGGGGCGTCCAATATTGCCCCTCCCATTCCTGTGCCAATCCGGCTCAGTTCAAGGAAATTCCCCGCCCGTCGAGACGATGGTCAGCAGAGTATAACACCTCCCAATGATCGAATGGTTCCCGATCGCGGACGTACGCAGATGATGCGGCGTCCAACTCTCCGGCGCGTTCGGTCGGCGGCTGCGATGACACAGATAGAACGGCCTGAAAGCCGATCTTCGCCCACGTCTATTTCGACCTACAGTCCTGATAGTCCACGGCACTCTGGTCTTCCGTACGATGACATCACAGCTCCTTCCGGAAGTCGAGCCATCCAGCGGCGCTCAGCTTTTGTTCCTTCAGCATCTCGCACCTTTCGGCATGGACGACAAGATTCTACCGCTACCTCTGTCCAGCCCACGAGCGTTGTCGATGCTATCGCACAAACCATGGTCGGAGAATGGATGTACAAATATATTAGGAGAAGGAGATCGTTTGGGGGTGTTGGGGAGGCTAAAGAGAATTGGCAAGGACGCAGTGCTGATGAAGTGTCGGCGAACATCACCAACAGCGGTGTCAGGCACAAGCGCTGGGTCTGGCTAGCACCGTACGAGCGAGCCGTAATGTGGAGTAGCAAGCAGCCAACGAGCGGGCCAGCGCTGCTGGGCAAGAATGGCCGCAAGTGTGAGTGCCTTCTTGTGTGACCTATGGCTAGCAGATTGGACTAACGTGACTACAGTGACCATTCAGTCTGTTTTGGATGTCAAGGACGATAACCCGCTGCCAAAAGGATCCAACGCACAGAGCCACTTTAATCGATCCATTCTTATTTTGACGCCGCAACGTGCCCTCAAGTTCACGGCTACGAGTGTTGAGCGACACTATGTCTGGTTGACCGCATTGTCCTTCCTGAGCCATTCTCCTAGGGGGATTCATGATCTGGCTGCCCTGCCTCCAGTGCCACAGGATGAAGGCGCTGCACCTGCCCCGTCGCCTTCGCTTCGCCGCAACCCGATCCGGGACTCGATTCGGATCGCCAAGGGTCGGCCCCGTCCCCGACCAAAGGCCAAGCGGTCTTTCCTCGGTCTGGTCGAACCCGTTCCTGAGCTTCCTACTGGGCTTGCGTCTACTCCGTCGATGGATGCTGCTGATCCGCCGACGGTGCCACGGTTTTCGAATCATTCACGAAAGAGAAGCAACACTACGCCACGGATACCGATGATTCGGAGCTTCTCCAGCCAGGGCTCAATACCGTCAGTGGAATCGACACGAGGCTCTTCAGATACGTACAACGGTCCAACTTACGGGCCAGGACCACGCAGCACGCGGAGCAGCGGCAGCCGACGTACGTCGGAGACTAGCGCGAGAACTGGGAATTTCTTTGACGCGATCGGAACTGTTCGCATGGAGGCATTTATCGATCAAACGAATAAGAACCCAGGGCCTCGGTCTGCCCGACACAGTCGGAAAGCATCCAACGCATGGAGCACAACCCATGATCCAGGTTCGCCCCATGGCGTCGGTGGCGAGCCTAGCCCCCGTGTCGATCCCTTTGTGGAATTCTGAGCAAGCAGCGACAGCACTCTCCCTTCTTACCCTCTCGACTAGACGATAGCAGTCTTCTACTGATCGATTCATTGTATGCACTGCTTTTCCCGATTTCAGCGTGTCCTATCTACGGGCGTCATAGCGTCTTTGATACCACCTCTTACCGCACTTTTCAAGATCATATTGTTTAATTTCTTTAGATTTCTCTTGAATTAGGCCAGGACTATGCAGAGATGTTATCAGTTTTTGCTAGAAATAATGCTGTAGACCGCTGAACAAAAAATTTTCACGCGCGTTCATTAAGCTGTTGATGGGTGGGAATGTATAATTGAGTCGAAATAAATCTCGCCCTCGCTCGGATTATTCACAATAGGAGATAATTAAAGATATAGGGACTCAGATGCAACATCGCTTGACTAATCCCTGACAAAAGTGAGCAATATTATGTCAACGGGCCCTGATTGCTGTAGCCGGCGGACCCCAATCCCCTGTGATGGCCGATCTTCAATGGTTTGCAGGCGTTGGATGGTCATGTGTCTGTCTGTCTGTATATATGCCCTTATTCCTTATCCACAAGGGCTTTCAACAAAGATAGAATCCATGAAGACACTCGGAGGAATTCCCAAGAAACACTTATGATAATCAAACCACCATCGTACTAAATCGTGAACTGATGCTGGATCAGATCACAATTTGGCCGCCTCCTTGACCTCGCCGACTTTCAACTTGGGCGTATATTTCTTCAAAATGCCTTCGTTGTGATACTAAGTAGCCGGAAAGAGGAAAGAATCAGCATGGCACACGCGAGAATGCGGGAAAGGGGGCCCGTGGTAAAATCGGGCATTGGACAAAGGGAATCATGATTCCGAAGTCACATGGGATTCCAGTTGTAGCTCATAGAGGCGGAAATTGAAGGAAATCATGTACAATCCGACACAGAAAAGATGGGCGAGGTGTATGCGACGAGCGACGACACTGTGACTGGACACTCGCGGAGCAGCGGACGCTTCAGGATTCGCTTGCTCTCTTACTTTGGTTGATCGCAAATCACGCAAGGAGACCGATTCCTGGGAAGGAAGGAAAGACAAAATCACGATGCAAATTAAGACAACGAACCTTCCAAAACTGTTTTGTAGCATCCTTGCCTGCAACGCGCTTTAGAATCTTCGCGCCCCCCGGGTGCTCGTCCACAAAGTTTGTGATATCGAAGACGTTGTTGTCAATGATGATGTAAAGACCCTTGTCCGGGGTATTGTGCGCTGCGACATCAGCGGGAGAGAAGGTTTGAGACATTTCCTGTGGGGATTGATCCTGTCCCGAGTTTAAGGTACCAAGATGAGAAGGGGAAGAGGGAAGATGACGAAGTTGAAGTCACGATGATGAACTGATGAGGGGAAGAAGGTGGATGGGATGATGGGGTGGGAACGTGGGGGTGGGCAAAGGCGCGGAGGACGTGCCGAGGTCCACCTGGGGATCCCGTCAGTGAGTGCCTCGGATTGCAATGCAAGGTTGCTGACTGGCTGCTTCTTCGAGAGTGCTCACTCCTCGGGTGATGTTTAGCCCGAGCTAGGTATGTTATCTGGGTTCTTGTTCTTGTTCTTTGTCATTTGACACATATCCCATGATTGAACATTTATACAATCCACAACAACAGACATAGATACAATTAGTCACACAGACGTCCGGCTTCCTCCTCCGCCCCTTCCTCTTCTCATAAGCATCGACGTTAGCCCCGACTCTTCTCTCCAGCCGCTCCCTGTCCCTTGATCTTCTTCTCCAAGCCCAGCGTCTCCAAATCCTTCTTCTTGTAATAGTGTGGAGCGACCTCCACCAACCACTCGGCCTGCAAAGGCATGTTACTGCGCATATACTCCTTACTCGTCAGCACCAGCTCGAAGTAGATCACCCACCGCGGGTTGACCTCGAACAGCGTGCTCGAAGGGTGCAGGTACACTGTCTGTCCGTTCTTCACGGTGCGATAGCTATCACCGCCGCGTTGCAGGCGCGCCGCGTTGGGGAAGAACCCGGCAGTGATGGCCTTCTGGATTGGCACCAGATTATTTGATCCACAGGTGCTCACCGTCACCTCGACCCGATCACAGAGCTTGGCCAGCTGGTCACGAACGTCGCGGGCACGCGTCAAACTGCGCTGCTGCAAAAAGTTCTCCTTAGCCCACACGTAGCTGAAATCTGAGTCGACCCATTGATTCCAGATGTTGAGCAAAGTGAGGTGGTCGCCGCCGTCTTTGATCGTAAACCGATTGCGAGCGCTATCGGCATGGATTTTCTTGTCCTTGGGCCGGAAGAACAAAGCGCTGGCTTCGCCCAACATTGACACAATTGACAAGACCTCTTCCACACAGCCGTACTTGTCCGCGGCAAGAATAGCTTTGGCCAGCATTGGATCGGTCGGAAACTCCGCCATCTGCCTACCAATCTTTGTCAGCTCGCCGCGGTCGTTGAGCGCTCCGAGAGCGTATAATTGCTCCAGGGCGCGAATGATCGTTTCCGCAGGTGGCGGGTCCATGAAGTCAAATTCGAGCAATTGGTCGATGCCCAAAGACTTCAACATCAGAATCACACTGTTCAGGTTCGTCCGCTGGATTTCTGGCGTCGTGCTTTCTTCGAGCTCGTTATGGTAGGCCCACTTCGTGTACAACCTGAAGCACTTTCCTGGGCCAACACGTCCAGCGCGCCCAGCCCTTTGGTTGGCAGAGGCCCGCGAGCACGGTGTCACCACCAGACTTTCCATGCCTGTCCGCGGATTGAAAACATTTTCCTTCACAAAGCCCGGGTCAATTACGTAGACGATTCCATCAATGGTAAGACTTGTCTCGGCAATGTTCGTTGCTAATACCACTTTCCGTGCCTTGGGTGGCGTAGGCTCAAAAATCTTGGTCTGTAGCTCGGAAGGCAAGTTGGCATAAATCGGGCATATTATCATCTCCGGGATCTTACTCCCTAACTTTCGCGCGGTCTCCTGAAGGCTCTGTTCGGCCGCCTCAATCTCCTCTTGACCGGTCAAGAAGACGAGAATATCGCCTTGGCCCTGGGTGATATGAATTTGAAAGACGGTTGTGATAGCCGCAGCCAGGTAATTCGCCTCCGGCTGCGAAGTGTAGTGGATATCCACAGGGTACCGGCGACCAGGGATATTGAAAATGGGTGCATCATCAAAATACTGCTGAAACTTCTGCGCGTCCATTGTCGCAGAAGAAATGAGTAGCTTTAGATCGGGTCGCGCTTTGGCTATGTCTTTCAAAAGCCCGCAGGCAATGTCTGTTGGCACGGTTCGCTCGTGAGCCTCGTCGATCATGAGCGCCGAATACTGCCCTAAATCAGGCTCTGTAAGTAGCTCTCGCAACAACATTCCGTCGGTCATGTACTTGAGTACCGTCTTGTCACTTGTATTGTCTTCGAACCGGATGGCATATCCAACTTCGTTGCCGAGCTTCACCCCCATTTCATCGGCCACACGCGAGGCCACACTCATCGCAGCAACTCGACGAGGCTGGGTGCACCCGACCTTCATGCCACCCTTGGTAAAACCGGCCTCGTGGAGGTACTGAGGAATCTGCGTTGTTTTACCAGAGCCGGTCTCTCCAACAATGATTAGTACTTGGTGATCGTGCACCGCCTGAATGATTTGATCTCGGAATTGATAGATTGGCAGGCTCTTGCGTGTTTCCTCCATAGACTGCGCCTTTTTCTCTGCGGCGTCCAATTGCTCTTGAAGCCTTCGCTGCTCCTGGGTCAGTGGTTTGCGGGTGCCCTCCATCTTGGCATCCATGATGAAATTGATCTTCTGTGAGTCGTCGAATACATATTCGTAGTCTCCCTCGTCGACGAACTCTGCGCGGTTAATCTGGGCTTTGGCCTTCGCCGTCTGCTCCAACTCCCACTCCTCATGCTCTGTGATGAATCGCTCCTGGCCATGCTCGTCACGGTCTACATATCTTTTGTAGAGCGCTTCTTCCTTCTTCTTGCGATCGATTTTGCCCTTCTCGGTGATGTAGTCCTCTGGCATCATGTAGCCATCTCGGTGATCGTCTATTTTGAGCCGTTCCTCTGCAAGCCGCAGGACTTCCCGGTTTCGAGCAAACTCCTCCTTTTCTCGCCGGGTCAAACTGGGATTATCACGTAACTCCGCCGTCTCCTCCGCGACCTGTCGGCGCAGCAAAGCCAAGCGTTCTGTCTCTCGTTTCTTGAGATATTCCTGCCGCGACCGCAACCGGATTTCAGGCATTACGGCTTCTCGAGCAGAAGCATCGTCAGCCAACGCTCGTCGCCGCGCAGCCTCGCCCGTTTTAGTCCGGTCTTCGACAATCTTCTTTGATCTACCATCATCTTTCTTGGCCAATCGTTTGGCAAATTCATCCCGCTCCTCAAGGTCTCGCTTCCGCTCCAATTCTTTTCTCTCCTCGGGATCCAGATCAACGGACGCATTAGACCGTGGGGATGTAGAACCATCCTCCAATCGGGTCCGCTTCGAGGGCGACTCCTCAAAGTCACTAACCTGCTCAGCGCCTTGATTTAATTCCTCCTCTGGGATTTCCTCATCGCCCCAGCGATCCTCGAAATCCTCCATATCTCGGTGTCGCAGCCTCTTAGTACGGTGACGGTCTTGTTCCCTGGACGCCTCCTCCCGACTACGATCGCGCTTTCGATTCTCGTCTTTTTCCGGACGACTGCGACCGTCAGATTCTTTGCCATTTCGCCCACTGCTCCACTCTTTCGCGTTGTTTCTCCGTCCATCCCTTCGAGTCTCGACATTCAAGGGGCTCAGTGATTCCCGTGCATCTGGAAAGTCATCCGCCATGTCCAAAAGGCGGTATTTCTTCCTCGGTGTGGTATTCACGCGGCCCTTGCTCGTCGCATGGCTGCTGCTTCCACTGATACCAGCCTTTGTGCCTGTGCCGACCCGTCGGTACAGCTCCGCACAGAAGGATCTGACTCCATCTGGACTACCTTCCAGGAAAGGGAGGAGCTTGTCTTGTAGTTCGATAGCTGACTTGGCCGAGCTGGCGGTTGCGAGTACGTAGTCTACCACGGTAGGATCGGACGCGTTTGTCAGACGTAAGAGGGAGTCGGACACAAATGTCTTGTGATCCATTGCGCTTAGCAGAAGATTGTCGAGGTCAAGGCGCGGAGGGATAATCGGCCGAGGTATCTGGGTTATCAGCCGTCCATAGGACGCCAGTGTGATCGGTCTTTCAAGACGTTCCGATTTGTTTGTGTCGGGTATCAGGTTTGCTGATTTAGTCGCATACCAGGGATTCGACGGCGTATAACACGGACAGTGAGGCGATGGGCAGCCGGTGAAATGTAAACGAGGCAGCAAGCGCGACGAAAATAGGTGGGTGGGAAGAGAACCTTGAAGCTCCATGCCAAGACGTCGGCGGTCGGTGGCAAACTTCCGCCCTGGCTTCAAAATACTAGTAGATAGGATTTGCACGCACATTTTCTTCAATACAGTCTCAGCTGCCACGCTACAAATTCATTATGGCGCGAATCAACAGTCTGTAGTGGTATTTGCCCAACATTCTTTTATCAGCATTACTTTGCTCGACTAAATACGGCCGTTTCCTGTCTGCCAGGACATATAGAGACATACATAATAAGAGGAATGAGACGTTGAAAGTGAATCGAAAACGACGCTGAGAGGCAAATAGTACAGCCAAGGGATATTTGATACATGGACATGTAGAGAAAAGGGGAGGTCATCAAATGCTCAAAGTGCACGGACAAAAACTGCGGTCATACTAGTCCGTCCGAGCCTCTGCAGCCAGGGAATCCATCATAGCAGACAAGTTAACGTCCAGCAAAAGGAATGGAGAAAGGGGAATCAAACAAGACCTGCCGCATAGTTTATTATAAACATCCTTGCTCAAAATGCAGGACTGAACGCAGGAGGAAGCAGATCAGGGTCATATGTCACTTCAGTCATCACGAATTGCAGAAACCCAATCATGCGGAACACACAGGTACAGGGCTAAGAGAAGAGGATTGATCAAGGATGAGAAGGACAGATGTCGGCGATATGTGAAATGCCAGTAGTCTCGCTAAGTAAGCGACCCATTGATAAAAACAAAAGAAATGTGCGAAAAGGAAATGAGTGGAGACCCCCCATTCGATGAAACCGGATACGTCAGTCAGTCATATCAACATTATCCGGTTCATGCGAGATGGTCGGTTGGCAATCTCGATTCCATCATGGTCATCGAGATAGTCAAATGGACATTAAGATTGATAGTTCGGAATCTCACATAGAACGCCGTCATTAGATGGTATTGTAAAGGAAAGCGCCAACTCCGTCCAAATGCATTAGATATGTCAAGTCGTACTGGTCAAACATCGATCATCTCTGCGTCTTCAACGAGGACCTCATCGGCAGGACCCCAGTTGCCTTCGTAAACGATGGCTCCAGCTCGACGTCGGCCAGCAACGAACTGCACACCGTACGTATCAAGGACTTGCTCTGCCGTGGGTCGATCAAGCGGTTCAGGTGAAATCATCCATCGCACAATCTTGTCTAAAGCTTGCTCATGGTTTGCATCGACCATGAAGCCAGGAGGATCAACAAGCTCGCCAGATCGAGCAAGGGAAACTGCGTTTCGATCAGTGGACTCTCGAGCTCCGAGAAAGCTGTCCATTCCAAAATCGTCATCCCCAAAGTCGGATGCACACAGTTCTTCGAATGACGGCTCCTCTAGGATTGGGTTCCCGGATGCATCGCGAAATATGCTTGTTTCGAAGCTGTATGTCAAGCTAGGAATGTCACTCATGTCACCGTTCCGCAGTTTTTGCCACGAAAGCCCATTATCGGGCAATTCAACATTTCCAGCAATTTCGAACATAATCAAGCCGAGGGAGAAGATATCCGCCGGCTTGTCAAAGCGACCCATCAAAATTTCGGGGCCAATATATTCACGGTCACCTTCGCCTTCGATTCCATCGTCAGCTGGCCAACGTGCTGCCATGCCAAAATCGGCAATCTTCAAAACACCTTCGAAGGTGATCAGGATATTTGCTGGTTTCAGGTCGAGATGGATGAACCCCATTTCATGGATGCGTTTTAGACCCTAGAGCATTTTGTTAGCACTTTCTCGACTACCATGTGTCCTGCGAAGAATAGAGTTGGGTCGTACCGTTGACAGCTCCATCAAGATCTTCCAGATCCGAAAATCGTCTAACCGTGCCTTGAGTCCAACTTGAGCGAGGAAGACATCCAAGCTACCTTCTTCGCAGAACTCCGTCTGGATATAAAGGTGACCATTATCTTCCCAACTGTCCATAAAAGAGATGATGTGATCCGAATTCGTCAGTGATTTAAGTATATCCACTTCCCGGATCCGACGTTCACGGTCTTTGAGCCCAGAGTATGGCTGTTTAGATTTCTTCACAGCCCATACTTGCTCGGTGAAAACTCTAGGAGTGTCGGTTCCTTCCGAGAGTAATGATGACCTTGACATTTGCTGAGGTTCCACGACGCGGTAGACCTGAGAAAATTCACCTGTGCCAACCAGTTCTACTCGTTCAAAACGCGAAGTCAGGCTTGGATCCACGTCGGGTACATGGTAACCAGCCAATGGTAGGCTAGGACGCTTTCCTGACTGAAAGAATGAATCACGCGGACCAGTTGGGGTTGCTGGGAGGTTGGAAGAGTCAAAATCTGGTCTGGTGGATTGCTGATCGTTAGATATTGATAGCCCACTCGGATCAGGGAACAGGTGATCTTGGGGTGTGTGAGGTGATCCCCGCTGGAATCGGTCGTGCAGTGGGCTGGAGCTGGTCCCTTTAACTTCCGCGAGCCTTTCTAAGGAGGCGATCTGTGAGATGGGAGGGGGATAAGTGCGAGAAGGAAAGAAACTCTGCTTCGTAGGAGTCGGGGGAAAGTCTGTTTCGCAGAAAGATTGACTGTTTGGTCGGCCAGACGGTGACTGAGATGCGAACAAGTCATCACCATCGATGCTCGCGAAACTACCACGACGGGATACCTCCGGTTTGCTGAACGAACTTCCAAAGATCCCCATACCTCTTGCAAAAGGCCCCGGTTTTTGTCGAGCACTTGGTGGGTTGAACGGCGTTGGAGGAACTATGTCCGACCGACGGACCGAGGCTGATATGTCCAGAGGTCGCTCTGGCTGAAGCTTGGACCCAGGAAAAAGGTTGATTGGCCGTTTACATGGGGTATCCGGCATGTTTTTGCTGAATCCGAGGCCACTCTGCGGGTCTTCTGCATTGCGGTTCTTCTTGGAGATGAGGCCTGTGGACATGAAAGCAGCCGGTAGAGGTTTGACTAGCTTGTAGTTCTCTGGCGTTGCGAACGAGTCCATAGAGGACGTCGAATCCTCACGAGTCAAGTGTCGTAATGGTACTGGTCGCGCGCTTCCCGCAGGAAGCGATTTGGAGAAATCAAAGACTCCCCTTGGGCGATCGGCCTTGTGGACAGGTTCATGGGTAGGAGAGTCGTCAACCAAGCTCGAACCAGAAGATGACTGCGTGATGGTTCTTGAAAGCGGATGGGCAGCAGGACGCGACTGCCCGGCGTTGCCTCCTGTGGACGAGAACAGCGAGCTGCCAGACACAGCTCGAGAAGCAAACGGACTCTCTCGGTTAGGTTGGAAAAGGTTGTTATCCAGGGACATACGTGGCCGTACAGTTAGTGGAGAACCGGTTTCTGCAGATTCGAACGAGTCACCACTAGGCTTCGCACGAGAGAATAGTGAACGATCACTCTGTCGCTGCTGGAGAGTAGAGCGCCGGAGAGATGATGATCGTTTTGGGATGGTAGCGAAAGGGCTGAATGGGGTGGTGTTCGTTGGGAAAGGCGGCGTCGTGGCCTCGGGTGAAGATTCGACGTTAGAGTCTTCTTCGATCTGAGAAGCATCTTCATTATCAAAGATGCTGAACTCGCCCGACAAGCTTGTGGCCTGGACGCTGCGCCTTTTCGCCGAAGGGCTGCCGCGAGATGCCCGATCCAGGTTCATGATTCCGTCGCTGCGTTTCAGTGGGCTGACTGTGGCATACGAGCCAAATGTCCCGCTGCGTCGCTTCTCAACGCGAGAATGTGTTTGCCGGGGTGCCAGGGTAGATTCTGCACATACGAGAGTTTCACTGGGATGTATATCGACCGTGGAGTTGCTGAGAGACGGAAGAGCGAGCCCAGGTCTTGCGGGAGAATTCTCCACGCCTGGCGTTGTTGGGTTTGATTGGGCAGGCTTCGCGTTTCCCTGGTCTGTAGAGATATTCAGGGCGCGTTTGACGGGACTTCTCGGAGACGTGCGCACACGACGCATAACCGGTCTCGTTATTTTGCCGCTTGGGGGATACGGTACGGCGAAGGGCGACTGGTGGGATGAACTGGGGAAGAGGACAAAGTTGCTCTGTGCAGGTCTTCGTGAAGGCGACAGAGGTGAGGAGATGAAAGGCGCACTCTTGGACGGTGAGTGATGTCGAGGTGCCAGCAGTGAGAAGTTTGAGTTTTTCGAAGGTGAGCGCGACAATGACCGGCGCAGTTGTCGAATAGCCGTATTAGCGTCCATGTGGTGAATACCACCATGTGATGGGAGGTGCAATGTGCCACCCGCATCGCGGTGCGGCGAGAAGGTTGCAACCATAGTGACTGTTGATGAGTAGTAAGTCCGAGAAAACAAGCTTGTGAAGACCCAAGTAGGGCTTGGGAGCAGACCAGAGCCTGTGTCGGTTATGCGAATCCTATTATCTCCAATTCACACAAATCAACAGAGGTATACCTTCCAGACTCGTCAAATCGTGGCAAGCGGCCACAACAAAAGACAACCTTGAGAACGAAGCCTGTGGCGGGGCGTCCTGCTCCAGCTTAACCAGTAATCGACGCGATATTTGTTTGTAGTGGAATGCTTGAGATGTAAGGTGCAGCGTTGGTGGTTGGGCTTGCGGAGAATAGGCTGGCGATGCGACACGACGATTGAATGAACATTACCAGCTTAGGTCGAGACCGTGGGGGCTTCGAGAGCGCTTGTAGAAGCCTCCATACACCCCCAGAGAAGAGCAATTCTCCCCGTGTGTATGTGGATAGTCGCAGGATGTAATTCGGGAAACAAGCGGCCTTCTTCGCGCTCTCAGGCACCCGGGGAGGGGGCACGCGCCTGAAACAGACACACGCACACCACGCACACAACGTTCTTCCAGGCCTGCGCAGTATGCCTCGGTGCTTGAGACGAAACAGACCTCTATGGAATGTTTCAAAGTGACAACACAGACGTCAAAACAAGCAGGCGCGACGCGAAGATGCAGGAGCGACAGGAACGAGGACGGACGCGATAAGAATTCCAAGACAGTGCGACCAGCTGCAAGTGTGCGCGAGATGGAGGCAGGCGAGTTGCAGCGCAGGACGTGAGAGAATTGATTCTGATTTGATGAGAAAGGAACCAGCAGCAGCAAGATTCACCACCCTTCCGTCTCCCTTTCTTCCTTTAAAACCTGGATGACTGCGCTGCTGCGGTAGAAGTGACCGCGAGCGCAAGGGGTGGCAGCCTGAGAACCCAAAAAAAGAACAGATGATAGCCAGGCGAAGTCAAAGAGGGCGAGACGAAGGAAGGGATGGGGATGGAGTAGAAGGATGGACGACCAAATGGAGTATGGGAGGGGCTGGCGACAGGGCGGAAGTTGCGGTATGCAGAGCCAACCTTTCAATAATAATGATTCAATCGTCCGAGGGGTTTCCCTTATGGGGAGGAAAGTTCGTGAGTTAACTTTGGAGGGGAAAGCCGATAGTCGTTTGATGACGATAATAAAAGTGGAGGGGAGAGGGGGAGAGAGGTTGGTGAGGGCGAGCGAGGGTAGGAGGGAAAGAGAACGAAAAATTCAGTATCAAAAAAAAAAAAGTCAGAGGGCGCAAGAGAAGGCCAACGTTGTAGTTGGTAGTTAGTGAGTGAGCAGTTAGTAGGAGGGAGGTACAATAATAGGAAGAGAGGGAGGGAGGACCTGACCAGAACAAGGACGGTTCAGGTACCCGGCCAAGGTGGGAGAGTCCTTCTCTCGCTCTTCGACCAGCCAAACTCTCCAAGGCGGGACTCGATGTTTCTCTTCGCACGCGCAAGTCGCGTCGTTTGTTGTTGACGGCTGGCTTTTTTGAGCTTAGCGCCGGGAGCGTCACGCGTAACACCAAGGATTCCCCGTGGATCATACGATACATACCGGTAATTTTCATTTTCTGCGCTTCCTCTTCTTCAGCATCGTCGTATTCTTGCCATCTCCGCGCCCCGCCTCTTTGCAGCTCTTTACCCTCCATCAGACCATTTCGCATATACAGCAACCTCAGCAGTGAAAGATAGAAAGGATCTTGGAGGACCGGGAAAAGGCCAACACCTATGTGCACTGTCTCACAGCTATCTGTAAGCGCTTTTTCTGAGCATACTCAATCTCAGGATACTGTTCTTCTCGAACAGCACTGCCGGTCTGAAGCTACTCTCACCGCATATCAAGTTGCAATTAGGAATTCCGGAACCCGGCCATTGAGAGTCTCGGTTGTGACGGTTAGTGTGATAAAAGGGTAAGGCAAATACTAGGTACGAGATCCGCGACGATACACCTGTACCAAGCGAGAGAAGGTCCCAGATGACTTCATCAGTGCCACTTTTGCCCCCCATCATCCAACACTTACTGTACGGAGTACTTATCCATCCTATCGATAATGTCGATAAGGCACGCGGAGGTTCGAACGGCGATCGGATCACCCTTTACCCTTCCAGATGGTTTATCTACTCGTAACTAAACTCCCTTGCATGTGCGCCAGAATAATTCCATGGATCATCCCCCTCCTCCATGAACAGACATCTGAGATTAAAGATGTGCTGTCCGGTAGGAATGTTATGTATGTTAACCAAACATTGGATTTGGCTTTGCGACTTTTTCATTCCATTATCTTTTGGCATTTTTCGTTTCCTCTTTTCCACCACAATCAATGTTTCCAGAAATCTTGCATCTACCTTCAATCTATCAATCACCCATTATTGTTGGTTGTTTCCGACAATCATCCAAAGGTCGTTCTGCTCGGGCACAATTAGGGCCACTGGGGCACGGCTTTTTTCTCCTTGCTCGAGAACGGTTCATTGTCCGTCCTCGACAGTGCTTGCTCTCTGATCTCTTCAACGCTCTAGGCTCGCCTGCTACCACTAACCTGGTGTCCAATTCTTCCCACATTATCTAGTATACACCACCACCCTCCCCCTCCGCAACACGTGTTGGTCCTAATAATTTCCTTCTGCCTGTTCTCGGCATGTCCGAAGCAGACAGGAACACGGTGCTTTTTAAGTACCGGACGCGTAAGTTCAGTGTTGTGTATACCTAAACATGCATGCCGGCTATGCAAATTTGAAATACCTTTCCGTATGTATCTGCGGCCGGGCTGAGATTCGGGCATCACCCCCACACGATCTTTCCTTACCCACTCGAATTTAAGCGCCTGGGAGATATGAAACGGTCTGGTTGCCTCAGGCAGTTGAAGTCCCATGAGATCGAAAACTATGATGCACAACATGATATTTCTTGCTGTAGCGCTTCCGAGGTGATTCGCTTTTGCTGCCGCTCTCCTGGCCCGCCAGCCTGGATTACCATCTTATCAAGCTCCCGCAAGCCAATGTTTTTGATCATGCCTGAGGACCTGGCCATCTTCTAAATCGTCGGCAAAAGAAGATCTGTGCCCAGTTGCGAGCCATACTTATCCTGAAGCGAGTTAATCTGGTAGTAAGCTTGATTTTTCCAAGTCTTCAGCAATAATTGAGCCGATCGCAGAGGAGCCATAAAATTAACCCTTGATTCGATTTATTGACCGTTACCTACCGGTAGGTTCTAGTCTACGAGGGGCGGCCTAGGGCCACCTCAGGCACGCCAACTGGTAGTATGACTCAGCAAGGTCTAATGAAGTTAGTTAGTTAGTTTATTGGTTGGATGGAGGGGAATCAATCATCCCTCCCTTGGAAGTTGGGTGCCCCGGCCGCCGCGGGCCCTACTAGGCTAGTACGGGTAATAGGTGCCTATCTCAGTATCCATTCTCCCCGCCACTCCCTTACACCGCACCTTCTGGGTTTAGCAACTTCAGGATTTATCCATTCAGTTTTCCTCAGTCCTCCCTGCTCCTCTTTCCACGACTCCACAGTACACACTCTGGGGTTGGCTATCACTTGGCAGACTTCTTCCACAATCTACCTGGCCATGGCGACACCCGGTCGATCTCAGGACTGTCTGGATGCAAACAATCATTCGGATCTGTTGCCTTGAATTATTCCCTCACTGCCCCATCTGTAAAAGCCGCCCATTCCTACTGTGTCTGCTAGGATTGTTTTGAAGATGACCCCCATGGGTAATGGCCGCTTTTGGCCAGTGTAGATTCGAGATTTGCTCGCAGCACCCCATGTCGGTTTCGCCGTCCACATAACCTCAGGTGAGATCTTGCCTGGGCTCGAGAATTCCGAAGCCAGGTCCATCAACAAGGCGAGGAGCCGTACGACTCCACTCATACGTCTGCTTTCGATCCAGCTACGCACAATCGTGGAGCTTCGCAGCCTTATGGTGAGCTTCTCAACCTTACTCGACCCCAGCGTAGATGTCCAGCTCGATTGCGCTCTACCGTTCCATTACCGGTGTGGGATTTCACGCACCTAGTCTGCCTGGTCGCTCAATCTCCTTGTCTCAGAGAAATAAGTAATGGTTATGAATGGTTGAAGGACACCGCAGAGCCTACATGTGCACATTCACACACATGGTATGGCTATGGTTGACACGCACCTAGTGGGGACGCAGCTCGCTCTCTTGACATTCTGGGTCCCGTGGCCTCTATCGGTTCTATGCTAATCAGTAGCCTTTTTGAGTCACTTGAAGTTGTGTAAAGTAAGCCAGAATCTCGACGAATGTACCAAGCCTGGAGAAGCTGGCATTTGTACTTTTAACGGCCTCCACCCACAGGTGAGGTGGATCTGCGAAAGAAAGCACCTCCGCAGTTACAGCAAACCCAAGCAAGTCTCTGGTCGGCTAGGAAGGCTGTCGACTTTAAGAGGGGCATCTTGAAGGTGGTCATGTATACAATATGGTTATATCTTTCCTTGCCTTTCCTCATTCGAGGAATATGTAGGGCTAGAGAGGAGAGAGCACTACCTGACGGCTATAAGCTTGGCTATATAATTACTCACGTAGGCGTTGGTCATAGTAATAGTGATTAGTTCTCGCTCAATGCAGACTGTACGAAGCCATCAGGTTGTAGATGTCAGTTTTGATATCCAAATCGGTGCAGCAAGGGGATGGGGCCTATGCAACCTTCAGGTGCCATGTACAAGATACAGGCTCAGTAGTTCATGACCTAGCCTGAAATCGGCCCATCACTAAATATCGGGTCAACGAATGTTGATTGATACAGAGAATGTGGTGATAACAACACATCATTACACTCTTGGATCTTTGACTTATCTAGGCTGTTTGTGGTAGGCGCGATATATATGTTATATGAAGCATAACTTACCAACCGAACTGGCGCCACAATAGTCTTCGTGTACAAGAGCATTGAAGAATCAGATATTCTATGATCAATTCTTGGTTGAACTCCAAATTAAATTGTCTGATCCCAGGCTCTGAAGCCACATAATAAGTTGGTATCGCGAGTAGTTCTTCAATCTATTAGTCTCTAACTCTTCGTTGCTTAATCATTAAATGCATTCTCTCCCGCGATGGACTTTGCATGAGGCGCATCTGCTGAACAACACATAGCTTATGGGTTACAATCATTATAATCCACAAGCTATACTTGACTGATATGATTTGATCTGCCCATCGGAAATACTGGGTCCTAACACGCGTACTCATCTGCCACCAATGGGTAAAGTAGTATTTGGTTCAAGTCAAATCACTTGAAAGATTATCACAGCCTTCTCTCAAGCACTTTCCCAAGTATTCTTAGCATCAATGCTAGCTTGTCCTTGGCCAGGACAACTGGAGAGCGCGACGCTGCGCTGTCCATAGCTTATGGATACTTATCACATCTTCTGGCAATGGTGACAGGAACTGTTAGTTACCGACTAGTTATTCATAGCATTTACAAAGCCCTATGGCAGTTTATTCTAGAACTATTAATTGACAGATCAAGAACTCTTGAAAGAGCGTTGTCAAGTAGGGCAGCAAGATAAATTGACTAGCTTCAGCTTTAGAAGCTGCAGAGCACTTGAGGTATTGTCGATCAGTAGGCGTATTCTAGCCAAGGTCTTCATGTCTACTTAGTAAATTATCACTTATCTCCTGCGGAGAGAGGACATCTGGTCATACTGACCAGCCTGCCCCCAAGCCAAAATTGAATATTGCAGACAGAAAATCATACCACTTGAAGATTTGAGTTTTGCTGGTTCAAAATCCCACATTGGACATGGTGAGCAGGCATAAAGATATTTTGAGACCGCTTTCTCTGCCATTAGCCATGTTCTATACTAGACGCAAAGTGAAGTGGGCAGAGGGGCACTTATGGGGCCCACATATCAACATACTGCATTGACTTCGCTGCAGAAGGCCGGCTATCCGTGAAGCACCAACTGGGATTCATATGGAAGGCATAATTCAACCTAGTATGCAGTTCATCGGTGACTGTGCATACTACATACTCCCATGTAAATCGAAGATCAACTAGCTTATTATCTTTTCTGTTGAGCATGTTGCTCAACTCTTATCTCAGTCCATTCGAGCTATGAACCTCGCGTTATTCGTCCTCATCGCGTGTCCAGAGTTCCTCTTCTAGCAAGCGCGAGTATTAACCTAAGATGATGCTTATAGCGCTCTAACAATATCTTTGCCTTGAGTAGATAGCAGCTTATATACATATAGCTTAGTAAATACCGGACAGTTCTAAGGCTCCTGGAGTAAGCCTGCTACCTGTATCATGTGGCCTTGCATACAAGAATCGGCCAGGAGAATTTTAACAATCGATTTTATTCATGTTTGGAATGAATTTCTACCAACCATATCCGACCTAGAAGGCAAAGCCAACCCGATCCTAGATATAGCTTGCCTTCTCCAACAACTGCTATACATCAATTAGAGTTGAGCATCCATATAGCTGCAGTAGATGCCATCAACCCTAGATTGTCCTGTTATGCTCATACCTTTCGACGACAAAACCTGTAAGTGGGCGGGCTAGAATCTAGAGTATGTTAGTGGTTCACCTTGGAACCATGATGAAGTGTAGGAGAGCTTAATTTACTCGCCCAATCATTTGAAAAGTGCTTCAAACAGCCCTTGCAACTGAATATTTCAATATACTGTCCTAATATCAAATGTATCTTAGGAAGCACATGAAAGAAGTATGTATAACAGAAACATAATTGATTCAACTTAGCTCTTACCCCAGGGATTCCATAATGCCCGCGGATGTTTGACCGAATGTACTAAGTATTTGCTAGAATGAAAGACGTGAGATGAACCGAGTGGTACTTATTATATTTATTCGTTTTGTTTTGGGGCAATTCTTCAACTCCTTCATAGATAGACAACAGAGTGCTAGCAGCCACTGGGGCGCTGTAGCTCTACGCTCAACTCACACAACATACTCCAATGCAGAACCCCCATTCCGACAACTGGATTTTAACCATGAAGAGAACGTTATAAGTCAATATTCCCAGTTTTGAGAGTAAGGCGGAAGTATTGAAAGTCCAGAAAGGGCTAAATCCACCTCGGCCAATGATGGCTAAGTTGGCGTCGTCATGGCTGGTCTAGGATATTGGCAATCTTTCATTGACATCTGATGAATCAAACCGCAAGTTAAGGTTATCTCTAGAAAGTCCTCAGCCAAAGATGGCCAAAAGCTTTATGCTTGTGTAGGAGTATCACTCCGACTCTTTTGCTACTCGATCACTTTCCTGGATGGTCTACAGGACCCTGCATATCACCCTTAGTCATATCGCTCCTACCGCGGGGAAGAAATCAGAGACTGCATCGTGTCATACACTGGTAGGTTTCAAGAACTCACAGGCCATTTTTAGCATTCATGAGAGTCTCGTAGACCGTCTACGCTGTTGGCGCTGAATGTTGTGCATGATGCATCATGTCTTTTGCAGCCCCATGACATGAGCGGGATATTTCAGTGGCAGACGACAAAAGTTATGGGCAACGACTCAGCTGGACTGGCTGTATTCGCCAATGCAGTTCGTCATCTCATTGGCGATCCCATTGAGATGACAGGTTCACGGGTTAAACGGAAAGATCGTCATTTCATCCATGACAGAGCTCCAACTAGTGTATATGAAGGTCAACCAACTAGAACAAATACATTCATAATCAACAAGGGCGGCCCGGGAGAGGGGTTAGTGAGGGGTAGCTGGTCTCTTCTCAAGTGCTTAACCAAACATCATCCGGGACCCTTGGCGTAGGCGGGGTCAGACCTCATGGATCCATTAAGACTCGCCTCGAAACGATCACAAAGAATCACACCATCCTCAGGCAAAGTAGAGTTATAGTATAAGGCTGTGTTGGTGGGGCGACCGAGTCGTAACCTGCTTTTATTAGAACGCCTGGCCAGCACTGTCGACTCGCTGTTCGGATCAGTAATTAGACCAAGCACACTTAAAGTCTAGTTTCTATCCCGAGGAGTATGCATTGAGGAGTGATGTGACACTGTGATACAAGCTTAGCTATGATTTAACTTGACCGGCATGGTCCTGGAAACCCATAATCACAAGCTCAGCTCGAACCTACAACCGTTGATAACTCTCGCCGTTCCATGAAAGGCAATGAGTATATCCACAACGCAACCATCAGCAAAGAGTCTAGTAACGAGAAGATTCTCAGTGATATCGACCAGGATTTTTTTTCGTGATTAATCCGGTGATATGGATGTACTGAGAGATCTCAGCATATAGAACTCTGCGGGTTTCTCAAGCGAGCGATTGCGTCAAAAGAGATGGTTATTCGTGCATGTCGCCTAGAGGCAGGTAAGTCGATAATTGCGGCGAGGCTACTCAATAATCGACTCCTGAGGGAGGCTTATGCTTTAGCTCAGAGTTCAAGGAGGATTGAAGGCTTACACTCACAGTCTAATACTTGGGACAAGATTATTGAAAGCGTACAGTTGCCGGTATATTGGCCGGAACCGCACAAATCATATTCTGTCTGGCTGTATTGTAACAAGAGAAGCGTGACAGGACGAATACAAGGCCGGGGTTAGTTGATTTTTCCGACATCGGGCGACTGCGGATCTAATCTAAGCGTTCATCACCATCATCATCCCACTCTTCCACATTCCACTTCCAGGATTCTACACCGGACATGCTGCGGGGCACTCAGAATGTTGTCTGGTCTCGGGGGTCGGACTCTTCACCCACTTTATGTATTGCCATTTGTTCCATTATCTCGGCCCTGCAACTAACACTTGTGATCCACCTTCTTTTCCAATTTCAAAACACAACAAGGACTGTTGGTACCTTTTACTCATATCCTTGGGCCGGCGGAACCGCGTGTCTATTCAAAAAGCCATTCCCGGCCCGCTGTCAAACCATGGCCGGACGGGTGTGCTGATGCGCAATAAACGCAAGAAAAGATAGAAGAGAACCAAAAAGAAAGAGAGGAGAGAGAATTGCATATAAAAGGCTTAGAATATAGAGAAGGAAAATAGTAAGAAAGAAAGAAAGTGTGCCGTAGGAATCAGAATCCTAACAGTGAGGTGGGGTGGAAGCCTACTCTCATCCTTAACAGGATCCGTTGCCGCAGAAAATAATCTTATCCAATCTTTGACTCCTCAGAACAAAAAAATAGGTTGTATCTAGGGTAAAATCCATTTAATTCGTAGGTTATCAGATCTTTTTCCCCCTTACTCCGAATGAATGGAAAGTTTTAATTTATCCGCTTCTATTAAGAATTCTGTATTCCATTTTCGGCGCGCCTGACTCCGTTCTCTCTACCAGTGGCCCCCCTCCAATGATTAATCCACCGGTGCATATAACTACCTATGATCCCTCGCCAGCAATACCGCGGTTTTCCCTCTTTCTCTCTCGTGCGCGCTCTCTCCCCTCTCCATCTTTCTCTTCCAAAGAGTCTCCTCCCAACGGTGTTTTATGCCCCCTCCCCCGTCTCAATCTTGAAACAAAGTCCCCCCACCTCCCCCCTCCCATCCCCATCCTATCTTCCCTTTTGCCGCAGTTTTCCTATCACAGCTGGTAACAATGGAATCCGTTACTCGGAAGCCTGAAGTGAGCTTCCAGAGCCATCGCAACATGTCTTCTAAGCAGCAGCGGGAGCCATCCCGACTAAGAGCTAGCCCCCAGGACGAGCTGCACGATCTGCTCTGTGTGGGTTTTGGTCCTGCATCGCTCGCAATTGCAATTGCCTTGAACGATGCGCTGGATCCTTGCTTGAACAAGTCCACCTCCAGCTCTGGCTGGCAGCCCAGAGTCTGCTTTCTAGAGCGTCAGAAGCAATTTGCCTGGCATCCAGGCATGCTGCTGCCTGGATCGAAAATGCAAATTTCCTTCATCAAGGACCTGGCCACCCTCCGTGATCCTCGCAGCAGTTTCACTTTCCTCAACTACCTCCACCAAAAGGAGCGGTTGATTCACTTCACAAACCTGGGCACGTTCACCCCAGCCCGCCTGGAGTTCGAAGATTATATGCGATGGTGTGCGCAAAGATTCTCCGAAGTAGTTTCCTACGGAGAAGAGGTGATCGATGTGGTTCCGGGCAAGAGCGATCCCATGAGCTCGGTTGTCGACTATTTCACCGTTCACTCCCGAAACGTCGAAACCGGGGAGATCTCCTCCAGGACGGCACGCAAGGTCGTGGTCGCGCTCGGTGGCAGTCCAAAGATGCCGCCTGGTCTTCCCCAAGACCCTCGGATCCTGCATTCGTCCCAATACTGTACCAACCTACCCGCTCTACTCAATGACAAGCGCCAGCCTTACAACGTCGCTGTCCTTGGAAGCGGCCAAAGTGCAGCAGAAATCTTTCATGACCTCCAAAAGCGTTATCCCAACTCGAAGACTACCCTGATCATGCGAGACACTGCCATGCGACCCAGCGATGATTCTCCATTGTAAGCAGAATCTACTCATATTCCTCATCCTTTAGTGCCGTGAGCTGACCCAGAGTCTCAGCGTCAACGAACTCTTCAACCCTGAGAGAACTGATAAATTCTACAATCTCTCCTCCGCTGAACGTCAACGCTCCCTCAAGGCCGACAAGGCCACCAATTACAGCGTGGTACGGCTCGAGCTTATTGAGCAGATTTTCGACGACATGTACACCCAGCGCATTCAGAACCCCGACGAGAGTCAGTGGCAACATCGCATTCTGCCCGGCCGCAAAGTCACTCGAGTCGAACATCATGGACCCCAAAGTCGAATGCGGATACACGTTCGGGCTGCCAAGGATGGAGCGGACAGCTTGGTTGGTGATGGCAAAGAAACATTGGAGGTGGACGCTCTTATGGTGGCGACGGGCTACAACCGCAATGCACACGAACAACTGTTAAAAAACGTGCAGCATCTGCGACCGGCGGGGCAGGATATGTGGACCCCCGGTCGGGATTATCGGGTCGCTATGGATACCGACAAAGTTAGCGCCTATGCAGGTATCTGGCTTCAGGGCTGCAATGAGAAGACGCACGGCCTGAGCGACAGTCTTCTGTCGGTTTTGGCCGCTCGAGGCGGAGAGATGGTGGATTCAATTTTTGGTGAACAGCTCGCGGGTGCAGCGGTGCCGGCCACCAGATTGCGCGCCATGTTGTAATACAAATTTTCGGCCCAGGGAGTCATTCGCAGGTCTCCCTCGTCGTCGACATATCTTGCGGATGCCAACTAATACTTTGAAGACTGGATGGGGAAAAAAGGGAATGGAGGCGAGAATAGAGGGGTGTAAGAGTGCCAAAAGAGGCCTGCTTCAGGATTTACCCCGCTGTAAACAGTATATCTGTCGATCAATTTCTTCGTTCCAGGTTGTACATACTATACTATAACCACACCCATACCGAAATATCCCCTTAGCATATTACATAAAGAATATGAAGCCATCGTTACTTTGAATGCTTGAGTCCCTGCCGATGTGCAGCGGCGATCAAGCCAAGGGACTCACTGTAACCTACATGTAAATCTGGTAGGGATATTCAATGACCGAATGAATGCTGGATAGTCTGCTCCAATTTTCTGGAATCATCGCACGGCCTAGCAAGCGATAGTAGCCGAGGGAAGGAGGGGAACACAGTGCGACGGCCTCAGGCTGGCTTCAAGACGGACGTACAGTGTGGTACACAGCAGTGCAACTGCAGTGCCTAGCACGGTCCCGCTGACGTCAAGCGATTGGTGCTGATTGGCCCCCACGATGACAAACGGCTACACGAAGGGATAAGTTACACAGGCGGGAGTTAGGGTGAATCCAAATCACACGCCCGAAGAAGAAGAGAAGGAATGAGAGAGGAAAGGAGCGACAGTAGGAAGAGAAATGAACCCCTAGTGGAATGGAGCTCTAAAAGTGGTCTCACTCCTCTGTCATTGTCCATCCTTTCTTACCCTGAGGAAAATTGAGCCGCGCACTACCAGCTGGATCTCAACCAAGGTCGAAGGGAGAATTATCGGGAGAGATCCCGATAATCTGATCTGATAAAAATTTTCACTCGTTATCTGATGGCGCCATCCCGCAACAATTGTACTGTAAATCGCGCAGTTCCGCCCGGGCACTTCTGGGACTCGACCGCACGTACCTGGCAAAGACATGCTCCACAGCGTACATGTACTGTACATGCGAAAAGGTATGTATTCATCTTATTACTTAGTACATTGCAGAGATGAATAGATTGCGCTGGCATTACTCGATAGATAGGTAGTAAGGTACGGTACTATCGCCTCCCGGGCCCTCTAGGCCTCTTCTCTTTTAGTCTGTGCTGACGGGACGGGTCCACGGTGACGGTGTGCATCACAAATACCGCATATGCGAGGGAGCATCACGGCCCACCCACTGATTCAGCTGATTGATTAGATGAAACCTTTCTCCGAATCCGCTCAGCTTGGCGACTGCAACTCATCGGTCTTGCGCTGGGGTTTTCGACCTTGCGAACCGAGGGTTTCGCTCGGAGCTTTTCCATAGAGTCGGAAACTTCTAAAAACATCCGACCAGAACGCAGCTCCGGTCTAGTGATCGGTTACGGTCAATGACTCGTTGACCGGGGGCGCGCTGATGATTGATAAAAATCCAAACGCCCCACTTCCTCCCATGTGGTGTCCACAATACCAAGGCCCTAACAGTAAAAGACGAGGAACTAAAGGAGAAGAAACCGCTCCTGCTGCCCAGTTCGGATAGCGCCTCAATCAATCAGATCATAGGCAAGAGTCTCCATGATCCCGAAGTCTAGGAGCAATTTTTTTGGTTGCCGTAACAGCAAGCCGTCACTGCCTGAAGACTTGATTAAACTTTAATCTGCGAGATCAATATTGGTGCAAGGGGACCATAGCAAGTGTTGCCAGTAGATCCATTCATCATGCCATTACCCCCCCCCCCCCCCCCCCTTTTTTTTTTCCCGGGGAATCATTCGCCCCCTCGGTGGTGATTACCCGGCTGGGATGATTTGACGACCGTTCGCCTATCTTCTCCTGTATTGCTTGGCTAGTCTATGCTCGCTTGTGGTGCCATAGCGTATGCTGCTTCTGTATCCGGTTTCTTTCGTCTGACAGTCGGATGCATGCATGCATACCTCCAGGGTAAGCACTGCACGGGATCATGTCTAGAACATGTAGCTGGGTCCCATCCATCCAGTCACTACTGTGGATTCCGCGGTGGTCAGGACCAGCGTGTGTTATAGGGAATAGAAAGTCCTTAGTCGGACATATCACTGGACAAGCTAGCTGAGCCCAACCGCTGTCATCGCAAAGCTCCCACGTGTTTCGGTTCTGCACAGGGACAAAAGAAAAGGTAAGTAATTGTTGGTTCAACAAAATCCCCCTTTCGAACTGGAAAATATCTTGGATCTACTAGGTAGTAGGTACACAACCCCGATCAGCGGTGTCTCTCGTCAGTCAGGACCGCCACGCTCCACATTAAGTCACACCTCAAGTCCGGCGATGGCCGGCAAGTCTTCATGCACCGAGCGTAGGTGGGCTGCGTTTCATCTAGGTATACACTGCATATCAAATGTCTGTCTTACACGTTGCATGGGGTTTATAACATGATTTGCCCTAATCAATCAGTATCCCCCTCCCCTCAAAGATCCATATCAGATCAGCCGAATCAACACAAGACAAAACAGACAAGCCCACTCATCGTTAGCCCATCGCGAAGACCATGTAAGTCGCGACCTAGAGACCTCGGGCGGGGAGAACATTGCCCGTTCATTTCTGACACCCGTCCAATCAAAGCTTCCAAGCCCCAAGCTCCAGCCGAAGGTCGATGGTGAAAACCGTTTGAACAGGAAATGTTGGGCTACACAGAAACGGAGACGCATTCAGATTCTCCACATGATTGGTTTCCGTTTATTATTACGAGAGACTGCGGCCATTGTCGGGCTTGTTCTTGATTTACCCGGAAGAGGTCTAAAGACCCGACAAAGTCTTCGAAGGTAAGTGCTACCCCAATTGAGGAAACCGAGGGAAGCGAAGAGAGAAACCTAAGAGGAGAGAACTAGAATGGCAAGGAAAGTGCGATGTGCAAGCTAACGACCAGAGCATGTCGATTCTTTCTTCATGGTGGTGATGGTGGTTGCCTGCCGAGATAAGATCTTAGCGTGAGCCCCCTTTGGGCGCCAAGGGGGTTTGTGTTTTCTGCGACATCGGATTTTTCGGCTCTCTGATTCCAGGTTCGGTACCAGTCAATGGACGGTATATTTGGTATGCTCTGTACGGACACCGTATATACAAGAAACATACAGCACAACAATCGTTACATGCTGGGGGTTGTCTTCGGCGGGTCTTTGCAGCTTCCACTGTATCTCTCGCCCCCAAGCTTATTTTCTCTTGGTGCGCTTCTGGCTTCTCATCACGACATTAAAACCAAATCTGACAGTGAGTTGTCAGCAAGAGTTCTGCCAGCAACAGGGGTTTGCAAATTGGTCAACACGAACACACCCCGCTGCCTTTGGAGCATTTTGCTATCCATGGCTGCCAAATTGACAGTCACTTTACCACTTCAACATTTTCTACCAGTATATGCCACCGCAATCACTTCTAAGCAGGAACTCTATAGGCGCGGCTATGATAGTTCCCAGCACTTCATATGCAGATAGCGGCGGCGCCCGCTAGCTCAGATACATCCGATGAAGTTCGTGTGTTACTGGCATGAATGAATGGATAGAAATTACTATAATATATCATTTATGTGCAAGCATAATACATGAAGATTGTGGTGAACACTTGCCACCAGGGAACAAGTGCCACACGCGACCAAATCGCACAGGCATATCCTGATACACAATTCGTGCCAGTTGATTTACGCCCTTCCTCCCCTCCCGAAAAGATGTCACAGTGTCTGGTTTTAGGCCAGGCTTATATCGCTAAGTAATAGGGGAGGTGCGAAGTCATCTAGGCATTTTGCTCCAGATCATTGTCGGCCACGCTGCGATACGCCCCGCCACTGTGCATCCGCATTGGGGCCTCATACATCCGGTTATAGTTGACAATTTCACCACCGAGCATACCAGAACCTGGCTCTCGTCGTCCAAAGTAGGGAGCCGGATCGCACCAGAAATCTTGACAATTGGTGACGATGCCGCGTGAAAACGGATTTTTAGGCCGAGCGGCACGTGGGCCATCCCGCAATCCGTCTCGAGCCGTTGCGAAAAATGTATCGATCCCTAATAGAGAGGACCATTGTTGCAGGCAGCCATTCCTCTGGTGTCGGTGAGAAGCATTCTGCGCCAAAGCCGGGTTGGGACCTTGGCCGGCCGGCGAGAGGCCAGCTGCATCTAATGAGGTTGTACCTGCAGTCAAAGCTGAGGCAAATGCTCGTGAGCTTGGATAACTCCGGTCAATCGAATGACCACGCATGTTCTCGTAAGTCGTCTGGTTTCGGGAGATCTGAACAAGCTGAACGGCACAAAGCATGGTTATCCAGACAAGCTGAATGACAACCCATATATCAAGTACTAGAGTGAACGTGTCACGGAGTACGAGATCACAGAGTTTGTCATTGATGACGTTGCATTTGGGATTCACGGGAGCCGGCAGAGCGTTGATATCTTGAGATCTGTCAGCCGAATCACGCTCCTTTTGGGCATCCGCTTTGAACCTGTAATATGAGAGATGGGCAACGCACATGTAAATGTCAGGCGTAAGAATAAGATGATGCCAATTTCCAAGCAGATGATATACGAGACAAAGTGACGCAAGTTGTTCGCTCCAACACAATTGTCGATCCAGGGGCAATGACTGTCAGAGGTTAGTGCATTCCCAACGAACGCTTGGCGGGGATCTCACTGATCATGCTTTGCGACGCATCGTCCACAGCGCTTGCAATGCTTGCTTCGTAATGGCTTCCGAATCATACATGAAACACAAAAGTTCTCTTCATCGAATTTCCACAGCTCGAAGAGTTCGGTGACTACGGCTCGTTGCTGATTCCGACTGCCCATTTTTGGGACGAAGCCCGGATCTCCGAGCATCGCGCAGAAATAGAAAAATGCTGTCAGAGAAAAGAACACAGTAAAGGAGATGTTCGAAAACGGTGACAAAGAATACGTCACTAAGCGCACACGAAAGGGTTAGTTGAACGATTTCCAATCGGCTCATTACCCAGATCCTGCCTCAGGTATAGAGAAGGCGAAGAAAGTAGAGAAAATTGAGGATTCTCACCAGGTAGCAAATAAAAGGCGTATCTAAAGCCGACCCAGAAAAGAGAACCTGCAAAAACCCCAGACAGGTATGGCTTATTTCAGGATGAGCGCTGACACAGGACAAGACCTGGGGACAATCGATACGTACCGTCTTTTGAAGAATTCGGTACTCCGAGGGGCCTTGATTAGCAACCTTTTGAGCCATCCATTGCATTGCATAAACCGTAAGCAGCATTAGGGGAACAGCAAGAAATACAACCAAATTGCTGAGTATCCAGACAGCGACGAAGATCATAAAGAAAGGCCACAGAAAGAAGAACTTCGACATGGCATTCTTACTCCGCACCCAGGGCGTCAGGCCCATAGGCAGCATCTTCGTGTTCCCGTCGAAATCGAAGCCACATTCATCCAAAGCGCGATACCATACCCGCGTCGAATTCATCTCGCTCGCTACGGTGACTGGCGTTTTACCATCCCGGGTCTTTGCGAACCTATCGGCACCATACTCTATGAGCTTATGGACACAGGGCAGAGAGCCCTTGACCAGAGCCCAATGCAGAGGGGTAAGTCCGCCGTCATCAACAGCATTGGCGTTTGCGCCCCAGCGCAAATATATATCCACACACGCAGGGTATCCTTTATACGCCGCCCACATGAGGCCTGTGTGACCTTGTTGGTCGGGGACATCCACCGGTATTTCTTGATGTAGAAGAAGCACGAGAAGAAATGCATTTCCATCAATCGTGGCAAGATGTAGAATATTGTAGCCTTGGACATCGGTAAGAAGAGGATCTGCGCCGCGCTGTAGTAGAAGGTGCACGATATAGTAGTGACAGCGTTGCGCCGCCCACATCGCCGGAGTGGCTACTGACTCTCCTCCTTTGGCATTCACATCGGCACCAGCATCCAGCAAGAACTTGCACATGGCATATTGATTATTGATAGCAGCCCACTGAATCACGAGGCCACAACCATCAGTCAGCAATCCGCGACATAAGAGGGCAAGCAATGGGGAAAGCATAAACCAGGACATAGGCTCTCAGATCTTACAAGTCACATAGAACATACATGTAATGGGGTAATGCCTTCTTCATCTTTGTAGTTGGCCGAGAAATTTTTCTCGTCAAATAATTTCTGCATGACTGGAATTTCTCCTATGCGAGCAATCTGCATAATGTCCTCGCCGAGTCGAATGGCGCCCTTGACATTGCTACGCTCGGTCTTCATGCTTTGAAGTTCGACGGTCGCATCCTGCTGAACCAGTTTTGGAGGACTAGTACTGCTCTTGCTGCTTGGCATGGCCGGTGGACTAAGTCCCAGACCTGCAGAATTGGTGCTGTTCTGCGGACCGGTCGAGGAAGTCCCTGACGACATTTCGCATGTAGCGCAGTTGTGGCGAGGGTGAGATATGGACGTATGTCGGCGGGAGGAGAGGAAGGCTGGCAGAGCAGTTTCGGGGACGCAGGGAGTAAAATCGGTGGAATCGTTTGGCAGTTGACTAGTTGGGAAAGTAGCCTTGACACATCTAAAGAATCATTGCGAGATCCAAGATGCTGAAAGATCGACGGCGAAGAAGAAGGCTTATGGCCCAAACGTGCCACCTGTTCGTTATAACTGCCTTTAAAAAAAAAAGATAATGATGCGGGAAAATAGTCACCGGGCGAACGGGGGTTCAGAATAACCTGGACGGAGAACACTGACTGTTTTGTTGTATGGCAGAGTCGACGAAGAGGGAGACTTGGATTTGGTAAGATGCGCATTCGGGGCTGGGGCTGGGCTGAACGGCTGCCTGGGGGCCTGGAGGCCTGCGGCTATCTATGGGGATGGCACTCAGCCACACGGGCATTAATAATGTGTCCCTAAATTGACCAGGTTGACTACCGCAACTACCTAGTGGATAATTGCCCAGTGAAGTTCACATCTTTCCGCTATTGAACATCCGAGCACATTGCGGTAAGAAAAAAAGAAAGAAAAAAAAAGATATTTATAAGTGAAGAGAACCAAACAAACAAAAAAAAAAAATACAAAAAAATCCAGCGCCTTTGTGGCTAAACTAAGGAAGCCAAAAAAGAAAAGAAATAGGATATTGCCAAACGCAAATAGTATATATACTATCTCGCCATCCCCAGATCCTCTGCCACAAATTGCTCAGCTTCGATAAAGTAGTTTGCCAGCTAGGCAGCTAGGCAGCCGCATTATGACAAGAAATTTTTTTCCTTTTCCCATGCCTGCTCTCACTTAAATTCATGCGTCAGTGGTTTAGCACCGCCACTTTATACCCATTAAACGGTGAGTTTGGTTACCGACCAAGAAGCATCCCAGTCCAATCTCACTAGGCATCACTTCAAGAAATATGCAAAAAAATCACACATCCTAAAAGATGCTGAGCAAGCAGGCGCATGTCGCTTCTATACAAGCAGCGGAGTATAGAACAAGGTCAGGGAAGTAGTCAACATGCTCTCACTCTTGATGTGAACAGTCCTCAACTGCTTCGGTAGACATGCTGCTAGTATGATCCAATCTTGCTTGAAGCAGCCTTGCCTGCTCAAAAAGCATCTGGGCATCAACTCGTAAATCGAAATCTGCCAAAAAACAGAAACTGACTTCTAGTTTTGAAAGCTCACGTTCGGTCACACCGCCGACTCTGGCTACCCGACTATGCGGATAGCTTAGGTCCTCCAGCGTTTTCATTGCAACTCGAAGCCCTGCGAGAACTAGACGGTGCATATTCCTTCCATTGACTTGTATCACTCTCTCAGTAGTAACCATTTTGGTGATATACATGCTCGCAGCCAGATAAACGCCCGTGGACATGGGACAATATTGGTGGAGACGCAGTAGGTACTCGCTCAGCGTGATCGGGGGTACCCGTTTTGAAAGGAATCTCTTCGACAGCACGCTTTGTTGAATAAGGTCGTGTCTTAAACTATCGTAGCTTGCTGGAAAGCAATGCAACTCTGAGGCGCTGATGGGTGTGCTCTCGCCACTGGAGATGTGGTCACCAGGGTTCTGGATACCGGTAGGGGCTGCGGTTATTTTGGTGTATTGTAAATCTTCCGTGGATGCTTTTACAAGGATTTCGATGCTGGAGCATAATAACCTCAGCGCGGTGCGCGGAGAGATTTGGAAAACATCGGCGACAAGCCAAGCCTTCGAGTCATCTTCAGTCCCAGACTGTGAACCAATTTGATCGGAATCTTTTGCTGGGGTTGTAACAGGAAGTAACTGTTGAGCCCCTTCACGTTCACCACTATAACGGCTCATTGTGGGGTTCTGCGTACAAAGACAGAGATAAGTGCGGCAGTATGTAGAGCGGCCTTGGACCTACAGGCGAAGATCAACCTTTCAGATACGGATAGCATGGTATGTCTGATCCCGGCGTGTGAATATACGATTGAATCCACATCAATTGTCTGCTGGGTCATGCATACGTCGGGATTGGAGGGAAGAAAGGTCCGATGGTGCGTGTAAAGACGAGCCTTTCAGATAGCTGGTTATGGGAGAGAATAGGCTAACTGCTGCAGGAGCGGTCGATACCTCGGTCAACTTCTGATCAATCGGTGCAACAGTCAACTCACCAAGTATAGGACGTCGCGGCAGATTGATAAGACAGCAGCTTGGATAAATATGTAGGGACAAGACACATCTGGACACCAGTCTGCTCGTCTCAAACACAAATGGCAATTTAGGAGAGACGTGCTGAAGATGCAATGGACCGGACATTAGTTCGCCCGGTTGTGTACACCCAACCCGATCTTGCCAAACACTTTATTGTCAAAGAATGTCCAAGAATGTCGGTTCGATTTGCGCTAGACCCGCAGAAAGAGTCCGTTAGAACAATCTTGAATTACAGCCTTGACTACCCTGTCTCGCCAATGAATTATAGAATTTATGTTATTATATCTAGCCAAGCATTGTCCAAGACAATCTGCAAATAGAGCCATAAAGGCTCTGTGGACGTCATCATATCATTAGCTTGGAAATCCAGTCACTCGTGGATCATGAAGACCAAATTTGTATATGCACAAGTCCGGGACTTTTTATAATCTTTCCACGAACTCGGTCTAGTCCTAGAAATTCGACGTCTGTCCGTTCCATCTCTTCAAGAAACTTGCCGGAAACGAATCGGGTCTATAAAGCACACCAGGCTCCAGTCTCTCTAGCTCTTCCTCAATATATTGCAATACAGACTCAAGTTCAGCAATCCTGTTCTCGCTGTTGACACTCGTTAATGAGGCCTTAGGTTCTGAATTGGTCTGGAGTCGAGGCAGAAGAGATTGGATTGCCCAATCTGTGGCGAACAAATCAGCGTCTAACGGTGAATCTGCAGCTAAGCTGTAACCGTGTAAAGAATCTACCAAACTGCATCTCCTTGCCTGCAAGTATTCCAAGGGCCCACCTATTCCTTTAGATGATAAATTGTCCAAGATCAAGCCTACTCTGCGTTGAAGCCCTGTGAAAGCTTGGAGTCCGAAGAGCGGAGCAGTACAACTTGCTGAAGGGGCGTGTAGAAATGCTTCCTGTGGGGCTTGAATCCTCGCCATTTTCCGCTTCTCAGCAGACGAAGCCGAAAGCAGATCACTCGTTTCAGTTCTGTATGCAGCAGTGAAGGCTTCCAGTGCCCCACAGGACGAATCCTGATCCTGTAAGCCCATGGCGATCTCTCTCGTGGACGATGCCATCTTCGAGACTATGTCTCCAAGCTATGAAGAGATCAGCATTTGCGCCCAGTATGTTATAGAATGTGACATACATGGTGCAGTTTCTGATGAGCGGCCGTGCGGAGCGCCCCGTGCTGTTCCTGGATCCCATGCAGTATGGGCTCCACGAGTTGCTTTTTAGTGGACATTTCTGCTAGAATTTCGATCTCGGGATACAACGACTCCAGTTCTTCTTCCAGAGCACCCAATGCTGACTCGGCTCGTGTTTCGCCCGTTTGTATGGTGGCATGATCCGTCTGCACACTTTCCAAGTACAAGCGGTCAAGCCGATACCGTATCTCTCCAGCGACATACTGAGCATGATGTATACCCAGTTCTATGGCCCGCTTGGAGATAAAAGCATCATCCCCCGCGTACTGAAGGCCGTGCCCAAATCTCTCAAGGCATGCGAGTTGTCCATCATCGGCTTTTAATCGAGTAGTCAGAGACGAGAGTAAGCCTCTCCCTTCCGTGGCTACCTTCTCCAACTCCAATCTGACGTTGAGTTCTAATTCACGAGACATCTCATCAGACTGAACGAATTATGAGCGGCTTTCTCGTATTTTCTTCGACTGCCCCAGTGACTTACTGCGACTGAAGCGGTCTGTCTCCCTGATAGAACTTGCGCACGTAACCTATCCGCATCTCTCTCAAGCTCAAACTCCCGTTCTTCCTTCCGCTGGAGTTGTATACTTATAAATTGTGATTGTGAAGAGACTATGGCAGTTTGTCGTCGTATCGCGACCGTGGAAGCGTTGAGTAAATTAATTGAGTGCCGAAGTTCTTCGTCAGATAACGGTCGCGTTGCGCGCGTAATTCGACTGCTGAGGAGGTTGCTCAAGTCGTCTGAGTCCTCGAGGGCGGAGTACCTGCAAGCTCAGATAAGAGCAAAAGTCAATGATTATTGAGCATCGGTCATAAGTGGAGGGATGTGTTGAATACAATGTAAACTCTTCCTGCGATAATAGCAAGTCGGGTATGACATGCTCCGACACCCAGTTGGCGTGAGCTGTAGCGCCTGCTTCACTGGTCAAGGCTGACAGGACCTTATTCCGACTGATCGGGATCTTGCGTTCCTTGGATTCATTAATGATGATATATGCTTGCTCCATTGAATTGACTAGTTCGTTTATCGATATGCTGGCCTTCCTTGGAACACACTTCGGCGGTCGCCTGGAAATCCACCAGTCAGCCTCGGCAGTCAAACTACGGAAGTTCCGCCGGACTCCCCGTTCTCCCACAACATCATTGGCCTACAGGCTAGATAGGTCAACATATTGCCGGCCCGGGGAGAACGACCCCTACTCAAATTATGTTTGGACATATTTTGGCTCGCAAAGCATCTTCTAACAAGAGCAATTAGTTGCATAGGCCAATCACTAATGAGCTCGGCTGTTATGGAAAATTACATCAAATATGGACAGAACCCGAGATGCTTTTCTAGCAGACCTATCATGCCTCTGACTCGCCTTGTGTCTCAATCTTGGGATAATACCATGTGCTCACGGCTATGATCACATACACCAACACGCACAGGCCCCCTTCGAGGTAATTAGACTTGCCGTCGCGGAGGAAGTTGCCAACAACCAGAATGGACAACACTACCAAGACAATCATGAAGATCTCAAAGTTCAAGCCCAAGTCTTTTCCAAGACCCCATCCCACAATCACTGCCAGAGGCGCATTCAATAACGCCGTCTGAATTGATGGCCCAAGGCAGTGGAAAAGGGCGAAGTTGATCTGGTTATCCCTATATACGGAGTCAGCACAGCGAGCAGACGAAGGGGCTTTTGCAATGCATAGTCGGGAGCCGTCGCAGGAAGTACACCTACCAGGCTTCATCAATTGCAGTCAGATGCTCTGCCGCTTTCTCGACCAAAGGCACAAGGATCAACCCGACAAAATTGTCGGACACTCCTCTCTCAACAATGTGCTCGATCTCCTCCACCAAGAAAACCGCCGCCATGCAAACAAAAGCGAGAGATGCTGCAATGGCGATGAAGCATTCTAGTAAGGTGAGCTTTGCGCGCTTCAATTCTTTTTCTCGGTCCTCATCCTGATGCTCGTCAAATTCGAGGACTTCGTCGAAGATACTGTGGTGACTATGAAGATTATAAAATAGATACCTGAACCAGTCAGCAAAAGACTCTAGACGCGAATGCTGCCGTGGAGACGACCACCTACATCAGGAAGGCGACTAGGAGGATTACTGCAGTAGCTCGACTGATGACTAAAGTAGATTGATTCAGCACTTCCGGGGTGATTTGTGTATGCGTTGAACTGCTACTCAAGGTGGAGTAGAAGGCACTGGGGATCAGCAGTCCGAAACCCGCAACCAGCAACAGCCCGGAGCCTACTTCGCTCACGGCTTCATGGAATGACTGCTCTTCCCGCCCGATGCCACCAAAGAAGAAACAAAGCCCAAGGCAGAGTAACAGATTTGCCAGCACGGAGCCCAGAATTGCAGCCTGGATGACTGGGATGAGGTCGCCATTCTTGTCGTTATGAATCAAGACCATGAAGAGAACAATTTCAACCACAGAGCTTAGTGTTGTCTCTAAGAGAACGCCAAGGACTTTGGGAAGCTTCTTCGCAAGCTCTCCTCCGGCGAACCCAAGCAGATTCGCGGATGGAACCATAGCGATATAATTGAGGGCGAAGACCCAAACATGAAGATCAGGCCGAGCAAAGTGGATGGCAACAGCAGCGGGAACAAAGGGCCAAAGAACATTGACCAGCATGGATAACGTACAGGTGCTCCGAAAACAGACCCGTATAAAGTGAACAGGGTGAATACCCGTTCGGCCGCTCTCTCCAGCAGTATCAATACGAAACAGTCCATAATGTCGCTTGCGGTCTTGTCCACTGTGCGTAGGAAGCAGTGTATCATTGCCTTGCGGTCCATCAACAGCTTGTGTAGGGTCTCGCGATAAAACCCCGAGAGCTTTTTCAGAGCCAGCCTGTCGGCCGGAGTGGACACGCCGGCTCATATTGCTTGTATTTCACGAAATCCGGGAGGACCGTGTAAGTGAACACTTTGGCTTGATCTTCACCGACTGCGTAGTGAAAGTAATCTATTTTCGAGTGTTGTAGGTTGCTTGGGAGGAGGGTCGCAAGATAGAGAGAGGCTGGGCCCGCACGTCTTACTGCTGATGGGCAAAAGCTGACATGGTGTAGGGGGAGAAAGAAACGGCTCAGGGGAAGATATATATCTGGCAAAATGCACAGGCAACCCTCCGAGATTATGCATGATGGGCAAGAGGTGCGCTCATATAGGTATGGGGATATGAAGATTCGAGACCTAAGAACAAAACACGAGTCTTGGCAAATGAGTTGGCGGCGAATGGTTATCGCATGGGGGTCTAATTCCATGCTAGGCCGTTCTTGGGTTTGAGATCATACTTAGTACTTCCAGTCACTAACTTACTACGGAGTAGGTAGTAGATGATCACATACTACTCTGTACTTTGTAGTCCATCCAGCACCGGTGATTATACCACACACAATACTAGATATTGTTTTGCTTTTCCCCGAGGGTCCTGACAGAGGCTGAAGCGAACTTGATGCTCCAGCAATGAATGGTCAGCAGCAAACAGTACAATCAGTGTGTAAATTGGCTTGACTATGCTACGTGTGTAGATACCCTCCCTTCTCGTGGGTGGTATAGTACGAATACTAAGTACAGTACTATCGCTAAGCATATGTACAGTACAGTACTGTACTTCCCGTAGTACCTAGGGTCAAGGTTCCACCAAGTTCCAAGTTGATACCCAGACCTTGCCTAGACGGGGACCAACTGGGGCCATGGAAGACACTGTGAAGCCTTGGCCAGCGTATGAGCATCGATGATGTCAAATAGTGGAAGCTCAGTGGCGCCCCCGCCAAGCTGAACACAGCCACAGTAGACTAGGCCTGATGCTCAATTGTCCAGACTCTCGACTTATCCGGCCAGACGGTGAAGAACCTTGAAGCTGAGTCTGGACTATTATGAGGGACCAGGAGGCAAGTAGAAAAGTTCAAGGGCAATTCATTCTCCGGGAGGGCGGACGGCATGCTGGGAATGATTCGATAATATCCATGATACTACTAGTAAGTACCAAGTACAGTACAACAACTTGTGTACAGTATGTACTGTAGATACACGCATACGATACAGGCTTTGGCGGGGGCTCGGATGCGCGCGAGGCCCTGGGCCGAAGCGACGCAGAAACTCTATGACTTCTATTCTGTACCTTTTATCTAGCTGATTTTGATTTTACATTACTACCATATCATTTACCATGGATGTCACTATAGTTTCGATTGGTGGTCAGTTGAGCCACTCCCGAGAGACGAACGTCTTGCAGGCATGATCCGGCCCAGTTAACGGCTACCGTCGGGCGAGGGGAGGGGAGGAAATGGGTGGATTACGAGATTTTTTATCTAGTTTTTCTCATCCCCTCACTATAACACCTCTTCCCCCCCCCTCGCTATCTTTACCTGCGGTGTACTTAGAACTACCACAGAGGCTAGTTGGGAAATACCTTCGAAACGCCATTTCCCTGTCATTCCCCAACTGCTCGGACGCCCACCACTTATCATGTCCTCTACAACCGCCTCCACCGCCCCTCCAGTGGCCCTCGAGACGATCACTCAGCACATCGGCAACACGCCTTTGGTACGGTTGAACAGGATACCGCGCAGCTTGGGCATCGAGGCCGCGGTGTATGCGAAATTGGAATGCTTCAATGCGGGGGGCAGCGTGAAGGATAGGATTGCTTTGCGCATGATTGAAGAGGCCGAACGATCGGGGCGCATTAAGCCTGGTGATACCTTGATTGAGCCTACCAGTGGGAACACGTACGTCCGCTTGAGGCTTTGACTATGCTCCATCCAGAAAATATGAACTAAATTCCCAAATTGACGCTTAGTGGTATTGGTCTTGCTCTTGTCGCCGCTGTCAAAGGTGAGTCGTCTCGCCCAGATTAGTTGATCACTTCTCTCCGGTAGTCGATATCTAACCCCATCTCTCGCTTGCATTAGGCTACAAGACAATCATCACCCTTCCCGAGAAGATGTCTGCTGAAAAGGTCGCCGTATTACGAGCCTTGAATGCCACCATCATTCGTACACCCAACGAAGCTGCATTCGATTCTCCTGAGTCCCACATTGGGGTTGCAAAGCGTCTCGAAAAGGAACTTCCGAATGCCCATATCCTGGATCAGTACGGCAATGAGAACAACCCATTGGCTCATGAGCTGGGCACAGCCGAGGAGATATGGGCCCAAACGCAGGGACAAATTTCGGCAATCATTGCTGGTGCAGGAACCGGCGGAACCATCACCGGTCTAGCTCGGGGCCTTAAGAAACATAATTCCCGTGTTCAAGTCATAGCTGCCGACCCCCATGGATCAATCCTGGCTCTTCCCGCAACATTGAACCAGGAGCATCTAAATGAGCCCTACAAGGTGGAGGGGATTGGATACGACTTCATCCCCGAAGTACTGGATCAGCAGCTCGTTGACAAGTGGTACAAGACCGCCGATAAGGAGTCATTTCAGTATGCTCGCCGCCTAATTGCAGAGGAAGGGCTTTTGGTCGGTGGAAGCAGTGGAAGTGCCATTGCGGCTTTGGCCCAGGCCGCCAAAGATCAAAGATTCACCAAGGACGACGTGGTTGTTGTAATATTACCGGACAGCATTAGAAGCTATCTTACCAAGGTTTGTCACAGGTCTCCTACAATATCTGAGGTGACTAAGGTTCTGACTGATCTCAGTTTGCGGATGATGACTGGCTTGCTGCGAATGGGCTTCTGTTGACCGCCCCGGTCGTCGCTGATGTAGCGTCCATGCCTCCAACGCTGAACCCTCAAGGACAACAGGACGCATTTTCTGGCTCAAAGGTCAAAGCTCTGAGACTTAAACCGATTACCACGGTCCGGTCGAATATTCCATGCGAAACCGCCATCGAAATGATGCGCGACAGAGGATTTGATCAACTCCCGGTCTTGGCAGCCTCTGGGAAAAAGCTTGTTGGACTGCTTACCCTAGGGAACATCCTGAGTCGGCTTACCCACGGACGTGCGACAGGGAAGAGTCCTGTTGCGGATGTCATGTTTGATTTCGGTAAAATCCCTGAAGTTGTCACGGACCCCAGAGATATCGGATTGGCAAGCCCGCAAAACGAGCAGCAAAAAACCCAGGTCACAAGCCGGAAATTTGTTGAGATCACCATGGAAACTCCCCTCAGTGTCCTGAATAGATTCCTGGAATGGAACAGCGCAGCGGTCGTCACTGAGAGAGACGAAAACGGAGCAATGAAGCCAGTAGCCGTTGCCACGAAAGTCGACCTGTTAAGCTGGATGCTCCGTCACAATGAGAACAGCACCCAAGGGCCTCAGTAATGGCACCCAATTCACCGTCTAGCAATGGTTGTTTTTTTTTTTTTTTTTCTCTTCTTTTTTGGTGGAATGGGTCACTCTATTTGGTTTATTTTTATCTTTTTTACCTGGCGTCTGGGGCTGCTGAACATCATCGGCCACTGCAATATGCTTATCGTCAGGCCTCACTCACATCAGGAAAATAATTGGATACATGTAGGGTCTCAAGCTTGGTGATGCCAGGTGTGTTCACATGTGAACTCGGGCGCTGGTCAACAGTGCCACCACTCGAAAACCGCCTTTCGATAAGGGGGGCCAAGTGGGCATAGGAGAGGGCTGAATGTACTGTGATCTTTCGGCAACGTGAAACCAGTCAGCTGAGATCACCGGCTCATTGTTGTTAGTACATGACGACGGAACATCGTAATCTGTAACGGCTGTGAGACATCTTGAAAGAGCTCTTCCTTTACTGGCGATCAATCACAAAGACCTTGAATTATGGACTCGGTTCAATCTATCTTCTCTAAAGGTTGGGATGAGGTTTTGCCGCTGCAATGTGTGTAGGATCACTGGGCGAGCCTCCGTCAGAGAACATAGCCTCGAGGATGATGTTGGTTGCATTGATTATTTATCTGGCCGCAATCGAAGTCGGCGGGACCTCTCCGGGGCCAATACACAGTACATTCTCATTGCCAAGCTTGTGCAGCAACCAGCACCGCAGACAGCTGCTGCGCCCGACGCCGAAGCAACAGGATACTCAGATTGTAATTGGCAAGACAAGGGGCAAGACAAGGGGCATAACAGGTCGCGGTCCAGAAATGAATGCTCTATTATCTGATTTTGTTTTGACATTGGGTCTTCTCAAAAGTGCTCTCGACCCTTTCCAGTACTTCACATGTCAATGTTGTTTGATGCCCATCGTGGAGAAAATGCCATGAGTGTACAGTGCAGAGGTGAATGATCACCAAGGATATTTCGTTTCTCACGCCTTGTTGCACAATATCTTGAGAATATACAGGGCGACATATAAAACCCTGGGGTCCTATACCAGCCCACGGGCAACGGCGCACTCTGCAAATCTGGAATTGTATGCCCTACAGACACTGGCCGATCCATTCCTCCCACTTGCGGACCCCAGATCCAAGGTTTCTCTCTCCATCACCCATAACTGCTCCTCCTCCGACGTCTACTACTATACCGACATCGTCCTTGAAAGCCTGGAATGAGAATTTACCGTGGTGATCGCTGCCGCCGAGAATATCGTCATCGCCATCGACGTTCTCAGAATCAAGACTAGCATCCAGGAGGCTTTTGCTTCGAGAGTTCCGGACTCTATTAATCTCATCTTCCAACCTTTCCCGCACGGACCCGGGCGGCAAGGCCGTGAAAAGGTCTTGCTTGTTGGCAGCCACAAGCACAGGAATCTCAAATGCCACTTTCTTTCCCCTACTCAGAGCACGTTTCTGGAGAATCAGAAGCACATCGTATAAGTAATTGGCCGCATCTCGTAGATTCTCCGGGTCGGCGAGTACTGCGGTGTCGACCATGTACAGGACACCACGCAACTTCGACTTCGCTTCCTTTGACGTTGACATGGAAAGCAACCGCGAGATACCTTGAGATGCTCGTAGTTTGCCATGACCAGGAGTATCCCACAACCGGTATTTGACTGGATTTTTGGCAACATCCTTTAACGAAGTGTCATTCAACGACCTATAGCGATTTGATGCAGTTGGCACCGAGGCGGGGAGGCTGATTGTCGCCGCGGTGGATATTTGTGACGTATGCGTGACTCGAGTATCTTTACGCGTAGTGTGTGACGACTTTGCTTCAAGCTGTTACTCATGAGAGGTCTGTCAGCTATACGTGGAGGGCGGAAGAGCCTTCTGCGGGGAGAGGTTGGGGAGTCAGACCAGAGTCAGGAGAGCGGTCTTTCCAGCCCCATTCGGACCCAAAAGCAAAAAATTGCTAGAAGGTGGAGAAGCCACCGTTCGGTAAAAAAAGAGATGCAATAGAACGGGAAGTCCAAAGGCGATGAAAACCGTGACAGCAATCGCGAGAGGGCTGCCCTCGAGCAGGCTAGTGGCTATGGCTTCCAATGAGGCCCAATCCCCTTGCAACCGCATCGTGGTTAGACGCGCTCGTGGGATAAGTTGTAGACCGCAAGATGGCACAGGCACAGAATGGAGGACAGTAATGACGGAGTTGTGGTTGAAAGCAAACAAGATGAGAAGCCCAGAGAACACGAGGAGGCAATTAATATACGTAGCTAGATGGATAAGATTAACTCGACCGGAGGTGGGACACTCATGGCTGACGCTAAACCGCCTTCAACCTTAGCCTCAACCAGCCATACGCGCTAAGTGACTGTAACGTACGGTGTACTTCGTACGGAGCAGTTAGTAAGTGGTGTGGTAGCAGATCAGGAATAAAAAGTACGAGTATATAGTCAGTGACCGACCAAATAGTTGACCCGTTCTGTTGGGCGCACGAGTCTGTAAGCAGGTCACTAATACAAACTAGTTTAAGTCTTTTCGTAGGTATTTAGGCCGCTTGACCGCCTGCAGTGACTGCCGGGATCGCCTGGCAGACTTCTCAAGGTATAAGTTTGACAGCCTGGAGAGTCACTCGTTGTGTCCTGATCCCTTTTAGGCGCGCGTTCCTCGCAGTCCTGCGGTGGAGTGGAGTGGAGTGGTGCCAGTGCAGCGTAAGAGAAGACCTGCATACCATCGGATCGCAGGGGTAACGGAAGGGCGTCAACAACTCTACTTCATTCCTTTCTTATTCTGTCCCACTTGACTTTCTCCAGGCCATCCACGTACTTCGCATCACTCTTTGTTCTGTCTTTCTTTCTGGTACCTGAACCTCTCAGGTTATTCTTTTCCCATTCGTCTCTCGCTACACCATGAAAGTCACACACTCAATTCTGTTTCTCTTTGCACTGCTTCCCCAAGCCCTCGCCGATGTCGAATTTGTGTTTCCATCACCCAGCGCCATTTTGCGAACTGGGGATGTCCTCACGGCCCAGTGGAGAGAATCGGGCAGGCTTCCCCATATCTCTGAACTCATACATTATGATCTTTATCTCTGCGTCGGCGGGGAGTTAGCGGGAACACATGTGGGGCTCCCGCCTAGACCAAGTATCATTGATCTATTTGTCGGACGTCTACTGATCACTGAGAGTGCGACAGGAGGTTGCAGTTCTGCTTTCGAAAGATACTGTGTTTGCAAGAGGTAACTCGATATCTTTCAAGCTGGATCCCAGCATAAGCGGCAATACTACAGATACATAGTAAGGGGACTCTGCCAGGGTGCATTTGCGGTGGCAGTCTGGCACCAAGCCCATCGCTAACAGTGGCGTCACCGATAGCTTTCTGAAAATGATCTCTTGGGGCCCGGATGCCTCGGTCATCAACTTTTCTAAGGATTTTACCATAACTAACATGGCCGGCCCTAACTCAACATCTGTCTCGCAAGGGCCGTCTCCTACAATAGATGACTTCGCAATTTCTGATGGTGATTTGATCGAGCCAGTGGAGCTACGGAAGAGACAAGTTGATGGAGAGGCCTTTACAGTACCATATCAGTTGCAGACTGGTCCAACCAGATATGCACCAATGGCCAAGAAGCCTGCAAGCACGATTCCAGCCAGGTCGCCAACCCCCCAGTTTCCAGCAAGCGCATATACCATTGCCACAACGTATCTTCCCCCGGCAACGGTTGAAATAACCATCGCCGCATCTGTGACATACTCTGTCGTTAGTATTGAAAATACGGTATGTTTCACCTCGATGCTTTTCTCCCGCCGATACCTTAGCATAGGTGACGGGCTTGATTATTGAGTTGATGGTGACTTGGACAGGCCTCGCCCGCACCGCATCTGCACGACGCACAAATGAAGCGATACTTGGAAAGATGGAAGGATTAGGCCCGGAGCCTCATGGCAACATTGGTACTATCTCAGTAGCACATTGCCAACCTTCCTTTTCTTATTTCTCAATCGAGAGCCGGGCCAATGAATGTTGTACTTTTATACAGTTTTATCGTTCCTTGACTATAATGTATGGTACAACGCCCTATCAAACAGGTTTCTGACGAACTATATATGGTTCTTTCCCATATTTGTGTGCTCTATGTCTAGCACAGCAGCATTATACTGTAAATTCAAGTGAGCATGGAAGGTCGTGGCATGTTTCTAGTCCAGCACAAAGCGCGTCTCGTCCCACTCCTATGATCATTATGATCTGCAGAGTGGTATAAGCATTGGGGGTGCGAAGTCCCAGGCTGTAGCGAATAAGGACGAACGAACATGATTCTTAGACCCTGGTGGTGATCCTTCAGACAGGCCCAAGCACACGCGTGATTGAGGCTCGAATGAACCATCGTCCACGCAAAGCCATGCAGATTTGGTGGAGTTTATCGACGTGAAGTGTCATCTATCTGCAGAAAAGCAATATTTTCCCGAAGTGCCACATATTCACTATCAGCATAACCAAGTAGAGCTTGTATTTGGGTGCTTCTGTGGCCCTTGATGCGCTCAATCTCCATGCTCCCATAGTTGACTAGGGCACGCCCAACCTCCTTAGGCTCTTTCCCATGTTGAAGGAAATCACCATCGAGCGAATCGGGCGAAACTTTCCCAGTTACAACTAGTCGTACTACTTCTTGTTGGGAGAAATGACCTTCGACCCCCAGGACGCCGGCAGGAAGAAGACCGGCCTTTTTCTGGAGAGCGCTGTATGCACCGTGATCTAAGTAAACTGTGCCTCGAGGCTTCATTCCGTGAAGTAGCCAAAATGACCTGGACTGGATTGGATTTTCAGACGGAACAAAGCGTGTATGTAATGGGGGCAGAGTCTGCGAGATGCGTGTTGGGACCTCGGAGCTCTCAGACGATTCAAGCTCTGCATCTGTTGCAGTAGCCTTCTGGCTCAGCTGGAGATAGTTGACTATATCATGGACGTTTCCCGGCTTCGAACTTTTGGTGATGATGGTCATTACGCCGGCGCTAGTTCCTAGCTTTGCAGCGACGATCTTTGTACTCATACCACCAGTCCCTAGAGATGATCCAGCTGACGAGACGTCCGCTTCCAATGTAGAGATATCTGTGACAACTTCGATTGGGCGCGCGTCAGGGTTAGTACGGGGATTGGCAGTGTAAAGACAATCGACATCGGTCATCAAAAAGAGGTAGTCTGCCTTGACCATGGCAGCTGTGATCGCCGAAAGTGTATCGTTGTCACCAAATTTGATTTCCTTACAGGATTAGTGTGATGATCTGCGACAAGAGGCGTGGACGAAGGTTCGACGTACGGAAACAGCCAAAGTGTCATTTTCATTGACAATCGGGATTACGCCCATGTCAAATAATTGCGAAAATGTATTTTGGGCATTGATATATTGCGTCCTCTAGCGGTGTGTTAGGGGGGCGCATATTGGTGCCAGTCGACGAGGATGCTTACGTCTGCAATATCGTTCCTAGTCAACAGTATTTGTGCTACTGGGAGACGCAGATGCGCAAACAACCCGTCCCAGAGGCTCATGAGTCTACACTGGCCAACTGCCGCTAATGCCTGGATTTCAATGGTCAGTATTCGCGGATCTGATGTCTGACAAATTGTTTTTGTATTTTGTACCTGTATGCGAGGTAAATGCTTGGGTCTCTCTTCCACATCCATTCTCCGCAACCCCACACCGACAGCGCCTGAAGAAACAAGAACAACATTGTGGCCTTGTTTGCGAAGCTTAGCAACCGTCTCAACTATGAGCGTGAGGATAGATAGTATAGGTTCATGGGTGTTCTCGTCTACTATGGAACTGGTTCCTAGCGTAACGTTAGTTTCTGGTCGTAGTCAAGCATTGTGTACTCCACACCTAGTTTGATGACAATAGTCAGACACTTGAAAGCCATTTTGATGTAAAACCGCAGAAATATAACTTTAGGTCGCAATTGAGTACATCACACAGGGTTACTGTGGGGCGCCGGAAGTTGGTTGTACACTTTGCTCTGGTCGCCCGTGAGTCAGCTGCGATGACAGGCCTCCTCCGGAGGCGTTATCCATTTCTCAGGGCGATGCCCGCGGAGATCATTTTCTGCCATCTTCTACCGCCCATGCAGCGAGTTGCCGCGGAATCGACTGTTGAGGCAGGCATATGGAATACTGCTAGTTCTTTACTAGCAGCATAGCTGATCCCAAGTAACCCGCTCGCAGGTCCTACTCACAATGGCGGATCCGCGGGCAACCGAAGCTTCAACAAAGCATGAAGTCCCTAATCGCAGTGACTTCATTCCTGGTAACGACACCTGGACTCAGTGGCGCAACATCTTCGCTATCCTGACTGGTAAAATGAGCGATGAGGGGAAAGAACAATTTCGTTCCGCTCGGGACGCACGAAACGAGGTTGCGGACTGCACGCGCTGCGAGAATCAGCGAGATTACCTATTGCAGTTCAGTGAGTCGGCCCGTGCCTGCCTGCAATGAAGATATATGGACTCAACGTTGCGGGATAAGTCACTAATCGGGTACTTCCAAGGTCCGGTGATTCGATTCATGAGCGACAGTATCCGACAGCTTGGAGGAGATCTTTCCAGTCATAATATATACTGCCGCCGATGCACCAGTCGGAAGGCAGGGGGGTTTGATCCTGACTACGGTATCCTGCTCTGCGCGAATGAGATGAAGGATCAGGGCCATTTAGAGGATACATTAGCGCATGAAATGGTTCATGCCTATGATCACCTCAGATTCAAAGTCGACTGGTCAAATAATTTAAGGCACGCGGCTTGTGCAGAGGTAAAGAGCCATACCCTCTACCGGAGTCTTTTGCGCTTCGTGGGGACACAGTAAAATGACTGATCTTGTGTAGATTCGAGCCAGCTCGCTTAGTGGAGAATGCAGATGGGCACGAGAATTTTTCCGCCGGGGTCAGTGGAAACTGACACAACAACACCAAGAATGTGTACGACGAAGAGCAATCTTGTCAGTCCGAGCAAGGCCAGGATGCAAGGACGAAGCCCATGCTGAGAAGGTTGTAAACGAAGTGTGGGACAGCTGCTTCAGAGATACCCGCCCCTTCGACGAAATCTATCGCTAGCACTTAAGATGATGATTCCATTCCGTTTAAACCCTTACACAAAGTGTGTGCTATGCATTCAACTGGAATCCTCAGGGTGTCCGTGACACGGATTCAAGTTCCATCGCTAACTCAAGAAAACCGGCATCCGTTCTAACAATAACACCAGCTCTATCAACTCCGCTGTGACAAACCATAAGAGTATTGTAAATAAAGAAACTATAAATGAACAAGATCTCCTAAACTCCAATTCTCCCAGGGATGCAGCCGCTATATTTATGCCTTGACTTCCTTTGGTGTACTGGAGCCCCGTTTCGCGGTTTGCTCTTCTTTCACACAGTGCTTGAGAATCCAGGGATGACGTTGGATTTCATCCAGAGAAATTCGTTTCTCCGGGTCAAGCACAAGCAGCTATGGGTTGTTAGCAAGGCGTTCAGCTAGAACATGAAGTTTTTACATACTCTCTTGATTAGATCCTTTGCTTCGGGACTCACAAAAGACGGCACAGTCATGTCGGCTCTGGCAATGCGTCTCTGCGTCATGACAGGGGTATCTTCAAAGGGAGCTTCCCCAACTAGGAACTCATATGTCAAGACACCGAGACTCCACAGATCGACTTTCTCATTATAGAAGTTGTCCTGGGATCCAGGTTTAAGCATCTCAGGAGGAAGATAATCCAGCGTCCCACACATGGTTTGTCTTCTATTATTTGGTGCATGGACACTCCACCCAAAGTCGCTAATCTTAATCTCACCATGAATGCCGACAAGGATATTTTCTGGCTTGATGTCTCGGTGCATGACGTGCTTCTTGTGTAGGTATTTCAAGGCGGCAGCCATCTGAGCAATGTACTGTGCAGCCTTCCACTCAGGAAAACGATGTTCTTTTCGGAGATGTTTGTATAGTTCCCCACGCCCAGCAAACTCGAGGATAAGGAAAATCCGCTTGCTGTCATGAAAGTGACCATAAAGCCTCAGAACGTTAGGATGACGAAGATTGCTTTGTATCTCGATCTCTCGTCGAACTTGCTTTTGCACACCACCTTGCTGCAACTCGGATTTATGCAACACCTTTAGCGCGCATACAAAGCCGGAAGATCGCTCTTTAGCGAGATATACTCGACCAAATTTCCCCTTACCCAAAGGTTTGCCAATTTCAAACATTCCCAAATGCAACTTTTTCGGAGACGGCTGGTCGTAAAGCGGAGCTGGGTGCCGTTGTTCCCCATTCTCGTCAAAATTACGGTGTGATAGTGCACTTTGAGAACTTTTGATTGGTGATAGACTGGCATTCATGGCGTTTACTTTATTCTCGTTTGTATTTTGTAAAGCGAGCTTGAGTAGATTGGATCGACTGGCGCCGTTGTATTGCCCTGTGCTCGACAAAGGCATGGCTGTTGCGAGAGAGCTCTGATAGATATCGTTAACAGATGCACGACCGAGAGAGAGTCTCGGAAAGCTTGAATACCTTAGTCTTCGGATAGGTTCCCCCATTGTTCACACTATCATTCTCCTCCTTGACTGAAAGGCGCTCAAGGCGCGCTTCAAGTGTCTTGGTTGCCATTTGGTGATGGCGCCTAAGAAGATACGTATTTTCCGGAGGAGCTTGGAATAGAGCAGTGCGAGTAGAGAGCCTTCGTTTCTCCGGGAAGATTCCTGGGCTCAATCCCACAGTTCAGAAGTGTACAAAGAAACAGAATTGGGAGTTCAATTAAAATGATGGTCCAGTTGAAGGTGAACTGAAAGCCCCAGTTGTCCTCGGGTGTTTGTCGATTTCGGGGACATGCTCGGTCGCCCCAGCAACTCGTCGGTCCGCCTCCCCTTCCGACACCGCGGGGTATGATCTGGGGGCTCGAATGACTGCTCTGCCAACTGCCAAACAGAGCTCACCACCGCAGGACTTTCTTCAAACCAGAATGAATCCTCTAGGGAACAAGCTTTTCGGAGAGGTGGATACCACCGCAATGCCACCTCTTCCTCTAAGACCAAAGTCGATGGCAATCAATGGCTTCACGATCACCACTCAAAAACTTCCGATACTGAAGGCAGAGCCCATAGAGAAGATGACGAAGGATTTAGGGGTCGCCCCGCCGGAAATGATTTTCGGAGACAATTTTGTGGAGATCGAGCATGAGGGAACCCCTTGGAAAATTACATTCAATGCTTTTGATGCTTTGGATCGGGTTGATAAATCTGGCGAGTCCATGCTACAAGTTGCCTACTCAAAACAATGGCAAAGGAGCAGGTATGGAAAGACTTAGATTCCGGTTCCGTTTAGGTTCTTCAAGCGGAGGTCTTAAGGCTCACTTCCTACAGGGAAAAGACTCATGAGGGAATCAAGGACATTGTCAAGCCCTTCGACTGGTCATACAGCACGGATTACACAGGGACACTTGGCCCTGGTAGTCGACCATTCGAGGCAACGACCAGACGTATACCAACTGATTTGCTCAAGCGACCAGATCCGATCATGTTCTATGATGATGTTATTCTTTATGAAGACGAATTAGCTGACAATGGGATCGCCATGTTCTCATGTAAGATACGCGTTATGCCGGCCCGACTCTTGTTGCTCGCCCGATTCTTTTTGAGACTCGATAATGTTCTGCTTCGACTCAGGGATACTAGGGTCTATATTGATTTCACTACTGGGGAAGTAATACGAGAATATCAATCTAGGGAATGTGATTATGAAACGGTGAGACAGGTAGGTCCCGTCACCTTGAATGCTATAATATAGTTAATGAGTTTTTCAAGGCTCTGGCCTGTACAAGGGACGATGTTCCAGCCGCTATGAGAGACCCCACCAGGCTTTCAGACTTTTTGCCTGTTATTGAGACACGTCTGGAAAGGACTGTCCTGAAGTCAAATGACCAATCTGAGTCGGAGATCGAGTCTATTCCCCTTTCTGGTCCATCTTAGGGACTAACTCGGTGATCTCGGATCCCATTAGCCCTTATTCAATAGGTGGGATGGGTGTATTTTGCCATCGGCATGGTGCGAAGTCTACGGACTTCGACCCCTAGCACTTGCGGTTACATGTCGGCTGTATCTGACAGCAAAATCTACCAACAGAGTGAAACTCGGAGCACGGCGCGGTTTGAGTCATCCGCAAGGACTTCACGAGTTAGATTATAATCCAGCCAAGGGACAAAGCGAAAGCTCTACAATGATTTAGCACACTAGGCTTTCTGTTTGACGCAGATCAGAATACTGTACTTGAGAGTGGGTAGTCATGTCTTGCGATGAGGTGAGGCTTAATGATCTGTATGATTCGTAATGACGCTCTCTCTAACTAATACCGCAAAATAATACTAAGAGTGCAAATGGTGCAAACCCGGACGCCAAGCTATGATGATGACAATTGAACTCTATCTTCAAGAGCTTTCGAGCTTTTTACACGTATGATACAGACTCGGCTCGCTGAATTCCGATAACATGCAGCCTCACAGTATGTCCTACATTGCAACGAGGCCCATGTGGACACAAGGGTTGTATCTATCGCAATATTCAAGAATTCAGGTCTGTCTTTGAGATGCACTTGAGACTCTTCCGGTCATCCTAACCCGAACTCTCTAGGTTATGCCTCCCATTAAACTTTCAAGATCATACTTAGCCTCACGTCGATTGATGTGCAGCGCAAGGAATTTCAGACAAAAGCCGGCTACCAAGTTTCTTATCCCAGCACCGCGCTACCTCAACCAGACGCCGGGACGCACCGTAACGTCGGCTTCTAAATTCAACTTGCAAAGTACTCGAGCTTCATCGCAGCTAGCTCAGGCAATTGCTTCACGTCCTGGCACACCTGCAGAGACTTACGTTGCTTATGGAATGACGCAGAAGCTCTTTGAGGCTTGCTCGAGCCAAGCAGAGTACACTATACCGCAGTTGAACCACAAAGGAGGACAGGTTCCTAAGACCGATGCAGGAGAGGACCTAGGAGTAGGTGAAGGATGGTGGTATGAAGGTTTGTTTGTCTCCATATGTAGCCAGCTAACAGGTAGATTCGTTCTCTTCGTCTGGTGTTGACAAATGAATTTTCACTAGAACTGGGCCTCCTCCCCACTTTTTCCACATGGTCACAAGTCACTTTCTTGCACATGTACCTATTGACAGCCCGACTACGCGCTCTACCACCCGAAAGGTTTCAGACTTACTCACAACATTTGATCGACCATTTTTCGCACAATGCCGAGCAACGCATGGATCTACTTCATGGCCTGAGCAGCCGTGCCATAAGAAATAAATTTCTGAAGGACCTATTTATTCAGTGGCGTGGTGCGTTAGCAGCTTATGATGAAGGCATCATCAAAGGTGACGCTGTACTTGGCGCTGCTGTTTGGAGGAACTTATGGAAAGCCAGTCATACCGCACCCAACGGCGGAGAAATGGACTGGGCCAAGGTTGCCCTTGTCGTTGCGTATATGCGACGGGTGCTGCAAGATCTCTCTCATGTGAATGCGTCAGATTTGGCACTTCGGTTGGGACCCCAAAAGGGAGGGGAGCCTGGCCTATTTTCATTCTCTCATGCAGACCAGAAGCTGGTACAGGGGAAATGATGGTTGTTTGGCACTGTAATACAGGTTGGAAACAGTTGATATCGGCAGGCGGTTGCAGATTTCGAAAGCGGAGGGGGAAAAAGACCAGAAAAGAAAAGAGAAAGAAAGAATCTTCAACAGTACTGATTGGAGTTGGTCAATCGAACTTTTGGTCACAGGCCATTTTGCACCCAGTTATATACATAGTAAACATTCCTTCCTCAGAATTACAGTCAAGGTTTTCACAACGTAGGGGTGGGAATATATTGTAATATGTAAGAGGATGAGGATCCACCGGCATGTTCAGTCAATCGCGGGCCCTTAAGGTGTCTAGAAGCATGATGCCAAGGTGGCGGCAGATATATCACGCATCTTTCTTCCCAAACAAGTCTTTCTCGACCATGGCGCGGCAGATGGGATGATAGAAGTCCTTGTTTTGCTCGAAGGTCTCAATAGCGACTGCACGATCGACTTTCTGCAAGCTTCGATACCTAATAAAATAAATCAGCTTTGAACTTACTTGCGAGTTTTGGGCCTACATACAAAGGTCTCACGAATTTCATCCTACCGATCCTACCAAGCAATCGTGTTGTCGGCCCAAGGACAGTGCTGTCACCAGCTTTCAAACCAACTTGAAGATACAGGTTGGCGACTTCTATGTTTTCGCTCTTCGCAAAGCCATACACGTCCCCCATGAGCCTCGACAGCTCCGGTGTCAGTGGGTTCTCAAAAAGAAGGACTTGTTCTAAGAAGACAACGATTTGGTTGGCTGTCAAGTCCTTGATATCGCTTGGCTGCGGGTTGAAAGTGGAGCTGGGAAGGGTGCTCCACTTTTTCGAGAGGCTATAGACAACATCAACAAGCGATGTATCGAACTCCGGCTTGGGAGGCAAGCCCGGGGCATAAAACCATTTATCCCAGTCAAGATCTTTCAATAGCTTGGAAGCCTGGGTGTCAGACTGGAAAAACTCTAGCATAGCCGCTTTGAACTCAAAGGAATCCAGAGATTTTTCCTTGAAAAGTGTGAAGTACTGCATGGAAGGCATTCAAAATTAGTGAGACTTCTGTCTTCATTGGGGGTTGGGCAAATACATGGGGGATGAACTGGTCAAACTTATGCTTTCCAACCAGATTTTCCAAGTAAAACAGAAAGTTGAATCCCTTCTCGTATGGGATGCTGGAGAACGCATCATCAGGATCTTTTCCTTTTAGATCGGTGACGAGCTTGGTGAATTCATGGTCATGTCCAAAATGCTCCACGGAGTCTGTGAGCGCTTTCCAACCTATGATAGCGGAGAAGTGCCGATACGGCTCGCCATGGCTTTCGAATCATTAGCGTAAGCAAAACGAGTTGGCCAAAGCGTCTACTACTTACACCGCAGCAAGGATCTGCATTGTAGTCAGCAGTCAGCAAAATAGAGTATGAATGCTGTCGACAAACGACAAGTAAAGTGGCAGAAAAGCTTGACTTACCCGCCTTTCTAAATAAGTGGTCCAGCCCTCGTTGAGCCAGAAATGCTCCCATGAAGCATTAGTGACAAGATTTCCACTCCAGCTATGCGCAAGCTCATGGGCAATGACATCAATGTTTTCCCTGTCCTGATTGTCGAGGTCAGCACACACCGGTAAGGTATGTGCATGAGGATCGCATTATACTGACCTTGGAGATAATACTGGGTGTGGCAAAAGTGAAGATCGGGTTTTCCATTCCCCCGTAAGGAAAGCTTGGCGGGAGAATCAAAACATTGTATTTGCCCCAAGCGTATGGGTAGACAATTTTCTAGGCCAGTGTTAGAAGGACGTAGCACCTAGGCTCTGACCGCACACACCTCTATTGCTTCAATGAACTTCTCCGTATCGGCTTCGAGCTCCCATTGGCATTCACCGAGCTGGTCTGGACTGGTAGCAACAACACTTCGGGGGCCAATGCCTGCCTCGGAGATATCGCTGCGAATAGTGGATTTAGCAATTCGGTAATCAGGCCTGGTTCACGCAGAAGTCGGTCCGCTTACCCGCTAGCCAGAGCGAAAAGATAGCTTGGAATTGGCACTCGCTGGTGAAACCGGTACAGTGTATTTTCGTTAGGAAGGGGCGTTTCCAACGAATCACGGACGGGCAGACCACTCGCGATCACAGGCAATGGTGACGAGATGTTGAAGTCAATAGTACACTTGACGTCAGGCGTATCTTGACATGGAAATATAGAGCGAGCGTGAATAGCCTGGCATTGAGAAACTGGTAAGATAAGCAGGCATAGTCAGTATACAAAATAGCACTCATGATGGCATTTGCCATTAAGATGGACAGACTCGTGAAGCGGAAGGGTCTAACTCACACATGTACGGATGCTTTTTGTTCGAGGTTTGGGCCGGAGTCAGCCACTGGAGGGCAGTGCATTTCTGAGTGGTCTGAAGAGCGATCTGGGGAATTGTTAGACCAGGAATGAGGATTATTTCCGATAAAGTACATACCTCGATCACAATCATCTCATTCTTTTTCACGCTCCGGTCAAGCTTGATCTTCAGTGCACTGCCGTATGGGTCGCAAGGCGGAAGAAGCTCCCAGCTCAAAGGCCTGCCATCAAGATTGACACTACTGATATCCACATGATTCGAGTCCAAGACAATCTCGTGGGACTCGCCATCGGTGGCTGACTTGAATGTCTGAAGGACGCTGCCCACAAGCTTTTTTTCACGAAAGAGTATGTCAAAATTGGCGGTAATGTGGGTGCAACGCCAGTCGTTGTAATTGCTGAGGGTGTTGGGATCCCTTGCGGCATTAACGGCAGTCGCCATGCTACTACGAGTGGAGGCGCGAGAAAATTGAGCAGTCCAAGATATGCGGATGAGGGGTCTGAAGCCGGTAGTAGATGGAGATGTGCGAATTGTACCCCGCGAAAAGCTTGTTCGCCAGAATAGGGCCAGAGAAGCGCCGTGCATAACCAGATTAAAAATAACACTAAAAGAAATATGTCTTACACAGTGTGCCTGCCCCTCCGGTGATGCTGCGGTAGTCCACTACAGGGACAGCGAGTGACCTAGTGGTATTGGATGGGTGACCAGGCAACCGCAGGTAAGCGGTTTTCGAACCATGTGACTAAGACTATCTAGTAGCACAGTGCCAAATGAACTTGCAGTACGGAGTAATTTGCCCACAATGTGGTACCAGACCAACATGTCATGGTTAACCCGCGCAACCGAGTGGTTACCGTGACGGAACACCCATACCTTAGTTATAAAATAGTTATAATATCAATAATTTAGTAGAATCTATATTTAAAATATCCAGATTTTACTATACTCTAGAAAAGTAAGAATTAGTTTAAATTTATATAATACCAGTACTTTAATTCTATACTTAATTAACTTTTTCTTTTTATACTTCTAATTCTTTCTTTTTAATTATTTATAGAAGAAGAATATAGAATATTATTTTAATAATTATATTTTAAAAATAATTTAAAATTAGAAATTTTTTTTATAAATACTAGATTTTTTACTTTAACTAACTATAATTTATTAATAAAGAACTTTATTATAATATAAGATATTATTAATAAATTTTAAAATTATTAATAGCTACAGTAGTAAACTACTAAATTAAAATAAAAAATTTAATAATATAATATTAATCTTATATTAAATTATTAATAAAAAACTTTATTATTCTTAAATAATTTAAAATTAGATATTAAAATTAAGAATATTTTTTAATTTAAATTATTTTTTAATATCTAGAAGTAATAAGAATAATTTTATAATTTAAATTATAATTTTTAAGAGATATCTTTTAAATTTAATATTAATTATTAAAAAATTCTTAAAGCTATTAATTATATAAGTATTATTTTTTAAAAAAATAAATACTAATATTTTAAAGAATTATTTTTAAAATAAAAAAAATTTCTTAATTATTTATAGATTTTTTTTATTAAATAAATTCTTTTTTTATAAGAAATACTACTATATTTAAATTAGATATAATAAATTAATTTAAATAAATATAATAATAAAATAATTAAAATTTATATAAATATTATATTTATTTTAATATACTAGAATAATATTTTTTTAAAATAATAAAAAAAAATAAAGTTTTATTTTCTTTATTAAATTATTCTCTAATTTTAATTAATATATTAAAAAATATATTTATTAATTATCTAAAGAATATAATAAAATAATATTAATTATTATTTATTATTAGAATCTATATTTATAATAATAAAAATAGAAATAAAAATAAGAAAATCTAAATATATTATAAAAATAATTTTTTTTAATAAAAAAATATTATATTATTTAAGATCTTATATTTATAATCTAATTTAAAAATAATTATATTATTATTTATATAATAGTACTAAATATTTTATAAATTAGTATTCTAAAAAAAATAAAAAACTTAACTAAATCTAAAAATTAAAAGTTAAAGAAGTTAATTTAGAAAATTAATTAAAATTAAAATTTTATTTTTTATTTTAATTTAATTTTTTAAGATAAATATAATTAATAAAATCTTAATACTTATATAAATATTAAATATTAATAAAATATTTATAAATATAGATACTAGTATTAAATATAATATTATTAATATTTAATTTATATAATATTTTTTTATTAAAATTTTACTATAATTTTTAAATTTAAAAATTATTAATAATAATAATTTCTAATTATAAAATATAGAATATCTTTATTAAAATAATTAACTTAAAAAAAATTAATAATAGTTTACTAGATTTTATATAATAATTTATTATAATTTTAATAATATTTTTATTTTATTATCTATAACTACTATTAATAATTATAAAATCTATTTAAATTTATAGAATAAGATATAATAATTTAAATTTTATAATATATAAGAATTATATCTTTAAAAATTTATTAAAATATATTAAAATTATATTTATATATATATTTTAATTAAGTTACCAGAGAAGTTATAACTATTTATAAAAAATAAAATATTAAAATATTTATAAAATAATAATATTTTAATAGAATTTTAAGATTTTTAGAATATTTTTTTCTTTAATTAATTTAAAATATTATTTAATTATTATAGAAATAATTATATTATTAATCTTATTAATAATAAAAAACTTTTATTTAATTTTATTTACTTTTTATCTAAAAAGAAATTATTAATTTTAAAATAATATATTAATAAAAATTTAAAAAATAAAAAATTTAATTATTTAAAAGTCCTGTAGAATCCTTTATTTTATTTATATTTAAAAAAAATAAAAGTTTATATTTTTATATAGATTATTATAACTTTAATAAAATTATAATTAAAAATTATTATTTTTTTTATTTATTACTAAAATTTTCAATTATCTTATAAAATATAAATATTTTAATAAAATTAATATATAGAATATTTATTATTAAATTTATATTAAAAAAAATAAATAAAAGATTATATTTTAAATATATTATAATTATTTTAAATATTTAATTATATTATTTAATTTAATTAATATTCTTATTTTCTTTTAAAATTATATTTATTTTATATTATATAATATTTTTAATATTATTTATATTATTTATTTAAATAATATTCTTATCTTCTTAATAATAAAATCTAATTATATTAAATATATTAAGTAAGTTCTAAATTAATTAAAAAAAATAAATTTATATATTAAAATTTTAAAATATTCTTTCTTCTAGATCTAAAATAAATTTTTTAATTATATAATATTTTTTTAAAATATTATTATAGATTCTTAATAAATAAATATTATTATTTTTTAATTATTATTAAAAAACTTTTATAAAATATAAGTTTTTTTTAGATTTTATAATTTTTATTAATAATTTATTTATAATTTTTTATTACTTATCTTATCTTTAATTAACTTATTAAAAAATAATTAAAATAATAAAAAACTTAATTTATATTATCTTATATTTAATAAATAACTAGTATTTTATTAATTTATTAATATATTCTAAAGAATATTATTACTTTATTTCTTTAATTTTAAATTATTAATCTAAATTAAAATTAATATTTATAAAAAAAAATAATTAAAAATTTTATATAATCAGGATTTATAAACTAATTCTATATAATTATTATTTAATTAAAAAAATTTATTAAAGTAAAATTAAATTAGATAATTCTAGACTAAGAGTTATTTATTATTATTTATTTATTTAAATACTAGTATTAATATCTAAAAAAAGTTTAATATATTATTAAAATTTTATTAGATTATATAAATCTTTAAATTTTTATAAATTAACTATAATTAAATAAATACTAAGTATATTAATATATAAAATTAATATTTTATAATTTTATTATTAAGTATAAATTAAAAAAAAACTAATTTTATTAATATTTTATCTAAGTTTTTTAATATATTAAATAGTAATTATAATAATATTATTATATAAATATTTTAGGTTTATTTAGTTTATTACTTAATAATATCTTAGAAAAAATTTTAATTTAGATATAATAAAATATCTTTATAAAAAAAATCTAAATTTAATATTTATATAATATTAAATAATTTTATAAAATATATTAGTATAGAATTAGTTAACTAAATTATAATTTATTTATTAGATTTAATTTAAACTACTAAAGTTTTAGTAATAAAATAAATTAATAAAATTAAGAATATTTATAATAATAAAATTAATAAAGATTTAAAAAGTTTAATTAAATAATTATAATTTAAGAACTTAGATATTATATAATAAAAAACTATTATTTATAATTAAAAAATAAGATATTACTATAGATATATTATTATATTTTAAAAAAAGATTATATATATTTAAATTAAATAATTTTTATAAAAAATTTTATAATATTATTATAATAATCTACTAGTAGATTATTTTTAAAAAAATAAAATAAAATAATTTATTAGAAGAAAATTCTACTAGATAAATTTATAAAAATAAATAAAAATTATATAATAATATATTTAATTTATTAATATTAAATAGCCTCTAAATATTATCTATATAAAAAATTTAAAAGTTTATTAATTTTATTATAATTTTAGATTAAAATTATTATAAATTTTATTATTAAATTACTAGAATTTTACTATTAAAAAACTTAGATTAATTTAATATTTATTATTATTAATTATTTTATAAAATTATATTATTTTTTATTTATATTATATATAATAGATATAAAATAGTTAACTAATATTTTTTATTAAAAGATTAAACTAAAATATAAATTATTTATAAATATAATTATTAATAGAAAATTTATATTTATTAATTAATTCTAGTTAAATTTCTATTTCTAAATTAAAATAAAAAAAATTATTAATAATATTCTATTCTTAAACTAATAGCTAAATTAAAAAAGTAAATTAAATTTTAAAATATTATTTAAAATATTTTATTATAGAAAATTAAAATTATTAAATTAATATATTATCTAAAATTAAATTTACTTATAATAACTATAAAAATATATTTATTAAAATTATTTTTTTTAAAATTTTTATAAACTATATTCCAGAGTTTAATTATAAATTAAGAATAATTTTATAAAAATAAGAATATTATTTATTATAAAAAAAACTAAAAAAATTTAATAATTTTTAAAAAAACTTATAATATAATTAATAAAATATTATTAAAAAATAAATATTTTATTATAATAACTATTATAATATTTTACTTTTTAAAAAAAAGATAAAATAGTATATATTTTTAAAAAAAAATTTAATTAAATTATTTACTAAAAACCTAAAATTTAAAAAAATAATTTATAAATTAATATCTAAATTTATTAAATTATTTAAAATTATAGATATAATTAAGAAATAAATATTTTATTTATATTTATTAATAAAATATAATTATTTATATAATATTTTCTATATATCTTTTTTAAAATTTTAAAAAATTAAGAAAAATAAAATTAAAATATTATTTATATCTAATCTAGATAATAATAATAAATAAGAAGTAGAATAAATACTAGATAATCTAATATTATAAAATAATTAGTTCTATTTTATAAAATAAAAAAAATAATCTTTAAAATATAATTAATAATTACTAATTAAAAACTTAGTAAATATTCTATAAAAAATATATAAATTTAAGAAAATAAAATCTAAGAAAAAAAACCTAAATAATAAATAAATTATTATATAATATTTATATAATTTATTTCTAGAATAATAATAAAATTAAATAATATAATATAAATATTATTAGTAATAATTTTTTTATAATTCTTATATTTTTAGATATTAATAATCTAATATTTAATAATATTTTTTTATAAGAAATAAAATATAATAAAATAAAACTATCTTTCTTATAAAATTAAAAAAATATTATATTTAATATAGTATTTACTAGTAATATTAATTTTTTAAATATATTTTATTATCTTAGCTAGATCTAGCTGTTAAGATCTTAACTAGATCTAATTATTAAAATTATAAATATATATATAATATATATAAAAATTAATAATAATATAATATAATATAAAACCCAGAATATATAATTATAAAAAAATATAAAATAATAATATATTATATTTAATTAAGTTATAGTTATATTTATTATATAATTTAAAATATAAATATAATTAATATCTATTTAATAATAATAATAATAATAAAAAATTATATAATAAAATATTATTATTATTAAAATAAAAAAATATTTATAAGCTATATATAATTTAAATAAGAAAATTTTATTTTATTTTATTAATTATAATTTTCTTTATTTTATTTTTATTAATAAAATAATATATAACTTTAATAATTATAGTATTTAAATAAAAAATAATAATATAAATCTAAAATAAATAATTAATATTATTTAATAAAAGTACTAGAAATTTATAACTAATTTTAATCTAAAATATAAAAATATAATAAAATTTAATTTAATTATAATAAATATTTATATTTTTCTACTAAATTATTAGTAAAACTAATTTAAATTATAAAAAATATTTATAATTATAGTTTTTTTAATAATTATTATTAATTTATACTTAGAATAATAAATATACTTTATATCTATAAATATTATAGTAAAAAAATATATAATAAAATTATATAATTTATAAATAATAAGATTTTATTCTTTATTATTATTATATTAAAAAAATTAAATTATTTAAAAATTATTATTAACTTCTTAATATTTCTAAATATTCTAATTATAATTTATAATATAATTAATTAAATTCTTCTACTTAATATAAAAGAATTTATAATAATATAATTAATTTTTTTTATAATATATTAATAATATTTTATATTTAATATTATATTAAAATAGTAATTATATTTAAATAATTTATTTATTTCTATATTAAACTACTTTATTAAAATTCTAAAATATTTTAAATAAAATAATATCTCTAGATTAAGAGATATTATAAATAGAAAATAGTAATTTATATATATAATTATTATAATAAATAATAGATTTTATATTTATTTATTAGTTTTTTAGTACTATTAAGTAATAAAAAATATAGAATAATATTTATATATATTTTAATAAATATTTATTAATAAAAACAGTTTAAAAATAAATACTTTATAATAAAAAATAATAAAATCTAGAAAATCCTAATATTAATAAAATAAAAAAAAAGAGAAAAAAATATAAAAAAATTATTATTATTATAATAAAAATAATATTATATTTCTAAAATAAAAAAATATTATTTAAAATATTATAATTTAATATAAATTAATACTATTATTTTCTGTTATTAATTATTATATTTATAAAAATAGTTAATTTAATTATTAAATTAATAATATTATATTATTATCTTATAGCTGAGAATAGCTATTATTAAAAAAACTAAATTATTATAATTAATATATATAATTAAATAATTACTATAATAAAATATCTATATCTTAACTATAAAATAGTTATAATATTAATAATTTAGTAGAATTTATATCTTAAATATCTAGGCCTTACTATATTTTAGAAAGATAAGGATTAGTCTATATCTATACAATACCAGTACTTTAATTCTACACCTAGCTAACCTTTTCCCTTTACACAACGGCAAAGGGTGGTTGCCCGGAAAGGTTGATTCTTGTCAGTTCAAGAACTGTACTACTCTGTATATAATAAATATAATAATCTAAATCATTTTTACATATGTTTTTTTATTTTCTGTTATTCCTATCCATTTTTATTATCTAACTTAACCATTTTATTAATTAACTATTATATCTATTATCTATACTTGTAAAAATATGTATATATATATATAATTACTAATTTTTATAGATATTAATCTTTCAGAACTAGTATCTATAATATTTTTCATTATATTTAGAAATTCTACTTTTCAGTTGCTTTCTATATTACTAAATAAATAAAATTTTTATTTACTTATTATGAAAATACTTTCTTATATCAACTATCATTTATTGAATATTATTATCTTAATTTATTCTTATCTCAGCTACACATAATATTAAGTTCTAGATTATATATATTATTTTCTTCTTCTTTAAAAAGAGTTATTCTAATTAAATATGAATATACTTAAGTTTACCTAGCAGAATAAGGTTTTTTTAAAAGATCTGGCTTGTATAATTCAAGTAGTTCAAAGACTGGTTGGTCTAAATAGCACTGATGGTATTGTTTTATAAGTGTGTAAGGAAGTAATTCTGTGTAAGGTACAGTACAAGGTACTTGACATGGGCATCAAGCGGTCCAACGCCCGGGTGTACCCAAGCTATGCCAGTTCCGGGTACTTAGACTTAGCTGACCTCCTAATAGGATACCCTAGTACGATCCGGTAGCAGCTACCCATAAACTCAATTCATTCAATTAGGTTCTACAGCCATTGCAAGCCTGTGCTAACCTGCATTCTTCTCTCTTGTATTATAGTTGAATACCATTGATACCTGTTCGGCCTTTGTCCAGCAATTCGTTGGTTTCATGCGGCTCACTAATCCTCAATTGCTGCTTTTGTTGTGGAAAATTCATCTTGGATAATGGATACTCCCCAGGTGCAAGTTGGGGTGCCGGAGGAAGCTCATACTCCTGGAAACACTCAGTCCCACAATGCAGAAAGCATAAATACTCCTGATGGGGATTTGAACACTGTTTCAAAAGCAGGCAATGATTCTCAGACTGCAACAACACCGGATATTGTCATGTCTGACGCGCGTCCAGCTCCTGAGCAAGAGCCAAAACCATCAGACCCTAGAAGAAATGCTGGCCTTCAATTTCTTGAGTAAGAACCCATCTTGTTCTCTACCCTGCACATTCTTTCAATCATATGTGCCTTTGACATGCCACTAACGGCGCGGTTTCTTTGGTCTTCAACTGCTGGAGAGCATTCGGCGCTTACATCCCTCAGTTTCTTGACATCGCCTATTGTGGAACTTGTTGTCGGGTCTGGTCAATCCAGGACCGTCTTGACTGCGCACCAAAGCCTACTTCTAGAATCCCCGCTCCTCACGGAGAAAGTTGCAACATTCGGAGAATCAGGTCCTGTAAGCTCATATCTGCTCATCCTGCTATTGACCAGACACACGCGACGCTAACATTGCCTAGCGGCGCATCGAGCTTCCAGCAGAGGATGTAGAAGCTTTCGGCTATTTTCTGCAGTTCCAGTACACGCGTGACTATTCTACCGCTCGCGCTGAAGCTCATACTGGGCAAGAAGCTGTAGTTGGAGATGACGACAGCGGAGAACAGCTGCTGAAACACGCGCGCGTGTATACCTTAGCGGAAAAATTGGGAATACCATCGCTGAAAACCATCGCACACTCAAAGATTCATCGTATCAACAGCACATCTCAAGGAGAGATTGCCTACGCCCGATATGTGTACACGAATACCCCCGCTGACGATGTCACTATTCGCAAACCAGTAGCTACATTTTGGGCTCTGCGAAGCCATGTGTTACGTCATGAAGCTGAGGACGAATTTAAGAAGCTATGCATAGATGTGCCTCAATTTTGCTACGACGTGCTCAGCCTTGTCCTGGACCAGAAGGAGAAACGTGCACAAGATAGGGCAGAGGCAGAGTCGGGGGTCAAAGGAAGTGGAAGGAAGCGACTACGCAGTGGTCTCTAGTTTTCAGGTCTGCACCGAATGACAAGTGCATTTAATCGGAGACTTTCTGCTTTTTGATTTAGAGTGCTGTGTTCGAGACATGTGCTATTCAGAAAATATTATGATTTGCCGATCTAATTCGGATCTCTTTCCCAAGTTACTGTTCCTAATTCTTGATTCAGAACTCTTCATGTTCTAGCAAAGCACACACGTACTGTACCAGTATTGGAAAAGTGACTACGGATTTTCGGTATATGCACATGCTAACCCATTCAGTTGACATAAAAGGCGCAATTAGACCATGCTTTCAAACCAAGATTGGCTTGGACAGCCAAGGGTAAGACAACTCGAAGGTTATATGAGATTAGCGATGATAAATAATGGCTAAATGTCTATAAGGCCAAGCTTTCCACTTCTTCGATAGTTTTTGGTGCTGTGGTAAGATTTTCAAACCCATTTGTCGTGATATGGATATTATCTTCAATACGGACTCCACCTACACTCCAATATCTTTCCAGGACATCAGTGTTGATGTATGCATTTGTTTCGTCGGAGTTGAGGAAGGGCTCAATTATGAAGCGGCAGAAATAGATCTGATCCAGTTAGCGACTCCTCAACGGTACCAGCGTACGGGATTTGTATACTTACTCCTGGCTCCACAGTGATAACCGAACCTGCGGGCAAATGACCCCTTACACGAAGATACTTAAACATGGTGTCCTCGTCTTCATAGTTCGGGTTGCCTCCGGTATCATGAGTGTCCATACCCAAATAGTGTCCCAATCCGTGGGGGAAAAATGCCACGCTGATTCTCTTTTCCAACAATTCGTTGTCGGGGCCACGAAGGATTCCCAGATTTTTCAACCCTTTGATGGCAACACTGTGAGCATGCGCGTGTACATCCTCCCACTGAATGCCTTCTTTCAACATTTCAATGCATTCCATCTGCATCTGCAAAACCAATTCGTAAATCTGGCGGACTTCGGGGCGAAATTTGCCACCCAAAGGAAAGACTCGGGTGATGTCAGCACAATACGTGCTATACTCCCCTCCAGCATCTATTAGCACGCTTGCCTTCCTCTGTTTCGTAGTTGCATCGACCAAGCTGTCGTCATTCTTGCCGTAATGAAGCGTGGCTCCATTCTCGCCGCATGCGACAATTGGATGATATGCTTGTTCGCGGGCACCGTGGGCAATGCATGTTGCTATGAAAGCGCCCTCAATCTCGCGCTCATTAGTGGCAGACTTGGAGGCTTTGATGGCCGCGACATGAGCCTTGGCGGATATGTCATTCGCTTTTCTCAAAAGCGCAACCTCATATTCATCCTTGACGACACGACAATTCCCAATGACACTTTGAAGTGAAGAAGTGTTAACCTCGACAAACCCCTGAAACCTCGTGCTGTCAGAGACTTGGTCACCAATCACAAACGCAACTGCTTTTCCCGCATTATTCTCAGCGATCAGAGAAAGTGCGGCGTTCACTTCAGGCGTAGGCAGCACACAGTCGACATCGTAACGCTTCTGCGCCTCCACCGCAGACATTGGGAGGCCAGACCAGATCACAGCCTCTGGATCAGCTGGTGGGATGAAAAGCGTAAGTTCGTCAAGATCAATGTTGTAGATGAGGTAGGAATCCGGCAGCAAGCATCCTGATAGATAGAAGAAGGGACGGCGTTGTCTAGTAAAAACTGCTCGTTAGCACTGCAAGCTGAAAAGCCGAATTCCGATGATCCTCAATACCTAAATGGCATGGCCTCATCATTATCTTCAATGAGTCGAGTTTTTTGTGCTTCGAGGTAGATAATTCCGTGGGAGCCATGCCCACGAGATTGGAGACCTTCAGCCACTCGGCGTGCGTGAGCCTTCGCAGGATATTTACCTGCTAGGATTGATTCCAGAGAAGTCATGCTGATTCAAACTTTATGTGTACCGATCAAAGTGAAGAATGATGTGAGGTGAGAAAAATGTTCGCGGAGGGGCGGGGGGTTTGCGGGGTTGGTTCAACAAATACTAAGCAGATCGTACCGCCCTACCGATAATACCAATAAGCCACGATAGAACACTCAATCTTTCTATCAGATTACTCGTATATGTGCAAATGTCATTTTTCGGAATCTTCCCAGAGTCATAGCTTCCAGTCCCTGGGCGGATGACTACAATGATTACACACCTTCTCGGATCACACTATTGTATATTCTGTAAATCAACATAACGTATGCAATCAGGCATGGTGAGACTCTATCTGAAAGCATCACTGCCTTGACTAGCAGAAGCAATTACATCCTCAAAATCCAACTCCCATCGATCAACATCGGCAAATTTCTTTGCCTGCAGTCTCAACTCTTCGCTTAGATACCTGCTTTTAAGCGGTTCAGATGCCGACGGCGTGTCTAAGTTCAGATCATCCGAGCCAAGCGGCGACGACAACGGCGATGATAACGGCGACAAAAGAGCCTGTAGCTCAGGCTCCTGAAATAAGTTGCTAATTACATGGGACGACTTATCCGACGACTTCATCCCTTTCTTGCCGTTCTGGATTTGACGACCACATCTCTTTCCAGGCTCAGCCATATCATTTGTTGTTCGCTCGTTCTGTTGGTGGATATTAGACCTCGGGAGTCTTGGCTCACGAGTGTGGTTTCGGGGTACTTGATAAGACTTTCCAGGGGGCAGGTGATTCAATTCATCTTCATAATGCTCCTCATTGGAACACCTAGTCAACATGCCCCGTTTTCCTGGGTTGGACCCCAAACGTTTGCGCTGAATTTTGGTTTTGCGAGGTAGTAGTTCATCTTGAAGGGCCAATGTTGGTAGATTCGTGCTCACATTGTTTTTTTGCACGAGGGGAATCTCCAACACTTTTATAGAGGAAGCCGAAGGCTGTTCAGCATAGATGACAGAGGGCGTAGATGTCTGACTTGTCACAGGACTGCTGCTCATAGGTGGTGCCATTGTTTCGCCGGAGGCCCCGGGCGACAGTCGAGGTTGGGTTAATGTTAATCGGGCTGGAGTCTCATATTCCTGTCCCCTGATCGACGCAGCTGGAGAGTGCCGCGCTGCTTCCGAGTGTGGCACATATGGAGCCTCCGCAAGAGATGATTTACGCTTGCGCTGCTTGTTGCTAGAAGGCGATGGAGGTTCGGGTGGTGATAATGACAACGCTGCTGCTGCTGCGGCTTCATGTCCCGTTATGAGTGACTTGCCCCTCGATATACTCAGGGGTGTAGATTCATCCTCAGGGCTTAACCCTCCCAGGAAGTCTTCGTCGTCCAAGTCTGAAGAATTTTCATCCGCTTGCATCATCTGCAGAATGCTAGGCTGCCGTGGCCTTCTTCTGAAATTGCTCAATATCGAACTCTCAAAAGCTGGAGTACCTGGAATCTTAGAGTTTCCATCACATTTCCGACCGGCGATAGAGAGAGTAGATGAGTAGCCACGAGCCCTTGTGACTGGACGAGTGCTCGTTGCCCCACGCTCTTCCAGGGGTGACGATTCAATGGCATAATCGTAGGTTTTGTTTACAGGCGTCTGATCTTTGTGATGCTGGGCAAAATTGGTGTCCGAAAGCTCTGCCTTATGCCCGGCGGTCGGGTCATCATTCGAGCTTCTAGAATTATTTTGCGTCGACCCGGCATTGTCTGTGAAGTGAAGAAGACCCTTGTTACCATTATTGGAAACTTCGGAGGTCAATCGATTACGCTTCGTAGGAGGTCTCGGCATATTTCTCTCGAGCGGCCGAACTTTGGGAAACTCGAATAGAAAGACTAAGCCTTATCAATATCTGATCGATTGAACCAAGAAAGAGTAGCGCTTATATCAAGTGTTGGTGGTGATCCGTTGCGAAGCTCAGAAAATGCAGTTCGGGAGTCTATCTGATAATTAAAAACGCGGAGTGTGGGGAACGCGTACGCGTATAGCTGTAAGTCTGAGGAAACAGTTTTTGAAAAGGGCGACTTGAAGCTTTCAGACTTCAATCTACCAGCTGTTCTTGAGGATATATAAAGCTGAATTCATCGCAGGGCTAAACTCTCTGGGTGGCCGTCCTGATGATAGGTTTCCTGCTCTGGGTGCAGCTCAGTCCACTGTGTTGAGCTAGTTACTGATATATCTTACATAATATCATGTACAGTACCCTACCATCAACTGGTCAATTTGCTGATACCGATTAACCGGCATAACACAGATCATAGCACTACAATAAGTGATGTACGGTACCATAGTACTCAGCTGGGAAGAGACAGACCAAACTAGAGCCACTGATCAATGCGGCCTCTATCTTCTAGAAGATTAGTAGGCTGCGAGTTAATTTGACCTAATACCTGATCGACTTGGCAGAAATTACCATAAATGAGAAAAATTCCGCGAGTGGTATATCATGTCATTGCCATCTGACAAGGTAGGCTCAAGATGTCAGACGAAGCAGGGGTTCTTTACTTCCTAGCTCACAAGTCAGGTTGTAAAAGAATCAAGGGGTGAGATGTACAAAGTCCTGTTGTCTTGGCCCTAGGCAACTGATCAAGGCAGGGCCACTCGGAGGGGAAGTGATTCGAGTTCAAGCCATGGTTTCCAGATGCAGAGAGGAAACATTGTGAATGGGTCTCTATACCTGGCTATACTAGCAGAAGAAGCAAAGAGCTTTACCGGTGGCATTACCTCCTTAACAGTGTAGCTCTAGATTCGACCTAACCAGTAGAGGCATGTGATATAGGCCTAGCCCGTGAGTAGAAGGGAAAACAGATCATTGTGGAAAGTTTCTGATATGATCTCAGGACCTGCGTCTACAATTTTCCAAGCACATACTAGAGCAAGGTTGGGCCTCGAGACCTAGCATTTATTTGAATGTCTACACCAAGTTCGGCTGACGGGGAGAGCGCTCCATGCTTGCAAGCGACAAGCATAGTGAGGAGGCTCCTGACGGGACAGGCTAATCTGATATCACTGCTGTTGAATCTCTGAAACCCGGTTGCTGTCGCAAATAACGGCTCTAGGGAGCATTACGCCATCGCACGTATAGTCACTAGCCCAGCACAATGGAGGATGACATCATGGGAAAGAATCCACATCATACTCTATCTACGCTAGTCCGCGAATCTGGATATAAGCCATCGAAGGGGAATACTTGCAATGACAACATACTGCTCTGGCAATCAACATTAGTGAACACGACCACACATACTTTACCCTGGTTGGTCCACGGTCCTGGCAGCGCTTGCCCAACGAGGATGTCAGGTTCAAAACCTTGAAGGGAATTGGCGTCACTGCTCCAAGGTTCCCCACATTTCCCAATTTTGGCGAGGCGATCTAATGGTTGAAGCCGGGTGTTCTCATACACTGAGATCGTTCAGAAGTACTTGGCCATCTACGTCATCGAGATAATCAAAAAGTGCTTCAAGTCTATATAAATCAGTAGCGGCTGCTGCAAACAATCGTTAACTCTGACTACATGACAATCAAATCCTAATACTCATAAGCCCGCCTCAAGTCTCTAATCAAGTACCCGGTTTACTTATCATCTGCAATACCACCATGTCCAACATCATGAACCCTATCGACGACCCATCATACAACGTTGACGCGACTGAGCAAGCCTTTGGTACCAACCGTATGTATCCCAACCACGGTGCCAGTGCCTATAACAATGCGCCTGTCGGCAGCAACTCCCACGGAAATCTTTCTCAATCCATCGCTTCGGCCAAGCCACAGTCGGGTAGCTTTGGTAATGCCCCAAGGGGAGCCACTAATTCATATAACACCTTCGGCACCTCAACTACCCATCCGTTGAGACAAGAAACATCATCGATTTCAAACATTGCATCGCCTACTACAACCCTGGGTACAAGCACCGGTCATGGTTTCCAGGAAGATCTTTCCGATCAATCGGCTCGACACAACACCATCGGTTCATCGACAAAGCTCAACGATGGATCCCGTGGTGAGCTCATGGATCATTTACCATCAGCGGACTCTCGTCTAGGACACATGAAAGAGAATATAGATACTCCACGAGGGGAGACCAATCGTGACAGCGCCCGGCTGGCTCAATATAGCACTCCATCGACACAGCTCAGTCGTGGAAGTCATCCCTCAGACCAACTGTCATCTTCGAGAGAGCCTCATCTAGGACATATGACAGCGAGCACGGGAACTCCATGTGCGGAAACCAACCGTGACAGCGCTCAAGCAGCTCGGTACAGCACCGGTGCGTCGAAAGAGCTCGACAGTGGAAGCCATCCCTCGGATCAAGTATCGCATTCGAGAGAACCTCATCTGGCGCACGCGACACAAAGTATCGATACCCCACGTGCTGGAACCGACCGTAACAGCACCCAGGACGAACAGCACAACATCATACCCAGTGACGATACCGCCGATCTCAGATCGGCATCTCGCGGTACTGGAGCACGGACGGCCAACGGTGCTGCCAGCTCGCGAAGCCATGGTGAGGTCAAAGATGAAGCAAGCTCTTCTGCTGAGAGAACAAAGGACCGCATGGAGGGGAACTTGGACAGCGATCTGAACGGAGAGAAAGTGAACGGCATTGCAGGTGTGATTCCTATTTCCGGCAGTGCTGGCCCGACCACCACAAAGACGTTCAACCCCCATGCTACAGTAGACGGCAGCAACCATCACAACACCGCCACTCAGCCTTCCAACCCAGCAGAGACCCGCAACGGCGACATGGAGCACAGTCCACGAGACGTCCGTACCCAGTCCTCTAACATAGGTAGCAGTAGCTACAATACCCCGGGTAGCGGTCACGCACAGAGCACGGCCGAGCCCTTGGAGAGCCACAATCCGCGAAAAGGTAGCGTTGGTATGACGTCAGATGTGAAGAGTTCCGAGGCTTTCGGTTCTCAGCGAGCTGCATAGGTGGATGCATAGATTATATGTTGTATAGCTAGTCTTACCTTGTACCCTGGATATGACCATTGCAATGAATGTAAATATTTTGCTTGTGTGCGCGTGGAATGCTAGTTAGCAGTCAAGTGTGCGTTTGAGTCGACTGGATCTCTTCTACTTTCCCTCCCTCACATCCGTGTATTTTTGTAACCGCCCGGGACCCCGTGTAATTGATGGCACCTAAATATTGGTAGTAATATGGTACTGACAATGCCATACATGCACAATCCGGTGTTGTAATGTAATCAATAAGCATGTAATCTATGTAGGCGAGTACTCTATAGTCTATCTGAGTATTCTAAATAACATAGCTATCACTTGGAGGTAAACACCTTAAGAACTAAAAGGTATTTAAAAAGATACTGCTATACTATATTATATATATGTCATATGTAAACCCTTTCCGAAGGACTGTAGATAGAGATTAAGAAACTACAAAATGTTATGGCAGACGAAGGACTCAGATAAGATGATGATTCGAATCTTGATTCCTCTCGTTGAGAAGACGATGTAACGGTGTTCGGCCCTCCCCGACAATTTTGCCGTTTCATGCCGCCTTTGGCGGAACTCTTAGTAAGGAACTCCGTTCCAGGAACTCTCCTCGGCATCTATCTACATTTCATCCAATGACTTCATCTCGAACATGCCAACCATAATAGACGAAGACGATCGGCTTAACTACATGAATCAGAATGACGATAGCAAGCAAGGAGTAAACCATGCGGAGATGCCAGGCCGCGATAGCAGCCCTGCGTCTTCTGGCACAGGATCTATATAGAATACTAAAATTATATATGAGATTGGGCATATTTAAGATTATCTCATAAATAATATCAGTAGATATAATAACTTGAATATAGATATCAAGCTCTATAAGATATCGATAGGAAACCATCGAAAGATTGAAGATAGCTCTATACAGAATATCAAGATAAACTAAAATTTTCATATAAGCTATTAAGTAATAATATTACATCATATACATCTATTTAGTTATCGGTAACTATTTGTCGGAACTTTTGGATACCCTTGTCACTTTGCTACTGGCACACAACCGCCAATATTCAATTTGGAGGGTTTTATTATACTCATGTAGCTTAAAATTCTGGGTATATTAGCTGTGTAAGCAATACAGTGCCAATTGCCAAGGACCTTCCGAGCTGAACTCGATCAGATGATACTACAGTGTGAGGAAATTATTACTTGTACGAGTATATGAAGAGTAGACCTGATTAAAAATCTCAGATCTGCCGGGTTTATCCAAGATTTATGATACCATTTGCAGAGTTTGTACCCCTTCCTGGTCTCTGGTTTCATCAGAGCCTCATAACTTGCTTAAAGAGGAAGCGGTCGAGTTAAACTGAGACGGTCAGGCAGATTTGCCACAGGCCTACTGTTTTACATTCTGAAGCGACCCGGGCATTTACTCGTACTTGACCCCAGCCCCCCGGATGGAGTTCATCACGGGCCGCCGGGGCCGGGGGTCCACGTCACTCCACCTCACTGGGGACTGGCACACATCATGGATTCCCTAATCAGGTTTAGCTCATGCTTATTTTGCCAGCTTCTTCCCATACACTTCGGGCGGTGTGTGAGCGCTTCATGAAGGCGGTATTTTTCAAACTAAGCATTTTGGGGGCAATCCCCGGGGGGCTGGTGCATACAAAGTCTTCCTACGAGTGTACTCCGTAGTTGACGGTCTCTGTCTCTGACTTCTTATGGGCATCGTTGCATGTCAAACATGTCAGCACTCACAGCCTCATTCATATTGTGGCGGACAACCAGCCATATCTTGGCTCATGCTCCAGTCACGACGATTTTCGTCATTCCCTTCATCTTGCGTCAAGAAAGGCGGGGCGGGGGTTTGGGGTGGGTGGGGTGTTGGCGGGAGTCGTAGTCGTATCATACCTGGTGGTAGAGACCATTTAACATACGAATGCCGCCTCCGATTGCCTTCCTTCCTGCCCCGTAATCAGCGTGGTACTAATATCCGGATGCCTGCTTCTCTTCGAATCATATTTGGCGGCTAAAGCTAGTATGAACTAGTAAGCAGACAGTGGTCTTACGTTCATTCTTGATTGGAGGGGATGGCTTGGTCCTTGCAGGCCAGGACATCTTTGCGCTTGGTCAACTGCCTCGTCCCATTTTGTCTAAAGAGCATCATGGAAAGCCTGTGAATATGGGCTTGAAAATGCTTCGCCCGTGTAATCACGCCTCGGCAGATGAATCTTCTTGACAAATGTTCATCGCCATCCCCTTCGCCCACATAAGACAGCCTTGACTTTGCTCGGTCTTCCTACCGCAGAGTCCTCCTCCCATTGATTGTCTCACGCTCTTTCTGTATTGTCCCTCCCGCTCCCCAAACCAGTCAATAAGGACCGAGCCATGACTTCCCATGACAGGGAAGAAGAACTGGATGCTCCCTTGTCCCGCAAGCGCTATCACACTGAAGCCGCTGATTATCCTCGACGGCGTGCAACTATAGCAGTATGTCTATTTGGCTTCCATTTCTTCACTTGAATTGCGATGCCAAAGTGCCACCCCTTCCCATTCAGAGCTCCAGAGATTGGCTTTGCCAGGAGTGCCTCGAATTGGATACGTGATACCTCGCTGATTTTACCGTTGACGGCGGTGACAGTGTCAGATCTGTCGTGTACGCAAAACAAGATGCAATGGCGCCCGTCCGAGATGCCAGCTCTGTATTGATCTTGATGCGGAGTGTATTTATCGAGAGCCGGGCATCAAGCTAGATGCTGGTGACAAGCTAATCATTGAACGACTTGACAGAATCGAGGGCCTTTTGCGTTCTAGGCTGGTCGGGGAGGCCACCAGTCATTCTCCCCTGTCTTCAATCACATCCGAGACTGTGAACGACCCCGCAGGCAACGACGACCCTGTAATCAATATGACTGAAAGCGCCGCGATGTCGTCCAGGACATCTGTGGTCGGGCTTGGTTCCTGGGCCAACCCACCAACAAACATCTCAACAATGCCTAAACTACATACGACGCCGGCTTTGAATCTATTGCAATGGCCATTGATTCGAGATCTTGTCGCTGCACCCTACGATCCTCACACTTTGTTGCAGCTAGAGATGGCCCGTGAGCCGCTCCGGATGCCATCATATGTTGGACTCGACCTATCCAATGCCATCACATATGTTCAGGCATTTTTTGCACGCGTTAATGTTTGGTATGCCTGCGTCAATCCATATACCTGGCCTCGTTACTACGACACGGCCATCTCATCTAGCTTTCAAGAAGGAGCTGAGAGCTGTATCGTTCTCCTGGTCCTGGCACTAGGCTGTGCGAGTCAATATGGAAGCATATCAACTCTTTCGCCGGAAGCGGACCCACCAGGGCTGCCATACTTCGTTGCCGCATGGGGCCTTTTGCCCAACATTACAATGCGCAACTCTGTACTTGCTGCTCAATGTAACATTCTAGCCTCTGCTTATTTGTTCTACTTGGTCAGGCCACTGGAGGCTTGGACACTACTCTCAAGTGCTAGCTTGAAGCTACAGCTGCTTTTCGGCAATCCGTCCCGTGTCTCTGCTCAATGGAGGGAGTTGAGCACAAGACTATACTGGAATGCTCTTCTACACGAGAGCGATCTACTGGCGGAACTAGACCTTCCACACTCCGGGATTGTGCACTATGAAGAGCTTGTTGACCTTCCAGGTGGCTTCGAGCAGGAGGACGACGAGGATGAAGATCAAAGCAACACACCTCGGGAAGATCTCACTGTAGAATCGATGGTAGGGCACGACGAGCTCTGGTATTTCTTAGCCGAAATCGCTCTGAGAAGGCTTCTTAACCGAGTCAGCCATGTCATCTATCAAAAGGACAATTCACTTACCCTTGCGTCGCTTGGGCCGATTGCCTTGGAGCTAGATTTTCAGCTTTCTCAGTGGTACGAAGGGCTCCCCATTCCTATCAGATTCCCCCTTTCCTCGCTACGGACTTCGAACTCAATTCAGACTGTTCTGAGACTCCGATACTTTGCATGTCGCACGATTATTTACCGTCCATACATCCTGGCGGTGCTTCAACATGAACAGACATCCAGAGATCCAATGGTGAGAGAATGTTGTCGGCGATGTCTGGATGCAACTTTGAATCAGCTCGACCATATAAGCAGTCACCGTGAAGGTCATCTCCCATACCTTTGGCAGGGTGCCCTCTCAATGGTCTCGCAGACATTGTTGATTATGGGATCAACCATGTCTCCAGCGCTTTCAGTACTTCTACCTCCAGCGGCTCGAGTCGATGCAATCATCAGCGGCGTCATAGAGGAAGTCAGTCGATATGCGCATCTTGCTCCAAGTCTCAAGCTCTCTGCGGAGATTATCCGCGACGCGGAGGAAAGACGGCAGGCGTGTCTCAGATCCATGACCAAGCCAACCAAAAAGGCCATTTGATTAGCCGCTTATCAGCCAAGATACAATCAAACTTTAAGAGAAGCTCGAAGACAAGAGGGACTCCTCATGCTTACCGCAAGGCGTGTCTCGTATGACCAGGGGATTTAAACCTGAAGCTTTTCCCGCGGCGTCTCAAGTCTCATCTGGCTTGAAGCAGCATTTGATGGCTAGTATATGTTTGGGTATCAATATACTCAGAATAAGTCTATTATACCAACTGACAAGACAGTCTGAATGTTGCACCAGGAGGTGAAAATAGTGCTAGATCAATAAAGCAGAGTATTATTAGGCATAGTAGTGTTCAGATAAGCACCCACTCACTCCCCCTTTTGATGAACTTATCCAGCATTAATCCGATATCGTTCAGTGCAAATCGACATATGTAGAAGCCAAAGAATTCTGCGGCATGGCGAGTGCTTAATTCAAGGCCAACAAGGGTGGGAGAAGAATGCTTCAGACCGGGATCTTCAACCTGTTGTGCGATTTGATCTGAGCATTCCGCATTAGCTAGCTTACGAGCATAAGAGACTGCCCCAGACAGCATAGTTAGCTCACCTAGAACTTGAACGGCATCACAAAGCCGGGCGAGGGCTCCCATGTAGTTGTTAGCTCCATTGGATTGCAAATGCGAAACATTGCGTCTATTGTGCTGAGAAGCAGGTACCGAAGTCATTGGGACAGTATTACTAGTCGAGAAATCCTTGCTTGACTCTTTCGAGGCAGATGTTGAGGTTGTGACAGCAAGGCCAGAATTCTTAGAACGCAATTTGCGCCATGATGTTAAGTAGGACTTGCTAGGTCCTGTCGATGGCTTAGATACCAAAGCATCAAGATTCGCTGTATCGTCGGAGGATAGGGTAGATTTCAGAAGAGCCATGGCCCCTTGCACCCCAACTTCGCTTCCGACCTTCTTTGATAGCAGCATCTGCACCTGGTCAAGTACACTCTCCAATGACTGCATTTCCTCTAATACTGCATCGGCATCATAAGTATCAACCTGGGCCAATTTGAGCAATGCAGCCGTCAGCAAGTCACAGCTTGAGACTTTTTCCTCCACTGCCCTTAATTTCACATTTTTCACGCGCCAAACATCTCGTGGAACGAAAAGCTTCGTGGATATGTAGCCTCCGCGAGGATGCGCTATTGTCTGGTAGATGCATCGCATGAGCCAGAATGGCCGTAAGAGAAACGATTCAGGACATGGCTCCAGAGGAAGAGGGGGGTCAGCAACCATCACATTTGGCGAACCCGGACTAGTTGGAGAGTGAATGTTCGTGTCAAACAAATTGAGGCCTCCGCTCGGTGGGCCAGTTACAGGGATGTTATGTCCGGTTGGTGTGGGCAGGGTAGGTAAAGTAGCAGTCATCGGCCCTTTCTGGGCTTCTGACACAAGGAAAACATTATCTGATGGCGTGTTTGGAGACTCGAAGGGCACTCCTGTCCCGGACGTTGAAATATTCCGCGTCCGAAAAGGTCCCAACCCGGTATGTAATCTGCCCAGACTATCTGGCGCCGACGGTACTTTACCAATAGATCGAGTTGGCGAAGGTAGTTTCGTATGCCGAACGTTGCCACTACCTTGGGCCCTTCCGACTGTTGCACTTGCCAGGATATCTTCAGTAAAAGAGCCCACTGATACGTTGCGCTTCTTTGATAGTACAATTGAACGCAAGCCAGAAGCGGAGCCTAATGCCTTGTTTGTTTGATTGATGATGCCCGGCAATGGCGTATCCCTAGAGATCGTTTCTGAGCGGAAGGTGAATGAGTCTGGGGGTCGCATCAAGGAACCATCCAATTGACTGTCGAAATGAGGTTTCGTCTCGATCTTCAGCTCGGTTGTTGGCTGTCCTGACAACCTTCGTGCTCGTACACTTGACCCTACCATTGAGCCAAATGCCGGCTTCGTCATCTGATTTACGAGGTCATTATTTGGCGCAGTAGAAGTGCAGGTGTCGATAATATTTTCGGGTGCGATATGTGGTTCCATATCCGTTGTTCCGGGGTTAGTGGTTGGCCTGACATTATCCCGTGACCGACTCGACTGGCTGCTTGTGCCTGGCTGCCTGGGCAGGGCGGATTTAGACTGAATGCCAAATTCAAAATCATCCATCACATAGCCTCTCGTCATCTCATCTAACAGGCGCTCCTCTTCCTCAGCATCATCTAAGTACCCTAGTTCAAGACTGGGGTGACCGTTAAGATATGGCTCGTCAGAGGCATTGGGCATCTTCTGGCTATGTGTTGAAGACGTTCCTGTTTCTTTCTCTGATTCGCCGGCCATTTGCTTCGCCAATTGAAGAGTTATACAGGCAAATCCTGCAACATCGCTTTTGTCAACCTCGGATTCGGCTGCCAGCTCTAGGCTCTCATCATAAGCGGCCTCGACGGCTGCATCCAGAGCTGCATCAAATTCAGCTTCAGTACCGTAATTTGATTGATCGCCTTTTCTATGACGTAAATAAATAGACGAAGAATTTGAGTGGGTAGAAGAAGGTGAAGAAGCACCGGACTCGTCGATAGTATCGAGCCAGGACGTTGTTTCGTGAACACCTTTGACATGAGCACCCAACGACGACATCTCGGACAATGGCGCATCGATGGCGCATCGACCAGTGATAGACTCGGGATCAGATTCGGTGTAGGTTATCGAACCCCTGGAGTACTCGTTGGATCGATATTGCGGCTGGGACTTGTTCCCCTTTGGTGCCAATGCCCGACTCGCCCAGTCATCATTGGGAAGAATTGGGTTTGCATCGTCATCAAAAGCGGATGGTAACAGCGACAGCCGCCGCGGAGAGCGCTGTCCGGCAGTCATCGTCCCTACCATTTCTGAGACCGACTGCGCATCGGAGCCGTGCTGTGAGCCGGTAGAGCCCTCGCCTATTGATAATCCGCCTTTGTTGTCCTGTACTGACGAGTATTCGACGTAGGACTCTTCACTGCGAGGCCGCTCAGGGAGGGCTTTGCTGTCCATACTCCGTATTGAGAAGTCCATACGTTGGAGCTCGGTCACACGAATCATGTAGGTATCACGCTTTTTTTTTATCTCAGCCCGCAATACTGGTTTCTATCTGGTGCAGGGAAACTCACTATTTCTTGAAGTTTATGCCTCTCGTCTTCGCCCCCATCGCTTCGATCCATTACCGACTGAAGTAACTGGCAAGCATCGTTGTAAGCTTCCATCGCTCCCTCAAAATTTGCGGCGTTGTCGAGTAGGACGGCGGTGTTCGCTTTCTGTAGAGCTTTTGAGAGCATTGCTTTCTGGGATTGGCCTCGCTTCCTCCGCTCATGACCCTTGCTTTTCACGGGAGACAATTGCAAATTCGTCGGGACCGGTAGGTCCAAGCCCTGAGTACGAGGGCTATGTGATTCTGAGGCATACTGGGCAGTAAAGTGATCGGGTTCTAATCTCCCGTTTTCAAGCCCTAAATTGCTTCTCTCAGTCCACGGGTTCTGAAACAAGCTAGGTAGAGGCTGGGTGCTCTGAAACAATTGTGTATCGGGGTGCGAAGACATTGTATTCGAGGCACCTGGGGTAAATGTGGCAGCCTCACTCGCGGTCGATGCGGAGTTTTCGTGGCGATTTAGAGGTACCGATTCCTGCGTACGATGATGGCGATGAAGATGCCCGGAATCTGTACGTACAATTGGTGCGTGTGAAGGTTTCGATTCCGACTTTCCGTTTGGACTCATTGGATCATTCAATAATTCGTTGCTTGTGAAAAACACTCTGGACGAACCTCGACGGTGAAATGTTGACGAATCTCTGCTAGATATCGTCGACTGAGACCAACGATTCAGACTTCCAAGTCCTTCCCGAATGTCGTTGTCCCCAAGGTTAGACTTTGCTATTACACCAATATCTGATGTGGCTCCCGCCGCTGTGGGTGTTGTTGAACGAAATCCGGACGTCTTATGTGTATATTTTGCATCATAGTGTGAAGTAACCTCATGCGATATTGATTGAGGGAAGTGTGAGCCTAGCATTGATTCGCATTCTTGATCTGCCGGGAGTTTGGAAGACATTGTGCAGCAGAGGCGATGCTGGCAGCAAATTTTAGGCTCGCCAGCAGAAGAAGCTTGCCAGGAAATTTTCCTGATAGTTCTGTGTCTTCGAGATTTAAATGTATTTCTCGATTCACCTACACGATGAACAGGCAGGTGACGTCTTGAGTGGATGAAAAAAAGTGCTGCTGTCACGGAGAGTGGTGTTGGTAAAGGCGAGTGCAATATGATTCATGCTTTGAATTATAGAGGAAGTGATTAAGTCGTGAGGAGAGCGACCGCGTGGTCTGCGATTATGAGGCTGACAAGAGCCGTCCTAGCGCACAGCTTGAACTTCGAACTGGAAAGTAACTGTAAAATGAAGGCGCGGTAAATGTCACTCCTGCCTTGCATTTGGGGCAAGTTAGATTCCAGGTACGTGAGTCCACAGTACGTTTTGCGCAACTTGTGGCAACGCGATTGCGAAGCAAAAATCAGGCATGCAGGAGAATGATTCTCGATCGTGCTTATCAAAGTAACCAGCTTTTTGTATTGCCAAAGGAGCGGCCCAAGGGCCAACGAAATACGGTACTCTTCAAGATGGCAATAATGCGCTAGGGTACTCAGGGGCATTTGCGGAGATACAGCACGTCCCTCGATAAGGAGGTACAGTACCGGCTGGACGAGTACAGACGGCAGGGGCTGCCAAGCCTCCTACTAATCCCAGTGTAGTGGCGGGATAGTGTGGGGTAGATACGCCATGTGGAGGATGTCGGACAGAACTTTGAAGCCCTGAGCACAATAGAACGCAAAGCTCATTCAATTATTCTCAGTAGGGCATTAAAAAAAATCTTTTGTTTACTACAAAGATTACCACAGTCGATGAAAGTATGACCCTGCTAATTTCGACCGTTTCTAGTCATTTGATTTTCTGAAGAAAACAGGACCTGTTACTATCATATCTCAAAGTACGCAGTTACGCTTGCAGGCTCCACTGCTCCTATTACGAGACACGGGCTTAACTGGCATCGAGATCGAATTCAATGCTGAATCTATGGATGAAAGCATACATTTGGGGCACACTCCATAAGAGGTTATTACAGTAATATGACCAGTATAGTACAGACAATTGATGCCGCTAGTTCAAGGTGTAAGAGGCACCACTTAGGCGTAGAGTTAGTCTCTCTGCCCTTGGAAAGCGGTTATAAGACTGAGCCGCAAGCCGTGAGCATGGGTTAGATTACTTGCTTTGAGAACTGGATTTAAGTGGTAGTCTTGCTGATCAGGCGTACCTAATCTTCCCCACTCCCCTCGTCGCTTGTAGCCTCAATGTTCTTGCGCGCAATTTCATGAACCGAGGCATTTGCCTCCTCCGTTTCATTTCCACCTGTTGACTGTTGCAAATCCTTGGCGTCATACGACGGCCGGGGAACTGATTGACCGTGGTTTCTCATTGCAAGCTCGATTTCGGGTAACAGAGTCACAAGTGCCGAGTACTGATCGATAGGAAGAGAAATCCCCTGACAAAGCATTAGGATGTGTGTGAATGAGTTTCTTTTCGAGTTACCTTTCTGCCGGGAAGGTTATGGCCATCTTTCTCATAATACTCCCTGATATTGACCATTACTTTCCCTCGGAAGTTTGAAATTGTCACACGACGCGACTTCGACAGCTCCCAGTAACGGTCGCCATTCGCATCCACATTTGGCAATGCCTTTAATTGCGGATCTCGGGAATCTGATAATTTGTCCGGCTTCGCTCTCTTCAGCTGACGGTGCTCGCTGGACCTAGGATCACTGTCGTGATCGAGTGTGTGCTTCTTCACCTTGGATGTCATGTTCACATATTCCGGATGCCCTGGTAGAGGTTGCAATATACAGAAATGATGAAGCCAGGAGATAGCGAAGTTGTGAATCTTGACTTCGGTACTAACCAAAACTTCACATTTCCATGTGAGAAAGATTTAAGTTGGACAGTAGGAAGGAAGTAAATAGTGTCTAGTATGCGACAAGGTAACATGCAACTGGTTTGAAGGTTGCTTTGTTTGATCTGTTTATGCTGTTTGCACGGGAGCCTGCAGACTCAGATCATTCTGTAATAATGTACTCTGTAATCAGTAACATATTTGGTAAGTGAGTACGGAGTAGCGCGCGCAAGTGAGCGGCACAGAGCTGTATTTAGTATTGATTCAAAATATTTTAAACTTATTGCGACGCGTGTAAGTGCGGAGCATTATACTAGATCCTGTTCTTCAGAGAACTCCTAAACTGTATTTTGATTAATTAGATATTAGATCTCTAATTAACTGGTTTCATAGCTTTATTAGTACTTTAATTAGCTATAGAAAAGCTTAGTAAAAAATAATTATATAACTTAATTTTACTACTACTTATTATATCAGCCAGCTCTCAGCCTGGGAAAGATTAAAATTTAGTAAAAAACTTTACTACCTTTTTTATTTATTTATTACTTACTTATTTACATTTAGTGAAAGATATTTAATAAAAGGCCTTGTTTATTTACTAGTTTATTTTATAAGAAGTGCTTAATAAAAGGCTTTATTATCTTATTTATTCGTTTATTTACTCTTTTTTTACTTAGTAGAGGATATTTGGTAAAAAAGCTTATTACTTTATTTATTTATTTAATTAAATTATTTAGTCACTTATTTTTTTTACTTATTAATAGGTGTTTGAAGAAATAATTTAGAAAATTATTGTTATGATATATATATTACATATCTCTGTTGTACTCAGTCCTTTAATTTAACAGATTTAACTAAGGATAAACAGGACCTAGTATAATCCAATAACAGGAATACTTGATAATCTTTAATAAACAAACAGTAAGAGTAAATATATTAGTTTTATAAGAATTTTTTCAAAAAGTCTATATCTTATTTAAAAAATATTCTATGGTGGTTGATGGTAAAAGCTGAGAAGTATAATTAATGTAAGAAGATTGAATTAGGGAGAAATCTTAGGAATAGTAAAAACTGATAGATCAAAAAAGTCTCGTGCTAAGGTAATATAGAAGATAATAAAAAATAATAGAATTATTAAGTAAATTAAGTATTATTATATATACTAACTTGGTAAGTTCAATAATGTTATAAAATAATATTATATATTATATATAATAATATAATAGAGATGTTAATAAATATATAAGAAAATAATATATAATTTATAGAAAAAAATCAATAGAAATTTAAAGAAAATAGTATACTATAATTAAGATAATTAGTATTTTATTGAATTATAAATCAGATTATGTACTATAATATTTTTTTAATAAATTTATATATTATTAATAAAATTATATCTAGATTAGTAGACAATATACTTAGTAATAGATTCTCTAATATATATATATAAAATAATATATTTTTTAAAGAATAGTAGAAACTTTCTAATATTTTTTACTAAAAGTCTTTGGTTAATAATATAAAATAATTTAAATATTATATAGTTATAGAAAACTATCTTTATAGAAACAAGGTTGAATTATATAATTACAATAATAAAATAAATAGAATATAACTCTAAAAAACTAAAATAGTATAAATAATATTTGATAACTTTAGTAGTAGAAAGTATATTAATATATTATTATATTAATTTAATTTTAATATTGTTAATAATGGAAAGAATATTATATATATATATACAGATAAATAGAATTACTAATACAAAAATATAAATTTATACTTTATATTATATATCTTAATATAAATAATAGTAAACTTAAAGGTTTTCTTAGTATTAGATAATAATAATAATCTTAATTGGTATTAATCTTAATAATAAATATTTTTTAGAAATATTTAGGGTATTTTTGAAACTTATTCAATATATAATAGTAATAATCTTAATTATAGTATAAGATAAGTAGAAAGATATAGTATTTATAAAACTATCTAGAAGAAAGTTTCTTATAAAGCTGCACTTCAAAAAAATAGAAGATACTATTAGTATGATATATAAAAATATTCTAAAATATTAATGAATATCTTCTTAAAGAAATACTATTTCAGTAAAAGAAAAAAATATATAAAAGTTATTTAGATATTATATTATTTTTATTTTTACTATACTACTTTTTAGAAGAAAACATAATTTTAAAAGTTATAAAACCATATAATCTTTATAATAAAGGAGTATTAATATAAATTATATAAAAATACAAAAATCTAATTTCTCTTAATTAATTCTAATTAAGATAATCAAAATATCAGATTAAAGATTAATATTTAAAATAAGTAGTTTATTATTGTTAAATAATAGAGTATTATAAATAAATATTAGTTTTTCCAGAACACTAGATTATTTAGTTAATAAATAATTATTATGATGTAATATCTGTTTTTATTAAAATAAATAGTTATGTATTCAAATACATTAATATAAAAATATTAACTTAATAAACTAGATTATCTATAAATCTAATACTTATTCCTTATATATATAAATACTTTTTTATTTTAATTATAAGAGTAGCTATATTCTTTATTGAAAAAATGAATGAATGTTTTTCCTAGCTATTATAAAGATAAAGAGATGTAAAAAAAAATATAAATTCAATAATAATAATAATATTCCTACTAAACTTATTCTTATATCTTTTAGCTTTACTAGTAAAGATAATACTAATAATATTATGATTATAAAATTTAATAATAATATTCACAAAATCTCTAATTATCATATCCATTAAGATATTTTTATTAATTTATTTATATAGATAATCTAGTACTTAAATATCAAGAAATTAGTAATAATATATAATATAAATAGTCTAATAAGATATATAAGAGAAAAGTAGTAAGAATAAAAAACTTTTATTCTATTTAATTATAAATAATATTTAATATTAGAAGCTAAAAGCCAGTGAAAAGAAAAGTAAATTTAAAGTTAAAATTAAAATACTTTTATTATTATTATTTTTTAAAAAAAAGTTTGGTTAAAAATAATAAGATTAACATTTTTATCTATAGAATAATTGTATTCCTTTAATAAAGAAAAAGTATATAATATTTAAATCTAATACTATTATTATAATCAATATTACTATCTCTATAATATTATTTATTATAAGACAAAAGTTTATTTAAAATATTATTAAAAATGATATTTAACCCTATAGAACTAACTAAGAAAGATAATATAATAAAAATATAGAAATATTACGGAAAAGAATCAAAAAGAGAAATATTAGAAAATCGCAAACAAACATAAAATAAATAATAAAAATAGAGAAAGATATTTTTATAAAAGAGAAAAAAATAAGAAATTAAATTATATGAAAGTAATAAATATAGTAAAAGATTAAGGAATTAATATCAAAAAGAAAATATTATAAATAATCTATTATATATTATAATTATTATTTATATTATTATTAGACTTATAATAGTTTATTTATGTTTAAATTATCTTTCATATTTTAAGTATATTCTTGAATCAATTATTTCATAAAAATGAAATTAATTTTCATTACTTATTTTAGATTAATGAAGACTTTTTATATTTAAAATGAAAAGATCTATATTCTTAAATATAACTTTTAACTAAAATAATGAATATTATATTATAAATCTATTATATTACTAAAAATTTAAATTTATAAATTAAATAATAAATACATTTAAAGATTCTTAAAAAACTAATATACTACTACTTAAACATATTTTAAATACTATATATTCTAGATATTAGTAAAATATAATTATTATATAATTTTAAATAAATTTTATTTTTAACTAAAAGTTTTATTACTTGAATAAAATATATATTTTCTTTTATATTTAGTTTTGATAATATATAGTCTTATTTCTAACTAAAGTAATTTATTTGAAAATTAGAAATTATTTAATTTTATATTAAATAATAACTTATAAAAAGATTATTCATAAGTATTGATAATTTTTTATTTATATTTATAATAATACTTACAGATATATAAATATTATATTTTATAATTTAAAACAGATATATATATATATAAATATTAGTTCTGTTATTTACAGTATTTACTTTAGTTATTTATCTAATTATAAATAATATATAATAAAATAATATGAATTAATAATTAATATTCTAAATAATTCTTTTTAATAATGAGATAAGAATTTTATATTAGAATTAAAAAGAAATTTAAAAGAAATTAAAAAGAAATTTTATAATTATATAGTTTATAGTAATTAATTATATAATATTTTAATTAATTATTTTTTATATTACTTTTCCTGTGATAAGATTAATATATTTTAAAAATTTATTAATAATAATTATTATTTTGTTTAATTAACTAATTTCTGGAAATCTAATAATAAAGTTTATTATTATAATATAAGATAGAATTATAGAATTAATTATATATTATAAATTATTATATAATCTATATTTAATATATTTTATTTATCAAATAAGTTAGATAATACTTAATATATTTATATAAAAGATAATTATTTTAATAATGAATTAAATTCCTTAAAATTTAAATATATTTATTATATTCTTAGTATTTTTAGATATTATAAACTGATTTTAATATATACAGTTATAATTTTTAAATAATTATTTATCTTTTAAATTTATTAGTAATATTCTTAAAGTATACAAAATATATTATTATTTTTTTATACAATAAAAAAATATCTAGACTTTATTTTAATATTTCTAGAATAATTTTAGTTCTTAAATTCTATAAATATATAATATAAATATATAATATAAATATATAATATAAATATATTTTTTAAATACTAGTATAGATTTAACTATTATTACTATATAAATATTTTAACCTAGAAATTTATCTAGATTAAAGTTTTTTAAAATATATTAAATATTTTATAGGATAGATAGAAAAGAGTATTAATAATTATACTTTTTTTAAATAATAATATATTTAATATTTTATAATTATATATATAGTAAAGCTCTAGCTAGCCTAAGATTTAATTATTATAAAATAATTAAATTAAATAAAGTCTTTATT